TAAAGACGTGTAGAGACTAAAGAAGTGTATTTTCTTTATCAAGTATGGATGCTGAGATATTTATATTTTAGTGTAGAATGTATGATGTAAGTGTATCTGATGTTATTTTTATGATGATGATTTTATTAGAAGTAAGCCAGATCGTCACAAGAACCCAATTTATTGTATAATAAAGACTTTAGTTTATTTTTGCAGTTTGATAATTTTACTTCGTCAAATTTCTTTATTTTTATTCTTAATTCGTTGCTTTATCTCTCGAATTTCTCAAAAATTCAATTCAAAACAGCCTGTTAAGCGAAAAAAAGGAGCAGGAAAGAGTTCATTGTCAATATTGGGTAAATTATGAGCAGCTTTTTTCTACATGGGAACATGAAATCATATTGGGCGCAACCTTTTTACTATAATAGAACAGAATAAAAGTCTTGAATTTGATGATTTTATCTTGGATGATTGTGGTTAACAGTAAATTGATGTTTCTGTCGTATTTCCTCCAATAAAGATCGTATAGAATGACCTTCAATATGGTTAAATTATAATATTCGAGTGGTACTCTCATATTACCAGTATAATCTTGTTACAGATTATATATTGGGGATTATATTATTATTGGTTGTTATGACTCTCTTTAATCTGTTACTGAAGTATCAGCAAATGAGAAATTTTCACCTAATAATTCGGGCCAATCAATATGATAAAATATTGATTGACTTGAGACCATATAATTCTAATTGCCATGTTTCAGAAGATAGAAACAAGCCACTACCTATTCTTTACCAGATTCAATCTCCCAGATGTTTTGATATAAAAAGCGTCCTCCCTTTTGCGATGACCTTCTCTCCAAAACTTTAATAAAGGATTAACAGAGACTCATTTCTTTAATTCTTTTTCTTCTGTTTTTATCTATTCTAATTATCTCAAAACATCACATTTTTTTAAATGAATTCTTCTGTTAATGCCAACCATCCCGCTGCTGCCCAAGGTTCCCCTGTACTTGATGTCAACTACTCTTCTTCTTCCGAGTCCGAGTGCTCCGGTGGTTCTTCTGGTTCTGAAGCTGGCTCTGGTTCTGATTCTGATGTCGTTCACCGAGGAGGTGACGATTCCGATCGTATGGACGTTGATGTTGAGGGTACGCCCGAAAACACTCGTACTGATCAAGGTGAAGCATCGTCTTCAACTGTAAGCCCAGTCGTAGATTCTTCGGAAGGATCAGATTACGCTGGCAGAATCGCTGTGTTGCAAAATCGAATTAAAGAGGATGCAGCCACGATTGATATTCTTTCTAATGCTGGAACTGAATTGATGGCCAAACTTGCTACTAATCCTTTGGAGTACAAGGTACATTTGGACGCCAACTCGACTGCTTTAGAGTATTTGCACAAGAGAACTGCTAATGATCGTGCCTCGTTGATTTCTTTGAGAAATGAAGAAACCAATCTACTCGAGGTAACCTCCCGTACCGACAAGCTTACAATCAAGAAGTCAAGAAAGGAATTGGATCATACCGCAATCAATCCCAAGGACCTCCCTCCTTTTAACGTTCGTCCCACCAAGGCTCGCAAGGCTGCTCATATTGAGAATGGTAATGAAGACTATTTGTTGGAAACGTTTGTTATTTCTTTTGAGAGAGTATACAAGAATGCGAATGTCGATGTACAGAAGCACTGGTTTGTCCATTTGGAAGGTTGTTTGGAGAAGCACTTTATCTATCGAGCTTGGTTCAACAAAGCTATCAAGCCCAAGCATAGTGCTAACAAGAAGCTTACATGGACTACGGCTGTCAAGATCTTACAAGAACGATTTGTAATCTATTCCGACAAAGGTATTCAAAAAGACAATGAAGAACTTTTCGAAAATGGTGCAATCAAGGACAGTGAAAATCTTGCCGCCTATATGTTCAGCTTCGGTATCTTGGAGATTACCGGTAACGTTTCGACCAAGAATAATTACTTGTACACTGCTTGCTTTATCTGGAACCTCAAGAATGAAAAACTTAAGGCTAAGGTAATCGACGCCATGTCCGAGTACATGAACCTATCCCACAAGGATACAAGCATCCATGCCCCATGTAATGATGAAGCTTTCTGCGACTTCTACTCTGACTTTGAAAACGTACGACAAGCTATTACAAGGAAATTGGCTTTACTGGAACAATGCTTGGAAGACGAAAGAAAAAAAGGTAACGCTAATTCTTCGTCTGGTTCGTCTTCTGAGAAGTCAAAGAAGAGAAAAGCGGTCAATGGTGCTGGTGTCACTCCCCCTTGGTCAAGCCCTTCTTCCTCTTCTTCTTCTGCTGCTGCTGCTCCCCCTGCATCTTCTTCAAGTGGTCCTACTAGGGAAATCAACTTTGATTTGGTCCGCCTCGATTTGGTTTCGAAGCCATCCCACGTACTGAACAGTGAGGAGAAGAACTTCTTGTTTAAAGCCAAGAAGTGTATTTACTGCAGAGTTGCTACTTTTTCTGTTGGTCACGCCGAAGTCTGTCCCGAAAAGAAGAAGCAGTATAAGGTAAATAATAATTCAATTCATGACAATAACAATAACTTAGCTTCGTCTAATGTTAACGTTTTGTCTAATCAACTTAATAACGATCAATCAAATTCTAACTCCTCTGATGTTTCTAGAAATACTAAAAACTATGACACTGATGAAGAAGAGAACTTTGGTGATGATGAAGACGATTTCCAAGCCGCCTATAGAAGCTTGGACGACTTTATTTGTAATGATAATGATGAAGTTGATTCTTTTAATAAAAATATATTTGCCATAAAAATTAATAATGATAGAAATGTATTTATTAATAAGGGAAAAAGTTTAAAAGGCTCGGATGATTTATTTAATTCCGAGAGTGTGGCTTATTCACCCATCACCCCTATTATAATTAATTCTGTAAAAACTTATTGTACCTTAGACACAGGTGCTCAAGTTTCTATTATTGATAAGCAATTTGCTATTGATCATAATATCCAATTTCATCACTGTGAAACTTTTTATCGGTCCAATTTTTTAAAAAAAAATGAAAAAGTTAGACCGGCGGTAACGGTCCAAAAATTGGACCGATTATATAAAAAATCGGTCGCATTTTTGGACAGATTTTGTAAGAAATCGGTCGCATTTTTGGACCGATACTGATGATTACAAGCGATGGTTTTGGCAAATAATTCTATTGGATAATAATACAGTTCACGAGTTGCTACCCTTGTAAACCCAAAAATTTAGACATCATATATTGAATAAAAAAAAGACATTTTATTGAAAAAAAAAAGAAAAAGAAAAAAAGAGCCACAAATGTTTGAATAAATAAACGCACAGATTGGTTTTACAGATGAAAGACGAAACTAACCCGCCCATACCAACTTATTGAGCTAGTAGTTACAACTGTTATAGACAAACGCGTCTGGGCGGTACTTACCTATAATAAGAACTAACGTTAATAACGAGTATAAAAAAGATAAAAAAACACATCATACCTTAATAAAGAAACAGGTCGTCCGGGTCTAAATTTACAAGCAGTAAACGTACAGTAAATCTATAGACATATATTGATATTAATAACAGGAATGAAGGTGACTATAGCGATAAATCTTACCTCGAAAAGAATGTAGTTCATCTACCATGAACGCAAACACAATATTTATTATTCATAAACTACATCAAACAGAGTTACATAACTGTTAAAGATTAATTTTATGTTAAATTATGGTATCGATTATTATACATACTATTTCATGGTCATTTGTCAAAAAGAAAACAGAAAAAAGGAAAAAAAGAAAGAAAAAAAATATTAGATTTATAAATAATGATTTTTTAAACTCAATAGATATTACGTACAGGAACGGTACACACAAACATAGAGTACTCTTCCAGTGCGTTTGATAGGTATTTTCAATGACCCTTTGACCACTCTTTTGTTTCCTATAACTTGTCTCTTTACAAGATGGAAAAAATGGGGAAACTAGAAAGAAAAATTTAAGAAGGAGGGTGATTTCAATAAAAAGTGTTGCGGCTATTTATTGAGTGGCAAAAATTTGGACATAAAGCCCATGGCTTTTAATACTATAAACATTTTATTTGTAATATATATGTGACAAAAAAAAATGTCAATACTTTGTCATAGAGACATTTAAAAAGTGAATATGTTTTGATAGTTATTCGTCCGTTAAAACTAGCGAAGAAGTGAAAAAAAAAAAAAAAAAAAAAAAAAAAAAAAAAAAAAAAAAAAAAAAAAAAAGCGTAAGTCAATTGAAAGCACGATACAAAAAAAGCCTAATCGTGTAACACCAAACGCGTAAAGAACAAGATACACTTTTTGACCCCCTGTTGCGGTCACCGTATTAACTTAATAAATTTTCTTTTAATCATATAAGTTATATAGGTATCGTAATATATGTTTATTAAACTACAAAACTCGATTTTGCAGTGATTTTCATTTTTTTTAAAAATCGGTATCGGTGCAATCTTTAAAAAAGACCGCCGGTATCTGTAATTTCTAAAAATTGCACCGATACCGGCGGTATCGGTCCAAAATATGTTTAGACCGGTAAAAAGTTTCAGGGTGCATGCAGTTGACGGACACTTATGTTTGTACGACGGTACTAAAATACCTCGTGAACAGTCTGTGTTGCCATTGAGTATTGATTATGACGGCGTAGAACATGTTGTCTCACATAAGTTCGATGTGATCGACAGTAAGATAATGCCTTCGCCTCATAACCAAATATTAGTTGGAACAGATCTCATGCCTAAATTGTCGATCCAATTGGTTAATGTTGCACACAAATATAAGGACACTACAAAGTCAGTTGATGATTCGATCTCTGATGTGGCGTATACACCCAACGTTACTCCTTATGGTAGTGAAGAGGAGCAATTATCGTTTCACACTAGTTTAGAACCTTATATTGAGGCTAACAAGAAACTTGATCCTAATTCATTCTGTAATTTGCCTGAAAGCATTTTGCATTTACCAACCCCTGTTGATTATTCGGTTAACATACGTCAGTATCCTATTGCTTATAAGTTGCGTCCATTGGTAATGGAAGTAATTAATGATTGGGTAAAAGATGGCATCGTAGTTAGAGCTACTCCATCGGCGTGGAACCTTCCTATTACAGTCAGGATTAAAAAGAACCACGAATCTGGTACTGTATCCTCCGATCTGAGTACTTTAACGAAAGACGATGTCAGAGTTGTTCTTGATACAAGAATGCTGAATAAAGCACTTCTAACTATTAACGAAACACAACCTTTGATCAATGATATATTTTCCACTGCCATGGATGGCTGTGTTGTATTCAGTACAATTGATTTAAAGTCTGCATTTTCACAATTTCGGGTAAATTATGATGATCAGGTTAAAACAAGTTTTACCGGTCCGGATAACCTTAAATACATGCATGCTGGTAGCCCTTTCGGCGTCAGTACGATTAGTCAACTGTTTAGTTCAGTTATTCTTTCATTATTTAAGGATGTTCCGTATATCAGATCGTTCGTTGATGACATTTGTGTTATGTCTCGTTCAGTCGAAGCACACTTTCATCATGTTAAACATGTTCTTACAGTCTTAACGTCAGTTAACCTGCGGGTTAATTTTCGTAAGTCTCATTTTGCTAAAGCAGAGGTTTATCTTCTTGGTTTTTCTATTTCAGAAAGAGGTCGTCGTATTGATACTCGAAAACTGACTAATCTTGATACATATCCTCGGCCAACTACGTCTAAACAATGTCAGTCATTTTTAGGGTTTGTCAATTATTTTCGACAACACATTCCTAATGCTGCAATGTTGATGGCTCCCCTTGATTTTCTTCGTTCTCATGATCAAAAGAATAAAGGACGACCTTTCCAATGGACTGCAATACATGATATGCATTTCCGTACACTGAAGGAACTTTTAGTTTCCGACGTGGTATTGAGTCACCCCAATTTAGATCACCCTTACTGTATTGCTACAGATGCATCTGATTATGGCATTGGTTGTTGTTTATTCCAGGAATATAAAACCACCACTGCTGATGGTAATGAAAAAACTATCATAAAACATATTGGATTCTTCTCTCGTAAACTGTCCGGGTCGGAACAACGTTATTCTTGTACAATGCGTGAACTTTTAAGTTGTATCTTTGCTTTAAAGCAATTCCATAAATTCATATGGGGTACACACTTCACCTTGTTTAGTGATCACAAAGCTCTTTCATACCTTCACACCCAAAAACATTCTAATTCTATGATGATCAAATGGCTGGATATTATCCTAGACTATGACTTCAAGGTAGTTTATTTAAAAGGTGTTGATAACGTTTTGCCTGATGCTTTATCCCGTCTCTATCCACCAAAGGAAGACGACGGTGAGGGTTCCCTTCCTAAGCCGAAACAGTTACGTATCATGTCTCATGGTCGTAATCGTGTAGTTTCAAACCAGATCAATCTTGCAAAGAAAAATCGTAACGTAAATAGTATTAAATTTAGTAACGACCTTCTTAATCAGGAATCAGTGGCTTGTAATTGCACCTTGTTTCGTGAAGCTAGTTCATCGTCATCAGTTAACAAGGATAAAGATCTTTGCTGTGACAATCCCGTTTCCATCGAGGAACACAATAACGTTTATGTTAATAAGGTTACAACCGGGTTGGACAACCATAACGTAGATAATACAAATAATCTTGCTGTTAAGCAAGTGTTTTACGTTCAAAGCGGACAAAGTTGTCGTATTTGACGCCTAATTCCACGAATATAATTACTCTTATCTTGTCACTCAATTATAATACATATAACCTATGTATTATAAGTACCATATTGCGAATACATTCCTATTGGTACGACACAGTACCAGCTACCTCATATGTCAAACTGAGATCAGATTTCATAATCGTTCCTGGATTGGTCGAGTAGCTGCCGAATCTTCTAGTTTCTCATAAATTTATTTTAGTAATCCAATCAAGGACCCTGTCATTGAATGGATAAACTATAATGCTCTAGAAGTGCCGGATATGGGTCAACTAGCTCCTTGTATATAACAATAAGCTATGTTTCATATGTAACTGATTTCTAAATCTAATTCTACCATTTCCCAGTTTGCGGGTAAATAGTCAATTCGATCTGCGCAGGAAAAATCTTGAAGTAATAATTGAATATAAAAAGGACCTCTATTTTTATCATGACAAACTCTCCAACTTATAATAAAGGATTAAAGAGTCTCATTTCTTTACTTGTTTATTTTTATCTTTTATTTTCTACCTTTTTATTTCTCAATTATCACAAAAGTATCCATGCGGATTACTTGATTGCTCCCGAAGAAGAACGACAAGGTCTTTTAGATGATGCACATAATAAAGTAGGACATTATGGTGCTGAGCAAATGGTAAAACGAATTCATAGTGAAGGGATCCATTGGCCACATTTAATCGATGCTTGTATTGAATTTGTGCGTAAATGTACGGAATGCCAAAAGCATAACATACAAAAACGTGGGTATCATCCCTTGAGACCTATTTATAGCTGTCTCCCTGGCGATCATTATGCACTCGATTTAGGTGGTCCATTAAACACAACCTCAATTACTGGTAATAATTATTTTATGGTAATTGTGTGCGTAACCACTAGATTTTGCATTTTACGTGCCCTTCCTGATAAGAAAAGTTCCACTGTTCTGCGTGCGCTTGTTGAGGTATTTTCCATAATAGGATTCCCGCTTGTGTTACAAACAGACAACGGAGCGGAGTTTAAACATTGTCTTGCGAAAGATCTCGCTGACGCCATGGGTTTTGATCATAGATTCATTACGCCGCTGCATGCAAGTGCAAATGGTATCAGTAAACGTTACGTTCAATCAGTTAAAAGACTACTTGCTAAAGCAACGCGAGGTGTCGGTAATGATTGGGATTTACATTTGAATGCTGTTCAGTTAGCGTTAAATAATCGTATTTCCAAGAGATTAAACTCTACACCTTTTTCGCTCATGTTTGCGAGAAAAATGATTGAGCCATACGGATTCCGAAAAACTCTTTCTGTGTCACCTGAACAACGTAAGCCTATGTCTGAAGAAGAATTGATCAAAAGAATCGATTACATGACGGATATTGTGTTTCCTGCTATTACAGCTAAAACCATGGCCCAAATTGAAATTGAAAAAGCTAAATTTGACAATAAGCATCAATTAGTAGAATATCCTCCTGATAGTCATGTCATGATTAGGATACCTACTAAGGCTGGTCAATTAGCGCCTTCCTATACTGGTCCTTATACAGTTGTACGAAAAAACCGTGGCAACTCGTATATATTACGTGATCATACAGGAGCATTAGTGCCCCGTAATTACACATCAAGAGAACTCAAACTTATTTCTCACGAAGAAGTTATCGAGTTAGATGATGAGGGTAATGAAATTAAAAATTACGAAGTCGAAGCTATTCTTAACCATCGAGGTACTCCCACCAAGCGTGAGTATTTAGTTCGTTGGAAAAATTATAGTAGCGAGTGGGATGAATGGATTGACCAAGATCAGTTTAATGCTACGGACACTTTAAGAACATACTGGAAAAAAATCGGTATTCCTTATAAGCCCAAAAAGTCTAACGTGATCACAAATTCTCCCACGGCTTTGGATGTACTGAAAAAGAATCCACCTGGATCTATTTCTACGGTATTGGATACTCTATCTGACGATGATGTCGATAAAAGTGCTGATACTGCACCATCTACTCCTCCTTCAAACAAAAATGGTAAACGTTCGTATCGTAAACGTGCTCATAAAGATGATGCTTCGTTACAACACAAACGTGTGCGTCCAAGTTCCAGTGCTGTTCGTCGTTCCAAACGCGGAGTGACTAGTCCTAAATAAGCAACTACCCCAAAATTTTTTTTTCTTGTTGATCCCTGATCGGCATGAATTTTTTTATTTTAAATTTTTTTTTATTTTTTTTCCGCTGAAGTTATTTAGTAGTTTGTCTATATCTTTGAAGGGTAATTCTATTCTGGTAGGGGGCTATGTCGTATTTCCTCCAATAAAGATCGTATAGAATGACCTTCAATATGGTTAAATTATAATATTCGAGTGGTACTCTCATATTACCAGTATAATCTTGTTACAGATTATATATTGGGGATTATATTATTATTGGTTGTTATGACTCTCTTTAATCTGTTACTGAAGTATCAGCAAATGAGAAATTTTCACCTAATAATTCGGGCCAATCAATATGATAAAATATTGATTGACTTGAGACCATATAATTCTAATTGCCATGTTTCAGAAGATAGAAACAAGTCACTACCTATTCTTTACCAGATTCAATCTCCCAGATGTTTTGATATAAAAAGCGTCCTCCCTTTTGCGATGACCTTCTCTCCAAAACTTTAATAAAGGATTAACAGAGACTCATTTCTTTAATTCTTTTTTCTTCTGTTTTTATCTATTCTAATTATCTCAAAACGTCACAGTTTCGTTGTAAAAATAAACGATGTTGCGGCCAAAGGCTAAGTTCTATTCTAGAATTTAACATTTTTGATGGCACAAAAGCATGAATCCATATATTCAAAAAAAAAATTAATTACAAAATATTTCAATAAACGTTGTCGTATTTGGGTAGGTTCCACTTAAGAATAAATAAGCAAATCGTTTAAATAAATAAATAAATCATGAAATTTGTAGTATACACAAATATCCTGAAGTGTATACAAGCACTATTCTGTGAGTTACTTTGGCGAAGAAACTCGAAATAGCTATTTTGTGTCACCTCACGTACACGCGGTTTACACGCAACATCTGTATTAACAAAGGATAAAAACAACTTATAAATAATACCACAGCTTACAATGCACGCATGGTCCACACATGCTTACTGCAATATGTTCACATTATAAATCATTCTCTCAGTCTGCTCTATTAATTGACAAGTACCGAAAGGACTTTGTCAATTCCTATATAAACCATCCTCTAATTCAATAATAAAACGATATTCAATTTACCCAGTCTCACAATTACCTTTTTCTTTATCTTATAAACTGTCTATCTTGTTTGATAGAACAAAATTAAAACAGCCTTTCATGCTTCTGATATAGCGCTAGTACGGATTTAGATTTACAAAGGGACAATTATTATTATTTAACAATTGTGATAGTGAGCACCAGACGTTTAGCTTTCAACTTGGTTGTATTATTTATTGATAATATTTCTGAAGTGATCTTAGACGATAAAATATATGGATAAGACAAATAAATGCGATTCCATAATAATACAGTGAGAGAGGAAAAGAGAATACCACTATGGCGGACATACCAGCAGCTGTGAATTAAATGGCAACATAACTGCCATTTTTTTTATTTGCTCGATATCCCCAGCCAATAAGATTCGAGCAAAAGATTGATACAAATGATCATAATATCATAAAAAAACAAAAATGCTTCAAAATCATTTCTGGAACCGTCAATATGTAGCTTAGATGTTATAGAAACTATCTCAAAGTTAAAATTAGATTGCTATATGCCAAAAAATTGATGCAATATTGATCCGAATTTGATGGGTTACGGTATAAAAAATGATTTTTTGCGCTTGTGAAGCAAATGGTAACAAGTTGCCATTTTTTTACTTATTTTTTTTTAAAAAAAAAAAAGATATTGCGCCTGGAAAAACTTGGGAATGACAAGGGATTCAAAATTTACCAGTGTAAGAGAATGTGGTGTGCTAAAAGCTTGTTAAGGGAGAGCTTCAAAAGTGACAACCAAACACACAGAAGAAGGATAACAGTAAAAGGTTCTTTAGCGGTTTGTTACATAACTATCAATAACAAAGTATAAAAATGTAGAATCAACAAGATCCCGATAGTTCAGACTCTATCAATTGTGATGTTTGAGATATTAAAAAATAGATAAAACAGAATAAAAAGAAGTAATAAGAAATGAGTCTCTATTAATCCTTTATTAAAATTATGGAGAGAAAGTCGTCGCAAAAGGGAGGACGCTTTTTATATCAAACATCTGGGAGATTGAATCTGGTAAGGAATAGGCAGTGGCTTGTTTCTATCTTCTGAAACATGGCAATTAGAATTACATGGTCTTAAGTCAATCAATACTTACTTATATTGATTGGCCCGAATTATTAACTGAAAAGTTCTCACTAGCTGATACTTCAGTAACAGATTAATGAGAGTCAAAAACGACCAATAATAATATAATCGCTTTTCTTAGGGACAGCCAAATTTTCCTTAGGGACAGCCAAAGTGCACGTAGTCGCAACGTAAGATCTGTGATTTGGATGTTCTGTAGACCTGGGAACAAGGATATGCAATCAAAAACAATGTAACAATTACGAATAAATGTATATTAAACGATTTATACTTATTTTGGCAATTCTATCACTCTTTCGCCTTTGGGCTCCTTTGATCATGATCTTACGCAGAAATATTAAGGTAAAGTCCAAACCAGAAGCTGAAAGTAAGCTGTAAAACACATATACTGGTTTAAACTATGTTGGTTGTAATAAATGTGTATATATTCCAAGTTGTTAAGTTATATTGACCTCTTGATGTCTATAAAAGTATCATAATCTCAACATTACGACTACGCGCACCCTGTCTGTCCCTAAGAAAATTTGGCTGTCCCTAAGAGACCCGTAGTATAATTCCCAATTTATAATCTGTAACAAGATTGCACTGGTAATATGAGAGTACCACTCGAACATTATAATTTAGCCACATTCAAGGTGATTCTATACGATATATATATAAGTAAATCGGTCCTTTCTATTAGCGTCACCAATTCGTCACCAATCCATTACCTTTTTCTTTTTGTTGCTAGAATTAACTTGAAAAAAAAATCGCTTTGAGGACCTCTAGGCTATTTAAGTTGTTAAATAAAAGTGAGAACTTCACTTTGATTGAAGCGAAATTTGACTGAAAACAAAAGCGAACTTTGAGCTATGCAAAAGCGAATTTGGACTATTTTCAAAAACGAACTTTGGCGAATATGAGTCTGAGTAAAAAGCGAATTTGATATTTCGAAAAGCAAAATTTGGGGGTGGACGCGCTGTATTTTCTAATATTGCCTTTGAAAAAAAATAAAAACCGCCTTTTAAGTGAAATCAAACTGCCTTTTGGGGATGAATCAAAACCACCTTTTGGCTTTGGAACGACTGTAAATCACAGACTTTCTTAAATAAATGACTTTGGATTTAGAGTAACCTATTTATTCATGCCCTTGCCTTGGGACATAGAGGACGACTGCTTTTTATGCACGAGCAGCTGTTTTTAACCTGTGTTTTCCAGCTCCGGCCTTTATTCCTGAGATGCCCTCATATTGGGAGAGAAAAACGCACCCCCTCCCCCTCTCATATATATATATTTCTTTCTTTCTTTCTTTTTTTCATTTCGTCATATGAGTGACCCATTGAACCAAGTACAGAAACTAATATCGAGTGGCAATGATCCCAATTTACCTTATAGTTCCAGCGGTCTTCGACCTATTCATTTAGCAGCGATTCAAGGCCATGCGAATCTAGTGCAATTGCTCTCACAGCATGTGGATATTGATGCCGTAGACAAGGAAGGCGAGGCAAGTTGTGTTGTTGTGGTTGAGAGAAAAAAAAAGGAGTCATGTAATAAGTTTTGAGTTGATAGACGGCCTTGTTAAAAGCTGCTTATGCCGGCCATTTACCCGTCATGAAATGCTTGGTACAGTCCAAGGCGAATCCTGTGCATAAGGACAGAGATGGTTGGACAGCTCTTCATAATGCTTGCTCCAGTGGTAATCTTGACATGGTCCAGTTCTTATTGGATCTGAATGTTAATGTGAATGCTACGAGTGAGCAAGGTCATACACCTCTCAGTAAGTCTACATATACGTATATATATTTGCTTGCTTTTTTAACTCCTTTCTTTTAAAACATTGCGTCCTCGCACCCCTCCCCCCCTTTTTTTTTTAATAAAGTGAACGCAGCGGCGAAAGGACATTTGGATATTGTATTGCTATTACTGGGATCTAAATATAATGCAAATCCACTCATCAAGAATAAATTTGGAGAAACCGCGTATGATGTAGCTGCTGCATCGGGTGAAGCTTTTCTGTGTGGGTTTCTTGAGCATTTTGAATCCAAATGGATGGATGATCTAGGTCATGCCGATCATCTGGATAGGCACGTGACAGTGCCCGTTATGCTTGTGGAAGACCTTGATTTGATAACAGGAGATACCGTCTGGTCCATGAAAGAGAGGCTGGTCTTGAGTAAATCTAGAGTAGAATTACCTAACCCATGTTGGTTTTGGCTGACAGATTGGACGGTAGATTATTCTAACCCGACGATTCAATACGATGAGGGTGGATGGCATCATGTTCATCCGCAAAAGAGAAAACGATACTGGAAACGCATCATGAAAAAGTCTACTAGGGAACCATCTACAATCCAACCCATCGCATCCAACACGGATGAAGAAGAGGAAGAAGAAGATGAGGAAGAGGAAGAAGAGGAGGAGGAGGAGACGGAAGATGGTAAGGATCAACAATTGACACTGGTGAGTACAACGGCAGTGTTTATAGGATCCACACATATTCGACCTGTGCTACAAGAACAGATCTGCGCTTGGGAAGAGAATGAACAGGTGGATGATTGCAGACGATGTCATCGATGGTTTAATTTGATTGTTCGAAGACATCATTGTCGTAAATGCGGACAGATTATTTGTCACAAATGTTCTTTACAACGTGTGTATTTACCACCTCATCATATCCTCCAATCCCCCCATATACCCAACCAAGATGCCGATACCCTCTCTTTACAACCACAACGTATATGTGATCAATGCGTGTATGATGTCCATCATTTTAAAAATAATAGGAAACGCAGTAGTAGTGTCATGATGGAATGTCCGGTATGTACAAAGAAACTGTCAGAATACCCATCTACGGCAGAACAGGAACAACATGTACAGGCTTGCTTTAATAAAGGTGCTACTTCTAATATTGGCATCCGTTTTGTTGGTATGACAACCCCCCCCCTTCCCCCCTTAAAAGAATTTTTTAAGTATATGTATATATAGATATATGTATTTTTTTTTTTTTTTTGTACTGACAATCCACGGCAGTGTATAGATTGACAGAGACTTCGACACTCATAGGCCAGGAGTGCGTGATTTGCTTTGAAGAATTCGAATGCAACGATACGATTACTCGGTTGAACTGCATGTGCTCCTATCATGGCCACTGTATCAACAGTTGGTTTTCGAAGGGAAAAGAGTGTCCCATCCACTCCCAGTAAAAAAATAAAAAATTAAAAAAAACCGGGTTTTGGGGTGATATGAGGAGGAGTTTTTTTTACCGGTAAAAAGTGATCGCTGTCGCAATCTCTTATGAAGCTATTTTTATTTATTTTGGATCTCCGATTAGAACTATAAATGTTTTTTTTGTTGTTTTCTTTTTTATGTTTTTTTTTTCTTCTTTTTTTTTTTTTTTTCTATACACACATTTGAAGAAAAATTTAAAAAAAAAAGATGGCGCCTTCTCAATCTTGTTTGGAATCCTCCATGCTGTGGTTAGCCATGTACTTTTTTTTAAACTTGGGGTTGACACTGTATAATAAGGTGATTATGGCCATGTTCCAGTTCCCTTTTCCTTGGGCCTTGACGGCCATTCATACCTTGTGTGGTACCATTGGTTCCTACCTGTTCTGGAAGCTTGGGTTATTTAAACCTGCAAAGCTAGGTGAGAGAGAAAACATGGTCATGCTCATGTTTTCTGTCTTGTACACCATCAATATTGCCATCAGTAACGTCTCACTGTAAGTTTTTTTTTTTTTTTTTTTTGGATGACAGATCTTGGAGAATTAACCCTTTCTTTTTAAATAGTAATCTTGTTACTGTTCCTGTAAGTTTTTTTTTTTTTTTTTTTTTCTGTTTGTAAGAGATGTCTGACCTCCCGGGTTTTTATTTACATTAGTTCCATCAAGTGGTAAGAGCCATGACACCAGTGTTTACGGTCATGTTGAATGTAATGTTTCTGAAAAAGTCGTATTCGGGCAAGGTGTACACCTCTCTGATTCCCGTAAGTTATTGAATGAAATACAGTAGAAAGAAAGAAAGAGAGAGAGAGAGAAACTAAAAAGGGGACAACGGTTTATTTAGGTGATTGCAGGTGTGGCTTTTGCTACGTTTGGAGATTATAATTATACTGCCATGGGATTCTTCTTGACAGTGTTGGGCACAGTGTTAGCAGCTATTAAGACGGTGGTAACTAACCGAGTACAAGTGGGCAGACTTAAGCTTCATCCTCTTGATCTCTTACTTAGAATGTCTCCCTTGGCCTTTATTCAAACGATGTTGTATTCATACGCTACGGGAGAGATGGCTCTGGTACAAGAATATTATCGTACTAACTTGACCGTGAACGTCTTTTTTGCTCTCTTGTTGAATGGTATCATTGCCTTCTTTTTGAATGTCGTCAGTTTTACTGCTAACAAAAAGACGTCCGCATTGACAATGACGGTTGCTGGTAATAATATTTTAGTTAATTACTTTAAAAATATCTTTGGTGCTAATTTTTACTGGATTAGGCAATGTAAAGCAGGTTCTTTCGATTGTTTTAGCGGTCATTATTTTCGATCTCAGTATCACCGCTACCAACGGATTAGGTATCCTCTTAACTCTTGGCGGTGGTGCCTGGTACAGGTAAAAAGAAGATTTCTGGAAAGCGGCTTTATATTTATTGACTGACATATTAACACTCATTTCTATAGTAATGTGCAGTTGGCTGAAAATAGAAAAAAGAGTAAGCTTTTGGGTGGTGAATCATTATTAGGTGTGAACGATAAAGACGATAATGAATTGGCCAATATCAAGACACAAAAATAAAAATACACACAAACAAAAAAACAAAAAAAGACAATAAATGCATAAACATAAACCCCCCCCCCCCCTTCCCATTTCAGTAGATTGATTCCCCCTTTATCTCCCCAATAATAATAAAAAAAAAAAAAAATCTTTTTTTTTTTTCTTTTATTGAAACCAGTCCATCCATTTTGAATATCCGCCTTTCTTTCTCATTCTAAACACATGCAAGAAAAGGTAAGAAGAAAACCCGCTTCACTATTAAACCCCCATCCCACCCTAAAAAGAAAAACCCTTTAATGTCTTAGGAGGGATTAGAACCCACGCGTGAAGTGGTATTAGGCACCGACCATGAATTTCGTTTCGAAGTGGACTTCAGTACCAAAGTTAGCATAAAACTCGTGAAAGGCACGGCAGAAATCTTTGGCACAGAATTAGCCATGGGCGTCGTCTACACTTTTACAGGCAGAAAGGCCGCTGTCTATACCTGGCACGGGTGTACACTCGAGGTCAAGGGCGCATTCTCTGTCGAATACACCGCTAACGAAACTCCCATGACCAGTTATCTCAATACCCATTTGGCCTTGGAAGGATTACGACAAACCGCTCACGATCAACACGAAATGGGTCCTCGTGTCATGGTCATTGGACCCCATGATGTAGGTAAAACCTCGCTCAGCAAGATTTTAGTGAGTTATGCTTTAAGACAAGGCGGTAGCCCTATTTATGTCTCCTTGGATACCACAGAGGTAACAGCATGTCACATCCCCTTCTTATGTTCTTTCTTTTATTAATACGCTTTTTTTTAAAAAAAAGGGATCTATCACGATGCCAGGGACAGTAACAGCAACATGTATCAGTCATATCATTGATGTGGAAGAAGGATTTGGATCTTCCGCCACGACAGCGGCGTCCATGGGCTCGTCGACGATGCCATTAGCTTATTATTACGGGTTTGAAAGTCCAGCGGAGAATGTGAAGCTGTACAAGCTGGTGTGTTCTCAATTAGCGGAAGCGACGCGTAGTCGTATGGCGGTGGATGAGGGATGCCGAGAATCTGGATTTATTATTGATACAGCGGGATTGATTGATCATGTAGGCTATGACATTATTCAGCATGTGATTGAAGAATTTCAGGTGAATGTGTTGATTGTGTTGGGTCATGAACGATTGTATAGTGATATGAACCGTATCCTGGGCCAAAACAAGTCTGTATCTGTGGTCAAACTTTCAAAATCGGGTGGTGTGGTAGAACGCGATCGACAGTTTAAGGCGCGTTTACAACGAGCCAAGATTCATGAATATTTCTATGGTACACCTAAATGTGAATTATCGCCTTATAGTATGCTTGTGAATTACGATGATATCAAGATCTGGAGAGTGGGTGATGTGATTGCCCCCTCTAGTGCGTTACCGTTGGGCATGGATAGTTCTTCAAATGAAACTCAAGTGGTTAAAGTAGACAATTATGACATGTGTTTGCATTCTATTTTGGCTATCTTGAACGCAGATCAAAACGAGCATGAAAACAAGATTTTGGAAAATAACGTGGCGGGTTTTATTTATGTATCAGATGTTGATGATGAAAAGAGAAAAGTCACCATTCTTTCTCCTTCACCTGGTAGATTGCCCAAGAAACATCTCTTAATGGGCTCTTTTAAATGGATGGAAACATAAAAAGACCCTCATTGTACATATAGAATAAATTTCTCTTTTTTTTTTATTATTATTCTTATTCTTATTATTATTATACATTTTTTTCTTTTTAGAGAGAGATCTAAAACATTTAATAGTTTTCCCAACCCTACAACACATAAAACAATTAGTAATTTTGGTGGTAGCAGATTTCACTAAATTGTCCCTTCACTTACAACATGATCCAACTTTTCAACCTTGGTCAATACTTCGCCTTCCATCTTTTCCATATAAGCAGCCATTTGCTTTTGAATGCCGGGGATAGAAGCTCCCAAGATACGAATAGCAAGTAATGCAGCATTTGTACTATTATTCACAGCTACTGTAGCCACAGGAATACCACGCTATATATATTTACACAGGTTAAAATCATCGGATGAATGGAAATAATAAAAAAATAAAAACTTACGGGCATTTGCACAATGCTGTAAAGAGAATCCACACCGTCCAAGGAGCTACCCTTGACAGGCACACCAATGACGGGAAGAGGTGTCATGGCTGCCACCATACCTGGTAAATGAGCCGCTCCACCTGCACCAGCAATAATAGCCATTAATCCACGTTCTGCGGCGGATTTAGCGTATTCGACCATACGCAAAGGAGTGCGATGAGCCGAGACAATGGATAATTCAAAGGGAATGCCAAAGTCTTTCAGGATTAGTGCACCGACCTTCATGACAGGTAAATCAGAATCTGAGCCCATGATCATACCAACGAGTGGACGTAAGTTGAGAGAGCGTTGAATATCAGGTTCGATGGCTTGAAGAATAGGAGCTAAATTGCGTTGGACTTGCATCATGGATTCACCTACCAAAGTGATATGACCCATTTTGCGACCAGCTCTGCATTCTTTCTTACCGTATAAATGAATGGTGGCACCTTCAACGGTCAAGGCTTCTTGACAAGGTTTATAGCATGCTTGCATATCCGAGTCTGATCCCAAGATATTGACCATGATGGAAGCGGGGACCTTCATGGCGGTAGAACCCAAGGGCATATCCAAAATAGCACGCATATGGTTTTCATATTGAGAGGTGTCACAAGCTTCAATGGTATAATGACCAGAGTTATGAGGACGTGGGGCAATTTCATTCAAGAGAATCTCGCCGTTCTCCATCACAAACATTTCTACACCAAAGATACCTGCACCTGTAAATGCCTTGATGGCATTTTCAGCAATGGATTGAGCTTTTTTAGCCACAGCACCGTCGATTTGAGCGGGAGCAATGACGAGATGACAGATACTGTTCTTATGGATGGTTTCTACCACAGGGTAAGATCTGACTTCACCGTTAGCACGACGGACGACCATGACGGCTAATTCCTTGACAAAGGGAGCCCATTTCTCTGCATACAATGGGGTCTTTGATAAAGCAGCGACGGCAGCTTCTACCTTTTGGGGAGAATCTACCACGTAGTTTCCTTTTCCATCATAGGCCATGGTTTTTGATTTTAACATGAAAGGGTAACCAAATTGTTCTCCTGCTCTTTTCACGGATTCTACATCGGGTGTATCCACATAAGCTGCAACAGGAATGCCAAAGGATTCCAAGTATTGCTTTTGGTTGTATTTGTCTTGGATGGTCTTTACAGTGAATGCAGAGGGACAGACACGGATCTTGCTTGATGTTTCGAGTTCCGCCAAGACGTCGGCATCAACGTGTTCAATCTCGACAGTCAAGACATCCACTTGGGAGGCTAATTCACGTATTTTGGCAGGATCGTTAAAGGCTCCCTGAATATGTTGTTGGGTGGATTCAATTTGTTTAGCGGGAGAATCGGTAGGTGAATCAAGAATAGTGACAGATAGGTTGAGACGTGATGCGGCTTCAATCATCATACGGCCCAACTGACCACCTTAAAAAAAAAAATACTTATTGTCAGTCTCTCTTTATTTGTTATCCCAAATACTATCTTTACTTACCACCAAGGATACCAACTTTTTGATTATTCATAATTAATTTAGTTTATTTTTTTATATGTGCAGAGAAAAAAGAAAAGAGATGTAGATATTTATGAGTCTATCCCTTTATTTGAAAAAAATAAAAAAGGGCATTACTCACACTGATTAACAGTCACTTCAGCATGAAAGAAAAAAAAAATCAAGATTTTCATCCGTTCATTTATCTTTTTTTTTTTTTTTTTCCTCCGGCATACCTATTTTCTCTTCTTTTCTATCCAAGCAGTCAAAGAAGCAAGATAAAAAACGATTGATGAGAGCTGGGCGTTTCCATGGATACAGTAGGAAAAAGGAGGGTTCTGAAAATAAATAAAAAAGATCGCGACGGGTATTGAAATGAGTCAAAAAAAAAAAGGGAGCTATGTAGATTTGGCATTAACGATCTGAGGTAACACGGGTGTCATCTTTCTCTTTCTCTTTCTCTCCTGTGCTCAGCCCAAGGGGAAGCAGTTGCTCAAAAAGCGATGCAGAGTCGCTCAAAATAAAAAAAAAATTATCTCCTTAAATTAAAAAAAAAAAGGGAGAAGAGGCCCTTGCTGTAAAAAAAAAAAAAAAAAAAAAACATGAATTCAAACAAGTCAAGACGCAACCACAATCTGATATATCCCATTTAGACTAGAAAAAAAAAAAGAAAAATGGAGCACTCCACGTGTCTTATTTGATTCAGAAGAGAACACAAGAAATCAAATAGTTATTGACACAAGTGATACACAAGGGGAAAAAATGGCAAGAACCGGAGCACTTTTTTTTTTTTTTTATTAAAATGAAATACCTATCTTTTTTTTAATTTTCACACACACACACGTACATAAAAAAAAAAAGATAGGGGGGGATGATGATGCAAATAGATGAGTGATTTTATTATTATTTCATTGTTTAAGACGCTTGTGATCTTGTTCATCAGGTGAAGGAGAAACTTCTCTCTTCTTTGAGAGAAGCTTATTATCCTCGTCATCCGGTATTTCAGGCATGAGAAGTGAGCCATCACAAGGATATTTGTACACGGAAGGGCCCGAGGATAATTGATGTTCCGTCTCCTTTTCTACCGTCTGCTTTTTTTTTATAAATAAAAGTGGGGATTAAGGTTTGAACAATAAGATAAGAAAAAAGGTACATTTTTTTTTTTTTTTTACCTTGTCCAGGGCAGGGACATCCATTGAATCTAAAATCATTTGGATAAAGTCACCCATACTCTTTTCAAACGTCTCAAGAGGAAACCGTTGTGCTAATTTCTTAAAGTGTGTGTCCAAGTCCACGCCTTCCACCACAAGAAACTAGGAGATTACATAAAAGGTTAATCTTTTATATTATAACAAATACAAATCAAGTCAAACACATACATCTTTCTCTCGTTCTCGCACTTGGGTTTTAAAGAGGTACATGGTACGTGTCTTGGGGAATAAAAGGTGGTGGTCTGCAGCACGAATACCCCATTCATCCAACTCAAGTTCTTCTGCATGTTCTTCTTCTTCCTCATCCTCATCCTCAGAGACCTCATCGTCGACATGATCCTCATCTTCCACATCGCCATAGGAGAATATTTCGAAAATGGGTTCTAAGCCAGCTTGTGTGTCACACAGGTAACTTTCGATGGCAGCCTGAGTCAAGAGTTCTAAAAAGAGATCATACCATCGAGGAGGCATGCCTCCACCCATGACCTTTTGACCGGCAAACATCATGGGCTTTCCATCGTGGGCTTCCTCTGATTCCAATGCGCGTCTTAACATATCGGCACTTGTCCTGAGGAAAGTGGGGATGGCCTCAATGAGTCCTGCAGGTGGAGTAGGAGGTGAAATAGAAGCCAGGTCTAAGGTTCTGAAGGACTGTGAATCGTCGTGGTGGGTTTCATCTTCTTCTAGTTTATGAAGGTGACCCATGAGTAGAGCATTGTCAGGTTTTGTTTTTAAATAAGGTGAGCGACAACCATAGCAACTCTGGACCCGATGTCTTCTGCAATAAGGAGGTAAGATGGGTTTTGAAAAAATACGTTGACGTCTTTTGATATCGCAGGGTTCATCATGTATGTCTGTTTCGATGACAACGGCCATATGAGATTCATGTCTTCTGCGACGAGAGGAGGAATGAGCAATCACATGTTGGCCGGTGGATAAAGCATCGAATCTTCCGAATACGAGGTTGGTGAGTTGACATAAATGTAAACGTTGTTCGAAATGACAGTCTATTTTAAACGAAGGCGTCTTGTTGCAATGACTAGACAAGATACCGGCCACAATGGATTCGACAGCGTTTTTATCTTGTTCGGCTTTGGATGCGGTTTCAATCCAACGTTGTTGTCGTTCTTGAATACTATCGTCTTGTTGTAGTATGGGTAAAGATAATTCTAATAATTCGACACGCGCTTGTTTTAATCTGGATTGAATCGAAAGATAGAGTAAATAATCCAAAATGATTTTATTTGTCGATTGGGAACCGTCACTCTTCTTTTGTTGTTGGGTTGTCGCATGATTCTTATTTACATTCTGTTCATTTGGTGAAAATATAAATTTGCTAGTTTTCATATTCTCCTCTGTAATAAAAAAAAATCTTTTTTTTTTTTTTTTTACCCAAATGTATAGAAAAGAGAAGCAAAAGAAGAAGAAAAAAAAAAAACTTGATAAAGGGGTGGAAAATATAAAGTCACAATAACCCGCTTAAATAGTTCTACCCTTTCCCTTTTGACAATCTTTCCCTTGATCTACAGCTAGGGGCGCTGTTCCAAAAGATTACTTATCATTGTCGCACCCTAAACTTCCATTGTGAATTATGCTTCCCTTGTGTTCACGTCAATTCTTACGAGACGAAACCCCTCAAATGTTTAGGGTTGATGTTCATAAAAAATTAAGTTTAGCGTGCTAAGATGAATTAGGATTGGACACTGTAAGCGGTATAAAAGAATACGTTTAAAAAAAAAGAAACGGAGGTTTAGACATTTCCGATAAAAATCAGTCAAAATATTTAAGTATAGCTATTTTCTCAAAGAAAACGAATCTGAAGTTAAAAGTAAACATCTGCAAATAAAAAATAAAATAAAAATCTATTCTTGACATCAGTGAACTTCAAAGCCAAAGAAAATTGAAACCAAAGAAGTTGGGATACCAAACTAGCTGTTGAAGATCGACTGTAAGTGATCTAGCACAAAATTAGTGTCTCCTAACTTTCTTTTTTTTTTTTTCAAACACAGTTCCGTTTCGCATATTATGATGGTAAAAGATGTGTCACCATTGACAATATATATTGAGTGAGAGCATATCTAAAACGATAGAAAAATGGCAATCTGTAAGCAAAGTTCATTGGAATATTTCTTGATCACACAGATAGCTACATCATCTTTTTTTTATTTTTTGCTTACGAGGCTATTAAAGAAAAGAAAATCCCTTTGCTATGCCAACCTCCAATGGTAAAAGATATATTTTGCTTACACCTTGTAACTTTTCTAACCGCCTAATTACACCTTGTTTAATAAGGTAAACTCATTTTTTTTTCTCAATTCGTTGAAATTAGACACACAGTAGATGGTATATATAAGTATTTTCAACGTGGTCAAGTATCTTTTCCAAGCTTTGAGTCAACAGTAAGAGAGATGTACGGATTAATTAGAATCGATTCTCTCTTTCAAAGTAATAATTTAAATCGTGTAGAATATTTTTGGGAGCGCATCAAAGAAAGCTTAACAAGTGAAGAAGAGCTACCGACTTTATTTGATGAATATTCTCATTATTGGTTAAATCAACAATAGCTTCAAAGTAACAAGAAGGTATCTACAGCCAAAAAATAGAAAAGTAGCAAAGGACAAAAAGTATACCACAGATGAATTTTTTATAGAAGAACCAGCAACAGAGTATGTAGATGATAATAACGAGAGCAACGAACAAGATAGTTCAGAACCGATGTCAAAAGGTACGACAGCTACACACTTGATCAAATTCATGAATGTTCTGCTTTGTGTCTTGCATCCCCAGTACTAGGTGATAGATAATTGCGCTAAAAAAGCTGTGAAAATAAGCTGATACGTCTACCTCCATATTCGCCTGAATTAAACCCGATTGAACAGTTTTAGACAACCAACAAGAGGAAAATTGAAACGCCACAAACTGTTTATTAAGGCAGGTAATGCCATAACTTTGAAAATCTATACAACTTTATCTGTCACTCTAGACGACAAATCATTCAGTGTTATAGTAAAACGCCATTCTAAGCGTTTTGAAGTCAAAAATACATATTATTCTTAGATCAACTCGATTCAACTTATTGTGACATTTCTTTCAATTCAAACGGACAAGATTTCTTTTTCAGTTACAGAAATTTAAATTTCCCAAAGTGACAAGATTTATCGTTCGCACCCTAAATTAGGGTTATCATAACCCCCTTGAAGATAAACTTGCGTAACTTTTTTTTTTCCCACTGCATGTAATAATTTTAATTACATCTTCCTCCCTTGATAAGCACGGATAGATAAAATATATAGATATGAAAAAAAAAATGATTTATAGGATATTAAAATGTATACATTATAGAAAAGGAGGGGAAGGATGAAATCTATTTCACACGATTTTTTTATATATATATAAAGGGTATTCACAAGTGATTAGACAGCAATGACTCTTCGATCGGACAAGGACGTCTTTTTTGTTGTTGTTTGTCGAATGGATGCAAAAGGGGTACGATTCAGAAGCGTAGAAAATGATCCGTACATGATCCAGGCGGTAAATGACATTGCAGAAGCACATAATTGCACAAGCACTTTCATATTATTTTTGGGCGGTACTGTCTTCACCATTTGTGCCTCTTGCTCCTTCTTTTTCTGTGGAGGTCCAAAGAGGGATATGAATAAGACGCTCTTGAGATAGGAACCCACCTGAAGTAACACCTTCCATATCTCTTCATCTTCATCTTCGTCCTCTTCTTCGTTATCTGAATCGAGATCAAAGTATGAGGATTTATGCAAGGATTCCTTGACGGGAGTTTCTGGTAGGTATTTCACTTGGGTGATATTGGGATTAAATCGTACACTTTGTTTGCCTGATTCGGAAACACATTTCGACCAATAACGATCGTTGGTGATCCAATAGTCTCTTTGCAGCATGACGCTGGTGGGTGCACGCTTTTTTAAGACGGGTTTGAGTGAGAGTGGTTTCTTTGTACAAGGTGGAATGAGGGTGGGTGATAAAAATGATAATGATGGATGGGTATTTAAATCAGATGATGATTCAGGTGGCATATACAAAGGTCCGTAGAGCCCTATAGATTGAGTTAGTCTCACACGTCCCTCTAAAGTAATAAACTACATTACATGTAATATCAGACTCTTTTTGCCTAAGAATACATAGACTATAATTAGACACATGCACATACATATTAGAAACTGAATGCATACCAATTCACGGCTGATGGATGTATCATTGGATTGGAGCCACTGAGATTGTTTGTGCAGGATCGTGCCATTTCTCTCCAGATTGCATTTTGGTATCGAACTTGTCGAACGGTTTCCATGGAGAATTTTTTCTGTTCTTTCCGTGTCAGTGGTTTGTTCATCATAGCAAATGCCGTTTTGGATTTCTGCCGACGAAGTTCTCGATGTGCTTGGATTAAATCACTACATGACCATTCATGCGATAAATAATCAACACTAACGCAAGCTTTCATTTTTTGGGAGTAGGGGAATAAATAGTTAATAATAATAAAAAAAAGGCAGACAGAAAAACCAAAAAAAAAAAAAAAAAAAAAAAGTGTGATTTTCCCCTTTGGCCCTTTTATATCTTTTTTATATTTTTCGAAACACTTGTTTAGACCAAAACAAAATCGCGACCTTCTGACATACCCACGGCTTTTTTTTTTTTTTTGTATATAATACACACACAGACCTAGTTACACGTACATAAACTTTTTCATGTAGTTCATCGATTGATTTTTACTTTTTACCCAAATAGTTGTTTTCTGTATTATTTCTCCTTGCTTTTTTGTTATAGAAAGGTCGGAGTTTTTGTTGACAAAAAAAAACCATGGTAACGCAGACATAAAGAAAAAGGTGTCATGCGTTCTTATTTCTCTCACAGTATGAATGCGCGGAACACAATGGATTACATGTTTACCTTTCTCCGAGAACTAAAACGTATGTATCCAAAACAGTCTTTTTAAAACGCCAACGCGGAATCTTAAAGGAGGAAGGCGTATTAGATATAAAAAAAAAAAGGGCGGTTATTTTCCTAAAATGCCATTTTTAATATTGTTTTAAGCTATGCACACATAGCTGGGCTTATCCAATTTTGTGGGACGCTTTTTTTTTTGTTATATAAATATTTTAATAAGACATGTTGATGGCATATGAAGAAAAAATAATTGCACAGTTAAAAAAAAAAAGGACTGGTAGTACCATTTTTCTTTCAAAAAAAGGTGTTACACGACCTGATGACTTTATGAAGTACACATTACGAAAATCTTGAGCATATCTCATGATGTCCTAAAAAGAAAGAGAGAGAGAGAGAGGCGTGGGGAAGAACTACTTCAAGGTCATTGACAACAAAAAGTTTCATTTGAATGACCTAAAAGTGAATATTCAACCCCACATGGAGTATGCTTTTAACAAAAGAAAATTATAAGGAGATTTTTTTTTAAAAGGATGTCACGATTCAATCTCGTAATATGTGCATGGAGCGGGGAGATTTCATTAGCAACATAGAAACATGTTTCACAAAGCTCTGTTTAGGTGTAAGTTAATTAACAAATGATCATTTTTCTATCGTATCAAGACGCTCCATATATTAGACAATATGCACTGTAGTTGTGACTCAGTCTTGACCGCGAGAGGATTGCCATCTGCTGGTAGATTCTTAAAAATGCTCACATTGTCAGAAAGCACACGTTGCTCTTTTTGTCGCAAAACAGGTCTACAATATCAGACCGCATTTTGATAGACGCTTTCCATACTTACTAGTAATATAAGAGGCTCACAATGCCTACAATGGGTCACAAGAACTTTGGTCTCGATTCCGGAGGAAGAAACCTAAGAAACAGCTACTATCTTCTACATAGATATTGAAGTTTCTAATAAGACGATATATATACGTGATTTTTTTTATGATATTCATGACCAAGATCATGATAGTAATTATGTAATTTAAAGTAGTCCTTATCATGTAGCAAAGACTAGCCACAGCCAATATAGATCCGCAGAAACTGGAAAACCATTTTTTTTTTTTACATAAATTAATTTTATGATACCCTTCAAATAATGGGCTAGACTGCTGATTTATTAATAGTTCGTGAGGGCACGGTAGCTTGTGTTTAACACACTTGCAGAAAAAAGTATATCCGACATACAGCTAAAAACGGATCTTACTATACATGAAACTCGATGTGTTGTTTATGTTTTTGGAGGGAAAACGCCCCCGTCTAGTTTGCATGCCTGAGCATCAATGAAAAAGAGAGAGGGATTGAACAGTGGAAAATTGCTCTCTTCTATTTCGTATTATCAATCATTGGGAGCTATTAGGAATGATAAATCAGAAACGAAAATGAAGAAGAAGAAAAAAAGCCACATGCAATCATACATTTGTAAATGACGGTTTTATGATACAATATTTGTAAGACATTAAAATATTAAAAACAGGCGTTTAACTTCCACAATAATAAACGCCTCCTCTTGTGTACACACCTTTAAAAAAAAAACCTTAAATTTCTCCTCTTTTATTACAGCGCCACCATGTTAACTGTTGCTGATTAATAAAAATTTTAAATTTTGATGTCCTTATTGCAATTGAAAATGCTACTTCCCCCAGTGTGCATTTACTCTTTTTTTATGGTTTTGTTTACATAGAAGAATACCTTCCATGCGCAGGTAGTTAGTTTTAAGCTCGAAAAAAAAGCACTTGTCTGCAGAGAGACAGACAGAGAGAGTTTCAAGTCTTACAAAAGCACCCAGAATCTCTATTTGTCTACATGAAACAAAATAAAGCAAAAAGGAATGCGTGCAATACCAAGCTGATGAGATGAGCGCCTGAGGCTAGAACCCTCGACATTCTTATTGATTTATTGTCTGGTTAATTCAACGATTTCTATAAAGACAGTGTATACTCTTCAGTGGCGGCGTTGCTATGTCAAGAAATAAAAGAACACCTTACAGAACCATTTACTGTTTATTCAGAGTGACCTTCGTTTAATTGACATTGCATTTGGGGATAACATATTACATCGACCATCATGAGACAGCAAGTGTCTTTAAAGTTACCTACCTTTCTCTAAATTTATCTTGCTTTTATTGGTACAATAATGCTTTAACCGCTATTCTTTAACAATGTGTGTTTTAAAGGTGTGGTTTCCCTCCCCAAACAGGGTTAAAACTTTGCAGATGTATAATACGCCCCGCCGTCATTTATTTAAAAATATATACATATATAGGCAAGCATTTGTTTTGAATAGCGGATGAATCCGAAACCATACACAAGTGACGATAATTTGGAATGTCTAACCTTTCATAACATCACCCTATAATATTATATACAAATGATTGTGGGAACATTTTGATTTTTTTTTTCGCATGTTATTATTGGTAAAACTCTTATTGCTTTGACACAAAACTCTTCTTTTTCTATCTAAAACATTCCAAATGAACGCATCTAATAACGATTGACAAATACAATGTAGATCATCTTCTATGATTGCCAAGCCCAATAATAATAATAATAATAATAAAAAGACATGAGCGCTTAAACGTTTTGGAGGACATGATAGCACATGAGTGCACACAGATGATTTCTTTAATGGCACAAAAAAAAAAAAAAAGTAAGCGTGTGATACATTTACTCCCAATTGTGGAAATAGTTCCAATTAAAAATAAGGTTAACGGGCGTTAGTTTGCTTATTCATGCAATCGATCAATCAAATTGACGTTTGTGTATAGTTGTGTTGTTGTTATGGATATGAAATCAATCAAACGGAATATTTTATTTTCGTCCGTAGATGGTAGAATATAATTTATATAAGCAGATAGATTGGTTAAATAACATTTTGCTGCAGCAAAAATATATATGTACACATATACACCCATTTCTTACTTATTGATGGGGATGGGAGATTGAGGTTGTAATTGAACTTTAGAAAACTCTGTTTCATAGTTCTCCGATTTAAAAGCCCAAGCAACACAGTAATGAGCTGATAACAAGTGCCACTCTTCCAATTCATCTAAAATCTCTAGCCTTGCCATTCTGATTGTTGGGATGTGAGTCCTTAGGATCCATACGGAAAAACGGCCCTATTTCTTACCTTGCAATTTCTTTTCTGTCCAAATACTTGTCGTGAATAGTATTGATGTCGACAGCCTTTGCGTGTTGCCAGCCCAAATCCAAAAACCTTTTTTCTTGATGAATCAAATCAGGAAAGGCATGAATGCCCTTCAAATCAATATTCCGACTTTTTAAGTTACGAATCATCATTTTTCCAAAAGCGTCATCGGGATGAATTTGTTCGTATAATGCAAAAAGCGTATTTTTCATATAATCCGTAATCCATTTCAAAATGGTGTTTGTATCCTCAGGTGCCAAATAGATGAATACGCATTCCGATAAAAATAAGGTAGGCGCTCTATCGATTCTCTTATGTTAAAAAAAAACCCCCTTTCTTCTATGTCCGCTACTTACGCGAGATCTAATCCTGCTTCGACTAACTGATGAGCGATATCTGACCATTTTCTTAAATCGGCACCCAACAAACAGTAACTCGTGCTCTTCAAATCCATCCCTCCTCGTTCGATTTTCACTTGATCAAGATCGTCTAATAAACAGGATAATTCTTTACGTTTCTTGATCAACATGGCTTTTTTCATGGTAATCTCGGGAAAATCCACTTCAAAATACTTTGACAAGTGGCTTGATAACTTTTCATTCTCCTTGTCTAAATTGCCAGCCTATGTAAAGCGTGTAAGTTCTTTTTTTTTTCGTCTTTGGTGATAAGTTTGTTTTTACCTTGATATTGAAATACCTTGTATCAAATCCTGCACCCAATGCTACAATTTGTTTCTTTGGCCCTTCCATGGCTAAAAATTGTGACACGAGGGAATCAATAGCATAACTACGAATAAACGTGCCTTTTTTAATACATTAGTTACATGCCTACTTCAGAACTACTCCCACATATGATCTTACTCACCTCGATTTATAATGGGTGAACGTCTCACTGGCTTCTTCACGAATAAATGAACAAAAGGGTCTTGTAAATAACCCAAAGTCACTGCTGAACTGAATAATAATGTCATCAACACATGCAAGGTTGAATGTAAGAAAAAAACAAAAAGGTATTTTTACCATCGGCTGACAGTAGCATCATCGTTCGTTCCTCTTACAACATCATCGCTTGTTTGTCTTTCCTCCTCAAAGAAATTCATTTTGGTGGAGAGGATAAAAAAAAGAAAGGGAAAAGCTGTGTCACAGCCCTCCACATTCACTGAGGACGAGAAACAGTCATATAAAATGCGGGAGTCTGGCATGAATTTATCATCTCACGTACCTTTTTTTTTTTTTAAAAAAAACAGCCAAAACGTGACTGGTGGCATTGCGCAATTTTGTTTCTTTTAAAATGGGAAACTGTTGTCAAAAGTTTCTTTTTCACAACTTTCTTGAAACATGGAACCAGCTTTTTTCGGGTTAGACCCATTATTCCACACTCATGTCAAATTGTTTATTAAGGATGTGTTAAAATTGGAACGTGTGCCCGATGTTTCCCTTGGTATGGATTTAATGTTAAAGTACATTGGCAAGAACTCATTCAATGCTTTTTGCTTTTGTAGAGGTGTTCCAACTTTATGATCATGTCATAAGACTGGTCGAAATCTGCGGGATTGTTGTGGCCGTTGAAAATTCAGGTGGAAATATTATTTACACAGGTAAAGAACAAAGTATTGGTTGAAACTCATAATATACTAAATTGCTGACTCGGTCTGTATATCTGTAGTCGATGATGCCTCTGCCACGATAAGTTGTTGCTTGTTCAGTGACAACATGGATGTCAATTACGTGCCCTTGGAACTTGGCACTGCAGTGAGAGTACGTGGAAAAATCAGCACTTATGAAGATAGAAAGCAGATCAGAATCTATGACATTTGTAAGTGATAGGTATAGGGAAATCCACATCTGCAATTTGATAATGACCTTCCTTTTTTTTTTAGTCACACTTGAAGACCCAAATGAAGAATTAGTTCAGTATATACATACCGCCACGCTTGAAGTGGAGTACCAAAAGCCGTATCGTTTACCAAGTGCTATCGAGAAAAACAAGAATTCTCTTTTGAACCGATTAAATGACCCTCGTATTGAGGAAGATTACTTTATTAACGGATTTGCAATGGAAATACTTCAATTTATAAAGGCGAGTGGTCAAAGCACTTTAAGTATATGGGTTCCGACAAGAGAACCATCTTTGGTAGAAGCCGCCCAAAGTGTCTTGGAGGTAAGTGTATATTTGGACTATAGACTTTTTTTTTTCTTTGATAATAACAATAAAAAAAAGCAAATCGGTGAGGAAGTGACGGTCAATGGTGTAATGGAATTGTTTGGAAAAGCCATTAAAGTTTTAAATGATAATAATTTGGTATTTACATCCAAAGAAAAAGACAAGTTAATATTGGCAAATATACCAGCAATGGAAGGATTCATTGTGAAAGTTATTATTGAAACTTTAGAACTGGTGCCTTACCAAAGTGGTGGGGTCCAGGCAGAATACCTTTTGATAAGAACAATGGATCAATTTGACTATTTGACCAAAAATGATGTCAATCGATTATTGAAAAGTATGATTCTCCGGGGTATAGTATATACTCCTTGTGCTGGAGAATATAGTGTTCTACCTTATTGATTCTAATAATTCCTTCTCTCCTTGCAATTTTCATCTTCAAATGTACATACTCGACGCAATAAACATAACATATTCCTTTGGCTGACGTAATCAAGTGCATTTATCCATCGATATGACTGCCTCTGGGTGTTTGGGCGGGAAGGTATCAGGTTGTACAGAGAAGGTCAAACAGTCATATGATGCAATATGAGGTTAGTATCTTATACGAGTGTCCATTCTTTCTTATTTGTTTTACCACTTTTGACAATACATGCATTCATAAAAAAAAATATGACGCCTGTAAATACTCATGAAATATGATTCCTTTCACATCCTTGAAAGAAAAAAAGTCATTCATCATAACGGAACAGGCCTTAAGGAATCATGTGAAAAATTGTTTAATCTTGCAGATCTTTTTTTTAATCCGTTACACAAAAAGAACATTTCGCGTACAAAAGCAAAACTTTAATGCTCATTTTCTCGACATCCAATGAAGAAAGTAACCATGATATGCACACGGATGTGATGAGAATTTGACGGATTATTCAAAGGATAATACATATGTTCAAAAAGTAGTGAAAAAAAAATTAAGTTTGTAAAAGTAGCCTAGACAAAATCAACAAAATCAACAAAAGAAGAAAAAAATTGGTATAATAGAGAGACTGCTGCGAAAAAAACGCCCTTTTCCTTTTTATCCTCTTTTAAACATTAGAACAGAGAAGTTAGCATGGCTTCAGCACAAGGAAGACACTCTCGTCTCTGTTCGTTTCCGTTAAATCTATCCACTTCTTTACAGATCGGGCAGTGTTCCAAAGGCCGTAGTAATCCCTAAAAAGATTACATTGAGGAGTCTGCTGGTTGTCAAAGTCGCTAGGCAATGGCCTTGGTCGTTGTCTGTATCGCTTCATTCGGATTTCAGTACAACAATCTGACTGGGGCTTGTCGCTCTTTGTTCCAGGAACTTCTTACTAAAACTAGTGCCACACCCGTTGCTTGGTGGAGGGTGAATATAGAGCGTGTTACTAGACGGTGGATGGTCGTAGCCGTTTGAAGCCAGTCGATACGTTCTTGGTCATTGGAGTTGGTGTGGGTTGTTATTTTTGGTCGGGATCTAATGACAGTAGGAAGTTTAGTGCCCGAATGCATCTTGTAAGTGCTTTGCCTTGTTTACGTCTACGCTAGAGATATTGCATTCTATAGGCAGCCATAGATTGGCATCCTGTTGGACAGTTACCTCATCTACACGGAATGTTAACCTTAAAGCCAATACTCGTCCAGGTGCGGTTGCTACGATTCTACTGCCAGGGTAAAAAGCACCACCCCAACATGGTGTAGGGGGTATTTGGTCCTGGTGATTCTTATGTTGCGCATTGTGGGCAGGTAGCATGTAGAATTATTAGGTTCTGCATTGAAGATGGTTTATCGGAATTTACTTTTTGGGTCAGGATGTGCTTCCACCTTCTCGTGGTCTGGCCTGTTAACCAGCTATTTTGTGCTGGGAACTAGGAGAAGTACTTATTAATATAGTTTATATAATTTTCATCAAATAAATTTTTTTCTTTTTTCCTTTGGCTTGATCATAATTGACTTTTTATATGTTCATGGTAAATTTTACAAACTTGTGGTATAAGAGAATAAGAATGGGACAAATGATCCTATTTTAGATTTAGTAAAATGTTTTTACCTTAATATTTGCTAATAATAAACAGGCACCAGTAGTTTTTTTTTTTTCGTTAATGTCGTGTAATCTTGTATACAAAAAGGCCTTTTGTCTGCTTTTTATGCAATTAGAGTAGTCTATTTTAGCTTGGGCGTAAATGTACAGATATAATTTACTGCTGTAGGGATACCTCCACAATTGTTCATACGTCAATTAATCAATACACGACAGGTAATGTATTTCTATGATTTAAAGGCAATTCAAATCATGCTACAAACAGAAATTAAAAGAGCCTTCCGGGCAGCTAGATAGGACTTCATACTTAATTAGTTAAAAAAAAAAAAAGGCAGAATTTTAAAACCTATCCGCCCACATAACCTCATTCTTGAACTCCCACCCGACCTTCCCCTTGTTCATACACGTTTTTTATCAAAATTTCCAAGTTCAGTCTAAACAAACTTTCTTCATTCCTCATGGCTAGTAAGAGTAAAAGAGAATATTTTTACGCAGTGAGATCGGGTATACAACCTGGTATTTACAACACTTGGGATGAATGCAAAGCAAACATCCACGGGGTCCAATCAGCCATCTATAAAAAATTCAAAACAAAAGAAGAAGCTGCTGCATTCTGCAGTGATCCATCCAGCAATTATCGATCGGAGAGCTCTGTCACCAGCGGTCATGTCAATGTTAAATCTGAGAATAAACGATCTTGTAGTCCAGAACCTGTCAGCTTCTGTTTTGATTCTAGACCATCAATGAAACGTGAATCAAGCCCAATCAGCATGCCAAGCTACGCTGCCAGAATCACTCCTCAAGGAGAAAAGAGAAAACACGAACCAGATTATAAAGACGAAGCACCTACTTACACCAAAAAAAGGCACTCCGTAGTTTACACTGACGGTGCGTCCTCAAATAACGGAAATGAGAATGCTCGAGCAGGATATGGCGTATATTGGGGAGATAATGATCCGAGAAATGTCAGTGTACGTCTCCTCGGCAACCAAACGAACCAAAGAGCCGAGGCGAGTGCTGTGATTCATGCATTGGAACAAAGTTTGAACGGCAGCGAACCTTTAGAAATCATCACGGATTCACAGTATGTTATCAGTGCTGCAACTGTGTGGTCAAAGAAATGGGTTAAATCCGAATGGAAATCAGCAACAGGAAATGAAATTAAAAATCGAGACTTATTTGAGAAAATGTTGAGCTTGATTGAGAAGAGGAAAGGTGAAGTAAGGTTTACGCATGTACGCGGTCATCAAGGAATTGAAGGAAATGAGAAGGCGGATAAACTGGCTGTTGCCGGTGCTAAAAAAGAGCGTATAATGCCCTCATTAAATAAAAATAATAATCCCCTTTAGTTTACCCAAGTAATCACACTTTCACAGGATATTTAAAGTAGAGATGAGTAGTGGTCTATGAAGCCATTGTTACTATTTTTTATCACGCTTAATTCATGTCTCGTGATGGGGTTTAATTGATGGAAATGTGCATAAAATTCTATGTCAAACTAGAGCGTATTATACAGGATTTATTGAGTGCAATTCAGGATAATATAGATAAACCGTTTTCAATAAAAAGGCCTATATTAAGTTTTAGTTTAGAATAGTCCAATAAGATTAAATTTGCTGCATCTCCTATACTCGATTGCAATGATCAAGCCTGCAAATAAATAAAAAAACCTAATTCGGAGTTACGAATGTGACCATGAAAACATTACGCGTCTCTGGGTAAGACTTACGCATTCATTTTTGTTTAGTTCGACAGAGCTTCTTTTTTATAACAGTTACCAAATAAAATCATAATGGCCAACAAAACAACTTTAGGAAAAGGTGGTTTCAGTTTCGAGAATTACACTAGGTAAGAAAATAATAATATAAGCGCGAAGTTCGTCAACCTATATCAAAAGTTACTCATGTTTTTAATCTGTAGAAATAAAGCACTTGAATCAAGTGGCGCCAAACCTCCCAAGGCAACCAGTACCGGTACCACTATTGTCGGTGTTGTGTTCAAAGTAAAGAAAGAGTGTACATAAATTCATCGAAGCAAGAAGGTCTCATCGCATTCTTTTCTTTTTATAGGATGGTATTTGTTTAGGTGCTGATACCAGAGCCACAGAAGGTCCCATTGTTGCAGACAAGAACTGTGAAAAGATTCATTACATTGCTCCCAACATGTAAGTGATGCGTAATTTTTTGGTCAAGACTTGAGAGTCTAATACTATTCTTTTTTTTTTTTATAGTTATTGTTGTGGTGCTGGTACTGCTGCAGATACCGAATTTACTACCAACCTCATTAGTTCTCAAATCGAATTACATAGTTTATCAACAGGAAGAAAGCCTCGTGTAGTTACAGCCATGACATTGTTGAAGCAAATGCTTTACAAGTAAGAGAACGAAAAAGAAAAAGATTATTGGAATCAACCTCATTGCAACTTGGGACTAAAAAACTATATTAGATATCAAGGTCATATTGGCGCTGCCCTTGTTTTGGGTGGATTTGACGCAACAGGACCTCAATTATATACCGTCTACCCTCACGGTAGTACCGATAAATTACCTTATGTCACTATGGGCTCAGGTTCTTTAGCAGCCATGAGTGTTTTTGAAAGCAAGTGGAAGCCCAACATGAGTGTAAGTATTGTGTTAGAAGACCCCGTGTGTGTGTATGTGTGTGTGTTACTTACTTTAGACTATAGCGCCAAGAAGCTATTGATCTTGTTGAGCAAGCTATTGAAGCAGGTATTTTCAACGATCTCGGTTCTGGTTCCAATGTCGATATTTGTGTTATTACAAAGGATGATGCCGACTATCTTCGCAACTATGGAACTCCCAACGAGCGTGGCGTTAAGGAACAAAGTTACCGTTTCCCTAGAAATACGACTGCTGTTTTAAAGGAATCTATTCACAAATTTGTGAATGTAGCTGAAGGTGATTCTATGGATATTTCATTATAAAATGGTTATTTTTTTTTTGGGAATAAAATAGTAAAGTAACAATAAAAAGACGCGTATCGGATACGAAGTGAACTTTTTATTGGACTGGATGGGGAGAAGCTGATATTGGTAAAGATTGGAATGTAATTGGCTCTGACCGAAAACAAATATTATTGCCTTGCTCTTATCAAACAAGTTGAATAGTTGATTGTCGGATGTATGTTGTTCTTTAAAATAAACTCCGGCAGTTCATGCTTATGCAGATCGTGATTTTTACCTTGAGTTACATTTTGCCAAGGTGTAGGATTGTCGACGAATTTTACACTAAGTCAGACGCAGCTATGCTTATTAATAGCCATAATTACTGGATTATGATTCATTCTACGTTTTTAGAAGCCAAAATCCAAATAATATAAATACCTGTTGGATTATGAATTCTGTTACCCTTGCTTGTAAAAGTAAAAGATCCAGACATCAAAAATATGCTCGTTCATTTATGAGATTATATCTAATTGTATTAGGGTGAGGGCTAAAATTCACCTAAACATATGAAAGACACTATAATACTTCTTCGATATTAGATTAATAAAAAACAAGGGTCAATGTAGAATTAGATGGTCCCAACAGGGTTGATTTCCCATCACCGTTATCGCATCAATATTTGTAAGTAATTGACATGCATCATTCACTGTCACTTATGCATATTTAGGCTTTGACGAGGAACAAACTTATTTTAATTATTTTCTTAGCAGTGTCAGACAAAATGATAAATGTTACAAAGATCACTTAGCACAACATTAAACATTTTACCGTGTTGATGTTAATGTTATTTTTTATCACTAGAAACGATTATACAATTATGAGGAAATCATCTATATCGTACAATGTCAGGACTAAATAATTTATAAACGTCAATGGCGTAGATACAGGAAGCTTCTCGAACGAATCAAATTGCCATATTTATCATGCAGACAACATATTTATGGGGCTCCATGATATTTACTTGAACAGGAAAAAAGCCTATTATCAGAATGGAGACGATGCACACGATGAAATGCTTCTTTCAGGAGTAGTGATGTTTTTACAAGACACATTAAATAGATGTCCTTTAGACAAAAGTGTTACTCAAAGAACGTTTATGGATTATCATTTCTCGATTACGCTTCCTACACACTGAGAGTTTGGAATACGAGAAGATTTAATACGTTCTATTTTTATTACAGCTGGCTTGATACAAGAAGATGATAACTACGATTGATTACTATTACTTCTAAACTTGAATCCGATTTTCGATACCTAAAATCCGTAGAGGATTGTGAACTCAAAATTGGCATCAAATACTTACTGTATGGTGGGTTAAATTGCATCAGTGATAAACTGATATTCACTTTGGAATATTTTACGATATACCATCCCCTTTTTACAGCAGTCGGTGGTCATTATGTTGTAAAAGAGCTAAAATCAGTTTACTTCACCGTACCTGTAGATCCCGAGATCAAATACGGTAATAAACAAATTACAGTCGTTTTAACGCCAAAGGGCGTTTTTTTTTTTTAAAAAAAAAAGTGCGGTAATAAATTTTCACAAAGGGCGGTTTTGATTTATCACAAAAGGCAATTTGATTTCACCCAAAAGGCGGTTTTTTTTTATTCCAAAAAGGTCAATATTAGAAAATACTTTATTTATGCATTTAAGGAAACGATTTATGGAATGCTGAATGAAATTCTGCAAATGTTCAACTGGAACTTTCAATAGCCCTTAAAGTGAGGCTTCCACATCAGCCAACTTCTTCTGACGCTATCCTTCAAAACTTTTCAAAACTGCCCGATAGAGTTGAGCTCAAGGGAATAAGGTAGATAACCTCGTTCAATAGTTACAGGCTCGATAATATTTCGCTCTCTTTTGGAAGCTGCTTCGTCAATATCAGTGTCTTTGGGCTCTTGTTCTTCACCTATTTTAAGTAAAGGCTCAAACATTATGGATGGTAAAATGGACGAATGAAATCATCCTGACATAAGCTTGTTTATCAGCCTATAAATAAAGCTGGTTCACACACTTTATTCTTCCCTTTTTCTTTTCCCTTAACATACTTCTTATATCGTTTGAAAGTAACAGATAACGTAAAAAGGTTAGTTAGTAATGACTCTTGTTTCTTTCAAAAGACGCTAAAATGAAAAAAGATATTATTGCGGTATTGCAGCTGAGGCTAATCTTTGCTATAGGAGGACGACCTCCTAGGCAGATTTCTTGAGTTTTGGAACTCACAGCCTGTGAATAACAGGGATTGCATTGTAAATGGTTGCAATCATACTGGCTGGTTGGTCTTAGCTTAAATTGCTGTAAGTGGTATAAAAAAATACGTTTGAAAAAAATACGGAGGTCTAGGCATTTCCGAAATAAAGAGGTTCCGGTTCTTAAAAATTTCAGATCACCAATATTATTGTACAGGTCCACTTTTCTTTTCTCGTCATGTATTTATTTTGACAGCCAAAGCTCTTAATACCGTATACTACCAGCATGACAGACAAAAGCGTCAGCTTGTTGTGTGAAGCAAGTAAGTATACAAGCAAATAATTGCGTATAGCTCTAACATTTCGTCTAAAGGTGAAAGAGAGTTGAACACAATCTATTTTAAAAACACGCATGTAAAGTCGTGAAAAGTATTGGATCTGTTCAAAGCAGTGCTGGACACATACAAGCCAAATTCAAACGATTGTGTGGATATCTTTATTCAAACATTTAAGAAATTCGGGTCGCTGTACTCTTTGACAGACAAGAAGCTCCAGTGTACAATGAATTGTATGTTTGAGAGGTGCCAAAGCGTCATCCGGTCTGATGTAGCGCGAGCGCTCGTATTGAAAGAACGCGTGGAGGTAAGTGATTTATTGAATACACGATTCTATTCTCTAATATGCTTCAATTTGCCCACTCTCAACACAGCAAAGCAGAACTTTTTACTGCGACCATATCACTGAAGCTGTATTGAAGAACGAGACAAATGCAGTTACGAACTCTTCGTCTTTATCAAACACAGCAACAAGCGCAGCAGCGAAGAGAACAATTTCTTTGGATTCTGCACAACAATCAAACAAGAAGCCAAGACGTCTGAATGCCAGTTATCTGAAAGCACTAAGCTGTGATAAACAACTGCAATGTTTGGCCGAGCATTAGTAAGTAAAATGGCTAGAATTCTCGTTAGCAGCTTCTGTTATCTTTTAACACCTCCCTCCATGTTCACTAGTGGCAAGAACAGCCTTCTGGACCTGACCTCGCCTGGTGCTATCCCTGTTCGCTTTGCCAAAGCTAAAAGACACACCTTTCATCTGATCTTTAATTGCCATTATCCTTGACATACACGACGGATGAAAGGGCCATTCTTACCAAAACTATCAGAGCAAAGTCATTGAATGATATACAAGGTATAGTGATGGATATTCGGCTGGTTCCTCGCGTGGGGCTGCAGTCCTACATCTACATCGCTCTATCAAAGCTGTAAGTTGAATTGGCTCTATTATGAATGATTAAAAGTGTACTCACCGTTGCTTGTATTCCAGCCTTTTATTGTACCAATGCGATCTTTTGAAAGAAGAAACAAACAAAGAAGGATGGTATCAAGGACATCTTTATGCAGACGTTTTCGATGCAGTCTTTTTATTCGATCCATGCTATGTTACGAAGAGGTAAAATGAATCAGGGCACAATTATACCAAGATGTTTTCTAATATATTTTTTAGAACCGAGTGCCATGCCACAACTATCAAATATCTGAGAAAGATCAAGCAGATTCCTGACGACGAAAAGGACGTCAAAGTTGATTTGATCTTGTTCAACAGTCAGTTGGGTGATATTTTCTCGTGCGAAGACAAGCCGTCTGTGGCCAAGGAGGCGGACGTGCAAGCAGACATCAAGAAGGGTAAAGACCTGCGAGAGAAGCGCCTGATTTATATCAAGTCTGTCCTGCCACATGAATCACTTATTAGCTCCATTGAAGTTACCAGCGCCCAATTCTACGGATTATCTTTGACAATCTACGGATCCAGAATGACAAATCAAGGCGCCATCATTCATTATCAGAAGGCCGTTGCCAATCTCCCTACAGCCCTAAGCCCACCAGAGATAGCTCACTTTCTGCTTACTGTCATGTCTCTTTATAGGTGAGGTAAATAAATTTACTCTGTTCATTCACAATTGGCATTAATAGCGCGCCATTGGATTGGATCTGAAAAAACTTACAGCAATGCACCAAGTTAATTTTAATTCCACATCGCCAAGCATATCCACCATACTTGCATCATGAACCATGATTTTTTCTACTGTCGCAATATAAAGAATTGAATATGGCTAATGTTGACGTTATTAACGTATCAAATCGTTCTGGTTCTCCGAGTATCTTAGACAATTCTTTGAAACTTAATGAACTCGATCAACTTATTAATACTCAGATCCGGAATGAAACCCGTGAATGTATGCTTCGCTCTGCCACTCGCTGGCACGAGCTAGGTGAACGCAACAACAATTATTTCTACCGGATTATCAAGGAGCGTCAGTCTAAGCAGACTATACAATCTTTAAAGTGTTCCGCTGCTGGTTCGGTCTTGGTGAAATCAGACGATATTATCCGGAAAGCAAGAGGTTTTTACCAGACGCTATATGTATACACCCGATATAATTGATGATGCACCAATTGTTTCCCTTGGCTAGTATTCCCGATGATGTGGTGTTGTCTTTGGATGATTCTGATTCTGTGGCTGAACCTATTTTAAAGGTAACTTTTTAAGATCTGGTCTGCATACTCCCTTTGGTGAAAGCCCTGGCCTAGATGATCTTCCTTTCGAGGTGTACAAGTACCTTTTTGAAATTTCGCCTGACGAAGACTCAATCAACAACAAAACCAGATAACTTAAAGAGGCTTATTAAAATATGGAAGAAGATTCTCAAAGATTAATATTACCACTGAAGTGGAAACCGGGCGCTGATCTGATGACTAAAAGGCTGCTAAGTAATCCCGAAATAATGCGTATGATTATTCAATCACTTCTTGGTAATACATCGATATTTGTATTGCGCGTTTGAAAATACTAATATATAAGTTGTATGTAGGTTCAGATGTTTGTTCGGATAGCTATTCAGTAGCCCCAACAGAATGGGCTGATGGTAGTCGGTCCGACATGGTTTACGCGTCCAAAATCTTCCCACCTATATTAATTGAAGTTCAATACCATGTTGATCAAGAATTTATGTTCAGGCTTTTAAAATACTGTTCAAATGTTTATTTCCGTTACAAAGAACAACCCGTCGTACTTGTCATAGTGACTAAATCCATTTCTAGCTCTGAATTTAAAAATGAATTCGACCTCCATGCCGATGGACTTCTACTTGAGGCAGTTTCCAAATTCTGGGCTAAGCGATGCTATCTGTTGACTTCGGATGCCGTGTATAATCATTTCGACAAAGCAAACTTGAATCCTATGGCAGCACTGGCTTACTTCTTTACACACCATACTATGACTCAAGTACCGCGACAACATTGGGGAGACCCAATGCTAGCATCAATATTCCGTATTGTGAATAGTTTATTGGATAAGGAAGATAATGCCATGACACTCCGATCAGACACTCAATACTACTTAAGACAAGTAAAAAGAAATCTAGAAGAGATTATCGAAGACTGCAACAATCAAGGATCTAGCAGTACATCAAAAGCACTAATTCACGCTGAAGAAGGGCTTCTCTCTATTAAAAAGATGGAAAATGATTTAAAGGGCAATAATGAAAGTGGAGAAGAAAGCAAAGGCCCAAATATGTATACCATTGAAGATGTTGAACTTATTGAAAACCTTTGTAAACCTGGAAAACGAAAAAATTGGAGAGAAATCTTTGATAAAGGCAAAGCAAAAGGCCAATTTCAGTCATATAAATCATCTGATAATCTAAAAAGCTCGTATTATCACCTTAAAAAAAGAATCAAGAAATCAAGCGAGAAATCCAAAAAGTGATATATATAAAAATAAAGTTTTATTGTTGAGTCCGTTTGTGTGCTTCACAAATTAAAGATATAGTTTGGGTGTTTGAAGGGTGCGATAAGGTGAATGATTTGTTGGGATTTGATATAAAGTGACACAACGTAAAAAGTGCAGATGGAAATGTATTACATACAACAATTGATGGCATTCGTGATAAATACGACCAGTAATAGTATCGCATTCTTGATAAATACGGTTAAAAAGTGTAGAAATTGACGGCATTCGCGAAGATTACAGTCAAAAATTAACCGCCATCGCCGCGACGGCGGTCGAAAATTCATCGCATTTTTGCTTTTTAATATTTGATCAAAAATTGACCGCGATAGAAATTTTGCGGTGGACCATCATTAAAATTCGGCTTAAAATCAATGTGGTCATCCGTCACAGGTTGGGAGAGTAGTTTACGCTGGATCAAACTGAGGTCTCTGTAAAACTGCTCAGGACCAGTGGGAGGCAGGTCCAAATAACACTGGATGTAAATGCCAGTAGAAGGAAACAATTTAATGCAACAACGCTTACACCAAACATCCTTGATTTTTTCTTGCAATGAACGACAATAAAACTCTGGTCTAATGCCATTGAAAAAGCTAATGAATGTTCTAAAGACTTGCTTTACTCCATCAAACACAATGGAAAAACGGTTTTTGAGTGTGATTCCTTCTTCAGAAGGCACACCCAAATTGTTTGAGCAAATTTGAATTCATGATGGCTTTGCTTATTTTTAAAGTGAGCTGTCTTTTGCAGTGGACAACGTCATTCAGCCTGTTTGCAAATGCTCGCTTGCTTGAGGATTTTGTTGGTGATACATCCTATCTTAATTTACTCGTTAGGTCTTATGACACTCCTAAATGTTCCTAGATCTCTCAATAACATTATGCTTGCTGTAATAGTGTTCGGTAGAGTCGTAATGAAGATTTTCCAGGCCTGTCATTGTAGGCTAAACATAGATACACTCCAATGGTATTTTAGATAGTTTAAATATGAACGTAAATGTTTTTAATTTGTGCACGATTATTATTTTATATAAACTAATAATTTCTGATTGTACCCCTCAAGATTAATTTTTTTAATTTAATTACATGACAACGCAGCATGAATTCGTCTTTTTGGCTGTCTTGTAAAACATTTTTGATTGGTTTGATAATGCCTCTGATCGATCCACCAAAGAATCAAGCTATTTTTTTTTAAAAAAAAAAAGTGAGTCGGATTGGGTCTCTTTTTCTATTATGTTCTTTCTCTAACCTTTTCACCACGCTGAAGTACAGAATCAATGGTTTTATGCTAAATATATACACACATGTAAACAATAAATACAATAAATCCTCTCCCCTCTTTGAATAATAAAAAAAAATTTACCAAAATAGCTGTGGTTTCGTCCAATTCTTTTTGAACCTTCATGATGGTATCGGCTTGTTGAGGATCTTGATATTTGACAAGATAATCTCCCAATTCAGGGTAGTCCAAAGTATCTGCCTTTTTCCATGTGTCTGTAGGGAACTTGACAAGAAATTCATCCATGATCTTGTTTAATAAAGAAAATGCTACTCGAGAAGGGTAGTCTTTATCACTAATAATCATGCCACTGATACCTTGAGGATGCGTATACACATGAGCCACATTATCTGAACACGAAGGTATAAGTTCTATTAGCCCACCTTTCTTATCATGTATATATTATAGTTGGTGTTTAAATTACTTTCACTCTCTACGCTTTGTCGTTGACCAGCAGGTGTGCGTTCTGCAATCGTAGCTGCCGAGAAATTCATAAACTCTTGAACACTGTCCCCCCATTCAATAAAACAGATGAGCAAAACAAAACAAAAACCATTCCTGTATTCTTTTTATTGTTTATTTTCTAGTTGTACCTGCCACGCTGGAAATAACCAAAACTGGATAAATCGAATTGAGAAGTAAGGATTTTAGCCTTGTCAGCATCTTTACGCAAAACCAAGATGGAATACAATTTCATTATATATAAAAAAAGAGAAAGAAAGAGAGAGTAAAATGTGAAAAAAAAGAAAAAAGTCCGCCTTTTTATTTTAGCTTTTACAAATACGTCACGATTGAACTACTTGAGAAACAGGAGGGAATGGATTATCTTTACCCAAGACAAGAAACATTTTTTCATGGGATAAATAACCCTTCATATATCCCTTGAAGATCATGTTGGCCAACATCCATTCAGCTTCTTCCAAATCAACATGCAAACCTTCGAAATCCAGTGCCTTTTGAAATGTTTGAATAGGAATTCTGGTATTCATTCCCAATACAAGATAGACTTTGCGAAATAGTTGTCTTATCGCAATACTCTCGGCCTTTTCAATAGCAAAATACGTTCCCTGTCGAATCAGTAAAGGTTCTGAACTGGTTAAGGCTACATTGAATGCCTTGACATCCCCTATGCGGATGGCTGTAGCCAAATCACTGTATACTTGGCGTGTCTTTGTGAATTTATCAAATAATGCATGTGTGGGTAAAATACCTCGCATTAATTTAACGGGCAGCAGTGTCTGCAGGATCAATCTAATAACACATCATTGTTTAATCCTCCATAGACAAACATCTCTTTCCTATACTATACTCACTCCTTGTTCTTTCGGTGCTTGTTGGTACATTCCTTAAAGGCCAAATCCAACTCGAGTTCAGCCTTTACATAATCCTCTTCCAAAAAATAAAGACGACCGAGATAATAACGGAAAGTGACACGATCACTCTTGGGGAAATAATCGAGACTGGGCATATCTGCTGCTTTAACGGCACGTAAAATATTCTTGCACAAATTTTGTTGTCTTAATTTGAAATAAATGCGGAAAAGAATGCCAATCATACAGTAGGTACCATACTTCTTGGAGGAAGCAAGTACACCTCGATCCGTAATGCAGTACGTGAAGGATTTACTAATGACGTTGGCTGCTTCCTCGAGTTTTTTACGTTGACCCTCTTCTGCGACTAATTCATCATCGGCTTTCGATGCCACGATGCGTAATTCATTGTTGATAATGTATAAGGTAGGTAAACACCAGCGTGTCATGCTACCCATGCCTCTCTGGAAAGATCTGCAATAATAATAAGATTAGCATTTCGGTTCGTGTAGCTTTTGATACACTACTTTACTGCACAACTTCTTTTTGGGATTCAAAAGCAGCTTTATAATCGCCTTCATCGATGTGAAGAATTGTTTTCACATGTTGGGCCACTACTTCGTTCCAAGGCGCATCGAACTTGTTTCTACAAATCAAGTCAATTTGGGTAGGCTATATTATTCTTTTATGTTAGCATTTGTCAAAGGGGAGAAAAACCATCATTTGTATTTATATATACTTGAATGTTGTGGTGAATGATACTCTTGACATGGGCACTATGTAAAGAAAGCAAGGGAGCTAAAGCTTTTCCATTTTCATTGTTGATATGACTTTCAACTTTATTAAAATACGCTTGAACGCCAAGCATAGTGTGTATATAAAAAATGACTGGAAGAAAAAGAAATTTTTATTTTTCAACGCCCCTAACTTTTTATTACGCGCGTTTGAGTTTGTTTCAATACATTTGATGCTTTATGTCCATAACATGTGTTTCTTTTCTTATGAAGTGGGAGACAGTTTCCCAGTGACTGAACAATTGAGTGTACGTGATAGCAATGTAGCTACGTATTCAATATTGAAATATAGTAGAAAGGATGTAGTCTCTTTATTTCAGGGTTGTTTGGATACGTATTTCATTGTTGAGAGGCTGTTGATAGGCTGTTGATAGGTGTATACTACTGCTAAATAAAAAAAATGTTGCATTGTAAGATCACGAGCGATAAAGGAAATATTCTTTAATTAAAGAATGTGTTACCTCTGGCTGATAGTTCATTGCCGTCACTCACAGTCTTGGCATTCAACTTGCTTTGATAAAAAAACCAAGTCTTTATCAATTCTTATTTTATGACGTTCTTTTCTATAAGCCATCATGTGTGCTGATACCAAAAGAGACTCACCAGGTACAAAGAGCTAATCTTATACTTTTCAATCGCCGTTTTGTTTGCTTGCACGGACGTCATGACTAAAGTTTTTTTTTGGTAGATTAAAAAACGCTTAGCCCTTTTTTATTTTATTTTCCCTTTTTCCTTACTTTTATTTCTTTTTATAAAAAATGGACCAACCAGGTGGAATAAAGGTGGTTGATGCCGAACCTCAAGCTGCCAACAATAACCAAACTGCATCTTTGAATGCTAATGCACTTTTAAACAATACTTTGGATGGGTTTGCCAACTTGAGTTCTCGTTTCAACCCTTTTGCACAAAAGTTAAATAAGGGTCTTGGTCAAGTGAGACAGGTAACAGAAAGAAAGAAAAAGCGTGTATTGTGTAGCGTATTAACTTTTTTGGCTTAGTATGCTCAAGAGAAATTAGGTACAGCAGAAAATGTCACCGAGTTACCTCAAGAATACAAGGATTTAGAAAAGGTAAGTTGTTATATATCGCAAGGGAAAACGATTTATTTAAAGAGTGATGTGACATGTAGCGCCTTGATGCACTTCGCAATGTTCAAACCAACTTGCTCAAGGTATCTCGTACGTACGGAACACCTGGTTACGATTATCCAGTTCAACTTCAAGATACCTTGTATGGTATGACCAATACCGTGACTCGAGAGATCCAACATTTAGCTTTAAATAACACTACCCCTGCTTCTGACCGTGCTGTCGCTCCTGCTGCTGTTGTCGAAGAACCAAAGACATTACTTCATGGTCTTGCCCGTGTCGCCTCTCAAGGCGCTGAATCAGTTGGTGTAGATGAACCTTTAGGCACCGCACTTTTCAAGTACGCCACCATGACCGAAAAAGTAGCAGATGCTCGTGTTAGAATGGATCACCAGATTGTAGAGCATTTCAATAAACCTGTTCAAACAACTTTGAATTCCTCCATCGAACAAGCTTTGAAAGCCAGACGTAACGTACAATCCATTCGTTTATCCTTGGATGCCTGTAAGGCCAGATATCGTTCTGCTCGTCCTGAACGTTCTGAAATTGCTCGTTTGGAAGTCGAACAAGCAGAGGATCAATTCGTTGCTGCTGTGGAAGAAGCTACTAACTTGATGAAGGCTGCTATCGAAAACGTAAGTACACACACACACATCTTTTCATCTTACTTACATCGAATATATGATGAACTCATTCCACCTTTCTTCCTTTAAAAAAATTGTAGCCTGAACCTTTCCGTAATTTGGCCGATTTAGTGGCTGCTCAACTTCAATATTTCAAAGAAGCACAAGAAATCTTATCTGATCTTGCTCCCGAGTTGGATGAAATTCAAGTCACTCAAGAATCCTTGTACAGAAATAGTCGCGTCTAAAACTCACATATCAAAATCACATATATTAATAATAAAAACACAAGATAAACAAACTCTTTTTCACGTTAACCATTCTCAAGGCATCGTAAATCATTCAGAGTAGGTTTCTAAAATAGTTTGGGCATGTAAAGATAACATAGTATGATTTGTTTTCTTTTTTCTCTCTTTAAACAAGCAATAGTCAGAACACACGCACATATTTGCGCTTACTATTAAAACGATCAAGCGTCCTTTTTCTTTTGGTTAGCAATCGTTTAAAATGTATCTTTAATTGCTCACTATTTTAGCCGACTCAAGTAATATGAACCTGTAAATTGGTGTTCTGAATGAAGACCAAAATGTTTGCGCAAGTACCGACTAGTTATTGAAGGATCGAGTGTGGCCAACTACAAGCAAGTTTCAGTTTCAAGATACTATTGTAGTCTATGGTCTCTTTCCCTAATCGATCATTCACACACTCTCTCTCTCTCTCTTTCTCTCTCTCTCTCTCTCTCTTTTTCTCTCTCTCTCTCTTTCTCTCTCTCTCTCTCTCTTTTTCTCTCTCTCTCTCTTTCTCTCTCTCTCTCTCTCTCTCTCTCTCTTTCTCTCTCTCTCTCTCTCTCTCTCTTTCTCTCTCTCTCTCTCTCTCTCTCTCTCTAAAATCTCAAGTCTAGTTCAAACTATCTCATTAACTTTTATAGAACTCACACTCCCAATCAGGTATAGAAATTACACTCCCATTAATTTTTTATTTGCTTTAGTTTTTTTCTTCACCCTATTCTTGAGATAGATGAGTTTAGGCATAACTCTTTTCTGCTATTTCAAGCGGTAATCGATTTGCATAACGTACTTTTGGTACTCCGGTTATTTTTTAGGTGTGTGTCTAGCTTTGATACATATTATAGCTCTACAGTCTTTAAGAACTTTAAAATTTCTGACAGCTTCTTGCAGTACATAATAATAATATGCTTTTTAGACTGACAAGCAGGTTGCAACCAAGTGAGTGAAGTCAGTATGTTTGTTTATAGCCAAGAAAAGTTTTTTTAGCCTTTTTTTTTTTCTTTTTTCTTCGTGCCAAGGGTCCTATTAGGGTGATTCCTGATCAGCGTACACGAAAGCACACGACACATCTTGGACTCCAGGTAGATTGCTTTATTCGAGTAATTTGTTATCAAGTGCCATTTGGGGGTGGTCCCCCGAAGATGCCAGGTTTCTAGGCTTTTTGCTGGAGTACTGAATTTTGACGGTCTGTCCTGGGTAACATCACCTTTCCCACATGGTATATGTGGCAGCCCTTTGTGGTTCTTTAACAAGCTACTAAAGCGTTTTCAACAACACTTTTACCTTGAGGAGCATATTTCACGAAGCCCTAGCTTAAGAGCGGGAGTTGTTAGGTGATTCAAAGCAACATTCTACTTGCCGGTCGTGCTTCAAGAGTTGAAAGAAATGGGTCCCTCGTCTGATTAGTTGGTAATCGGCTTGTATATGGCGTAATTTCAGTAGTGAATGCACGTTGCAACGCTGAGAACATGGTGTTTCGACCTCGTGGTAGTGATTTACTAGAGCCCCGTTTTATAGCCATCAAAAACAAAAAAAAATTGAGGGTGAGTGCATACGGAGACTGACTTCCTCGCAGTTGCACTTGGGTGGTTTTCTTTAATGAAAACTGGCTAGCGAGTCTCCACTTTTTTATAATAATAAAAACCACATTGTTTTTCTTTAATCTTTTATGTCTTTTTTTAACCTTTTATGCTTACCTCACTGTAAATGTCTCGTATTTTGGGTGGATTTCTACCTGTATATTGATCATACCCACCCATGATGCTGCGTATCTCTTATTGTAAATACGATTTTTGACGCCCTGTATTAGCTGGAGCCTGCTGATAATCACACAATTTAAGCTGGGCAAGTTGAAAGGTAATGATCCTCAATAGTTTCCCATATAAGTGCTTCAAGTGGCCGACGTACCAGTAGATTGCTTGGTGTTACACAGGATAGAATCATGCATATAAATAATAGAAATTATCATATAATCGTTACCAGAGCTACAAAAAACTCTCAAGGATATCGTCATTCAACCTAGTCGCGAAAATGGGGTTGACGTCATTTATGCAAGTAACAAGTGTTTCAACATTGTTAACTAAAAAAAAAAAACATCCAATTCAAATATCAAGGCACAATCACCACACTACCTCGTTGCAACTTCATACAACTGCTAGGCCCGACTATCCACTCAATTATACAAACCAATAATATTTGCGTTCAAAATGGATGTCATTGTATTGATGCGGAGGTCGCCATCAGCACCTACTTCTTGGTTGCATCTGAAGCAAATAAACTAAGCAGATCTGCCTTGATAATTATAGTATTCTTCAGTTCAGCAATTTTACTAATGCACTTCGATTTCAATTAAATTATCCCGACAGCCTTGGGCGATAACACGATCAAGCTGATCTGTCCAGTTGCTATCATAACAGAAGAGACATCACGCCAACGATTATCAAATTAAAAATGAGGTTTGTTATGTCAGTAGCATAAAAAGCCGTGATAATTCGCGTTTCTATGGAAGAGAATATAAGCCTTTGTTTATATCTTTGTTCACACCTCTTTACACAATCCAATTGTGAAGTACAAACCAAGTAAATCAGCTTCCTTTCAGATTCTTTGTAAAACTCTTAATGTAAAAGACAACCAAGACTGGATACTAGTATCAATTAAAAGTAATTGTCAGTGAATATCTTTTTACATCTGTCTGAATGTATTTTTTGCTATTGCTTGGAATATATTTGCATTTGTCTAAAAACATTTTTAAAATGATTTCCCTTTGGACGAATTTAAAGTTATACTAGTTTAGACGTGCTGCCATTAAACTTTGATAGGTAAATTTATGTCATGATGAATGCATTTTTTTTTTTTAAAAAAAAAAAGAAATTAAGAGAGCTTAACAATAGTAATTGATGTCACTGGTAAATCATCATATTTTTGTGATTTTAGAAGATACATCTTTTTTTTTCAACATATCAGAAAAAAGCAAGGATAAAAAATAGTGGAAACACTTTCAAATAATCTACATTACTTTATGCATGAACAATTCCAATATACTTTTTTAATTGAACACCACAGCGAAGTTGCTAAGTATTTAGACTGGACTAGATACATCCAATATAAATCAATCAAAGTAGCCAGTAATATTTGTTCCAAACACTGGATCATTTTAATCCCGGACTTGGATAATATCAGTCTACCTGCTAATTACCCGTCTATCACAACATTTATTCCAAATTAAAAACAAAAGTAGTAACTCTTGTATAAATACAAAAAATAAGGCGGGGGAAAAAGATTTATTATTTACAAATTTAAAAAAAAAAAAAAGTAGGAGGGTAATTAGGGTAGATACATGGTACAATCGTCATCGTCTACGACAACGTGAGAACGTCTTCTTGAAGTATTATGTTGATTTGGTGGGATCTCCTCTGCCGAGTCAAAATTTGGCAAAGGAGGCGACTCTTCACGCTGTTTAATTTCCTCTGGTGTTAAGATAGTAATGGTGGTATGACGTTGCTGTTCCGTTGGCAAGGAAGATTCGACCGGTTTTACGATGGTTTTTTCCTGTACCTGTTCAATGATGGTGGGCGACGCCTTTCCGAAACTTTCAAATTTGGGAAGTTGAAGTACGGGATTTCCACTTTCACTCGTACGGGTGAGGGTTCGTGTTGCAAATGTACCGATATAGAATAGTGGGATGGTGATACCGTGCGCAATGACAGATGCCAAAACCATAAAGTAAATAACGGGTTTCAGGACCTCACGTGCATGGGCATTGGGACCGTCCAACGGTACCGATTCAAGGGCGATAGAGTAATAAAAGATAGCGCCTACACCAATGGGACCAAACCATCCGGTGAATACAGCCTCGCGCCAGGTTTTGATGGCGGGTATAAGTTTATAAAGTGCCAGCACGATAGGAAGTCTTCTAAATATAAGGACAAGAATGGCCAATACGACTAGCCTCCAAACACTGATTTGAAGTAAGTCGCTGTTAAATAGAGACCAGGGCTATAGGATTTATTTTAGTTTGTGAATTGTAGTAAAGTGAAAACATTACATACCATGGTTGCACCAATATATACAAATACACTCAGATTTAACAAGATATCGACCACCTGGTAGAAATTGATTTTAAAAGGAAATATAAAAAAAAATTAGTTGGGACGTTATAGACATGTGCGGAAAATAAGTAAACCTTACCTCCATCAAATGTGCTTTTTCGGTTTCAATACGAAACCAATCATCCCAGGTAAATGAATTTCCAGCAATAAAACAAGCTAAAAGATCATCACTACCAATTAACCCAACGGTACCCATGAGAAACAACTAGAAAGAAAAAAAGTTTCACCATCAGGGAACGTAACCTTAAAAAATGAATTGTTTTTTTTTTACTTACTGCTAAAGCAACGGAAAACACCAAAAGAGACTCCTTATCAATGTATTTTCTAATGTTGTGAATGTTAATTAAAAGGGGTCGTGGTACACAAAAGATAAACAGCGATTTACTTTTGTTCTGAATATTTCAATAGTTTTCTGGCAACATAACCTGCGACAAAGCCAATGATGCATGATAAAAGGACGTTATAGCACATGATCCAGTAAGCCCATTTACCAATGGCAGCCCCTGTGTTCATTTGAAGTAGATAGATGGCCAAAAACAAGAATGGGTAACCAAGACCATCATTAGCACCACTATACAATCGTCTTAGAGGATATACTTTTTCTTTTCTTTTATCATTTACCTTTCGCATGAAATGATTTGTCGGACATGGAGTGGAACATGTTTCTCTGCAAATTTACCTTGAACAATAGAGTTCGCCAAAATCTTAAAAAAAAAAAAAGAAAAAATCAGAATACTTATCGAGTTAAATCAATAGATAATACTTTACTGGATCAGTAGGCGTGAAGCATGCAGCGATCATTAATGCTTCCAACTATTAGAAACGCGTCAATCAAAAGTGTTCTTTTTTTAAACGTAGATAAAAACCTACATAATTGAGACCGGGAATAAATGCCCATACGAGTAAACCACTGATTAACCACATCCAAATCATGACAGGGCCTAATAAAACGAGTAATGAACGTAGTTCCTTGTACAGATAACGCTTTGGTAAAGCGACGCCAGCAGCCATGACTTGAATGGCAATGACGATACGAGTGAATTCTTTAGTGATGACTTCTTCATTTCCCCACTGACTGATGTCTATAAATTTAGCGCATAAGGGGCCAAAAACGATACCACAAACGATAGCAACGGCTAGAAAATAAATAAAATGGGATGCATGAGATACAGAACAAACAAACAAATAGAGAGTACTCACATGCTTCAGAAATATAGAGTCTTTCTTTGATCACAAGTGATGAAAGACCATAGAGTAATATAAATCCACCCAGAACAGCTGCAATGACAGAAACTGTATCAATTGCCATACTTTTAAAAGAAATAAACTGATATGCGAAAAATGTTAAAGATTTTTTTTTCTCTCAGAGGTGTCTTTTCTAGGTAGGCTTCTTACTTATAAAAGTCTTAACTTTGCTACTGCAAAAATAGAAATAATAAATAAAAAAGATCTACAGAAGGTCAAGAAGAAAAAAAAAAACTGATAGTTTTTGTATCTACTACTAAAATATATACACTTTTTTTTTTTCAAACCTGTCACAAAGAAATCGAAAATGAAATTACCTTTTTTAGAGGTCTGTCATACCCAAGTCATCTTTGCGCTAATTTCGCCAGCTCCGAAATATCCATTTTTAGCTTGTCGGTTTTTTAACTGAGCTTTCTCTCAACTTAAATTTTTTTACATGAACCGAAAAAAAAAAAAAAAAAAAAAATTATGATTGGGGGGGGGGTTACTCAGGCCTTGTCAAGAAGCAATTGAATTAATTCACAAAAGACCTTTTGGTTTATAATTATGCCGTTGATCCCAAAGTATATTATGCCCCTTTTGGCCAATGATGAAATTTTTTTTTTTTTAATTGTACGGTAATATTCGCAAAACAGAAAACTACATGTTCGGCTCTAACCCAAACACGGGGTTTTTCCCCAAATACGGATTACATAATCTAGTTATTCTACACCGCGCGTCATGATTTATCTACTAGATCCACGCCCAACCCTTTCCTTACATCGCTATGACCCAAAATTCTACTAATAGCAGAGATGACAACGCTGTTACAGGATATCATCAACTTGTTATAAGGCGGCACTAAGTAGAGAAAATATTTTTTTCTTTTTGACAAATGCTAGTAAATTAACCCTCTTTTCTGCTTCTGTTGCAAAACCTCTGCCAAGACGAGAGATATGTAATTAATCAACCATGTCAACATTGTAGCATTTTAGAACCTAGCAGAATAATACCAGACACCTTCATTTAACCCCCTCCCCCTTTTTTTTTTAGAAAAATATTGCTGAAAGTGTCTTGTAGCGTACATTTTACCAAAGCTCAAATATATCTATCGCTAAATACCATAAAACGTCATCTATATATTCTTATAGAATTTAATCCTTTATATTACTTCCTCATAACTTGATTCCAAAAAGGACGCGCCTCTATCATTTATGATATAGGAAAATAATTCATGTTAAAACGCTTGTTTTTGATTTAAAGACTCACACTAGATTAAAAGATGTCGTTGAGTACGCTCGTATAGTTTTGAAAAAAAAAACATTGGCGATCTGGGATTTCATGCGAGTTATTACTTATAACTGATTTGTGATGGGTAAAATTGAGTTTACTGCCAATCCGTATTGTGTGGTTAGTAGGACATGTTAGACTAACATGGCTTATTTTTGCTTGTCAATGCAAGCCAGCGCAAGTTTTGCTAGATATATAGTAGGCTTAATAATAACGGAATGGGTCGATAATATTATTATGCAAGACCATTGATTCCCATTTGGCAGTTATTCTTTTTTTTTTTTAACAGGGTTTACACATGAAGAATATCATTCAAGATAGTCGTAGACCTGTCAAAAAAAAAGATAGGGGGGCTCATCTGAGTGTTGTAAATGCTAAGGAACACCTTGTGAATAAAGGCATGCTTAAGGCAACTTGTTGGGCACCGTTACAAAAGTCACCGTCGTGTTGTATCCATTGATCAAGTCCAAACGCTTTTCACCATGACTGGAGGTATCTGATGAGCAAGGATTTTTAAAATTTATATGTCTTAACAACAGTACACCGGATTTTTCTTTTAGATCAGTTTCCACCCCCTGTAGATTATGTGTGCGTGTCTGTGTGTCATACAATTTTCAGTGTAATATAAAAAAATAAAAATTAAATATTCAACACAGTGAGAGCTTGCATAGGATGTCATTTTTTTTTTTTTTTTTTTTTTTTTTTTTTTTTTTTTTGCTGTTGTAGTTGTAAGCTTGTATTTGTCTGAAGAGTGTGATATCAGTAGTAGCAGCAGCAGCAGGACAATGGGGAGGATTTAAATGAGACTTTTTTTTTTATATATATGTATAAATAGAGAGATATATTTGAATAGACGTGGTAGATTTTTTTTTTATGGAAATCAAACAAAAAAAAGTGATCTATGTTGAGTGAGTGTAGGTGAGTGAGTGTATTATCTGTAATCTCTGGTATTGCGATGCATGTAATGTGGTAGTGGTTCTCTTCTATCGAAATCTAATCTTCTGGCTGACATCCATCTTGGAGGAGGAGGAGGGGGTAACGGTGCATAATCCAAATGATGGCGGTAAGGCGGAGGATGATGTAACCAAGGGTCTCTGGGTGCAGGATGACGATAATATCTATCTGGTCCTGACGACGAGGAGGAGGATGGGGGAGGAGGTGAAATGGAGCGATAATGGTGATAGCGGGGTCTATGGTAATCATAAGGCATATGTGGTAAAGGTCTGTTGTCATAGCGACGAGGGTAAGGATGATGCGTGCGTTCACGGTCAGGCAATACAAACTTGCGCTTGTTTTCTTCTGTAGTTTTGACGATGACGATCTTTTCTGATGTTGGTTTATCCCACACACTCTCTCTTGTCTTCTTGTTATAATAGTACTTTTCTCCTTTGTCTGACACATGGGTTGCCCAAGCGTCTGGTAAGTCCTCTTCTGTTTTTTTCTCGGTGACTGTCTCATCCGAGTCGTTTCCAGTTTCGACAATGGGTGGTCTTACTACTTCGTCTCTTTCAGCCTCATCGTCCGAATCAAAGGTGACAACAGCCTCTTTATATACTTTTTTGACGCTTTCTTGTTCCTTTTTCACTACGGCGGTGGGTTCTAAAGGTACATCTACCTTTGGTTTGCGGTCATCATCCTCTTTTCTTTTTTCGTCCAGCACATGTCTGTTCTCTTCGGGACGATGCGTAGGTGAAGGTTGTCTACGTGAGTAATGGTCGCGACTATAGCCATCATGATGTCTCCTTGGTGCTGTCGCCGCTGCTGCTGCTGCTGCTTGTGGTGCTGGTTGTGTTTGTGGGTATCTGCTCATCCAAGGTCCATCATCTCGTCTATAATATCCTTCATCGCGTCCATGAGGTCTATCATCAAACCGACCTCTCGAATACATGTATCTATCTCTTGGTGCTTGATCGTAACGGCGATCCATTCTCTCTATCTGTCTCTCTTTTGTTTGTATTTAGAAAAAGCAAAAAAAAAAGAAATGAACAACATTTTTTCTCTTTTTCTTTTTTTTTAGCTCGGTTTAAGTGTCACGTGATGGCAAAGTAACATGTTTATATATAAAAAAAAAAAAGAAAGGTCCCTTTAATATTCCCCCCCTTTTTTTTTTTATTTTTTATTTTTCTTTAGGCTAAACGGCAAATGAAAAGAAATGAACATCTTCCACAACGTTCAGTGACTTTACCACCGTTAAACCTGTCACGCATGGACAGTCGTGGAGAAATGGAAAAGGGGGGCGAGAGCGAAAATACGTATGTACAAACGAAAAATCCGAAAGCGATGCAAGCTATCACGGAAGCTTCCCACACGGTCCTCTTCACAGCGTCTTCACTCCACCGTTCGCTGAGTCGATGTTTAGGATGTACCGGGAACGATAGTCTTCAGGCAGCATTTTCGGTCAGTTTACATAAATCACGCATCAGTACAGAAAAGCTCAGTCTCTTATTGGATTTGGCCGAAAGAAGACGTTCAACGGATATCTGTCAGGATCTTGTACAGGCTACCTCGGCTTGTATTCATGTTCTAAAGGAGTTGTGTAGTACTTTACGTACACGTTTATCGATCCTCGTGCAAGGGCTTGATACAAAGTTCTCTCGAAATTTATTGATGCATCTGTACAGTGCCACTATTGATATGAAGGATGCTTGGCAAGTGATACAGCCACACTTGATATCACAGGATACAACAACAGCACATGCGAAATCTTTGTTATTTCGTGATTCACCAGGTGCTAATTCACCCATCCTGTCACCGCTGGCCTCACCCGGAGGTGGTGGCAACAGCAGCAACAGTGGTGGTGGTGGTGGTGGTGTAATGAATGGGGGAGATAACACACAACTTTACAACCATTTACGAAATGCAGTCACTGGATCATTGCATGTTTTGAACACACTATGTCAGACGATTGAAGAAACCAAGACACAAACTCAGGTTTCGAGTAGTCTGGGCAAGAAATTAAGCGAATTAGCCCGACAAGCGCAGAATACGACGGAACTATGTCATCGACTGGATAAGAATGTGGAATCGAATATGGGTAAGAATAAAGATGATTTATTATTGCTGCCGACGCGCACGGAATCAAGTCGTAGAATATGGGAGGATACGAGTATTTATTTAAAGACGATTGTGGGCATCATGACATTTATAAGGTCGATATCAAAAGAAGAAGATTTTGTGTGGCCCAAGTCTGTGAAGCAAGGATGTCTGTATGTGACGCGGATGACAGCGGAAGTAGCCAAATTATGGAACCATGGTAGTACGTTTGCGCAAGACGGATTTTACCTTGGTCGACCTGAAAGAAGTGCGAGTGTCTCTGAGCAACATCTTGTGCCCATGACCTCTCCCGCTTCTGATATACCCATGCAACGTAGAAATACGCAACAATAAAATTTTACACAATGACTAAAAAAAAAAAAAAAATCTTTTTTTAAATTAATTTCTTACTCCCTCATTTACATAATGTCACTCATGTTAGTGAGGTCGTTGCACTATTATAAACGAGAACCGAATTATAAAGGCTGGTGGACACAAATTCTAAAGTCAAGCTGTGCACCCACACTCAAGATTGAACAAGTGCCGACTCGAGTGCCTGTGGCCATCCCCTTTGAACCCGTCCAACCGGAACCAACGTTGGTGCCTACCACCCAAACCGTTGTCTATCTCAACAAGGAACCCATTGAACTTCCCATTAAGCCCGAAGCGCCCGACAATTGTTGCATGAGGTAAACTTATTTGGGAATGGGCATTGTAGCTTTACATACTTACCCTCTTTTTTTTTGTAGTGGTTGTGCTCACTGGTAAGCAAGACAAGGAAGAAAAAGAAAGATAGAAAAAAAGGGGGGGGGGGGCAGAGTAGATGACTAATCCAAGTTTGTAGTGTGTGGGACATGTATGGTGAGGATATGGAAGAATATGCAGCAAAGAAATCAGAAATCAGAAACCGATTCAAGTCACAAGGTGTGCCGCTTCCTCAAGAATTAGACAGTGGAAATGATCAACCTGATGAAATGGATCCCACCATGAAGGCCTTTTTAGACATGGAAAAAAAGCTCAATTCCATGTAACCTAAAAAAAAGTTCATTTTTTTTTTAATAGACTGTAATCATATAGAATTTAACGGATAGTAGAAGCTAAAAGAAGGGGGGAGGGGAGGAGAATGTAAAATGACATACAGCGTCATTTACTAGTGTGTATGTAATTTTTTTTTTTTTTTTATCACAGGCTTGATTGCCATGGAAATCCCCCCTACCCCTTTTTCATGCAAAAAATAAAAAAATAAAAAATAAAACTGGAGATAATGACAGTTTAGTTTGATTATGCGTTATGAACAGGATAACAACGGTAGATCGAAAAGGATTTACTTGCATGGATGACCTTTTTTTATATTGCATTCACATACTCTTTTGTTGAATCATTCATAAACAATGAAACATTAGCTACTCCCTCCTTTTTTTTTAAAAAAAAAATAAAGGGGGGGAACAAACGTGAGGTCGCTTACATGAAAAACGTTGTAATTGGAATCAACGTTTTTTTTTTTTTATGATGTGTGTGTGGGGGGAGGGGAAGGGGGAGAAGGACCCTGCATGGATTTTATTGGGTTACCATTTGGTTGTCCGCTTAGCGGGGAGAAAGAGAGAGAGATTTTTTTTTTTGTTTTGGCGCTGAGCGGAAAAAAAAAAAAAAAGAGAGACAGGTGAAAGAGAATGGAGAGAGAAGCATACTTGTGAATCCTTCTCTTTTCTTACTGCCAACATGGATACTCTTACTCTCCGCGGAACACTCGAAGGTGTGTACATAAAATCAGTTGTGATTTGCATGTGTATACTAGATGGATGGATGGATGGATGAATGAATGAAAAGCGGATGGAAAAAAAATTATCAACTGTTACCAAAAAAAAAGTGTCAATGATTGCGAATCGACACAGCAGCAGTTCCCCATTTTCTATTATACACATGCAACTTCCACCTACGTTCATTAGCATTGACAACCAGATATTAACCCTCTCTTTCTTTTTTTGTTGTTGTCATTGATTAGGTCACGGTAACTGGGGTAAGTCTTTTTTTAAACACGATGAAATAAAAATTAAAAATGCTAAAAAAAAAAAAAACTCAAATTAAATAGTCACTGCCATTGCCACCACTTCTGAGGCACCTGACATGGTTTTGTCTGCCTCTCGTGATAAGACCATCATCGTCTGGAACCTTACCAGGTAAGAAACAAAAGCCGCATGCTGCATAAAAGGAATAGAGAGAGAGAAAGAGAAAGAGAGCGAATGACTAAATAGCTTATTTTAAAAAAAATAATACAGAGATGAGTTAAACTACGGTGTCCCCCGTAAGTCTCTTGTCGGTCACTCCCACTTTGTTGAGGATATTGCCATCTCTTCCGATGGTCAATTTGCTCTTTCTGCTTCTTGGGATCACACTCTCCGTCTCTGGGACTTGAACAACGGTACCACCACTCGTCGTTTCGTCGGTCACACCAACGATGTCTTGTCTGTCTCCTTCTCTGCTGACAACCGTCAAATTGTTTCTGGTTCTCGTGATAAGTCTATCAAGCTCTGGAACACCCTCGGTGAGTGCAAGTACAACATCACTGAAGATGGTCACTCCGAATGGGTCTCTTGTGTTCGTTTCTCTCCTAACCCTGCTAACCCTCTCATCGTTTCCGGTGGTTGGGATAAGCTCGTCAAGGTTTGGGATCTTGCCAAGATGAAGCTCCGTACCAACTTCATTGGTCACAACGGTTATGTTAACACTGTCACCATCTCTCCCGATGGTTCTCTCTGTGCTTCCGCTGGTAAGGACGGTGTTGTCATGCTCTGGGATCTTAACGATGCCAAGCATCTCTACTCCCTCGAAGCTGGATCTCTTGTCCATGCCCTTACTTTCTCCCCTAACCGTTACTGGCTCTGTGCTGCTACCGCTACTGGTATCAAGATCTGGGATCTCGAGTCCAAGTCTATTGTTGATGAGCTCCGTCCTGAGTTTGCTCAATTAGGTAAGAGAAAGAACCCTGACCCTGACTGTTTGTCTGTCTGTTGGTCTGCTGATGGTGCCACTCTCTTCTCTGGTTACTCTGATAACATCATCCGTGTCTGGCAAGTCACCCGTACTCTTTAAATTTTCTAAATAAAAGAGTGCAAATCACACACACCCCCTCACCTCCATCATTATTTTTTTTTTTTTCTAAAAAAGAAAAAAGTGCTGTAATAAAAATATATTAAACAATGTGTTTTCTGATTTACTATATATATATATAATCTATTTTATTATCTATGTATTATTATTATTTTTTTTTTTTACACGCGGCAATTAGTGAAGGCCATAACCATAATATCTGTGGCACCAGATTCTGTCAAACGATCCATAATATGACCCTTTTCTTTAACGGAGATCATGGCAGAAACAGCGACCCAACCGTCATGAGAATCGAGGCTGGCAACGGTAGGACCTAAACGACCGGGTGTGATGAGCGATGTAGCGGACAGATTCTTACGTTCGACGTTGTAGGTACACAAGACATATTGATGAGCTGTCAAGACACCACGTACACGAGAGGTGATCTTTTCAATAAGTTCGACATGATGAGATTTACGATTGGCGATCAAGACCGATTGAGTTTCCATGAGGTCGTGAATATCGTGTAAACCAGCGGCACGCATGGATTCACCTGTCTCCACAAGATCGACGATACCATCCGCGAGGCCCAAGGCACAAGCGGCTTCGACGGAGCCGGAGACGTGTTTGATGCTGGTGGTCTTACCTGCGGCAGCGTCCAAGGGAGCGAATAATTTGGTGGTGGTGTGAACAAAGCTGGTGACGATACGTTTACCGACCAAGGATTCGAGGGTTTGGCAAGGGCCGTTCATGGGGACTTCAACAGAGAGACGACATTGACCAAAGTCAAGTTCGAGTAATTCACGGATCTTGTCCTCGACTTGACTTTCTGCCACAATGTCTTGACCGGTGATACCTAAATCAACGTTACCTTCACCCACGTATTTGGCAATATCGGCGGCGGGTAAAAAGACGAGAGCAATAGGTAAGTTTGTACAGAGAGCAATATCTTGACGTGAACTACGGTTGAAGTGAATATCGCAACCCTTTAATAATTCAATACAGGTTTGATAAATACGACCCTTCTTGGGTACTGCAAATAATAAACGATCCTCTAAATCCTTGACAAATTGCATTTTCTTTTTTTTTTAGGAATTGAAGAAAAGTGTCAAAAAAAAAAAAGCTAGCGGATTTTTTTTTTGTGAGTCACTAAAGAAGTGAGTTTTAAATACGTTTTGACCAATTCTTTTAATGTGGTGCCTGAGGGGGGAAATGGGGGGGGGGATAGGGATGACCCGCCATGTGTTACCATGACAAACAAAAATGGGAGATCACTTTATTCACACCCAAAGTACCCCCCCCCCCTTTCTCACACACACACAGTGAGAGAGGGAAAAAAAAAAAGATTCATTCACACCCCCCGCATTTTTTTCGTTTTTTTTTTTTTTTTTTTTCTATAATGACTCGTACCGATCAAGAACTTGAGTTTGCGAATTATTTTTCCAGTTCCAATAATACCAGTACTGAACTCGAGAGTAAAAAAAGAAGGCCTCCAGAGCATGTTTACATTGTCAGCGAGTAATGTTTAATATATATAAACCACTTTGAGGGAGGGGGAGGAATAACTCATCTTTTTTTAACTCCTGTAGGCCCATTTGACCTGTGATGACTGTAATAAAAAAAAAAAAAATTAGGAAAAAAGAGAGGAGGTGGGGGAAACTGATACGTGCCAAATGTAAATACACATTTTTTTTTATATATAGCTAGACCTTGCCAACGTTGTATAAAGCGAGATTTAGCAAGCACATGTACAGACGCAGCAAGAAAACGAGCTAAATATCTCTCTGATATTTATTCTCCTCAAGAAACATTAAATGAAGCCATCCTCACTTCGATTGGTAAACTCCCCCCTCTCTCTTTATTATCACCTGCCTATTTAAATATATATATTTATATATTTAACTTTAATTACAGGACCGACAACAACAACAACAACAGCAGTAGCAACAACAACAACAACAGCAGCAGCAGCAGCAGCAACGAGTACCACCACAAGCGAATTACTTTATCCTACACAACAAATCTTTGATTTCTCGCTTTCTGATCTAGGTTTTGGATCAGAGACCATTGGTTTAGAATACGGGTTTTTGGGAAACATGTTGCAAAATCCTTTAGAAGAAGAAGAAGGGGGAGGAGGAGGAGGTATGGGTCATCACGGTGGTAGTACAGTCACCTCCATGCCTACCACTTCTGCTACAAGTTCAACTACTAATGCACCGATCCATTTGTCCATGATGCAACTACCATTACAACAACAGCAGAAGCAACAGCAACAGCAACAGCAGCAGATATTTCCATTTTATGCATCCCCCTTTCTCGATCAAGCTTCGCCCGTGACCAGTGCTTCCTCACCAGGACCGATTCAAAGTCCGTTTCATGTCAAACAACATCAACCGCAGCAACAGCAACAGCAGCAGCAGCAGCCCATACAGCAACAGCAACATCATCAACATCAACATCAGCAGCAGCGGAGTCTATCTTTGACGGGACGAAGAAAGGGGTATGGTAATACACCGGAGGAAGCGTATACGGGAGTGAAGAAACCGTTTAATTATGCAGAAGGGTTTCACTACCTGATCCAATACGTGCGCGACAAGTTAAGTAGTGTGATATAAAAAAAAAAAAGGGGGGGAGGCGTTCGTGTAGCGTTATTTTTTTTTTTTTATTATTTTTTTGTTAACCGATGAAAGGATGAAAATATATATATATATATAGGATGAGCAGGGAGGATTTGATGCGAATTAGTAGAGCGCTGGCGCTATTTCGACCGTCATTTTTAGCGTTAATTATGAATTTAACGGAAGAAGATCTTGTGTTTATGGAAAAATGTCTTCAACGCACCTTGTTAGAGTATGAGAAATTGATTAGTTTTTCAGGAACACCGACGGTTGTGTGGCGACGAACGGGTGAAATTTGTCTTGTCGGAAAGGAGTTTTCGTTACTGACGCAATGGACCAAGGACATGCTACTGGGCAAGAAGATATACATCTACGAGGTAAAAAAAAAAAAAAAAATGCATCTCTCACTATTTTTATAAAAAAAAAGTGTGTGTGTGTGTGTTTAAAAATAGGATCTAACAAAAAAAAAAAAAGCTAATGGATAGTCAGTCGGCGGTCGAATACTGGGAAAAGTTTTCTACGCATGCGTTTGATAACACGGATAAATCATGCGTGTATTCATGCATTATCAAGACACCACAGCAAAAGCCTGTGCCTTGTACATTCTGCTTTACTATCAAGCGAGATATCTTTGATTTACCCAGCGTCATTATCGGCAACGTAAAGTAGAGTTTTTTTTTTATTGTATTAAGATTGACTTTTTTTCTGTTGTAGTTCTTACCTATTCTTAGCTAAAACGAGAGAAGATGTTAAAAAAAAGGGGGGGGGGCGGAGAGGGAGATGATCTATTTATAATAAAAAAAGAAGGGTGATCTTCACAATGTTTACTCAATAAATAAAAAATCTTGTTTAAATATTATTTATTATTAAATGACGAAAGAGAGAGAGAGGAAGAAGAAAAGGTGGTACACTATTGTTTTGGGTGGTGGGGGGAATTTTTTTTTTTTTTTGGTTGGTTATTGTTGGTTGGGGGGATATTTTTTTTTTTTACTAATACATATATAATGATTGTAAAAGGGTAGAAACAATTATATAGAAAAGAGAGAAAAAGAGGACGAGAGAAAGGGAGAGAGGGGAAGGATGTATGTTGGGTCAAAGGAGGGGGGGTTAATATTGAGTGAGATGAATTTAGGTGGTTTCATCTTCTTCATCACTATCTTCACCCATATACTCTCCCCAAGAAATAGGAATGATACCCTTTCTGGTGTCACTTTCGAGTTGACCCCAAACAGCAGGTGTAAGATCCAAACAACCTAAAAGGAAAAAAAAAAGTTAGAATTAAGGTTATATAAAAAAAAAAAAAGGTTAAATGTGGATGATTACCATGGTCACAACCAGGACAGGCGTCAGTAACGGTGGCAACGGTACATTTCTTTTCATAGCAGATCTTGACACGTTTACCACACCAGTGACTCTTTCTGCTCATGTCACCGTATTGGTCAGCATTCATGGCGACGATCTGTGAATTTTCATCGGCAAAGGGACCACAGGCACCTTGAGATCCACCTTCTCTTTCGGGATCGAAAAATGTGCCTCGACCGTGAAACAAGAGTCGAGTAATTGTGTTGACTGCATGACCCACTGTGTCTCCCAAGAGACCTCTCTTTTTAACGGGTTTGGCATTGACAACTGTCATCCATAATACAACAAGACAGATCAAAATTTGACACTTCATCGCAAAAAAAAAAAAAGAATAAATATAAAAAGAAGATGAATGATATGAAAAAAAAAAAAAAGAGAAAAGGGGGATTGTGTTTCTTTTTTATACTTTTATTTCTTTTTTTTTTTTGCAAGGGGTGGTTTATTCTTGTAAGTTTAAGAAAAAAAAGTTGTTTAAGAATAAAGATGTTGGTGCTTATGCTGGGTGCTGCCTCTTTTTTTTTTTTTTTTTTTTTTTTTTTTTTGATGCGTGTAGTCAAGTACAAACCACCTGCAGTAATTAGCATAATTGACTTTCAAAAACCCCTTTATCCCCTTTCTCTCTCTACTTCTCTCTCCCTCCCATAGCCCCTCTCTCTCCTCCTCCTCCTCCTGCCCTCGTTTTCTTTTCTTTCTTTTAGAGTATTCATATTACAACACGCCTAATGGAGTTTTTTTTTCTTTTCTTTTCTGGATGAGGCTCCCTTGAATTTAAAAATGATGGTTTCATCAAAAAAAAAGTAAAAATAGCTGTCATTTTTTTTTCTCCCCTTCTCTCTCTCTTATGGTCTGACCATGATGGTTAGAATAATAGGCTTTATTTCTGCTCCATGTCGATCATTTCTACGTGTGTGTATAAAAGAGAGAGATAGAGAGAGAGAGAGAGTGACAAGTACATGACATTTTCTTTGTTGTTGTTGTATATTTGTGTGCACGGTTGGTATCATAGTAAAAGACTCCCCCCCCTTTTTTTTTCCCTTTTGAGAGGGAAATATCCCACGTTACAGGTCAGTCTTGTTTATTTGATTACGCGAGAGGATGGGGGGTGCGGGGGGGGGGATGGAAGAGGAAAACCAAGTTTTTTTATTTATTTATTCTGTGTTTATTTTAACCTATCACCCTTGTGATTTCTATTATTATTATTATTATGGTGATTTACTGTGTTGATAGTAGTCATGTTGGAATTATGTCTGAGAATTAAAGGAGTGCATGACACTATAAAAATGAGGTGTTTTTTTTTATTTGTGAGCATAAGCCTCGTTGAAAATACAAAAAAAAGTTGACAAACAAACAGAGATTAGAGTTTTTTTTATTTTTTTTCTGTACTTTTTGTGTACGAATGTGTGTCTAAAATGAACAAAAAAAGAAAGAGAGAGAGAGAGAGAGAGAGAGAAATGGAAAAGAGAGTGATTTTTTTTTTTTTTTTTACTTAAATTGAGAATATATCTGCAGAAGTTGTATTATAGAATGACTCGTGTCAATAAGTTTTTACTAAATCCCTTTTTGTTGGTGTTATATATATCTGCTGATATTTTTTTATATCTAATAAATTCCGAAAGCCGCGTTTGGGGGTTTCTTGTTTATGTATGACACAATGGGGTGTACATACAGCTAACAAGTCTGTAATAAATGTTACTGTGTACAAGGGTAACATTGGGGATTCATTCGATTTTTTTTATTTCTAGTTCTAATCGAAATCTCACATTAAGCGACAAATGAATCAACATACATTTTTTTTAAAAAAAAAAAAAAAAAATATCGGGTGATTTTTAATTGTTTCCTCCTCCTCCTCCTCCTCCTCCTCCACTTACTAAAAAAAAACATGTATAAAACAGATCTGTGCCTGTATAATACCAGTGTGTGCTAAACCTTAATCCCATGTGGCGTGAGCACTGAGCTTTTTGTGGTAAGCGAGAAATTCACGGAACGGAGACACAAAATTACTGGTCTGATTTTTTTGGGAGGGTTTTTCCGTATAAAAATAGGAAAAGCTTTCTTTTTTCTCTCTCTCTCTCTCTATTTTTTAAACACATCTATTCTCTATCAAAAATGAACGCTGCTATTCGTCAAATCGGACACTTTCCTAACCCTGCCACTGTGACTACAGTCACATTCTCACAAATGAGACCTCGCTATATTGAAAAATGCATGGAAACCAACCCACGACAGATTGTACAAGTCGATATTTTAGGTGATCTTGTTCAATTACCCGTCTATACTTTAAGAAGAAGAAATGCCATGGTTCATATCTAATTCTCGTCATTCATCTTTCTTTTACCATTGTACATATGCATATTCTATCAACCCCCCCCCATCACCCCCTCTTCTCATTCATATAAATTTTGTAAATAAAAATTAATAGTCACTTTTTTTTTTTTTTTTTCTCTGTTTCTCTCCTTTCTTTCATTTATACAAAACTTACATTAAAATAATAATGAACCAACATTCGGAATGGACGACAGATACTTTTAAAGTATTTCAAAAGTAAACCATGGATTGTTTACACACTCTTTAATGTCCCAACTGCCCTTCTTCTAACCCCCCCCCCTTTTCACATTAGATCCAGCAACAATAGCAACAGCCGCAACAACAACAACAGCAACCATAGTAGTAGCCATACCAGCAACGACTTTAATCTGGGTGCAAAGTCCTATATACCACCAGCGCATGCCTTTGACCCGTTTGCTGAACCTTCCTCTTTGGGAGACAACAACACCGATGTAGACGACCTCAGCCAACACTTGATATCCAGTCATTTACTTGACGATGACGACCAACCGCACACAACAAGCACAACGCTTCATGTATGGGACCCACAACAAGAATGGCAGCCTTGTACGGACAAGGCCGATATCTGGTCTCCCGGTGGCGGCAGCGGCAGCGGTGGTGGTGCTATAGAAGAAAAGAAGGGTACGCCCACCAACACGAGCAGCAGCAGTAACCGTGAGGACGATGATGAAGCCTTTGATCCAACCTTACAGTTTTATCATGGGACCTTGTACGATTCCCACACGATTCAAGACATGAACCGATTAGCGTTGAATGTGACGAATCCATCGTTGGAGGAAACCGAAGCTGAAGGGTTGGAACAGGACATGTCGACATTGCAAATGATGCAAACGATTTTTTCCGACTTGAGTGATGAGGCCCTGCTGGAGACACTAGCTCGTCATGACTATGATGTTGATCGTGCCATCGAGTCTCTTTTAACCCATGCATCTGTTGTGACAACGACGATGGAAACGCAGACGGCTATTCCCAGTGTGAAAAAGAGACAGGTATGTCGGCATTTTTTAGCGGGAGAATGTTATCGCAAAGATTGTTGGTTTGTGCATGATCTTCAAGAGAAAGTCTGTAAATTCTGGTAAAGAATATCTGTATTTTTTTTTATTATTATTACTATTATTTTTTTGTACAAATGATAGATAACGCCTTTTTTTTTTGTTATAAGGTTGCAGGGAACTTGTTTTAAAGGTGACTCGTGTGAATTCTCTCATCATATTGATGTGCAAGAAGTAGCGAATAAGATGATTCCTCCTGTGATTCCCTCACCGAAACAACCTCAGTTTACACCTACGGATTATCCTCAACTCTCTAGCACTACGATGGTTAAGAAAGCACCATCATCATCACCAGTACCTTCCGTGAAACCATGTGATGAATTTCCTTCCTTGGCTTTTGCGTCTAAAATTAAAAAGGCACCTAATGCAATCAAGGGAGGTCATAGTATTAATTTTGCCGAAGCGCTTAAGAAGAAGGGTTCAGCCAAGAAAGGACAACAACAACAAGCGGTGAAAAAGGTGGGAGCACGTCGTGGACCAGGTTATAGTAATCTTCAGAGATTGACACAGCCTGTGCATATTCCTTGGCTTGACACTGGTAGTACCTTGAACTCTGTGTATATGAAGGAGGTAAAACTTATATATTAAAAAAAAGATGAATTGGGGAAATTAATGCTGGATCACGATAAAAATAGAGAGAACAGGCGATTGAGTATGGTATGCTGAGAAATCGATTTTTCAGTAGGGCAACTGAATACTATTTGAAAGGGGATGGAGCGAAAGCACGGTTATATTCGATGGAAGCGAAACGATATAATCGTATGATGCAAGAAATGCATACGGAAGCGAGTCAACGTATATTTGAATCACGGTCACAACATGAAGCCTTTGTGGACTTGCATGGGTTACATGAGGATGAAGCGATTCGCATGATTGAACAACGATTGGGAGAGATGAAGAGTCAATATGGTGGTATTATTTATATCGTGACAGGGACAGGTCATCATTCGGGTGCTAATGGATTGAGTAAAAGACAATCCAAATTGAAGCCTACCGTTCAAGCCTATTTGAAATCAGAACATTATCGCTTTGCAGAGACTAGTATGGTGGGTGATAACAAAGGTGGGATATTTGCCGTCGATCTCTCTTTATAAATAAATACAAAAAAAAAAAAAAAAAACTCCTAAAATAACATGCAAGGGGAGAAAGGGGGATGGAAGAGGAGCTTTTAAAATATATAAGGGGAGTTTTATTTTTGTTGTATAACCACTCATTCCCCCATGACGTCGCCCAAAACTACTCATTTCAGGCACATTTGAATGGGGTAAAGAAAAAAAGGATTCTATTTTCATGTGAGTGAGTCAAACACAAATTGTGACCGGAGCTGAGATTTTTTTTTTATTATTTTTTTTTTGCAGAAAATCTTGAGGTGGCGTCCCGTTTGGAGTAACGGACGATCTCTTTTGATTGGATGAAATTAACGTCATAAACGGCCTGGGGAAAGGGGAACCACGAAATCTGTCCAATGTATTGACGTCATAAATTAAAACTCCGATAATAATTTTTTTTTTCTTTTTTCTGTTCCTTAAAAAAAAAAGACTTTTTCTCATTCTCTTTTTTTTTTTTACTTTCTTTCTTCTCTTTTTTTTTTCTCTCTCTCTCTCTCTCTCTACTTTATATATACAATAATGACTCAATCCACAACAATGTTTCCCTTTAATAGCACAAGCGAAAGTAGTCTTTTAGAAAGAAGACAAATATCACAACCTTTTCTTCAACAACTGGAACTACCTTCTTTGCCTCCCCTCTCACAAATCATGACAGACACAAATGGACTCGGGAAGAAGGCACAAGTAGAAGCAGTAGCTGTGACCATGGCAGCGATGGAAGCAGCAGCTACAGCCTCCCTGATTACATCCACTGCACAACCCTTGATGCAAACCGACACACCTTTTTTACCATTAGCGAGCAGTAACCATAACACGAATACCTATCACACAACCAGCACAACAACCAATGCATCCACAACAGATAATACAACAACACTAACAACAGGAGATACGCCTGTCAATACCATTCTTCCCATTTATTCCAATAATGCTAATGATCCTACACTATTTATGGACCCTTTACAGCAACAACAACAAATGTTCAATGCGGCGGCAGCGGTGGCAGCGGGTCTGACAAACAACCATGATTTATTGAGCATGCCACCTTCCTTTATGGACTCTCGTCGTCCACAGAGGGAATCATCGGTGTCTTCTACCTCATCCGATAACAAGGTCTATAGCTTTGTGGCTATTCCTGGTACAAACCAACGTAAGCGACCACGCAGAAGATATGATGAAATTGAACGACTCTACCACTGTAGCTGGACTGGTTGTACAAAGGCCTATGGCACCTTGAACCACTTGAATGCTCATGTGAGCATGCAACAACATGTAAGTTTTTTCTTTACTTTTTTTTTTATTATTATAAGAAAAAGTGATACTTATATTCGTCCATAGGGCCCTAAGCGTCATCCTACAGAGTTCAAGGAAATGCGTAAAGAATGGCGACGTCAAAAGAAGGAAAGAGATACTGCCAAGAAGCAAGTGGAAACAGCTTATCGTAACCAACAACAACAAATGATGCAAACATATCCTTCATTTCATCCCATACCTACAGGTTATAACTATTATCAATAAAAACTGGTTTTTTTATTACTTTTTTTTTTTTTTTTCTGTATTTTTTTTAAGGGGGCTGTTATATTTCAGAAAAAAAAAAAATTTTTTTTTATCCAAATATGACGTCGTTTTTTTTTTATTTTGGCCCCCCCTAAAATTTTTTTTTTATTTATTTATTTGCAGAAAAAAGAATAGATGCGAGTTGGGGTGAGGCAATTTCAATGGGAGATTTTCCATCGTTATTTAAACGGTCTGGGTCTGCATGGTGTTGTAAAAGTAAACGAGCGGCGTTTCCATGGTCTTCTTCCACAGCGAGATGAAGTGGCGTATTTCCAGCACTATCTCTAGGATTGACTCTACATTTATGAGAGAGTAACAGTTCCATGATATGAACATAACCACCACTGGCTGCCCTATGTCTAAATTAAAAAAGAGTTATGTCATTTGCCTATTTTTAATCTAATTATCTTATTTTTTTTTTACAACGGAGTCTGTTTCTGTCCATTCAACGGATTTACATTGGCTCCCGAGGCTAGCAACAATCTACAGATCTATAATATTATAATATATATGTTACACACACACACACACACACACATGAATCATAAATTCTTGTTTTTACCTCTATTCTATTTTTGGAAGCTGCATAATGTCTTTTTTTTTTTTCATTCATCAGTTTCTGTAACTCAAATGTTCTACACTTAATAGGACTTACAAGGCAGTGTGGTTGGATTCATTTTGATGATTCACGTCTGATTGAGGTAAGAGTAACTTGACCACATCTTCATGACCTGCCGCCACAGCAATCATCAATGGTGTCCATCCCGCCTAAAATAAATAAACACTCAGATTTTTTTTTTTTTTTTGGTATACAGAATGTATCATTACATCTTTATCTGGATTATTCACAATAGCTCCCTTATTCATCAAATATTCTACAATCGATGCATGACCTCCTGAAGCCGCCCAATGAAGCGCAGTACGTCCATCCTTTTCAAAAAAAAGAGTGTTATCATATAAAAATACAGGCCCTACACGACGAAAAGGAAGGGGGTATGTTTACCTCGTCTACACTTTGTACCAGGCTAGGGTCTTTCTCCACCATTTGCTTGACTATAAACAGTTTATCTTCATACGCGGCTTGGTAGACTGTCAACATGGTAAAGGAATTAACAGAAAAAAAAAATGTCCTAATCACGAAATTTTTTTTTTTTTCTTGAAAAAAAAAAAAAAAAAAAAATTTGCTTTTTGGGGGCGGAGATTTAATACGTGGCTGCTGCTGCTTTGGCGGGTAGATTCCTAAAAAGACCGTATCGTTCATGTATGATCCGGTCACTGGTATGTGTAAACATTGTTTGCACAGACCTGTTGGGCTGATTTCTTGTAACCACATAAAATGATGTTCACTGATAGTTTTATTTATATAAAAAGACATTCATCCTATCCAAAGTAGTTTTCCCGTGTAAAAAAAAGAAAAAAAAGAAAAAGCTAATTAAAATGATTTATTGAAACAAACTCAGAGTTCCCCCCCTCTTTCTCTTTGCTTAATTTGTGTTAATTTGTGTTATTGTGTGTTATAGTGTGTTATAGTGTGTGTGAGTGTGTGATGTATGTACATGAATGATGGATGGAATAATAATAATAATAAAAAAAGGGAAAAATTTATAATGCTGATGAAGGCACAGGCACATCACGACACAAGGGACATTGATTTTTACCGAGGGTCAACCAGGTATCGATACACTCTTGATGGAAACCATGATGACAAGCCAAGACACGCACATCATCCTGTGATTGATAGTTGGACAAACAAACTTGACATCCGTCTGCGTTACCCACCATGGTTTGTTTCACTTGTTGGGTATATTTTAAGATGGGCACATGGGAATTAATCGCCTCTTGACTCACAGTAGGTGTACGTGCAGGACCAATCAAGGTGGCCAAATCCAATAATTCTTCATACGATGGATTATCGTTCATAATACCTTCTACACTGCTGCCACTAATAATATACACGGTCCATTGTCCACTACCCACACGATCTTCGCCTGCTGCTGGTGGTGGCGAACCATCTTCATCACTACTACTCGCTGTGGCTACGACATCTCCCGTATCAGCAAGAGCACTGGCTGCTCGAAGTCGCTCACTTCTTCGATTCTCTGTTCGAGGAGTGGAAGTGGCTGTTTCGTTGTTGTTGTTGTTGTTACTGGTGGTTGTTGTGTTAAAGGATCGTACACCGTATAAAAAGACGGGTAAAAGTACCACTCGATTTACTTGACCATCTCGGTCAGCGAGAGAAGGAAGTTCATTGGCTGGACTGACGGTTGCCGTAGCTATTGGTTCTGGATTCTCTTCTGTGGTGATGGTAGAGACACTACTGACGATGACGGGTAATCGCATGAAGCGCATAAAGGAGTCTTCTGTGCTATCAGGCTCCATTTGTTGAAAGAGTTCAGGTGAAAGATGCATGGTGAGTTGTTGACGTACGTTGGCTTGTCCTTGTTGACCTTGTTCGTCTGTTTCAGCTGCTGCTGTTGCTGTTGCTGTTGCTGTTGCTGTTGCTGTTGCTGCTGGTGGAGGTGGTGGAGGAGGTGGAGGCGGAGGAGCTAAAGAGGCCATTTGGCCGTTGCGAAAGGAAGTTAATACCGCTTCAGAAATGACGGAAGCAATCATGCGAGAGAAAGGTGTGATGGAAGGAGATGGAGGAGTTGTATTTGCCTCTGATAATTCTCGTAAACGTTCTCGTCTTGCTCGTCGTTCATCTCGTCGTTGGTTTTCATTGACGGGTATAACTGCGGACCGGAGAGCATCTCGTTGAGCTTGAACTCGTGAAGGAGGACGAATTCGTCCGCTTGCAGTAGCGGGACGTTCGTTTTCGGAGGGTGTATCTGAACGTTGAGAGGATTGACGTTGACCCATATTAATGATGAAAAGTGTTATAGATTAATAAAAAAAAAGAACCCCTTCACAAAAAAAATAAAGAAATAAAAAAAAAAAAAAAGACCTGGGAGGGGGAAAGTGACTTTCTTTTTTTTTTATTTGGGGGGGATGGGCTGACGGTAAAAAAAAAAAAGAGTGAGAGATAAATGCATGATAAAAATGGTGTGATTGTCTCTTACAACAAGCGTAAAAAAAGAAAGAAAGAAAGGGTTGCTATCCTCCCCTGGTGATGGCAACAAGGTTTTGAATGTAATGTCAGTAGTAAGCGGGTATTAATATATAAACTAAAAAACGTTTTTATATTATAAGAGAAGGGTTGTTCCCCCTAGAGAGAGAATAAGTGTTGAAATACAACTACATGACATTGTGCAGTTTACACGTAGGTGTATTTATTCTGTTATTTTTTTATATTGTATAAAAGAGATCAGAAAACGTAAAAAACATCAATGTGTTTACTATATATGGACACCATGTTCCTTCCATGAAATTAACAAACATTGATAAAGCAAGAAATAAGAGAACCCTGCTTATCATTCAAGTAAGTAAAAAAAGAAAGAAAGAGAGAACCCTTTCTATCGGATTAATATTTGCGCGCGCGCGTAAAAAGAGTAATCATTTTGCATGAATTTTCAGGGATTGACTATTATAATAATTAAATAATACTACTTTTATTTGTTTTTTTTTTACTCTGGCAGTAAAGCGATACGATCATTCAGCCATAAACAATCACCAGCCCATTTATCTTTTTCTTTAGCCAATTCATCTCGTTTTGACATTTGATTTTCTAATTTCATTCGACACTGTTGTTCTTCTGCAAGTTGGGATTTTAATTTCACCACCATCGCCATCAATGCTTTTGTATCTATTGTCTCCTCTTCTTCTCTTGACACACTCACGGTGGAAGAGAGTGCAGGTGGGCATGATGGTCGTCGCATACGATGATCTTTACCTATCGATTGTCTACAATGAGGACACGCCCTTCGTGTCTCGTTTATCTCTTCTACCTCAGTTTGAACTTGAACATGACGGAGTCGTGCCACAGATCGTCTTTTTAAGGCTGCTTCAGGTACATGATGAATCCCTGTGTTGGTACTGGTGGGTGAGCTAATACTATTCGGTGAGCAAGCAGTGGTAGTAGGTGAACAGGTATTAGCACTAGCAGACGCTATAGCTGCTGAAGCAATGGCAGGTGGTAACGGTGGTGGTCGTTGTGGAAAACTCTTGTAGAATGGTGGTTGAGGGAACTGTTGTAAATCCGTCAAGAAGGCTCCTTTCTTTTGTGCATTAGATGATGAGAATGGCGCTGATATTGCTGCTGCTGCTGTTGATGCTGATGCTGATGCTGCTGATGCTGCTGATGGAGGTGGAGGTGGTGTAGGGACAGGAGGCACATAGGAAGGATGATATGTACTGTCTCGTTCGGAAGCAGTTTCACTATAGACTCCCGAATCACGCAGGTGGTTACTGGTGGTTGTAGACTTTTTATAGGTCTCCCGATAGACTGGTTCTTCTACGATAGATTGTGTAGTAGCTGGATGATAGTCGGGAAGAGGTATATGAGTTCTTTTGGGTGGTGTTACTTCTGTAGTTGTATGTAATGCAGATAGGGTTGGTTTTTTACGTAATCGAGAGAGTAGACGTGATGCACGCTTAAATTGATGTTGTGGTTTAGAATCACCCTTCAATAATGGAGAAATAGGTTCTTCGGGACCTGTGGTTGAAAAGAATTGTGCCAACATCATAGTTTCGTGCCTAGAATCGTGGGTGGTGACGGCTGCTACCCCTGTACTTAGGCTATAGCAACTACTATGATCATCCAGCACTTCCACATCGTCTTCTTGATCTTCTTCTTCCTCTTCAAAGATGCAAGCGTTTTTCAAGGGTTTTAAGGCGGCTCTTTGCTGAGTAAACGATTTACTGGATATTTTAAACATTAGAAAGACAAAAAAATAAAAAATAAAATAATTAAAAGAAAGAAAGAAAGATATAAAGAAAAAATAAAATAAAAAAAGAGAGAGAGGATATTTATATAATCTATTGTTCTCCTTTTTCTTGGCCTATCAGAAACAGTACTGTAGTACAAAGAAGACAATTTAATTGATCTTTTTTTTTTTTTTGTTAGGAGAAACTAAATTTTTAAAATGAAAATGATTCACACGCATAAAAAAGACTTTTATGTACACTCAAGGTTTGAATCCCCCCCATATAAAATTGGCTCAGCTTTTCTTTTAAAAAAAAATGGATCGGAAATGAGTTGATCGAACCCCCCCCCCCTTTTTTTTTTTATTTATTTGGGAGTGAACATCATTTCCATGATCAGGTGATATCATGACGGCTTCTTCACTACAAAAGAACCCCAACGCGATTAGAATATTTCTCATCTTCTCTTTTTAACAAACCTACTTACCATGGCTCTGCTGAAAGAATTCATTGACATCAATAAATACCTTGCTTGCTCGAAGGAGAAGACAGGCGTTCCTTGCAGAAGAACACTTCGTTGGCTGTGTGGAGGAGACATGCAACCGCTTGTGTCAACCATGACATTTTTTACTTCCTCTTCCTAAGCAGCCCTTGGATCATGAACCGAAAAGTCCATAGAAGGCTTGTCAGAACCGAAGCGTATGGGACACGTATGAAACCTACTGGACAATAAAATATTCCAACTTATCTGATGATGGTAACAGTCGCCATAGTTACAGAGCTCATGATTGAGGTAACAAGAGTACCTTTGAGTGGGCTCGTCAATCACAAACTTTTGTTGGATGCGGCCCAGATGGTGTCCCACAAACATTTATATTTTGGGAGGTAAAGATCATTAATTATATCAAGGTGTAAAAAGTATGAACGATGTTTCCACGGTACCGACGTTACCATCGTTGCAGCCGGAATGCGCCGTCTTAGGGCAATGTCTATCTTAAGAAAAAAACAATATCATGAGAGGAGCCGATATACTTACATAGTTTTTTTAAAAAAGGTTTCATTAAATTAAAATATATAATTAGTGTTGTTATTCTCAATATTATTATTGTCTGTAAAAGATCTACCCTTTTAACTTGGTATTATTATTTACTTCTTGGAATAGAAGCAAGTCTACATATATAAAACTGTCTTTATGTTTGACATTTGGTTTCTTGATGAGGTAGTTAGGATGCCTTATCGACTTCTGCGGGGGGGGGGGGAGGAGTGTTGTAGCTGGACGCTTATTTTCGTTACGCGCCAAATTGAGCGTATTCTCCTTTTTTTTTTCTAAGTGGATTAAGGCCTTTTGAAGGTTGCACCTGTCAAAATCACCTCTTTTTACCTGAACCTTTTTAATACAATACAATGACCTCACTTGCTTTTTATTTAACCCTTATATATCAGTTTATCTTTTTTGAATAAAAGCAGCTATGATGATCACTTAGCTCGCAACTTATACCTATTTTTCTGAAAGGATCTTCCTCTTAGTTTCTTTTTTTTTTTGTGCTGCTAGTCTTTTCCCAATCCATATAGGATTGTATCATTCACAGGTACTGTCTCAAAGTCAAAATTGTAAATTCTTCGTACATGTTAGGCAATATAAAAAGAAGAACGATGGTAGTCCTCATATTCCATATCTTTTACTGGTAAATGACAAATTTATCTTGTTTATTGGCTCAACCTTTATTTGTCGACTGCATGATAATAAAAAAAAAAAAAAAAAAAAAAAAAAAAAAAAAAAAAAAAAAAAGAAAGAAAAAAAAAAATAACCCCTATTTAAAAAAAAAAAAAAAGTAAAAATAAAAAAAAAAAAAAATAATAATAAAATAAACCTCCTGTGATGCCTTATTTTCCCTTGACATGTGGCACCAAACCCTATTCAATTTGAGTGTTATCTTCATCTTCTTCCAGACTTGCTAAACGTTCTTGTTCTAATAAACGTTTTTGCTCTCTTTCAATTAATTGTCTGTGTATGTTGTATTGGCTATCAGATGCAGTACGGTTCATGCGGTTCTTTTGAGGTACGATGGTCGATGGTTCCTTGATGCGGCCTCTATCCTGTGTTGAAGACGATGATTTCTTTTGATGAATACCTTCCAATACAATAGCAGTGGAAGTATCTCGTAATGCATCCTGTGTACGTTTCACCAGATTCGCTCTCTGTAATATATTAGCCTCTTCCTCCTCCTTTAAAAGAGCAGCAGCACCCGTCGTGGTACCATTTGCCATATTCGCTTCCTTTTTCAATTTTGATTTAAGAGCAGCCGACGCGGTAGCTGCAGCCGTGTGTGGTGATCCATCAGTTGACCGTTTCCATTTTCGCCAACCTTCGAAATCAATCAAGGCCTGCATGCAACCCCATTCAGTGATCTTCTTTTCGAGCCATTCGAGACTGACGGGTTTGGTGAGGAAATCATTACAGCCAGCGGCTAGCGCGGCTTGACGATCCGACTCGAGTGAAGAAGCAGTCAAGGCGACAATAATCACGGGTGATTGAAACGAGGTTTTTGTGTCGATAGGTGTCATTTTCTTTTGCTTTTGGTTGGTAGGTAAAACACCGATCTTTCTCTCCTTTTCGATATCACGAATCATTTTGGTTGCATCGATACCGTTCATCACGGGCAATTGAATATCCATCTATCCTCCCCACCAAAAAAATATATGTGTTAGTAGTCGAACATGAACAACAACAAAATGCAGACTTACCAGAATGAGATGAAATCCACCTCCTTTCCATTTTTCAACCGCTTCTTTTCCATCGCATGCAACAGAGAATTTAATCTTGTGCTTCTTCATCCATGTTGACAAAATGGCCTGATTAATCATATTATCTATTTTTTTTTTTCAAACAGGTTTTTTTTTTTTTTTAGTGTCAAAAAAAAAAATTACTCGCTTCTTTTAAAAGTTACCTTCAACAATCAATACAGTAATAGGAGGACTGGGTTTATCTGACTTCTTGCTCTTTTCTTTCCTTTTACGGTTACTAATGATAAATGCAAGTTTCTGTTTGGGTTTCACAGCAACCGGTGCTTTCAACTCCAGTTTTTCTTCTCCTTTCCCATCCATCGTCGTACCCGTCATAGGCATCGTCGCAGGCGTCAAGGAAACAGGTGAGGGAGCCTGTACATTTGTCACAGGTGACATTTGTGAAGGATCCGATAAAGGTTCTAGGCCATCCAAGGGTTTAACAGGCGAAGCTTGACTCATATCCAACATACCACGTCTGGCCATGGGGACAGCAAAGGTGTTACTATGCGATCGCATACGACGTTTCATTTCATTGGGTGTACCCACAGGTTGTTGTTGTTGCTGCTGTAAAGGGGTAGCAGGTGAGGTACGTGCACTAGGTGTCACAGGATCAAAAAAGTAATTTCCTTTTTCTACTTCCATTCCCAAAGGAGAACTCACTCGAATATTGTTACGACGGCCTGGAGAGAATCGTGTAGGGTCATGGGGTGTCATCAAACTATTGACAGTGGTGGTTCCTGTTCCTGTGGCGCCGCCGGCGACGGCGGTGGCTGCCATGGAGCCAGAGGCTGTAGGTGGACCCAACCCATTGGGCGTGATGGAACCTGCGGAGTTCGTATCAGGAATAGAAGGAGAACCGACATGGAGGTTAATAAATGGACTGAGAGGCGAAGTTGCAATGGGTATAAATTGAGGTTCGACAATGGCGTTATTCCAAGCGGTATGAAGCGCGGTTAAGAAACGACGAGGACCCGCTGGTTTGGGAACGACGACGACACGAGGCATGGTAGGGGGTAAATCCAGAGTGGAAACCCAATGCACGATATCACGTACGCGTTTGTAGTTGGAAAGACAAGTGAAAAAGACGATAGCCACTGTACCTTGGATGACTTCGCCTTGACGTGATTTGGAGCGTCGATGGCGACGTGGAGGATTGTTGGTAGCGGGAGTGGGAGGCACCATGGGTTGATCTCTGAATTCGCGTACTTTCTTTTCCAAGGTCAAGATATCATCGTCAATGAGGATGAAAGCAGGTGGGATAGAATGAATATGGTCCTCTTCAATAGCGGGAGAAGGAACTTTACTGGAGGAGGATCGATTGGAGTTGGGAGAAAGAATCGAATGAATAGCAGTGTCAGTGGAAGCTACTGTAGAAATCGAACTTTCAGAACCTGCAGTGGAAGATTCACCGTCATCCATTTCAGCAAAGCCCAGTACGGGTACATGACTGATATCCGTATTCCAACTGGTTAAACAACTAGTTAAATGTTTAGCGAATATACTCTTTTCGTGTGCATGTAAAATCATTTTGACACCCTTTAATTGAGTGATAAATCCAGATAAATCTTCTAGTGTGGGTTCATTGGAGAAACGAATATTCGAGAACTGTTTCTCTAGGATTTGTGAAGGCTTTTCAATCAAGAGCAAACGTTGATCGATATTGCAACCGGGGAGTAATTCGATCGAGACTTCAACACGAGTACGATTTTTACCGAGATCTTCTAGGTTCATGACACCACCGATGTAGCTCAAGAGTTGGGCCGTGAAATTGGCGTTAGGGATGATAGCACCAGAGACACCGACGGGGATAGCAGGAGAGGCGGTTTGGATAATATCAAAAGTCACTCTGACTCGTGGTGTGTCTGGAATGATGGCAATGTATAACCCTAGTTCAATACAAGCTCCAGGAGTACATCCTTCCAGGATATTTCGCAACAACTAGTGGATATCATTATATTAAATTCATCATCATTTTTTCTTTATATTTATGTAAAATACTTACATTGATCAGGGCATGTTTAATCGCATCTTGATCACCAATGACATTGGAGTAATAAAGGCCATTATCTGTATGATAAATCACGAAATGAACTCCCAACTTGGAAGCCATACCAGCCAAGGCATCACCAACATTTTGAATCAACTCGCTCACATCGAAATCTTGTTTGACAGTGGATCTGACTTTTTCTTCTTCCGTAAGAGGTGTTTTTGTGTTGGCCTCTCGTAACATGCGAGAGATGAGGTTGAGATGAGAACTGATATGACACGCACCCTTGATGGTGGTGTTGATGGCAGTGATACTGGTGATGGGGACGGCGATAGAACATGCGCTTAATAATTCATGGGAGTTGGATAAGATGGAAGTAGGAGAGAATTGTTCCAGAGTAGCAATGACCATGAGTGAAGCGTCTCTAATCTCTTGTGATACGGTGGTTAAGAACATGTGTCGACGGTCGTAATAAGCGGTCAAGGCGTCGTCAATGACAGTTTGATATCGGACATGATCTCCCTCGAGTTGTTGGACGACTCTTTTTTGTACTGTCAAAAGACGAAAGGCCAAGAGATACAAGATTGTACCCAAAGCATTGACAGTGATGAGAGAGAGTGATGGTTGGTGAACGGAAAGAGAAAATAGCATGAAAAGTGAAGAAAGCAGGCCGACTTTTAACTGTTTATGTTGTAAAAGAGGATCGGACCTGCCGATACGAATCAAATTTTGCCAAGCCAGTAAGGAGACCCATGCAGCGATGAGTAACGAATGGAGGTAAAGAGTGGGAGACAATACGCTAGCCAAGATGGGTGTGGATAGACAAACACAGGTTGCTAGCGTCATGGAGTATTGAATCTCCTCTGCCAAGACACCACTCTCTTTATTGACGGGTGGTAAGGTTATATCAATCAATTTATCTTCACTAAACACATCTTCTTCAATGCTTTGTGTCGATAACCATGCTGAACGTAGATTCGAAAGTCTAGGTCGATTCAATTGGTTTTTTTTCTTGTTCGCTACAAGTTTACTATTGAGGTTAGGTGGTAAAGAGAAGCTGGGTAAACCCTTTATAAACGCGCTTCGTAAACTACTTGTGTCGTTCCCTTCTCCTTCCATCCTGACTGAATTGGCTTAATTAATACAAAGAGAAAGAGAGAAAAAAAAAGAAGGAAAAAAAAAATAGGGAATTGTTTGTTTATTTATTATTTTGAGAATTTCATCACGTGACGGATAAAGACGTCCCACTAAGTCTAAAGAGTCTTGCCCTTATAAGTAAATAACCCAATGATGTGACCACAGTTACACAAAGGCGGACAAAAAAGGGCCCGCATTGAAAGGATGACGATTATGATTTTATTAATATCTCGTTGACAACCATTGTTTGGGATAAAGTACTAATCGAGATGCTGCACTGCAATCAACTCTTGACTGAGTATAGTCTTTTGATCTTGGGCGAAATGAAAATGACCAGTGAATTTGGTCTTGTTAAAGACATAAGGGAACCAGAGTCTATCGTCAGGCCACATTTGATGAAAAGGTATATCAGCATAAGCAAACCACTCAGGGTTCATTTCTTCTGTCTCATGGGGTTCTCCCAAGTAACGTGTGGTTGTGTAAATATGCACATCCAAGCCAACCGGGTCATTTTCAAAGGTGAATAAGTTGTTTCCGATCTTTTCCATCTCGACGGCTTCAAGCTCTGACTCTTCCTGTGTAGCAATCGTGAGTATCCGGTGTTATATCTTTAGTTAGTGTGTTTTACCAGAAGCTCGCGTCGAGCACCTTCTTCAATGGTTTCTCCCGGTTCTACTTTACCGCCGAATCCTGTAGATAAATTATATTAATCAGTCTCTAGTCACTATTATTATTGCACTGTGAAAGGGGATAGGTACCGTTGTATAATCCTACACCAAACCCACGCTTCTTCATACCCAAAAGAATCTACGAAAAAAAAAAATAACTGTCAAAAAAAAAAAAAAAAAAACGTGTGCCTGTTTATCGTGTGTGAGTCTGGTTGCTGCGTAATGTACCTTTTGTTCCTTCTCGTTGAGTACGAGAATAAGCGTAAGTAACTTTTTACTAGTAATGCTAGACATTGATAAAATGTAAAAAGATTAAAGAAAGGGTGTTTGCAATTGACTGTCTTTTTTTTTTTTTTTTTTTGTAAAATGTATTTTTTTTTTTTCAGGTTTATTTATAATGAAAGGGGAGATGGTGTATGAATTGTTTAAAGAAAAAAAAAGGAACATGCACAAAAAGTCGAGTTAAGAGTGTATTCGTAAGGCACTCTTTTTATTTTTCCTGCTTTTTTTTTTTGTAAAAGTACACTGTTTTCTTTTTAACAGCCACCAATCTGTTCTACCATGACATCAATACTATCGCCGTCATCCATATCCAACTATTGAAATAAAAGGTGAGATTATGTTAGGAGAGAATGAAAGAAGGGAGCCTTACTTCGTTAGGTGTATCTTGGGGTAAAACACGAGTACCGTCATATAAGAAACGAACTGATCCAGGTTGTTTACCCTGGCGTTCACAATAAGCATCCATCAGCTTTCTAAGTTGAGTGGAACGTTTGATTTTGAAAAAGACTTCATTGGTATCCTACAAAACCATTACTTTCTTTCCACCTTTTTCTTTCTCCTTGTTTACTTACGCTACCGACAACCTTGAGATTAATGTGTTCGACGGGTCCGGCTCCTTCCTTCTTTTCGACTTTCTCAGCTGCGTCAGACATGATTAAAAAAAAAAAAAACGCGTTCGAATTTGATATGGGAAAAAAAAAAGAGAGCGTTACAAAAAAAGATTTTTTTTTTATTTGATGGTAAAAAAAAAAACACCCAAAACTGAGCCAATCAAAAAACCGTTTTTTTCTTTCCTGGTGATTTGCCATCACAATAAGAAGATAAAAAGGGAGGGAAGTGCTATAATGCATGTGTTACCCCCCGCAAGTATAGATAATTGACTTGCCATAATTGACAGCAAATAAAAGGGAGGGTCTATTAGGGGGGAGTTGACTAACTACTTGACCATTTATATGTATATTGTGTCATCATTAATAATTTAAGGTCCCTATCTACAACTAACATTCTTTTTGACAATCGACGATGGTGTCTTTTGCCAGATCGTCTCACTGACTTTTTCTTTTTAGTATATATTAAATCACTCCTCACTTTTTTAAGACCAAGTGATAGATTCTAAGTCCAAACAAACAGATAGATATGTCATACCTGCATCCCTCACTTTTGCTATAATTTTAACTGACAGACCACTCAAGAAGTTTCTAGACGCATCCTGTTGCACGCTAGACCTTGATCTTTTTACTGATATATGTATCTACCACTACTATCACTACTACAACAACAACAACAAAGCTAATTACAATTGGCATACTATATATACCCACCCTCCCTTTTATATAACTGACCACGGGTTGTTACTCGTTTGGAAAAGAAAAGACGCACACCCCTTAATGGTATATAGAGAAAGTAATCTCGAAAATAATCTTTTTATATATCACTAGGTACACCAAGGTGATCCAACTACATGTTGGTATTCTGTCGCATACCACGTAACCATACAAGAATAAAAGGAGACAAAGTGGGATACCTCATTAACACTCGACCAATATAGTGTTTATACCCGAGACAATGAAATTTGCTTTATTTAGATTTAAATGGTGGCGGGGGCAGCTCAAAGATTGACGTATTCAGCAGGCGTTTTCAATTATGCCGGAAACAAAGGAAAGTATAACTAGTGCGTGGGAGAGGGGTTCATTGTGGCAATAATAAGAACTATAAAAAGTGTTGTATATTCTTTCTTTTTCTTCAGTTGTTTATACTTATGTCGAATACGATGAAACAAGATGTTAAAAGACAATCTTTACAACCAAGAACTATGGCATCCGACCAGCCACCTTCATACACGATATCGAATAAAATCCAGCGAATCAAGTCCTTTCACGGACCAAATGAATGCTCCATTAAGCGAAGGATGTCTGTCAATAAGGACGAAAAGAGAAAATCCAACATTAAATTATTACAGTTCATTGCAACTCAACAACAACAGGCGGTTGCTTTAAATAACGAGATTGCGCTTTTATCAGAAAAGTTAATATTAGCAGAAGCAAAGGCATCCAAATGGAAAAAAGAGTTTAAAGATTTACAGAGTAAATTTGTTCAAGTCATTCATGAACAACAAAGTGTGCGAGAAGAGTTGGATGATACACGTCGTATGTTGACTGAATCAGAGCATATTCGCTCAAGGTGGTTTTTAAAGGCAACACCCACCCAACAAGACCTGCCACCATCACCACCACCAAAGAGATTACCTCAAACACATCATCACAGGTACATCATATTTTTCTTTTATATATATATATACGTATATGTTCCATTCTTATTAATTCTAACCCTTTTAATAAAGTCATTCTTTGCCGAGTAATCTGTTCCGTTTCCTGAAAAAAAAATCATCATCCACTCAATGTTAAAACCCCCTGCCAGTAATAAATAAAAACTCCACTTGAAATATATATATAAAAAAAATTGTGTGTTCCTTTTATTCCTTTTTAACAAACAAGAATCTATAATGTCCATTTTGCAAACATTACGATCAGCTACAACACATGCCGGAACATGTCAGGCTCGATCTTCCATAAAGACGAACCTCAGAGTGCCTTTGCGCAGAAACTATACCGCTGCCCCAGAAAAGTCTACTCCTCCTCCTCCTGCTCCTGCTGCTCCTGCTGCAGAGGAAGGTGGTTCAAACCCGCTTTTATGGATTGGTAAACAATCAAATCTAAAAATAAGCTCATAGGGCATCCCATTTTATTTTTTTAATGTTTTTACAATAGGTTGTCTTTCTCTTGGTGTGGCCTACACCTATTATGAAAAAAAGCAAAAAGAGAAACTTGCAGCATCATTAGCAGAAGCAGCAGAAGTAGAAGAAGTAGTAGCAGCAGCAGATGCTGTCAAAGCTTCTGGGACTGAATAAGCCAATAGAAAATCTGTAAAAAGTTATATTTAAGGCCGGTTGCATATCACAATAAAAAACGATTTCTTGTTAGGTGTTTATTTCAAAAAAAAAACTATAAAAGACTTGCGGCTTTTACAACTGCATGAAACTACGTTCTCGCGAACAGAGTCCACCGAATTTCTTGTTTGGAATTCTTTTTAGTAGGTTCGAGAGCCTAGTTAAAATTGCGTCTGTTGGGTTGATGTCGAATTTGGCATCAACTTAGCTGATTTCTTGCATGTTGATAGTAGGTCTGGTACACCTCACCATATTAGCGGAGCAAACGTTTTAAACCCGCTAGAAACGTTGTTATCTTCATATGAGTGACGCTCTCCGGGACACAACTTTAGTGGTGCCTTCCATAGCTTTAATATATGCTTTAATATTCTGGCCTTGTCTGATTCTATCGTGTAATATTTCTCACATAGACTTTTAGAATCAAGCCAGAAACGGTGTCATGAACAGCCAAGTGAGTGTCCCCCTTTCCCCATTGCAAACGTAAACCGGATACGTCTGAAATAAACGTCCGGTCACAACACTCCAGAAGCCGATAACATAATCCCATTTGGATGTATTTACTTTGCCAAGAAATAGATGAGGTTGTTGCTTTATCACAAGCATACTTTGAAGCAAGAAATGCACGCTGAAGTTTTTATCATTGTGACTTATATTCAGCTCATAATCTTACATGCTATTGAGAAGTTTCAACTTTTTGTAGTGATGTTTAACCAGTTTTCCTTTTTACTTTTTCTTAACTAGATTATAGAAATTGTTGAAGGATACCAACAACCCCTTGATGTTACCATAGGACTTAACCGGGTGATTCTTGGGCATAGACATTATCCCACTGTGCGGATAAGGCTTAAACCAACAGTTCACTTTTCAAAGCTGATAATTCATGAGCGTCTATTTGCGCGAAAAGACCTCCAGAAGGATTTTATATATAAATATATATGTATATATAGTTGCCTTTAGGTAATCATTTAAAATCCTTTTAAAGCTCTTCGTGTCCTGTGGCGTTTTAAAACCATAAATATCTTAAATGGTGGCGGGGGAGTGAATACCCCAAGGACTAAAAAGGCGGCTATAATGGCATACCATATTAGTGTCATGTATTATGCGCAGAAATCTAAACATATGATCCTTACATGTTCTCACCAAAGACTTCAACCACCAGACTGATGTCCGCTGTGGTACTGTTAACCATGGGATTTTCCGTGTGTTGAACAAGGCTGGTTTTTCTCGCTCCTTAAAAAAAAGCGAGCTGAAAGAAAAATAATGACTTCAGTCGATGAGCTTAGCAGAATGGAAATACCGAAGTATACTTACACAACTATAGCTTGTGATGTTTATTATGGTGTTAATGTCAGTGATGCTGACATTACCTTGATCCTAATGGATGTGAAAGACAAGTCTCTGATTCCTAAAGAAAGCATGACGGGTCAACATCAAAAATCATATAATGAAATTGTATTGAACTTACTCGGCAGAATGTGAAAACGCCAGTTTCTAAGGATAAGAATAGAATTAGTTTTTTAAAAGTCTCTCATATACAAAGCAGGAATAACAAGTATGTCGAAGACCTACCTCCTGTGCTTGAAATCCTAGGTTAACGGTCTATAAGAGAATTGAATAAGCTTGTATTGGAAACAAGTTATCAGCAGTTGCTTTACCGTCATCTAGAAGATAAACAGTCCTTCTGCCTTTTCTTCAATCCGCTTATGAACGAATTGGCTGTCTGGAATGAGTACTCCTTCATTCCAGAAGTGCCATCCCATTTTTTTTTTGGCGGGATTCTCCAGAAACGTTATCCATTCTGGAAAACAGATCATTTAGGAACCACCGCTTCCTCCTAAATATCTGCTGAAATCCCCATGGCTTCAGTATTGAATTGTCTAAATGAGACTTATTGCACGTACAAGCTTTAAACTCGTAAAATTTTGTGTCAGAATATGAAAAAGAGAGAAAGAAAAAGAAAGACGAAGAAGATTTTGTTATAAAAATGATAAACAAGAACTTGTTTATGTCAGGATGAGGTAATTATTTATATTGATTATTAGCTAAAAATATAAATATACATCAGACCTCTGTGTCGCTACCACCTCTAATTCCTTGTCAGTACTGAAATGTAGCTTGTGAAACTACTGTTACCAGCAAAAAGTTTTAATCTTTTAGGAAAAGAACTATCTATATTCAAATGCACGTTTAAATATAAGACGTTTTTATTCATGCTGAAACGCAGAACCATTTTTTTAAAACGCCGTTTAATTTTCTGATGATTTACGTTACACATCACATCTGAACTCTGAATATTTACATTTTAAGGATTATGACAATATTTTGCATATGTCTCTGATCAACTCCAAGGATCTTACATAACCCACTCTTTCCCTCTACATTTTGGGGAAGATTGATAGCACACATACTTCAGAATGACTAAATTGAGTGTATCAATTAATGAACGTCAAGACTCCCCATTATTGAAAGGATGACAACAACTCGGAATATGAATTCTCACATGATTTTCGACTTTAGACAGTCAGGCCTGGATCAAAAGTATTGGAAAAGGGTGGTAATCCACCATTCTATGCATGTAAGGAGCTTGACATAAGTGATTATATGGTGGGCGGCAATCACTCTCAAGGAAGTAAAAAAAGAAATTACCATACTGATAAATACATTTATTTGTAAGAACTGATTAAAATTGGATGTATGTCAGTTACACTTTCAGATAACCAAAAATTTTGATAGTGTTATTATAGGTGTGTCTACCGTCTTTTAAGAAGTAAATTTGTTTACAATCATATTTAATTGCTGATTTATTCTAGACGATGTGGGATATTTCATTGATTTCATTCACTAAAGGTAGCACAGGAAAGTTTTCCGAAGGTTGTAAAGAGTCAGGCGATAAGGAGAGTGTACATATATAAAAATGGTGGCTCCTGGTGATTACTGGAAACCATTGCATATTAGGCATGCATGCAAATAAAATGCTTTAATTATACGTATAGTTAATCAGTAGAGTAGTAAATGAATGTTTGATTTCACAACGTCTTATTATTTTAAAGTGATTGTCAAGCTGACACCATTTTGATTTTAAAAGTGGGTTATAAAGCGATAATTTCTTAAGCCAGGTGTAACTATCGTAGATTAAAGTGTTTCCATATTTGACACGTATTTTGTTCTCGAGCATCTGTTACTTTTACTTCCCGATTTATCGTTTTGGTTTTTTTTTCCGCTCATCTTTGTCAGACCCCAATTATACATACTTGATCCCGCTGAATATCATTCGTCGACCAGATATAAAAGCTGCTCAGCCTTGACAGTGATTATGATCCTGACAGATTAAAAGTTGGTGGCCGTGATTACATCTTTTTTCTTTTTCTCTCTCTTTTATCTCTCACTCTGTAATCGTGTGTCGTTAGGCCTTTTCTACTGTTTCTTTTTCTTGTTGTGGTTTGCAATCTCGTCTCGTATATAAGGCTCCCTCTTGACTAAATCTAAATATCTTACTGGTCAAAATGGAAAAAAGCGTTGGAGCTAAAGTTGTTATAGCACTTGTTCTTGTCATCAAAACATATGATCTCATTCATAAGATTTTCTTTGAATGAAAATGTAATAAAAGATTCAGTGATTATTTCACGACCAATGGGAAACAAACAAAAATGATGATGGGCTAAGCTACAAAGATTAATTCAAACTCCCTTGGAACTGACAATTGGAAATTTCATTGTTAAAAATGTATTTATAAAAAAACGAACCCTTATTTTTGTTATTCGTTATTGACAGAATTTGCTCGAGATATGACTTGATACATTTAAACGACAAAATAAAAATGTAAATAATAATAAAATTACAAGGAATTACCACGTATTTATCTTATTGTTATATTGCAAATAACAAAGAAAAGAATTCTAATTTGAATTATTGAGAGCACTATGCAAAAAAAAAAAAATCACAATCAAATCGAAAATGCAAATTAATAATTGCTCTTTTTTTTTAAAATAACTATTATCAAGAGTACAATTGGCTACTTTTGTGAATAGAGACAATTACTCTTAATTTGAAGTGTAAAAAAAAAATTGGACATATATCACATATTATGTATAAATACTGATCCCTTAACACTCCCCGTCATTTTTTGTTGTTCAGCTTCATAAATCATCATTTTATCATTGCAACATGAAATCTATCATTGTCTTACTCAACTTAATTATGATGGCCACATGTTTAGAGGCCTATTGTATTTATAATGATCTTCCAGAAGGCGGTGGTACTTTCTGGATAAGACAACAACCCGACAATGCCGGTGGGCTTTATACATCGTAAGTAATTCGACTAGTACCAAATTTTTTTTTCGCGAAGTTGAAACCCAACATTTTTTTTTCAGTCGATTTTCACGTGAGGCGTTAGGTCCAGGAGACAAAGCGTGTTGTCCTTACACTACATCTGATTGTGTCAAATCAACAAACAAAGAAGACATAGTCTCTTTCACTGTAAGTTAAATTTACTACTTCTCCACTATAACATTATGTCATTGTAACCATGATTTCATGTATAGTTCCGAAGAACTTCTCCGGGTTTAGAGTATCCTCCTGTGGTTATAAATTGTCCTGGTGGTGGGTGGATTACGATGGGAGGAGGCAATGATCCTGTATTGGCTACCATTGATGTATTCAACCCAGATGGCACCCCATATAATTTCCAATATAGAGTGGACCATCAAGCTGGTTACCTTTAAACAGCCATTATTATTTAATAAGGAAAACAAAGCTACACTACTAATTTATTTGTTCTACATACCATCTTTTTCTTAAATACCAAATACAGAACCTAATATTAATTCCAACTTTTAAAATCACTTGTACTATTTTTAAATCTTGCCCAGTCACTATATTGTATAACTACGAATATCATCTATGTTTGCACTCAATTTAATTACCCGTGTGGGCTTATTTGGAGCGCGAGCTCTTGATTTTGATGTTGATTTTTTGTGGCATGGTGTTAATTAAAAGGGATTTTTTTTACGGAATTGAATAACGTAACTCGTCTTTATATGAGCCATTTACAGGTGGCCAAATCTATAGTTGGTAAGTTACCGACTACGAATTTCAAATACCGGTGATGTAGATTATCTACATGTTGCAAGTCAATTGCTGCAATATGTCAGTTTCTTATAAAAGGAAACAACAGTACATTCGAGCTAAATTTAATTCTTGTTATATGCATGGTCAATCCAATTATGTAAATAAATTTATATCACGTCGATGGGTCATACTGTAGGAAGAGACCTAGTTTGGATAGAAAAACTTACACGGCGATCGAAATCGCTCGTTGTTGAGGTTTTTTTTGGTAAAATTTATCTATAAAGAGACACGAGGATGAGATGGAGCATCTGGCTTGTATAGTATGAAGATTTTTTTATGTGTGACCTTATGCGCGGAAAGTTTTCTACACGGGGCCTGTTATAATGTTGGGTAGACCAAGCCTAAATAGACATATAATTACACTTCAGCGAATAAAAAGCGAAAGTAAAAAATAAAGACGAATGAGAGAAGCAAGTAGTAAGCAAGACGACTTAAAGGTAGTACAAATATTTGACAAGCTGTTATGGATAAAACCTTGTTATTTGTGTACAGAGAAATAATAAATACGGTAATTTAGTAATTGTTTATGTCTGCAGTTTTTCTTTTTCGTATAGTCAATTGAAGTACATAGCAACCAGAGATAATAGACATTAATGGTTTAACCTCGTTGTCAGTAATGGGTCTCGGGTACCTGCCGCTATTTTGTTTTGATAATTATCGGATTCACAATTTTTCCCATTTATATTGATCATATCGATCGATCCCGGATTATAAGCATGGTTCACACACATATGAGGTCCCCTCACCCTCGCCCCAAAGAAACAAATATGACAAATTTGAAACAAGGGTAGCGTGTTCATGGTTAAGACAGCTCTTTAGATAAAATCGTGCTTGATGGGGTATACCTCACTTTACTATTCCTATTGAATTCGAAACTCGAGTAATTACTCGTGCTTCTGAGATCTATCGAAGTCGCGCCTTCAAATGAATGGAGAGGAAGAAAAAAAAAGGATGATTGCTCACCCGGTTTTAAAATGAAAAAGATAATCCCCAGGTGCGTTTTCATAAAAATAGTTTTTAACGTCAATTGGCAAAAACCCGGGAAACAAATGACCAAACTGTTTTTTTTCTTTCTTTAAGCGGTGATTCGCATGATTGACGAATTATCCAAATTCTCTTCTTTCACCGAAATTACTATTAAAAAACATTTAAATTCTTGGTGTAACGCGCCCTCGGGTTTGTGTTGTATTTACGCATCTTTTTTTTTTTTTTTCTGTGTCGGTTGGTTGGTCGGGTCGATCCTTTTTGTTACTGATAGTCTTTGTTTATTACAGAGTTTACGTTAAAATGTAGGCATGGGGAGCCAATAATCGAAGATTAAATAAGTTTGACTTTCGTATGCTCTTAATCTCACAAAAAAAAAAAAAAAAAAAATCGAAAGCATTTTTCCGCCTTGTAAAGGTAGGTGGACCGTTTTGGGTAAGTGTATTTCGATTTTGTAACATTTTTTACTTTTGAATAAAATCCCTCGTCATTACTCAACTACGCGTGTTTTCATCTTTCATTTCCCAGTCACTCCCAGAAATAAGCTATCATATTATATAATGACGTTACAGAATCGCTAAGTTTAATCTTAATACAGAAATAGGACGGATCTGGTGTGGCCCGCAGTTCGGATAATTATAGGTTGCAAAAATGGATGATTTATGGTCTAACTATATAAGGCAATAGTCTGGAATAACCCCCAAACTCTGATTTAGGAAAGTGTATCCTATGGCCTGAATTATAGTATTTTGTCTCCAGGTGGCTCGTGTGTGATGTGTGAAGGAGGTTACTTTTTAAACAAATGATGAACAATAACAAACAAACAAAACAAAAAAATAGGTAAAAAAAAAAATGGGTTGTTGACCTTTGGGAGAGTTTCTAAAAAATCATTCAAGCGTTTATTCCAGTAAAGGTTGCTTGAGTAGCAGAAATTAATGCTAAAATTCGTATACAATACGAGATTCGAACTAATAAAAAGATGCACCCAAGAAGAGAATATAAAACAAAACAAAAAGGGAACGCTATTTTCCCATAGGAAGCAAAGACAGTTAATGTTGTGCACATAAACAGTATAACTGTTTGCTCATCATAAGTCGCATCAGGTTATAAGAAAGAGAAAATAAATAAAAACAAAAGCCTCGCGTTGTGGCTACTGTAGTTTTTTTTTTCTTTTTGTTTGCATCAGTTCATACATTCAAAGTTGGAACAGTATTTACCCCAGTCAAAGGCCAATGAAACATGATCTCTGAGGAGTAGTTTGGTTTGCCTTTTCTTCTAGAGGTTGACAGTAAACAGTTTCCTTGGTTTCAAAGCGCATAACATGTACGTTTTCGTTTGTTTATGGGTTTTGATGGCAAAAGAACTTGTGATACCCAAACAGGGATTGAGTGACCATACATAAAGTTTGGACAAACTTGGTTGGATAAGAAATCTTGAGCGCAAATCATTGTACCAATCCAGTAATTTTTGGTTGCTACGTGAGAGGTGGGTCATGCTACAATCTGGTGATAGTCAATGTTACATTTTAATTTGGCGGAACTGATCCGGTGCCTGGTAATTTAACTTTTTTACACCGATGAAAGAAAGAAAGAAAAAAGACTTTTTCCTAATCTACACCACGCTCTTTCAAATCGAAAAAAAGGCACAATCCATACTATACTATATCGAACGTCGATGCTCGATAGTCAAAAAATGAATAGGTATTACAGAGATAAAAAAAAGGTCTTTTTAAAAAAAGGTACTTAATTCACTCTTTGTAACACTTGTGAAAGAAAAGGACGAATGACAGTGAAGATAATCTATTTTTTTACCTAAAATAAATCTAGTTCTACTGAACATGACGTCTTTTTCTTTCAAACAGATTGTATCACTTTTTTTTTATAATTTTTTATTTTCTTTCCATTGGTAGATGAATGAAATATGTCATCTTTTTTGGTTCCTGAACAAAAACAGTTTCGCGTGATGCATTTAGGAGCTTTATCTCACAAATATAGTTACACTATTTGGCTGAATGCTATCAATAAATGCGCTATCTATAATTTATAAACCTTTGGGAAAGTTTTATATTTTGTTTGTTTGTTATTGCACAGTGGCGCTTTGGTACGTGATATGAGGCTATTAGGCAACTTCTATTAGAGCCGTTTAAGGTTCTTACAAAATGTATCAAAGAAATCACATAAAGTCATTTGGACAATACTACGTCTACTAGTGGTAATCATGATTGTCGTATTTCAGATTGTCGATATTTAAATTTGAATACAAATTGACGTGCTCTTTATCAGCATAGTAACTTGCCACCTAGAATTTTTTTTTAGTTCTACCATTTGAACCTATTTCTAATTTGAGTTAGTCTCGCTGCTTCGTGATTTATACTGAGATTTGATATATATAAACTGCTATAGTTGAATCACCTTCAATTCAAAAAGCTATATATTGAGGAATTATATACTAATAATAATTATACCTTATCAAATTGACGGTTTATTGTTTTTGTTGGCTGTTAAACAAGCACACTTTTGAAGTGTCGGCTGATGCATTACAACAAATTTATGCCGGATTTTTAAAGCTGAGTGAGTATTTTGAAAGTAGTCTATTATTAAATGGCCAAAATCGACTGGGATATGGCGACATCATATGCCGATATCTTTATTGCGTATTGTCTATTACATGCATATATTGACATTATCACCGTTCTTTCTATGTTACATGCTGAGACGAGATATATTATTGCGCAGATTTAAAATTTCGTGAATGGATGAAACGGCTACTCTCTTTTTTATTTGTTATTATTACGTGATGGGTGCCTAAGAACTGGGGGGTAAGGTACCTGAGTAAAGACTTTGACAAATTTAGAAGGATTCTCGGGTCACTCATGTCGGAAAGACCCTGCATTTTGTACGTGCTAAAAAACAAATTCGTTACAACAATCAAAAAAAAAGGTTGACCTTGAAAAAAGATTTTTGGTTTAACGTGTCAAAAAACGTGGAGCCGTCGTTTTGTGTGCATGGACTTGTTTGGTAATTTTTACATACAATTGATAATCTGCTGAAAATCAAAACGTTTTATTTCCCTCCCGAGAAAAAGGGGAAAGACAGAAAAAAAGAGGGTTAATGCGCAGACCGAATTTTTTTTTTTTTTTTTTTTTTTTTTTTTTTTTTTTTCGCCACGAGGGTAGTTATATCATAGCCATGCATTATACAAGGGTTGCACTAAAAATCAAAAAGATTTTAACTACCCACGTACACAACCAAGTTTAAAAAGATGTTATTCCCTTCAGGGTTAATCACATTAATAAGAAGACTCGACCTCGTGTAATTTTGTTTGAAAGGAATATGTAATGAGGGAGAAGTGGAATATAAATAAAGGATCCCAGTTACTCTTTTGTCAGGAAACGATACAAAGAAAGTGATTTTGTTTATATTATTCAGCACTCCTTGTTGTTTCTCCTTTTTCATAAAAAGAAACAAGGTTTGCATTTCCTTATATGTTGTACAGTCCCCATAAGACAAAGTATCTTTCTATAACTCCGCCACTCATCATAGATGTATGATTAAAACATTTGAAAAGAACTCGACATTCATATATCAAGAATTAATGATATATGGAATACATAAGGAGCCTTTAATAAATGGATCTATACTGTTTTTTACAAACAGAAAAATCCATTTTTTTTCATTTACTTTATAATCGATTAGATAACCTTTACTCCTTCATTCGATATTCATTAAGCTCCATTCAAATTCTATGAGTATATTTGACGTTTCTATGGAACATACTCAAAATGCTTTTCTTTAAATCGTTTAAAGAGCACCCAAAGTCCAACTTTTGTGCTCGTTCACAAAAGGCTTTTTCATCGCGATACGGCTTCTAAAGTTATATTGTGAAGCTCTTTTCTAAACGTGTTCTTTTTAGCAGTAACCACCACATTAGCCATGATCTCGGCAAGGTTATTTCGCCTGTTAGTGATGGCATAGTAACGTAAGATTCGTCTTTCTCTGTCGGTAAGAATCGCATGTTCGCTGGCGACACTTTATTGCTGACAGAACGACGGTTCGTTCGTGTAGAGCGACCTAATTTATTTAAGCGAATGTAAACTTGTTTAAAAAGAGAAGCAACATCTTGTGTAATGTAACAAGTGCACAAACTAGGCCAAAAAAAAAAAATAGCAGAAGTGATAGGCAGCAAACTATAATTGACACGGTCGTTAATTTTATACTTCTACAGGTCTAATCGCTTGATAAACTAGATATAGTAAAAAGATATAAATAAACATTTACCCCCTCCCCCCACCGTTTTAAAAAATTTCGACCTGAAATTTACAACAATGTACGACCGAAACTTTTAGGGCGGAGGTTTCGGGCTGGGCAACTGAGTATTCTTACCTCTTTGGGTTAATCGTGTAGCATTTCTTGTATAATCATAAACAAAAAGCAGCACATTTATTAATTTTTCACTCTCCCTTTTCCCTCCCTCTTTTTTTAATTCCTTTTCTTCTTTTTTGTTTCTTTTTTTTTAAAGAAATAAATATACCCCATTTCATATATATCCCATTCTTACTTACTTGACAAGTGACCCTAAATTTCCATTTTAAAATAACTCCATGATAAATGATTCAACGACCAGTGTACACTCTCGCACCAACAACAAGGCTGTAGAGCCACATTCAGAAAACGATGTTAATAATAAATCTCGCAAATTTCGCTGGTCGTCATGCTTTTCTTTTATTACAAAGTTTAAAAAATCCAAATCTCAAAAGATTAGACTATCTCAATCATATGAAGAATTCGCACCTGTTGAATATCCCACCACAAAGTCAGAACCTGCTACTATCCAAGGTAAATAATTATTTTATACACATGTAATAAAAACCCTTTATTAAATTTTAGTTTCCTCATGTTAGTATTGCAAGTGAGACCTTGCAGCTCTATACCATGGAGACAACAACCATCTTCTTCACTTTCTCCGCCGCCAAGACAGGCAAAGTCCAAAAGAGATAGTAACATGAGCCACAGACATTCTCAGCCTGCCGACCCTACAAAATACGGTAGAAGACCTCTTGTCGATCCTACACTCACCCCTCGCGTGAAACCCAGATCCATCAAGACAAAGAAACAACCTTCACTCTTACGTTTATCTTTGGATGCCGAATTATTGCATTCCCCCGATGGAGTACATGACAACGAAAGCTTATACACCTGTAAAACCGGCCACTCCAGTAGCTCATTTACACTTCCGAATCAAGTCCAACCTTATCGAAGTGGAACTTTGGGTGCCACTCGCAATCCCAAGCTCAGTCTGACGTTCGATAATGATGTTCCACCTCTCCCTTTATTAAATATACCCAGTAGTAATGACCATACAAGACCCAATTCTCAATCAACCACAACCACATCAAACAGCAATATATCCTTTGCAGATTCCCCTGTTTCCGTTGAAGCAGTAGCCCTCGATATTGATGGTGGCGAGAAACTAACCCTGAAGCAAAGAAGACAACGAAAAAGTCCTTTATCTATGCCTGAAACTGAACAGCTGACAATAGCTCTGAAAGAACTCTTAGTGAACGAACAAGAAGAAAAGAAGAAACAGCAGCAACAAAGAAAGAGTTACCAAGAAGAAGTTTGGCGTCAACAACTCTTAGAACAAAGTATTGCGTTTTCCTTTCAAAACAAGTCAAGACAAGAAGCCATGTTAATTTTAGAGGGAAAGAAATCGCAAGGAGTTCTTTCTTTGCAACCTATTGTTAATGTCCATGACTTGGATCATCATTTTGAAAAGGGCAACAGTAAAGGCGATGTTGTTCGAGACAAGGCACAGTATGATGCAATTGTGTCTAGTTCAGCCATCCATAAAAGACAATTGTCGCACGATGAACGAAGAAACACAATCACAATCAGCAATAATAATCGTACGTCTTTACGTGCACGGTCACCATCCCATTCATCCGCCAATGAAAAAAAAGTGTTACAAACTCAAACACATCAACAAACAACTATAGAAAAAGCAGCAGCAGCCATTGATGAACATGGAATAACCAATCAAGCTTGTTCGACAAACAAAAAGACAAACATCATCGGCTCACATTTATCCGTCACTCCTGAGACGCCACCTCATCATCAGCTAAATGCTCCTTCCTTAATCTCGGCTCCTTCCACTCCCAACTCCATTGATTCTTCCGTTTTTGAAGATTACATGGTTCATGAAAGACAACACGTAGCTCTTGCTCTCAATCATTGATAAGACCAAAAAAAAAAAAAAAAAAAAACTTTTTTATGTATTTTTTTCCGTCACTCAAATTACGTTGTTTTCGGCTGGTCCGAAGGTGTGTAGCAGTGATACAAAATAAACAATAAATATATATTTAAAAAAAAGTTTATTTTTCAATGGCAGACTTGTTTAATGTTCCGCCATTTTCTAAGTACTCTTTATAGTAAGTCTTAAATCCTTCAGTGACTTCCTCAGCCTTTGAGTTTTGAGAATAACAATCGAGGAATTTACCCTCTGGATCCATCAAGTAGAAAAAGATGGAATGGTCGACCAGGTAATCATCTCCTTCACTAATATCAGGAGGTGAAGAAACGTACACCCGAAAGAGTTTGGCCACTCTCTTAATCTCCTCTTGGGTTCCAGTTAAACCAATCAAATCAGGATGGAAATCTTTCACGTATTCCTTTACAATTTCAACTGTATCACGTCTGGGATCGCATGTGATAAAAATCGGGACAAGAACATTTTCTCCCACTTGTTTTTCTATTTTTACACACCCAAAAAACCTGTCAGTTACACACATTCACATTTCTTTCTTTTCTTATACTTTACTCGTTTGGTCAACTACTTCTGCCATCTTGTCCAACTCTTCAGGGCAAATATCTGGACAATGTGTAAATCCAAAGTAAATTAAACTGAACTTTCCTTTCAAATCTTCAGACCCAAATTGTTTGCTTGTATGGACATTGGTTAAGCTGTAATCTCCGCCAAGCTTGGGCTTACCAAACGATTGTGTCTTGGATTTCTCTGCTTCCTTTGCAATACCTTTTTTTATATGACACTGTTTAGCTGGCTTTATCTCATCTCTTTGTCCTATATCTATACTCACGTAATTTCTCGACCTTTTCCTTCTCTGATTGAAAGTAATATAATAATCCTCCTCCCACTGTTAAAAAGACTGCTGCTGCCTTCATAGTAAAAGGCTACGCAAAAAAAACAAGGTGTCAAAAACTGTAGTGTGTCAAAAGTTTCTAATTGTAATACTTTACTCCAATCGCTGCCTTTTGACGAATCTCTTGTTTAGTTGTTGCATAAAATCTCATGGGAGAAGCTGTTGTCTTGACTTGACATTGAGAAAAACACTTGCGTGACAATGCCTAATATAAATAAGTCTCCCGTCCAGTTTTTAATTCCTTCCCTTTCCTTCTTTCTTACTCTGGCATTGGCTCCAAGTAATGTGCGAGCGGTGAATGACATTCTATAAGTGTTGGTACAGAAAAAAAAAAGGAGCCAAGACCCCCCGGCCTCGGTTTATTTTTATATACACGGCACTGCGGTAATTTTTTTTAACTTTCGCTTCGCTCCGGTAATCAAATGTTTAATAAATCAAGAAAAACACGAACAATCACATTTTCAATGAAATAAAAAGGTAAATTATCTTTTATTGTATATAAAATATTTCAGTTCTTTGGATAAGATCTTATTGAGTGACTAATTAAAAAGAAGTCAGAAGTCATGACGAACTCAAAGATCCATAATTCTTTAATAAAAGACACCATCCTCTTTCTGTACCCATCTGTTGAAATCTATAAAACACAAGCCTATCCCGTAAGATTTATGAACATCCATTATTTTTCTTTTGCTTGTATTTATGAAGCCAAAAGTTTTTGACGTTTTCTTTTTACCTGTTATAACCAAGTCAATTATCCTCTGTTTATGCTGCCTTGTGAGGTTACTTTTAGTAGTTGTCATTCAATTTTTCTTTATATGTATCTAACAAAATCCAAAATTTTGTCAGCACACTTTTTTCTTTAGCTGAGTAAGCGATTCTTGTCTTTCCACTGTAAAAAATATTTTTATTATAGAACATAGATCGCTCCTCGTTAAAGTTATGTAGGTAAACCTATTTAGAAACGTCACACGGCAATAAATTTACTACAACCGCTGGTAAATGGGTACTTGCTGACAGACAGATAAGTCTGCAACTCGATTAATACAGTGGCTGAATGATACAAAGGTGAACATCATATTGGAAAAATGTATCCTCAGGTCTTATTTAAACAATATTGCAGTGGTGTTCGTGCCTCCCGTAGAAAAAAAAATCTAATAACTACAACATTTTTGTAGAATCTTAGTATTTTCGGCACAATTAGGCTTAATGTTGTCATTCTTTTCCCAACTCTAACAGTCTCTAACAGGTGGAATTATAGGTCATAGAAAAAATGAGAATAGTTCCTAAATCATTTAAGTGTTACGAATTTGGATTTTGTGTGGTTTTACACGGTTTTTAATACTTCTATGTTTCGACATCATGATCCTTACTTCAAAAGTATTATCTTACGTCCATTTTCGTATCTGACGAATTGGAATATAAACTCAAATTTTAGAACTTCAAATTAAGGTGACTTAGTTACAGATTCTGGTGTACATAGTAACCATTGTGTATGCGTTTATAATATATAAGTCGATAGGTTCAATGTTAAAGGGCAACGATTAATGAAGACGGCTAAAATATTACAGATGTTTTCAAGCATTTGGTGTCAGAGACTCTCGACTGGTCTTGAGTAAAAATTTTATAGGCATATACATCTGTTGACTCATATTTGTTTATCTGTCAGACGTTCTCTGTGATCAAACAACAGTTGTAAACCCAATATCCATAGCTTAGCGATCCTGTCGGAGAAGACGTTAGTACGCCAGCTAGATGTGATGATGGGCTACAGCCGAGAAGCCGGGTTTGTGTTTGAAAGATGAAGAAGTTTAAGACGAAACTGGTGTGTAACAGGAATATAAATAGGTAGACAACAAGGCCGTGTGTCTTGTTGTGCCGCAATAAAAATATGCGTTGTTAGTGACGGGTTTTGCTAAAATAAAGCTTATGCACTGTGGTACAAGTCACACCCAATATAATTTTCTACAGTCGCCGTTTATTAATTTTTTAAGACCTTGCTTTATAAACATGAATTCTGACCTAGATTTCCAGGACACGCGAGTCCCTTCCTTCATCTCGTTCGATTCAGATTCTCCCACTAGAGCTAAAAAGTTAAAAAAGAGAAAGAGAAAGTCTCAAAATGACACGCAACCAGTGACTAAAAAGTCCAGAAAACGTCTTCCTAAAAGTAAATACAACCTGACATTTTGAAATCTAAAAACAGTTTTACTAATAATTTGTTCAGATGGCACTTTGGATTCCTTTATTACAAAGGAAGTTAACCCTACGAAGCCAAAGGTACTCAAATTACTATGTAGCTCAGCAAAATATATTAATTCAGTAATAGGAAACTCATATTTGGGTTGGCGCGGTCGTTAACAGTGAATACGGTGCCTATGGAGTGTTCTTTGGTGATAACGACGAACGTAACTTTGGCAATACATTTATCATTGAAGATGAACTCCAAAATTCGGATTATGGTCACGTCTTGGTAATACTAGTATATATTTATCGTGGTTATTCTACTAACATTGAAAACAGGGTGCATTACATGCCATCAATTCTTTAAAAACAATAGAACCCATCGTAATCAATGTCTCTTGTAGAGGTTTGCCACAAGGTAATCAATCACAGCCTAAAATGTAATTTTCTTGACACTAATGATATATCTGACTCAGCTATCACAAATCCAGACAAAAAGTACCACTACAAAGAGTTAGCTGATCAAATCCGTGATAAAATTACAGAAAACAAGCGCGATATCACTGTGGTAATGTATAAGGATAATGCCTTCGAAATATAACTCAATGTTAACTTTAATAACTGTGTGTAGCGTCATATATCTGCACGCTCTAATGTAGATGAACATAAGCTTGCGTTAGCACTTGCATCCGATACTTTAGGAAAGCTGTAAGTACACTTCTATTTTTTTTTGTATTAAGATAATTTCGCTAAACAATAATAATAATGATAGAAAGAAGGCGTCAAAAGAGTTAATGGAGGATAAGCAACCGGTTAAAGAGGATGTTGCTATGCAGGACACTATTGTTGAAGATATTGCCACCGAAGAGAGTATGTCCGTGGATATCACTTTAGAAGATTCTTCAGAAAATGTTACAGTAGAGGATACTATTGAAAAGGATGATACAGTAGAGTATGTTACAACAGAGGATATTACAGTGGAGGATATTACAGTGGAGGATATTACCGTGGAGGATATTACCGTGGAAGATATAACAGCGGAAGGTGTTACAGTGGAAGATGTCACAGTGGAGGATATTACAGTGGAGGATATTACAGTGGAAGATGTTATAGTGGAAGATGTTACAGTAGAAGTTACAGTGAATGAGGTTGCTGCAGAAGATGATACTATAAGCTGTATTGCAAACGACGTTGATTTGGAAGAAGCTGCCGGAGAGAATGACCCTATTGTAAAAGATGTCGTCGTAACTAGTGATATCATTGAAATACCTGTCGCAGAAGATGCAACTGACGTTAGCGTGACTACCGTCTTAACTGTAACTACTGTCGTAGAGGAAGTTACCGAGGTTTTAACCACGGAAACACAAGATGGAGCAAAGGAAGTTGTGGATGAGGATAATTGTGTGGGCCAGAATGACACAATTAAAGTGGAGGCGACAACCGACGACAAAAATAGTGTCAAAGAGGTTACAATCGAAGATTTAGATGTCCGTGAAATTGAAGCAACCTCAGACAGTATCAAAAGCACCCCTATAGTCGAAGATAATGTGGAACCAGCTGAAATAAATCAGGAAGATACAGAAGAAATCAAGGAAACATCGTCCTGGGCATCTGTTTTCGGTATCCGTGGCTTGCTGGATGTTCTTTATTCTCCTTTCAAAAGTCGTAAATCATAGAGTGGCATAACTCCATGCCATGTATTCTAACCAAAATAGCAAGTAACGAAGTTTACCAAGCCTGAAATAAATAACAATAGCAATAATAATAAAAACCTAATACCTTGCTTTCAAAAGGACAAACTGAGGAACCTGTCAAAGGTGAATCGTTATAGGTTTTTTTTAACAAATACAAGTAAGAGCGTCTATTTTATTTACTAATACGAGTCCAAACTCGGCTATTGTATTTGTTAGTATGTTCGAAAGTATCCAACAAACATACCAGGACGTTTTTCTTTGTGTTTTGAGGCTTTGCGCAAACAAATAAGATGTAATTAGTAATCAACTATTAAAAGTCTTAAAATACGCTCTGCTTTTTTCGTGATACTCATTATTATCACCACGTTGCACTTTTTATGGATACAATACGAGGGCATTTTAGAGAAGCCGCCCTCTTGTTTTTGAGTAACATAAACGTGTTTATTTTTCTATTGAGAAGTAATAGTAGTAGATTTAATACACAGTATTTATAAATGGGTCGATATATTTAACAATAGACAGTATACCAGAAGTTAATTTAGGCAAAAATACGTCTTCGAGATACAAACAAATATTCGTGTTCTTGCATCATGTACACGCAGCTTACGTGGTGTTTTAGCCATATTTGGGTGAATAAGCCACAGTTTATTAAAATGCCACTCACGTGCAGGAATGAAAGATTGGTAGTCGTTTAATTACTAATCAAGTGAGGCATTGCAAACACCCTCATTAATTAAAGGTTTTTTTTTTTCTTCTTTCTTTTTTTCTTCCCTATCTTTCTTTTTTAAATAAAAAATGTCAAACATATACTCTACCTATATCAATCCTTTAGACGCCCTCGTATTCGATTCTATAGTTGAATCGAAACCGTCCGATATGGAGACAGAAGCTAATTTGGCACTTTGGGTACTTGATTATAAAAAAATCATATTCTATAATTTGGTATTGACAGTTTTAAATTTTACAGACAAATGCCCAGTTCACATTTGATGTTAAGCCTGGTAGTGGTATATTAGATGATGATAAGCCTATGCCATCTACTTCTTCAAGCCCAACTATTAGTGACAACTCTAGTCCTTCAAGCATTACATACGAAAGTCTAGCAAACTATTTGGACTACGAACTCCCTCAACAACAACAGGAACAAATGAACACTCAGAATTTACAGCAATATGCGAGCCCTGTTGCATCTACACCAAGAGTGCAAACTCAGCCATTATTGTTACCCAGAATAGTGCCTGCTATGACACTTGAAGAAATAACAAAGGTCTTACTTTCAAGCACAAACATTGGTTCTACCGGAATGTTGCCTATTACTTCGCCTAACGTGGCGCCTATTGAAGTGGTCAATAATGCAGAGAAAGCGCCCGCCGAAGAAGATAAAAGAAAGAGAAACACAGCCGCCAGCGCAAGATTTCGTATCAAGAAAAAGATGAGAGAGCAAAGCATGGAAAAGACTGTGCGCGAGATGACCGAAAAATCTTCAGGTCTTGAAGACCGTGTCCGAGAATTGGAACTCGAGGTGAAATGGCTTCGGGGCCTCTTAATTGAGAAGACCAGCTCAGATTCAACTGATACCCTAGGCTCAAAAAATACCACATCGATCAAAGATGAATTATAACAAAAGTAGGCTTTATGATATTTTAGTTTTAGGTGTTTTCCCTCTTTATGATATGCCTTTTTTTTTTATTTCTTTTTTAACTTGTAAATATGTTTTTTTAATAATAAATGTCGCAACTATGATCATTAGATGACTATTGGAATGCAAAATAATAATATTTTTGTGTTCTCAATCTTCATCTTTTACCTCTTTTAGAATTGTCCCATTTTAAGTTGTTATAAAAATCGATCAGCTGGTTAAAAAATAGTATTCTAAACGGGAGAGAAAAGTTCAATCTGTAAATCAACACTCACACGTTTTTAAAGTACAAAAAACTTGCCCGTTTATAATACTTTACTAGGTGCTTCCACATGAAGATGAAGGTTATTCAACCCCGTGCATTCCAAGCATCTTATGTTTTAGTATAACCTATTAATATACTCTTATAGTATCAGTTGTTCAAGTGAGTTTTTGTTACCCATAACGATTAAATCTTCAAAATGACTGGTTTTAATCTAATTTCTCAGACTTCTGCAACTTCCCTGTATCTGGTCACACGTCTATCAGACCCTGAACTAACATGATCTACAATTTATATAGTATTGCATGTGGGCTCTATGCGATGGTGCAATATTTCTATCAGAAATGTGATCAAAAAACGTACTTTATCTTTTTAGGTGTTCCCATGATGAGTAATCCGGAGTCTTACAAATCTGTGTGACACCCAGTATGAAACTTTGAGGATTGTACAGCTGAAGAAAATAGGTTGGGCCACAAAAAAAATTGGCCCATTTCAATAAAATTTGGGACACTCTTTTGAAAATGGGACATAGAAACTGTTCAATATATATGAGTTTATTATTGTAAAAAAGGGTATAACATGGGATAAAAAATAATGACTTTAACTTAGAGGCAATTGCTTGCTTATTCTTTAGTACTGGTATCATTACTTCGTTTTCTCTTTCCAGTATTAAAACATGGTGATAAAAATCGTGAATTCTTCGAGGTAAGTTTTACTTCTGGTACACACTTTCTTACAAGTTCATTGGTTTGTTCCATGGTTAGCCTGGCTTGATAAACGGTTTTTAAAATTGGTAACAATTTAATGTTGATATCATCAGGCTCTTCGGGTAAAAACAAAGGATCTATACAATTAATTTGAGTAACATATCCCATTGGTGAATCACATAAAATCAGCGAAAACTTGTTATCTACAGGAAGATTTACCAATACTAACAGTTAATATATCGACAAATGTAAAGATTATGTAATTCATCACTTACCGAACATGAGAAAGCTAACAAGAATAAATTCACGTACTGAATTTGGCGCAAATTATACAACATGTCTTTTAGTACCTTCACCATTTTGAACGAACCATCATATATTTCCTTCGTCTGATCTTCATATCTACCACACTCGGAACATCCATATTCTAAGTGTTGGCGCTTAAATAGCAAGTCTACTTTTCTTCCAATCAACTTCCTTTCCATTTTCTCTTCTCCTGCTATCGCTCTCTCATTATTTCTGGTTGCAGAAGACGATTTGCTCGACTTTTCGCCCCTAAAGTATATAGAGCAGGAAATCGTTAGTACATGAAAGTCGCCAAAGTTGGATTTATATATGTACTAACCCTCTACTAGTTTGATGGTGGGTACAAGGCGTACAAATTTTTAGTACGTATTCATAAGAAACTTTGTAGTGACCACATACCAGAAAATGATGGAAAGTTCAACACGTCTATTGCAATGATATATAAAAAATTCATCATGTTTTTGGAATTTTGATAGAACGTTTTAACTATTCGTTAAAATACTTCCCTTTAGAATCAGGTGGTGATCTAATATGTATTACTTAAATATTTGAATCAATTGTTCGAATCACCTTAAATAATCTTCTTCCTGAGTAAGAGGATGACGATGGAAGCATGTAATTCAAAGAAAATGAATAAGAATGAAGAATAGGAATACCAAAGATGGATGAAAGACGTTGGATTAATGTGAATAAGGAGACAAGACGAGGATGGTGTCGAAGGGCATCAGTCTTTTTACGGATGTCATATTATCAATACCACCATCATTTCATTTCCAAGCCTTTCTGGTCTGCCTTTTTACTGTAGTGAGTGCTGTTACTTCAACAGGTTAGGATAATTTAATACTGATAGGCTTTTAAGTTCAGTTCCAAGCAAAAAACTAATACTGATATGCTTTAATTTTTTTTTCTCAGAAGTAAGTGCAATCCCTTCCAAATGGGATTTATATTTGGTTATAAACGTAAATCGCAGAATTTTTACAGTGAAATTAAAATGTAAAGTGATACACTTACATCTATTTATTTTGGGGATACACAAAGCATGTAAATTTAAACAGGTTTTGTGATGCAAATAAAATCCCTCTAAGCGCACCAATCCCAAGAAGTAAAAAATAATATAAAAGAGAGACTTTATTTTACGGTTCTTACTCTACGTTACCAAGTATTGTTGCTAAGGACAAGCTCTTTGGTATATCGGGATCTATTCAAACGCGAGTTTTCAATAAAAGAGTACTTTCATAATCTCCTATTTGTTAGCAACTCAAAAGCAGTCGCGAAATAGGCACAGAAACAGGTCGGTGTTTACGCCTCACGATCCGGTTTTTTCTTTTTTTTTTGTGTGCATGAACTTTAAAAAGTTTAGTCGCAACTTAATTTATTGTTTTTTTTCGTTTCTTTCTTCTTGAACATTCAAAATGGCTTCCACAGAAAGAGAATACGGTTATACAAATTTAGTTGACTTGGTACTTAGCAACGATAGAAAGGTCTCTGATAATCATCCCATCTATATTGATGGAAGTACTGAAGAAACTCTCAGCTTCGGTGAGCTTAAGCAATTGGTTGGGAAAGCAACGGCAGGTCTTATGAATCTTGGATTAAAAAAAGGGGACTCACTATGTCTTTATACGCCAAATAATGTAAGTCCAGTCGCCCTTCTGTAAATTTATCTGATAGGTTTTACAAAATAGATCAGTGTACCTCCAATTGTTCTAGCTACATTAGCAGCAGGTAATTAAATTCCTGTATATTTAATATATTACAGTGCTGATATAATTCTTACAAGGTGGAAGCATATGTCCATCTAACCCCTTATTTACGGTGTTTGAGCTTGAAAAGATGCTTGTTATTTCCAGATCCAAATACATTATTGCCCATCCTATAAATATCGACTCTGCTCTCCAAGCGGCCAGAACTGTAGGCATCTCTGAGTCTAATGTCTGGTCTATATGTGATGATCCGAAAGGCAGAGTAAAAAATTGGAGAGAAATGGTTTTAAATATCTCAAAGACAGCATCACCTTGTCAATTTACTCTTGAAGAAAGTAAATCGACATTAGCTTACATTTGTTTTTCCAGTGGTACAACAGGTAAAATCCCATTTATAAAGTGTAACGCACGTAACTTTTTAACACGACAAAATTCGAAGGACCACCCAAAGGTGTAATGATTAGGTAAGACACCCAAACAAAAGGAAATACGGAGATCACAAGTTAACACATCTATACCTAGTCACCACAACTTTATTTCAAGCACTGTTGCACTGAACAATGCAATCAAGTCTTCATCTGAAGTGAACAATTCAGGACCTTTGTTGGCTGTTGTTCCTTTATTTCACATTTTAGGTATATTTAGGTTTCTTCACCTGTCTGTTTTGGAGGGAAGGACCACAGTTTTGATGGCAAGATACGATCTCGAGGAATTTTGCGCTACGGTTCAAAAATTTAAAGTAACATCGCTTTACGTCGTACCACCAATGCTTTTGCAACTGTTAAACTCGCCGGCGATTGTGGATAAATATGATTTTTCGAGCGTTAAAGGTTTCCATGCTGGAGCTGCTCCAGTCTCTATGGAGTTATCCCGTCAAATTGCTAAAAGATTCAACACTCCAGTTCTTCAAGTAAAAAGTTTGCCCATCAAATGATCAATTTATAATAACACATCTTTTATAGGGTTATGGTATGACAGAAACATCATCGGTTTTGACATATCAAACGGTTGAAAACTATGCACCAGGGTCGGTAGGTCGTATGCTTGATGATATGCAAACAAAGGTCGTTGACGAAAACGGAAAAGGTATAACAAAACAGTAAACTGCATACATTGGTATCTAAAAAAGTATAAAGAGCTTCCTATAGGAGATCGAGGAGAAATTTGTGTCAAAGGCCCCATTGTAATGCAAGGGTATCTGCACAACCCAAGTGCTACAGCAGAGGTTATTGATAAGGATGGATATCTTCACACCGGAGATATTGGCTACGAAGACAAACACGGCAATTGGTATATTGTAGACCGTTCGAAAGAACTCATAAAATACAATGCGTATCAGATCGCACCTGCAGAACTTGAAAATGTCTTGCTTGAATGTCCCTTAGTATCTGATGCTGCTGTCATTGGCATCTATGACGAGAAGAATGAGACCGAAGTCCCAAGAGCTTATGTTACATTGGGGCCTAGCGGTAAAAAACTAGATACAAAGGTAGCCGAAGCAGAGATTCACAGATATGTTAATGGGAAAGTCACGCCTTATAAAAGACTTAGAGGCGGTATTGTATTTATCGATGTCGTCCCTAAAAGTGTTTCCGGTAAAATTTTAAGAAAAGACTTGAGAGAGTTATTCAAGACTGAATCAAAAATAACTCAGTCTAAATTATAAGTTTAATAAAATCATAGAAAGGTTATGATAGCCCCTCTGATTTTTCGAAAGACGCATTTTACTAGCCAAGAGCCCCAAAGGACATGTTGGGTGGCCTTATTGAAACCAAGACAGAATTGAGAAATATTCTCAAATGGTCGGCTCTATTTAATTTGGTTCATGCGATGGCTAGTTCCAAGCCGACCAGGTTATGGAGTATGAGCATCGTAGCACCAGGCACAAAACTATTGAAATAAGACCTAAATGTAACAGGAAAGATTCATGTTACCAGCTCAGCAGCATTGATCACTCGAACATTGGTTTTTTCAATTGTTCTTAGTTGTTATTAATAATAAAAAACTGGATTGTCGTAACTAATCGAATCTGTTGTTGTTTACATACGATAATGTACAGAAATCCATATGTCAATCATCGTGTTATGAGTATCACTGTTTTAAAATTGAAAACAAACAGATAGAACTGGGACACAGAAAAAAAGAAGACAACCCTTCAAGTGACATTATTGCGACGCATTATTGCAACGAAAAGCTTGTTGATTATCAAGTTTAGATTTATTAAATACCTATCAAGATTAGCATGCATTTTCTAAGATAGTGACGACTTGAAAAATAATAACTGATTAAGACGTGTAACATCATTTTTTAAAAAATCACGAAAGAGTCTTCAGGATATACAAACCCTAATCCTAGCTAAATGGTTTGATTTTCCTTTGCAACCTTAAAATAATTCATGACTTTTCAGATGTTTCTCTATCTAAGCCTTGTGATTCCTTGATATTGGTCAAGAGCTCACAAGGAGCCGCCGGACCCCTTTGTCAGGTAACTGAAAAGAACTTTTATTTGGCTGGAGCATGTAAACTCAACCAACTTATGTTTACTTCTTGTCGCCTTAAGATTAAAGATAAGAGAGCTGTGACTAGAGGAAAATAAAAATGCGCAGTTTTGTACAGTAAAGTGCTCTGATGCCCATTTGCAGCTTTTGTAATCCATATGAACCACGTATCCTTGGTAGTATACAGGTACTACAATTAGTGAAGGTAATAAGAAATAAATTTAGTCAGTATGAATGTACAAGATCAATTGCAGAGGGATTTTACTTTTCTTAAGAAGGTAAAAATCATGATCGAAATGAAGTCTATATGATTAAAGGGAATGCTGTAGCTATTTTTCACATGTTTTAGACTATTCTACCATTAAAGTAATATATATAACAGCAGTGGTAGAATGCGATTTTTACTGGATTGAATCAAGAAGTATATAAAGAAGGTTGCATAAATTAGGGTCCACATAAAAAAAAAAAAGGTCGCAGAATCACGCTTAAACATCATGGTATGTGCAAATGGTACATATGAATCATAATGCATGCGATGTAGTATTATGACAAATACTAGCATTTAATGGTACATCAAAAAACCAACCTAGGTAACAGCATGATGCAATGTGCGTCATTATTTTCTTCTACTTTTGGCTTCGCTGCTGCTGCTTAGCATTTCGTATCCATAAAATAAAAATAAAGCGTGCTTAAAAATGAATTTTGAGAATTATTTTTTTCTTTGTTCTTTTTTTTTTTTAACTATTCAGCATGTCGAATTTCCCTCCCGGATGGTTCTTTATCCAATCTAAATGCTCGCATCAAATGGTACTCGATGTTCACTTGGATTCGTTAAAAGTAAGTAAGAACATTAAATGAAGAAAGCCTCCCTGACTGACTTAAATAAATAAAAAAGGCAGCGGCAAAAGTGGTTGTTTGGCCCAAGAAGACAAAAGATATGGATAACCAACTATGGATGTATGATCACGGTTACATCATCAACAAGAATTCCGGCATGGGTAACGTATAGGATGTCACAAAGCTTGATCGCTTGTTAATATTGCCACATTTCAGTTTTAGACGTGCAAGGAGGTAATGCCGGCCATAAAAAAAAGAAATGCACTGTTTCATTTATATGAAATGTCTTAGGTATGTTGGAAAACGATAAGCAAATCATCCAGTATAAACGAAAAATGATCGAAGACGCCCAAAATCAAAGATGGTACTATCGTGAAGATGGTGTTATATACCCCCAAGTTAATCCCAACTTGGTCCTTGACATTAGAGTAGGTGACATTATTGTTCAAAACTGTAGTGTGTGCTAACTTTGGATTATGTTGTAGGGTAATTGGACAAAACCAGGTACTGTTGTCTTACTTTATAATCGAAAATATGAAGACAATTTAAATCAACTGTGGGATTTGATACCCTTTGGAACAAGTGATTCTTCTAGTCAAATCAGTTCGACCAGTGTCTCACTAAATGAGAAGGAAGATGAGGACTACTCATTTAGTTCGGCGACCTATGCATTGTAATTTTAATTAAAAAAAAAAAAAAAAAAAAAAAAGAAGGGGTGGATGTCTTTATTGTTGTTGTTGCTTCTTTTTACCCTTCTTAGTAACGACTTTAAATTCAGAGGAAACAGGATTCGTCTTTGGCAAGACGACGTTTAATTTCCCATCCAAATCAGCTTTTCTACGACTCATGAAATCGTTGGCAAAACGACGACCATCCATGGACTTTGAGTTCGTATAAATAATATCATGTATAATTTCTAAGCAACTGTTATCAACAGGGAAACTAAGCAACATTTGCAATATATCATCCACTATATAATGTATTTAGTCTCCTCTTTGTATGCTTATACAAAGTTAATTTTTTTTTCTTCTTACCATTCACACCAGGATTTAATTCGCGTAAAGATAATTTACACCATTTTAAAAATTCCTCACTGGGACCCTTAGGTTCACTTTTAATGGTAGGGTGTCGACTGGAAGATCTAGGTGTTGACATGCTCACGGATGGTAAACTAGGTGTCGACACACGCTTTTGTCGCACGGGTGTTTCCCATGCGTTGGATTTTGTTTGTTGATTTCGCGTATTATTCGAGACGGATGGACTGGGCTTGGGCTTAGTTGTGGATGAAACCGCTGACCAAGTATTCGATCGTGATTGAATCTTCTATTAAAGATATTAAAAAAAAAAATGATGAATATCTGTAAATATATTTTCATACCTTTCTACTTTGAGTTATTTCTTCTGATTGAATCTCGCGTAATGTCTTATTTGGTACTGTCTGAGGTACCCAGGCAGATTCATTTGAAACAGGCTCTGTCGTAGCTGCTACTTCAGCGGGCTCATTGAGTGACATACTACCTAAAGTAAATGACAAGGCATCATCTTGAGTAAATGTCAATGAATCATCGTGCTCAATTTGAGTTTTTTGAGGTGATCTTGACCGAGAACGACGTGGTGGTGATGGAACAAAGGGTTCACTAAATCTATTACTCCATGGATTTTGAGCAGTATCAATGATACCAGGCGTACCAGGTACAGAACTCCATCCTCTATTCATGGAAGGCTCAATAGGTTCGTAGTTTTGGTTACTCATAAATATTTGTTGTCTCTGTTGTTGTTGTTGCTGTAGTAATAATTGTTGTTGTTGTTGCTGTTGCTGCTGCTGCTGCTGTTGCTGCTGCTGTTGAACCATACGTTGTTGTAATAGAATATGGTGTTGTTGGTTCTGACGTAACATGGTCAAATATTGCTGTTCCATTTGTTTGTTCATTGCTAATTGTTGATAATCTAAATCTGCTTCATAAAGGTTATCCCTTTGTCTAGGTGTTGTATTTTGATACAAGGGATCATTTTGATGACTCAGCCAGGAAGAAGAGGGTGTGGTGGTATTAATATTTTCCCAAGCCGAAGTAGTCCTACCCACTCGTGAAGAAGCAAATGGTGGGTTACCAAAAGGAGATATTAGTGGTGGTTGTGGTGGTGCCACATTCAACCCATTATTAAAAGTGGGGTCATTGGATGGCCAAGGAGCTAAAAAAGGGATTTTGCTGTTCTTGACCTTAAGAATTAAAGCATCGATAGGCTCAAAATAAGGTACATCTTCACGCTTTACATGCAGGTTATGTTCAAAGAAACCAGCTTCATACCATCCTTGCATTTCTAAACCGGTAAATGGACCCTGTATAATACCAATGGGATCTCGATAAATCCATTGATAAGACCTCTGTGGTTCTACCATGGGGTTGCCTATAAATACTTCTTTTTCTGGCTCTTGGTCAAGATAGACACCGAAACTGTCAAAGTTCCCAACAGCATCGTATTTATCGACTCCGCTCCAAAGAGGTACTTCATCTACTTCATTATTGCTCATTAAAGAATACAGGTCTGATTTTTTGCCATTAGCTAGAATAAGAAAAAACAGTATTAGTCTAAGTTACAGGTGCACATGTTTATTTTAGAATGGATGATTTTTTTAGTACCTTCACCAAAATTCTCAAATGAAAAAATGTTATCGGACTTGTACTATGGCGTCCAATTATTTTAGAGACATGAGAAAAATGTGCCTGTAAATACTTTTTTTTTTGTTCTTTTGTTTACCTCCTTCTCTAATAGAGACAATGGACTTTGGTCTTGGACAGTAACTGGATACTCTTGATGTTGAATATCGTTTGGTAAATCTACCGTCTTGTATAAACTTAACATGTAATCTTTTGAATATTTGAAATCATCGTTTTTGTTATCACTAATAAAATTAGTGCATTGTGAACTGCGCTTGGGCATCTCTCCACCGCGCATCCTTTTCAATGAACAAAAAAATAGGGCATCAATTCCCGGTACAATTTCTAGCCAGACTATAAGCTCTAGATATTTACCATTCAGGTCCAAAATTCATTTGAGTAGTCATGTTTAATGTGTGTTTTTTTAAAAAAAAAGAGCTTATCAATGTTTAAAGTGATGAAAGAAAAAAAGAGATGGGGAAAAAAATAATTTTCTTATTGAGCACACTGGACCCAATCATGTTGTACAAAACAACCATGAACCGACGTCACTTTTTCACGATAAAATGTTGACAGCTCTTTCCAAATCATCCACAGAGACAATGATATTAGCTGTCATGAATGTACTTAAGTAGAACATATTGATATTGGCCTCCATCGATAATGGCTTGGAAATACATCGTACAATACCACAACGTTCAACATTGGAGCCTGAAAAATGTACTTGAATCACTCGTAAGGTCGTGCCGTCTTGCTCTTTCATCAGCATGTTTTCTTCAAACGAAGAAACAATATGTGTATCCGCTATAAGTGAGATATCTTCGCTAGTTGCCACAAAAGAACAGAATCGTTTATGATCCTCACTAATTTAGAATTTGATTGTTAGTCACACATGTATATACTAAAACCTTAATTCTTATTGTATAAATTAAATCACCTCTGGACAAGGTCAGGGTAGCACAATATTTTTAAAACGGTAATAACCCAGTCAGACCTATAATGTCGGTTTAACCCTACGCACTGTAGCTCATTATCTAACACATCCGTATCTAACAAAAATTGCGTTGGATCTACTGGCGATAATAAAGCTGTGTCCTCGTAATCCTCTTCCTCTTCAGTCACAGTAAAACACCCATCCTCTTCAACATCAAATCCGTCCTGCCGTAATGTTTTAATTACATTATGTAATTTTGACTCATTCACAAGTACAAAATCTGTTTGATAGGTCGATATACAAAATAGAGAACCGTCCTTCCGCCAAAGGCTCCGAGATTTCACTGATTCTCTTACCACTAGCATCTATTTAGTGAACAAGCTTTAGACGGCCTTGGTTTATTTATATAAAACAGCAGTTCCTGACCTTGCCCTCCATCATCATCCACTTGTAATACACGAAGCACTCCACTAGGTGCTCCCAAATCAGGACAACTCGCTGCCTCCAGGGCAGGCAAGAAATCCTGATCAATAGCTGCTTCATTTGCTACTATAGAAACACCATATCCATTTTCTGTAAAAGAAAAGAAATACTCATCACTAACACAAACAAAAAATCGTGAATACTTTCGTCCCCCTTCTTTTTGACACCTTCCCCCCTTTTTTTACCCATTGACGTTTTTAAACAATAGCATCTTGGCAATGGCATGAGTAACATGGATCAGGTGAGATCTAGGAAAATAAATAATCCTTAATCTCGCAGGTAAAATTGTAATCATGTATTAGACATTAGAAAAAAACAAATATGAAAATGAAAACCTTTTTTTCTTACAGGTCCAACGGATCTTTAATTTTTTTTTTTTTTTTTTTGTAATCCCTAAATTCGAAAACGATAAGATAACAAATAACTTATCTTGCTTATCCTCGACATAATCTTTTTAGCAATAGCATTAAACCAATTATACAGATAGAGAGAGTTGGGGGGTAATCTAAGCATTAGTTTTGAGAAAAGCTCAAGAAGCGTCATGATGACAAAATTTTAAAGATAAAAACCATCCAATGAATATGAAAACAAGGAATAATACGTATGAAAGCAGGTGAAAATTAAAAGCGTTTGTTAAATTACAACCTCGCAGATTAAAAAGATTAATTGTCAATTATAAAGGGCAATCTAATGGCCTCCAAAAAAACCTTTATTTAATTGTTTAATTGCCTTTTCATACATATTAGGCGAGTGATCCATAAACATGGTTCTAGAAAACACAATCTCTGAAAATCTAGCTTGTACATCATCACACCGGCTTAATTGAACCATATGAGCTCGTTTATGCTTGCTTGTAGCTGAACCCTCGGATTCTTCTGTCGAATGTTGGACCAATTGAGGCACCGACTCGATTAAATATGTTGTACTCGGCGGGAACAGTTTTTCTTCTCGCATATCGGCTCGCATTGTCTTGATCAGTGCCCAAAACCATTGATCATGCTCCTCTTCCTCCAATTTCTTGTGATATCTACCAATGACTCGATTCATGATCTCGTCCGTAATGTGGCTATCTTCATGTAGGCTGACTGCCACATTTTTGAAATCTCGGAGGAGACCAAGACTCAAGCTGCTCACAATATCAAACGCATGCACTACACTTGTCACCAATCCTTGTCCACAATACTCACTCAAGGAAAGCGACATAACGCACGGTGAACCGTATGTATAACAATGAATAGGTCTTCCTGATGGCAGTCCAGAAAGTTCAGAAGTAACAAACGGGCATGATTCTCGTTTGATGGAAGAGGTTGTAAAAGCATCTAAATCGGCATCTTCTAGATGCCTGGATAGAAAATGGACTTTTTCTTCGCTCCATAACACACCGAGTAAGCTTGCAACACCTGCACCAAGAGAATGACCACACAACACCAGGCCATAGCTGGGATGTTCTTCTAACCCCTTTTTAATGGCTTCAAAAACTTTGCCTTTTTGAATAGCAAGTAACTGTGCTGCCTCCAACATTCCACCATGAGCCACATACTGTCTCGGATGATTCTTTGCGTCGGTTGGGTTATGCGCATGAGGGAGTTGATCTGTGGGCAATGTAAACTCTCTATACTCGCACGTCAAATCTGTCAACACATCACCTAAGCCAAGTGTACCGCGGCATGTCAAGACAATGGCTTGTGCGCTATGATCAACCGTGACATAATGAACTAATGCATGTAACTTGGAATTACTTACAGAAGAAAGAATGGTGGTGTCTGTATAGCTCGAAAGTAAAATATCTTCAATAGCTACACCGGTATGATGAGCAAATGCGTGATGATTGGGGTGATGAGAGTTAGGAAGGACACTAGGAATATCTCCAATACCCAAGATACGCATGAATGATTCTCCGTAAGCTGCACTGGCATAACGAATAAAATGAGCAATGTTATTGATAATATGTTTTCGTGGAAAATTTCTTGGATTCGGTTCGGTATCCAAGGGAGATGTTTCCTTCTTTTGGTGAAGCTTGGCAGGTACTGAAGGAGACCGTAGCAAAGTCTTTGATGGTGTTGTGTAAAACGTTGTAGTCTTTAAGGTTCTAGAAAGTGAAGCTAGACTATTAATTGAGTTGGATTTGTGTATGTATGGGGATGTAGGCATTGGCGGCGGCGGTGATCTTTTCTTGGCTAGGGTTTCAACTCCTTTTTGAAATAGGTTCGATACGCTCTTTTTTTTGGCGAGATTAAATTTCATACCGCTCCAAGACATGCGTCGTTTGGATTTGTGATCAGGCTCAGGGTCATCTGAAAATGGTACAGAAGGTAAAGATTTTTCGTCCCGCTGTGAGTAAGATGATTGTAATGTGGTGGATGTACTTGTCATGGTTGTGATAGGACCATCCACAGTTTCTTCTAAAGTATCTTGTGTCATGACCCCGTATTGTGTTTGCCGCTCCACTTTCTTTCGCGACAGTTTTTTTGATACAGATGATAGCATAATCTTAAAGCCTAAACCCTTCTTTTTCACTGGCATTGGTACGTCAGATTCAAATGGGATCACACTCGATTCGTCAGGGGTGGTAGCACAAGAAGTAATTTGAGAGTAAGGATCAATGGCAGCCATAAAAGACTCTTGCTCTTCTTCGTTGGTTTTTTCTACAATTTGTTTGGTCTTGGGTTGATCAAATCCATAAACATCAATAGGTCTGATCTGAGTGGTTCTCGTTGTGATTCGATTTGTAGTTGTTGTGACTTCATACATATTATATGGATTTCCAAAATTGTCTAGAGCCAAATCTATTGACTTGTTGGAAGACACACTAAGTCGTTTATTGTCATCTGTATTCCCTGCCAAAATTTCTTCTAATTCGTGAATAATATCATCATGCTCAGATGTGTTCTCTTCTTTGTATTGTATCAATGCCTTTTGTGTATCTTCTTCTACTACCAGACCTTTCCATAGTACCGTTGTCTTCATATTCTTCATGGTACGTTTGTGGGTAACATTTTGAAGTACGGCAAAAGCTGTCATGGCTTTTGTCAGACCTGAAAGGATAGCAACTTTGCCTACTTTTGTAAGCGCAAAATTAGGATCTCGGGTCAGTTCACGATTTACCAGTGTAACAATTGAGGCTATCGCTCGTGATGATTCGTTCGATCCAAAAATGCCATCAATAATACTAACGGATTCTTCTGCTGCCTACGAAAAAAAAAATTATATAATCAATAACAAAAGAAAAAAAATATATAAGAGTATTAAGTTTTACCATTAGACCAGACTTAATTGTTTGAGATGTGAATTGAATACCAGATAACGTAAACAATTCAACCAATGTGAATGAATGGTGTACAATATAGACACCAAGATTTGTATATTTATCGAGCACCTGTAGAAACCCATTTCTAAAAATATATACATAAACAAAATAGGTTTAGTCTTTTTTTCTTTTCTTTTTTTTTTATCGCTTTGTTTTGGTGTATGCGCACGCTATGTTACCTTTCTTGATCGAGTGAATCTTTCGACATATTATCAGCAGTAATTACTGACGAAGAAGGCGCTGTCAGTTCATGCAGCTTTTTGGCTGTTGATAAGGCATTAATCAATGCCTGCCTTGATAATCCAAACGAAAATGATGTACTGTGTTTCACGGATTCTAAAAGCGCTTCAATCAAGAGTGATGAACATCGTAGTGATAGTCTCGTAGCTAAGGCGATTGCGGTAATAAAACTGGCTATATTCTCTGGTAATAACGTGGGCGATGCATTGTATAAAGTAGCTGAGTACGATGTCAACTGTTGTGCTGAAACAGCCATACTGGTTAAAAAAAAAGTTCTCTCCTAGAAAGAAAAAGAACAAAGAGAGCAGGCCCACTCTCAAATAAATAGTTGTGGAGGATCCCCAATTTGGCTTTTTGATTAGGCCGTCACGTGTGTTACTTGATCTACATGTGATTGCTGGGCCACTTTATGACACTGTGATGACTAGGAATATTGTCGAAAAACAAGGTCGACAATATTATTTTCTTTTATTACTTGTTTCAACAATAGTACATATTTTCTAACAAATGGAATTTCTAAGCAAGTTTATTTGTTTACTTCACAAAAAAAAAAAAAACATTTGTATCCTGTATTACAAAAACCTTTTTTTTTCTAATACGTTTTCACTATTGTTGACCCTAATCTTTTGTGTGCAACCTATTTTGATATTGGCATTTAATATAATTATAAATTCACAATTCTGGATAATTCAATGTTACAAAAATAAAAATAAAAACGTTATCTTCCTTTTTATTCTTCCTTTTTTTTGAAAAAATCAGGTAACAATCATGAAAATTGCTGTTTTCTACTGAAATCAAATCACGGTAATAAAGATTTTATATGATTTAGGAACTTTACCTGCGCCTTACAAGTAAGTTGTTCTTTTGTATGTATCCAATGAAAATAACTCAAGCAATCATATGCCAATAAGATTAACCATATTCATCGAGCCCCACCGTTTGAGTTCTTATGACTTACATTTGATAAAAATAAAACCCGCATATATGAAACTTGGTGCACAACCTCTTTTTAACAAAAAAAAAGTAACACAATCCCCGTTTGGGTGAGATGAGAATTTCACATTTAAATGAAACTTATAGTAAGGTGTCGCCTGCTTACAAATGAGCCCCTACTATGCCATGATCGATTATTTTTATTCTTATTTCGATCATTCATTACTGCATGGTCGTTTCTTCATCAAGCGTGATACAAACGTCAAGTGTGCGCTGACATTTTTTGTGTTCGGTTATTTGATATATTTATATTACTTTAACACAATCTTTCTAAATGGTCCAACCAAAATATTAACGCTACAAGCATAGGCAGAGGTATTTATCTTGAGAATATCTTCTGACATTTAGAATAGGATTTACCTCCAAAAATACAAATCTTTGAAGATATTAGATGTGGGAATGCATGCTTTCCAAACTGTTGGTGGTGCATTATATAGATTAATGTATTATTAACATTTTTTATCTTGGGCATCTTGAGAAAACTTCTTTAATACTGCTTTATTCCTTGGTAGTGTGTAAATCCGTTTTGACTAGATTAGCTTGAGCCCAAAATAGATGCTAGTTTTTTTAACTTGTAAAGACACTGACCCGTATCATACCCACTACCTTGCCTCATAGTAAAATCACTACTTGCCCTATCGCAGGAGAATTAGCCAGGTCTTTTTTTAAAAAAAAATGATCAAATTGTTGCAATGTCCATAAGAAATATATATAAAATCTTACACATTCATTTAAGAGCATGTACGTACCTTTCTAAGACAATTTAACATCATCAAACTACCATGGAAACCTCCGTCAATAACATTCAAAGTACATCGGTCAGTTAATAAATAATTATATTTTTTAAAAAAATAAGCAAAGGTATAAAATATTACAATTTATTGATAAATGCATGAAGTATGTATGCACCATCTTAATATAATAAATACCATTCGTCGTGACATGTGGGAAGGTATGATGTAGTTTCTTTTTTAGAACACCCAAGACTAACTATAAGGAAATGGAATAATGAAGTCTCTCAGGCCCCTTACTACATAATAGTACAAATAATCGACCACTGCAGGGAAGAACTAAACCTTGCTTATCCTATTTAAGTGAAGTTATGTTTGAACACATCAACAGCATGTTGTCCTTTTAAATCTGCGGCCCTATTTCTTCTTCATTTTGTCTAAACGCCTATAAAATAGGGTGCCGAGAAAAACACCAAATTAACTTGTTTAAATCGATATGATGACTCTCTGTTTAATTATTACCATTAAGCAGTGGGCATATTCTAATACGAGAGTAATTTTTTTTTCTGCTTCTTTTTATTAAATTCAATTATAATACATTATTTCATTTCGATATAGGAAAAGAGAGGTAAAGGAAAAAAAGTAATAATGTGGATGGCATGATGTGGTTGTTAAAGTTGATAAGATATGATAGGAAAGACTGCATATAAAAAAAAAGGGATGAGAACACTAAATTAAATATATATATTGGAGTTTTTTTTTTTGGTTTTTTAGTTTCTATTATCTTGGCGCCAGTTGTTACTTTGTTGACGTTGTTGTTGTTGCTGTTGTCCGCCATTGTTATAGCCGCTGTTATATACAGGCCAGTTAGAGGGAGCACGATCCTTACCCCAAGATAACTATAAATTTATTTTCAGTCTTTAAATCCCAACACGATAATATACTTCTTATTTACCTTTGCTTCGCGACCGTTAACATTCATACCTTGTAAATGAACAATCGAGTTTGCGGCATTTTGATGTGTGTCCAATCTATTATGCACAAATTAGTGATCGTACGTTTTTTTTTCGCTGAAGATATGAAAGATCTTACTTGACGAATGCGAAACCTCTATCGGCTTGTAACTTGACTTCTTGGATGAAGCCGAATCTTTGGAAAGGTTGCAATAAATCATTATCTAATTTTCCATTTAGTAAATCTTCTGTGGTATTTTGTAACAAAAAAAAAAAAAAATTACCAGTGGTGTTAGGTGGCAAGTTACCGACGTAAACGCTAGTAACATAGGCAGGAGTTTGTTGGAGAACAGTCTCGTAAGGAAGTTGTTGCCCGGGACGAGGAGGGGGAGTATCAGATTGACTCTTTTGGGTAGCCCAATTAACACGAATATTACGAGAACCAACCATCTCACCGTTCATAGAAGCGATTGCTTGATCGGCATCAGCCTTTTCACGGAAGGCAACAAAACCAAAACCTCTAGAGTTACCGGACATTGTATCTCTCATGACATGAGCATTTCTTTTTTTTTAAAAAAAAGTGTCAATAAACTATAAAAATTAGAGTAAAAAAAAAAACTTACACCATCGTTCCAAAAACACCGAAAGCTTGGGACAGTAAATCGTCGGTAATCTCGGGAGCAAGATCACCAATAAAGATTTGGAAATGGCTGGGAGCTTCTTCCTTTGTAAGTTGTTGTCCTTGTTGAGCCCAATTAACTTTGATCTCCTACAGAAAATTTTTCAAGCATCAGAACCCTAGACCTCGAATTTCAATCAGAGTTTTTACTTACGTAGTCTAAAACCTTACATCCATTCAATTCCTGAATGGCGCTGTCAGCGGCTTGGGGTTCAACATATTCGACAAAGCCATAATTGACACTAGGCTATAAATCGGACGAGTTAGGGGTAAGCAAATGATGAAATATATTGTTGATGCTTACGAAAGGGCCATGTCTATGCATCTAAGTTTAAAAAGATTGGTATGTTCAGTTTAGAAGTACGCGTCTTTGTTCGGACTAGATGATGTACTTACAGCGACAATCTTGATGTTAGCTACAGAGCCCATAGGAGCAAAGTATTCAAGTAACATTGTATCAGTCACTCTAGGAAGAGTGTTAAGTTGTGATTCTGCAAGACATAAACTATGCTCGTTATTGTTACCTTTGGTCAAGGTTACCAACATAGATTGTAGTGGTGGAAGACATTTATTTTTTTAAAAATCGAAAAGGTGAAGTTTAAAAAAGTCTTTTTTTTTTTTCTTTTCAAAAAGGAAAACTCAAAAAAAAAATTATTTAAGCGCGTCATCAAGGGCACTTGTTTTTGCACATCAGCCTTTTTCACAGCCGCACGGTATTTTCAAAAAAAAAACTGTTTTATGCATTTCAACTAATGTTTACATTGGTGGAGAAAACATTGTTGACTACGAAACTTTATTATTGTGCGGTTCGGATCAATAAGCGTTCAGAATACACATACTGTCGACTGTTATAAAATCAAAGATTACTATCAGACTGCATTCAGGGAAAGGATAGAAGTTTAATTTTATTTACGAACGTCGAAAGGTCGAGGGTACATTTCAATACCCAGAACGCAAAAAGCTTTATTTTATGCAGGAGGCAAGTGTCTATCATGACAAACTAATTGGTTTGTAAGCACTTTACCAATCCTTGCTTCTTAAAAAGATAGATGGTCACTACAAGAACTATCCAATTTCCTTGAAGCCATGGATAAATATTTGAGCATAATGTCCAAGAAAAAAAAATTGCAATAATTTCTCTTTGTCGTCCTCTACTCTTTATAATGCATGAATTAAATGAGGCTAGTACAGAGATTATTATGCCGCCTTGACCACTTATGAAGCAATTGTCTCAACTGTGTTAGTTGTGCTTAGAAAAATTGACAAATATCTTCTTTTGTAGGTACATTGATCAACCTTCCGATTTATATTTTCTAAACAACAGACCTAATCAACATCGAAGATATTATACATTCTTATTTAGAGTAGACCGTAGAGCATATAACGTAATTATGAACTTTGATATTTACATCCAGCTATGTGTATATCTAATTTGAAGTTATTCAACCTACTTATTGATTTTCCCCCCAATTTCAATGCTTTGCGCCGATTTTAAAGTTAATTTAAGTATACACTAGATGCCATTAATTTGACTCTTTGTAAAGAACGATAATGAACCTAGACAAGCCTCACCAGCGCTATCTACAGTATCACTATGAAACCTATGAAACAATCGCTTTAAGTAATCTCGCTGATTTTCAGGTGTTAGTGTACCGTATAACAAACCTCTGTTAACACCCCTAAGGACAGTAAGCAATCATTTCATCAACACCTTAACATAGCCCGATATCACTTGAATGTAAACAAACTTATCATCTCTGTCGTAGACACTGATAGTAGCTTCCTTTATTGATTGTCTAACGGTTATTCCCGCTTAAGAGTATGCACAGAAAGTATGCTTTTGTATTGGCCTACACTCAATACTTTCCAACTAGCACTGCTCTTCAGCTGTATAACGCATGCTCAGTTGTTTTACTCAAAAGTGTTCTCAAACTCGTTCGAATTTCCAAGGCACAAATTGCATGAATGACTTATAATATATCAGATAACAATAGAACTTTATATGAAATCTCACAAGGCAAACTTATCTTTCTTCTCAGTGCTACATGTCCTCTTTGACACTCCGAGTCAAAAAAAAAAGTTTCTGTTTTGATTTGATCTCTGAAGGCAAAGATTCTACATCATCAAGTTTATCAGGTCACGGTATTTGGCAATCGCTTTTCTTGTCCTTTAGGGACAGCCAAAGTGCACGTAGTTACAACGTAGGATCTGTGTTTTGACTGTCCTTTCAGATCAGGAAACAAGAATACACAATCAAAAACAATGTGATAAAAACGGACAAATATATATTGAACGATTTATGCCTTTTTTGACAATTACATCATTACTCTATCACCCTTGAGCTTGTTTGGTCGTAATTTTACACAGAAGTATTATAGTAAAGTCCAAACGAGAAGCTGATGGTAAGCAATAACACACACATACAGGTTTATCATATATTGGTTGTGATAAATTTGTATCTAGTTCAAAACGATAAGTTATTTGACCTCTTGGTATCCTAATCCAACATCACGACTACGCACACCCTGACCGTCGCTAAGGGACTGTGTGATGTTACTTTTTTTTTCTATCTTATCTTTATATGTTCATACTAACGCACAATTTGTGTTACTGCTAGCTCCAGATGTTGCAAATGACATGGAAATTTTTTGAAGTGTTGCGTTAGATGCGGTTTCAACACTTTTCGTTCCCATCTTTACCAAGTAAGGCCATTTTTCAAAAGAAAATTCTGACGTCATTCTTTTTTTATTCGGGTATTTAAGGGCGTGCCTTTTATTTAAGGAGATGCACCTGTCACCGGGTGCCACACCAAGCGGAAAAGCAAAAAATAAAAAGCCATCAAAAATTAATTTTACAATTGTTCTTCTTCCTATTTAAATTTTCTGATCATGCCCTTGTGTGGGAAAAAGTTAGAAGTACAGACACTTAATAGGAAATTAGTTGTCTGTGGTGATGGTGCCTGCGGTAAAACTTCGCTTTTAAGCGTTTTTACAAGAGATTACTTTCCTCAGGTATTATTGAAGGCTTGTCTATAAAAATAATTATCTCTTAACCGTTTTGGCCATTAGATCTATGAACCTACAGTCTTTGAAAATTATGTGCAGGAGATTTCCATCGATAATCAGAGTGTTGAACTGTCTTTATGGGATACAGCTGGACAGGAAGAGTTTGATCGAATCCGACTACTGTCATACGAAGATACACATGTTTTTTTGTTATGTTTCTCTGTGGAAAACCGAGATTCGTTTCAAAATATTCCAGATAAATGGATGGAGGAAGTAACAGAACATTGCGGAAATGCAAAGTTTGTATTAGTTGCACTTAAATGCGATTTAAGAGATGAGAAACAGAATACAATTTCATACAACGAGGTAAGGGAATACAAAGAGACCCCGCAAACAAAAAAAAATCGAGAAGGTTGAACTATTTCTATAGGGTTTAGAAATGGCTAAAAGCATTGGTGCGATTCGTTATTTAGAATGTTCTGCCAAGCATAAGCGTGGAGTGAAAGAGTGTTTCGAACAATCAGCCAAGGTGGCACTTTCAGGTAAATGAAATCATTTATTTAATCTGTAAGTTGACACTAAACTATTTATAAAACTAGTTAAATTGAAAACGCCACATGACTCAAAATCAAATTGTATCATACTTTAAATATTCAATCCTTTTTCCTTTAAAATCCTTCAACGCGTTCCTGGATCTTGATAAGATCAGTGAAAATACCATAGGCAGTAACAGCAGCACCAGCACCAGCACCCTAATCATTATATCAGTATTCTACATTATAATTTCTACCCTATATCACCTCTATTTATTACCTGAATAATGACACCGTTAGGACAGTTTCTGGTGGTAAACTTGATGATGTTATCACTACCCTGGAGGGAAGCAAAAGGATGGGTTCCAGGATATCTAAAGTTGTAAATTTTAACTATTTGTACACTAATAAACTGTCTATAAAAACATACTTGGTCAATTTGACACCACTTTGTCCACCTTTAACATCTACTAAACCAACATAACGAAGGACCTTTCCTTCCTTTAATGCTTCACTGTTCAACTTTTCGAAATGTTCGTCAAATTCAGGTAATTTAGCCATAAACTCATCGGCAGATTTGATAGACTGAAGCGCTTCAGGAACGATGTTCTCCACAGGAAGGGTTGACAGGTCTAATTCAAGTCCAGCTAATCTACCACAAATAGTCACCTAAGCGATTTTTGATTTTTAAGATCTATTTTTTTTTTAAGCTTTTACATCTGCTTACCTTACGCGCGACATCCATACCGTTCAAATCATCTCTTGGATCAGGTTCGGTATAACCTAATTCCTTGGCAATACTGACAATTTCAGAGAATGGCTTGGGAGCCTCAGTGCTATTCAAAGTGGAATAGTTGTTGAAAAGATAACTCAAGGTACCAGAAATGATACCCTCAATTTTAATGATTTCATCACCAGTCTTGACGAAATCTGTCAAGGTAGATAAAACAGGTAAACCGGCACCGACAGTAGTTTCGTGATAGATCAAAGGGGTTCTTCCCTTCTTAACAGAACTGGTGTTAACAGCAAGTTCTTGAATTTCCTTGAAGAGTTCAATGGAGCTGGAAAAGGCTTTTTTATTTGGCGTCACGACACTCAAACCAGAACGAAGCCAAGAAGGATAAAGTTTGGCAACTTCTTCAGAGGCAGTACAGTCAACAATGATAGAGTGTTCCTTAGATTTCGTAAGGTATTCAACAAATTGATCAAGGTTGGTCTTGATACCAGTTGAGTTGACGCTTGAGCGAATGTTATCCTCTTTAGCAATAGATAAAGTCTTATATTCAGCATCAGACACTACCATCTTTTGAGAGGTGGTCAAACCAACAACTTTAAGAGCTTGGTTGTATGAGGACTTCAAAATTTGTGAGACTAGCTCGGATCCAACAAGTCCAACACCAACGATACCAACGTTAACCATTTTTTTTTTTTATAAAATATAAAAGTTAAAGGAAAGGAAAAAATCTATAACCCCCCAGCTACAAAAATATTTAAAACATTTTTTTACACACCGCAAAAAAAAAAAAAAAAAAAGTTGAATTAAAAAAAAAAAATTATATTGTTGTATGGCGACTGGAAGATGTGGTGATGGTGTCTAATATTGCAGGGGCAGCCATAGCCTGAGGTGTATTCAAAAATGCGGCAGATGGATAATTTATAGATGATTTTGGCGAGTGAGCAGTATTATTGGATATAGAATGAAGAGATATAGAAGGTGATGGTGGGTGAGGTAAACTAGGCGTGGGTTGTAAAGTTAAGTGGTTATGGTTCTGACGAATTGGTGGCTCTTCATTGTTATTACGTGATCCATTTGCATAAGAGGAAATAGATAAGACGGACATTGAAGTGGGACTAGATGTCACAGATGTAGTAAGTATAGCCTGAATAAAATAATGAATGTTAGGTAGCGTATGTCTTAAATCCATCACAATCAATCCATAGGCATTCATCAGCTATAAATTCGTAGTTAGTAATTTAAACATTTGTCCCATCTCTAGATATCATACCTGTTCGATGTTTTTATTTAAAAGAAACACACCAAACTCAAATCTGTATTGATCTACGCCTTTTGCGTACAGCGGAAAGCTAAAAAAGGAAAGAGCATATTAGCACCTAAATATATAAATTTGCATAAATTATCATTACTCTCTTGATCCACTTATTAGTGAAACAACATCTCTGATAGATGCCCTCGAACCCATAGGAATGGTTGGATACCTTAGTGGAATTTCCAGATAAAAAGCCAGCATGGAGACAAGATGAGCGGTAAAACCAAGGGCTGTGGCGATTAACTCATCGTTTTGGCCATCATATACAGAATTCGGTAGATAAATACCACGAATACGAAACTGTTGCGAATCATCATAGGACTTTTTTTATATCAAAAACAATGGTACCACTTTTTTTTTAAATATAAAACCCAAAAAAGTTTTTTTTTTACCTGTTCAATAGGGTATATAGAGAATAAATCTGCAATCAGCTCCTTCTTTCTTCGGTTCAACTTGTGAAATATTGTCTGCCTCATCTTTATATTTTTTTCTAGTATTTCCTCGTTGTCTTGTAAATCGACTGTGCCTAACTCGCATCGCTCCAATGAATCCATCAGTTCCATTTTGCGCTTTTGTATTGCCTGGCGTTTCAAATTTAGTTCTTCAACTTTATTTTGGATCAACTTCTTTTGTTGTATCACTTGTGCTTCCTTTTCAACAAGCCGGGATTTATGCTGATTTAGTTCTCGCCCAAGCCGAAATCCGCGCTCTCCTGTATCCATTGTATCTTGAATACCTTGCCTTACTTCATCTGCTGATTTTTGTGTGTCAAATATACAATCCTTAATCGTGTTTAATCTAATTTATTTTTAATCAACCACATAATCTCCATGTTAACGATTACTTACTTGATTATATGATTATATGTATACGATCGCTTCTTCTACATGGGCGTTTTAGAGATAGGTCTTTTTTTATTATCAAACATGAACCTACCTTGGTTGACTGTACTGTATTAATACTAACATTGTCCAATTGTTGTTCCAAATCCAGCAAGCTAATTCTTTTATTTTGACTAGATAAGAATGTCTTTATGTCAGGAGCCGAATAAAAGCCATCGTGTAATTCGATTAAAAACGAATTCTCGGGAAACGAGTACTGTAAATCTAAAAACTAAGTGAAAAAGAGTTCATAAGACTACATTGCCTTTCTCTTTATTGGTTTTACTTACCGATTTTCCTATCCAAGACAACGCGTTTAAATCCAAGTCCCACTCCAATAATAATTGAAAATCTTGGTCTTGAGTTGGATTATTTTGATATCCTAAAATCGGTTCTGTATGTTGACCGGCCGATTCTGGAATAGAATGTCTTGCCCAGAGACGGATAATCAACAAACTGGAAGCTGCGTCATACCAGTTCATCCAATCGAAGTGAGAAGCTAATGACCGAAATGTTGGATTGGTAGTGTTAGGAATCATTTCACTCTTATAAAACTCGGGTTCGCCAGTTGTCCCTGTGTGCAGCGTCACATAGGCATCCAGTAGGCCCCCACAATGCAGTTGTTGCTCTCGTTTCTTGTAAGCTCGTTTCATCAACGACGAATCTTCCACTGCTGTAGTAGGAGTGGCTAAAGACGTGGCGCTTTCTGATCGTTTTATGCCGCTTTTCGAGTTAATCGGAGTCGATGGTGAAGGCTCCTGCAACGAAGTTGGTTCTATTTCTGAGTCATTTGCTTCGTTCCTCCACACAATATTCCGACAAACAATGGAACGAATATGCCGAATTCTACGCTAGGAACCACAAAAATGATAACCTGTTTTAGGGTCTAATGCGTAAAAAAAATCAGAATTGCCTATTTACCTGCCTTGGCCCAAACGAAGCTTTAGCATCAGACATTTTTATTTTTTTTAGTCTACTCAAGCAGGACAGAAAGAAAAACTGTTAATCCCAACAGCGAATGGAGGTTAGAAAAATAAATATGAAAAGGCGCCCTTTCAAAGTACAGTTTTCACACTTTAAATTCAGAAAATGTTAATTTTTTTTCAGACGAATCAAAATTTACTTTCAGACATTGACTTACCTTTTTTGGACAAAATAAATAAAAAAGCAGACAAATGAAATTTAGTTTTAGGATGATTTGATAAGTAACTATAAGGTTTACCTGTAAAATCTTTAAACCTTCTCCTCACTTGAGTGAGACGAGGTAACCACATTGGAGGTGGCGTTTAGTCTTTTAAAGACAGTTGGTCGGCCTTGGCCATCCCAAATGGATTGAGATATAGCAAGCATATTTTTCGCAGCCATCACATCACGATTCCAAAAAATATTGCATCGTTTACAAATCAATATTTGATGGATGTGTGAGGATTTTTCGTCAGTACCGCACCTCATGTTTTTTAAATTATTACTAAAACAAGAATTGCATGTCTATAAAACTATTACTTTAGTCGAAGGTATTGATATACATTAATATACTAACCTTTGATGTTTTAAACTCGTTAATATCAACAAGAAGTAACTCTCCAAGCTTCTCTCTTCTTTTCAATTGTCGATAAAGCTTGTCCGTTACACCGGAGCGCAAACCCTTAAACTTTGTTTGGCTTTTGTTCTTGAGTCCATCGCCAAAGATGATTAAAGGCATTTTATTACGATCCCCTTCTTCGAATTTCTCTTTATGTTCTCTTCATGCAAGTTTCATTATTAAAATACAATCATATTAAGGTTTGTTAGCACGCTTACCTTTTGACAATTTTCGGTTTAGATTTTAAAGAGTCAACTATTTTAGATCTCCTTCGCTTTTTACTCTTCTTCTTAGTTTTCCTTCTTTTCTTGTTGTACTTTGTTGATCCATTTAAAAGGATATTAACGGCGTCCTCTATACTCTTTTGTGATGCGATATAATTACACCATCTACTATTGGTAGTTCTAAACCCGTAGAAATTAAAAAGTGTATCAATATGTTGGAGAATATACGTAATGTATAGTATATAGGTATCATGAGACGTGGTTTTAGGTGAGGGGATATTGGTCTCAATTTGATCAATACCCAAGCTTTTCTTGAGTTCTTGTTCCTGTTTATGTCTTTGCGTAACACCGCCCATATTGTAGTATTCTTTTGAAGAAAGACGTCTCACATCATTGTCTCCATGGTAGGATACAAACACATCCTTCCTTCCGGGATCAACAGTACATGGCCTAAAATAAGTATTTACCTCGTCAGTGTTAAAGTCATCGAGTTCTAGGGCAATGCTTTTAGTTGACGAAGATGGTTCAGTACGACGACAGAATAGTAAGCGGCAAGTATAACCATCGGTGTACATCCCGTTCAAAAACATCTTGCCGTTGGTTGCAGGCAGCTCCTTCAGATCTTTAAGGCTAATAATAATAGACAAAATGTTTATTATTATTATTATATGAAGAAGGTTCTCAATACTCTTTCTTTCGTATGTACCTTCTAATTTTTAGTTTGGCAAAGTTAAAACAATCATAAAAATACCTTTGTGTGAAGCTAAATAAAGTCTCGTCCTTTTCTTTCTTTAAGTTTGAGCCAGGGAATATACCAGTAACGTTTTGACTATCGATTTTGATAAAGCGCCACTGCAAACCTGGATTGGGAAACAGGCTAAATATTCTTGGCGGTACAAAATGCCTTGCTTTATCATCTTTCTTCTTTTTTTTTTCACCAGATTGAACCGTATCTTGAGGTTTTCCTGGTTCTGAGTCATGCTTCTGTAAAGTAGAATTTTCCGCAATGATTGATTCATACTTGGATAGAATGTGTCTTAATGCCGGTAAAATACCAAAAGGGGCAGTATTCTGAGTTGCCTTTGTAATTGTGAACGATGGCAAGCGGTTCTTGAGCTCCACAATTAAAGGGTTTATAAATGCCTGTAAACCAATTTTTGTTTCTTGGCTTAATGGTGGGAGGATATCATCATTTAGGACGGCAACAGGATCAGATGACAGTACTTGATCTAAAACATGTTCATATACAAGTTTCCTTATGACAGATTTTTTAGCGTCCTAAGTTAAGTTTGTTAATAACTTGTAAGTTAGCGCTTCCTGCTAGTAACTTACAGGAAATTCTTTACAAATCATATAAATGAAGTAGTTGCAGATAATGTTCTGAAAATTCTCAATGTAATAGTTATTATAACACGTCGCAGTAGTTTCACAAGCAGTTGCAAGCACTTGACCATAATTTTTCAGCCCATCTTTTTCCACGTTTAAGTTTACTCCCTCTAGATTATTAAGCTCCATCCATACGTCTTCCAAGTGGTGAATTTTGGCATACTTTAACTGAAAGTCTTTGATCGACAGCTGTTTACAGACCACCCTACACAATGAATACCAGAAATTTTGCTGAAAAAATTCATTGGACAAATTATTGGGGTATTGTAAAATGTAGTCATTGACAAAGATTTGAGCTTTAAACAAAACAAGACGTAAGAAACTAGATAGATCCTGGATCTTGTTTACGGCCTTCTGTGATCGGTCATCATCATCATCTGTTTCATTTAAAAAGCCCTTTAATGGAAGAGATATAGTATATCTTTGATTTTTAGCACCAAGATCCTTTTCGATCAATTCTTGTAAGGTATAGTTATGGTTAGGGCACAATTTACTTCTCGCAGAAGAATGACCACTTGTATCACAAGACTTGCAAATCAGGGTCGATGAGCTTGAAGACGCAGTGGTCCTGTTTCTTTTAGCCACACTCTTTTCTTTTTTCGCTTCAAATGTTTCCTTTCTCTTTAGGCCTGGTTTATTTTATGAGTTATTATGTTTGGCTATATACTTGAACATATACAGTGCATTTTTACCTCTGCTTCCACCAGCAGGTTGATTCATTGTGCCGGTACTCGTTTCGTCCCCCATCTTAGCAAGTTTAGCTGTTATTTTGGCATTTATAAAATCTTCTGTAACTGGGTAAATACGAGGTCTCATATTTTTTTTTTTTGTGAAAGAAGCACTGTTTGATGTATTGTCAATTAAATCAAGTTACATTATAATGCTCAAAGTCAACGTCATCTAAAGTAATTGAAATTCCGTTTCTCCCCCTTTTTTACTGTTATAACGTATTAACTGAGGATTTGTGTAAAAAGAGCTCATAAAAATACACCTTTAAATACATTATGAACTATCAATGCAGAATATGAAAACTGTAAAATTCATAGGATACATCCTTTGATAGCCTTTGTCTGGAATTTTTTTTATTCTATTTGTATATATATATATTACGTTAGTCTGAATCATTTTTTTACTTCTGTCTGAAATATATTTTTGTTCATCTGAAATCATTTTTAGGTTTATCTGAAAATTAGTTTTCCTTGTCTGAATTCAAAGTGCTAATACTGTAATTGGCTACAACAAAAACCACTGCACACACACAGAAGACAACTTTCACATTTAAAATTCAGACAATAGAGATTTACAGGAAATCAGTAAGTTCAGAAAGGATTTGTTTCTTACCTGAAAGTATCTTTAAGCTGTCACCGGTGAAGGCACATCACCATAAATAAGCATGGCGCTTTGTCGTTAAAAGACGGTCGGCCATTGCCGTCCTAAAATGGATTTTGAGGTGGTAAACATATTTTTAGATGCCATGACATAGCCATCCTAAAAGATATATGATTTTTTTTACAAGTCAATACCTTATGAATCTTGCTTTCGGAATGTTTTAGATTTCCAGCAATTTATCGAAAGTTAATGCATCGTATGAATGTCCGTACAATTTTTACATGTCGTATAATAGCCTTTGATATATTATATTCATCTATTCCCAGAAGCAGCAACTCTCTACCTCTTTAGCTGTACTTACAACCTGTTTTCCAAATAGTGCCTGTGTCTTTTAAACTTTACATTGGATTTATTCTTTAAAACATTACCAAAAACAGCTAACAGCATTTTGTTACAGTAACCTTCAAATTTTTTTTAAAAGATGATTAATGCTTCTTTTGAAAGTTGATAAAACATAAAATTGTTACTAGTTCTATCCTTCACTTTGGTTTTTAGCTGACGTTTTTCTTCTCTTTCGCTTATTATTACCCTGTTCTTTTTTTTTTTTTTTTTACGATTTTTATTGCATACATTTTTTATACATTAATTAGAACATCCATGCCATTTTTATAGCTTTTGGGCTCCATGGTAGTTACAACACCACATTTTCGCAGTCGAAAAAATAGAGAACCTGTATATACCACCTGAGCTATACTATATATAGTAATTTCTCTTATATACCACCTGCCGGATTATACCCGGACAATCGATGCCCGGTAGGTGGTAGATAGCCCATTATACGTGTAGATACGGATTACTAAAACGGCATTTCTTAGGCTCATAAAGTTAATTACCACCTGCTCCCCCCCCTTTTTTTTTAAGGTGTAGAGATGGATCAATAAATTTTTATTTTTGACTTACGGTAAACGTACATAGATAATAGGAACACAGTAATACTTTATTATGCGTCACTTTACTTTACTTTAAATTAAGTTGGATATCGTCTCTTTTAAAATGCTATAAATGAGGCCTTTCGACAGTCAAAACAGATTAAACAGTCACAGCCGCGCACGGTTTTGTGAAAATACACACTCAGCTGATATTTTACACATACAAATGTAAAATTACTCAATTGACTGTAAAAACACACAATCAAAAAAAAAAAATATATTAAATCCTTTTTTTTCCTCAATTTGAATACAAGAATATTTACAAGTCATCGTTTATTACCCCCTCTTCAGGAAAAAAAAAAAAAAAAAAAAAAAAAAAAAAAAAAAAAAAAAAAAAAAACGTAAAGGTAGCAACCGACTACAGTTCACGAAGAGAGAAAGCTGGAGGCCAAACAACCTTAAAGATATTCAGTGAATTCGAGTACTGGACAAGACCAACAGCTTAAAGAATGTCGCTTACTGTTATCAGGGCTTACTTTCTGTATTTTTCACCTACAGAGCTTTAAGTCAAAGTTACAACATTATAATTGTGAAACTTCTGCTTCATACCCCCCAAAACTGCTAAGAAATGTTTAGTGCCGCTACAAATATAGGAGTAGATCGTCCTGTGGCTGTTGCGGGCCTTGCAATAAAGAAGACGAGAAGAATAATTCGCTCTTTAAAATAATGTGATAATGAGATTCATAAACCCGTTTTTTTTTTCTGTCTCTGTTCCTCTCTTTCTTTCACTTTCACTTTTTTTCACTTTCGATAAAATAATTCTTAGATTTTAATTCATGTAATACACTACAAGAACATAAGTTATAGGTGGTAAACTTGAATAAATTTACAATGCTAGTGAGTGTACCCATCTTATCTTATTAAGAATTGTTAGGTATATTCACCAAGAAATGTTTAAAACATGATGTATCTAAGGTAATTGTGGTTGCCTATGAAGTTTAATACGTCTTTCTGATTTGTATGTTGTATAGATGCTGAGCACTTCACTGTCAATAACTAGGTATTTTAAAAAAATATAAGGCTAATTGTTTTTAGGCTGTTTTTTTTATTTTAGAGTGCATCCGGAGTTCAATAGCAAAATCAATTTTGTGACATTTTGAAGGATTCACCTCCGACTCGTACAAACAATATAAAAGGAAATAGATTCATAGCCAGATCTTAATGTGGGGGAAGGTTTTTTTTTTTTTTTTTAAAAAAAAAAATTTCAGGATATTTATTTATTTTTTGGGGGGGGGGAGTCTAATTTTTTTTTTTGGGGGGGGGAGTCTAAGGATTTTTTTTTTTTGGATTTTTTTTTTAATGGAATGAAAGCCATTAAGGAGCAACTAAACAGCACGTCTGTGTGATCGATATTCTTTGGAAAACTTTCTGATAATCTCATCAGCCTCCATGACATCTTTACCCTTGCTATACGCGTCGATATATCTATAGGCACGGTTATAATACCGTCTATTGATTTTAGGACCGTGCACAACCTCATCATTGTCCAGAAACTCATGGATTCTAGACGTCAGAGTATAAAAGGAGTAATCACACATCATTCGTGAATATCTTTTGGCTGCACCCCAATGTCTTTCAATCCAGTTAGTCTCACAGTGATACTTTGGGTATAATGTAAAGAGGTGACCAGCCTCGAACGTCACAGTCTCCAACATATTCTTCTGTGCCAAAAAATCAGGTTGCTGAGAAAGCAAGTACTCAGCACAGCAGCCAGGTCGAACAGCAGGATCATGCACTGTACCAGAAGGGCATACCTTGCGCAGCGAAGCATTCTTGTCCAACAAGCCGCGCTCCCTCAACAAAATGAGCGTGCCTCTGAAGACCTCACGTGCCTACAAAATATAATGTAATCATTGAAATTTAGATTTTCATGTCATGTATTAAGTTCAAATATTTACTCTTGGAAGCCTGTATTGATTCATGAGGTCTTCAAAGGACACTGGTTGCTGCTTTGCCCTTCTGGTAGCAACAATCTTCTTCACGGCTTCCATATTCACCGTCTCGGTCCGGTACATGGGCTGGGCCTTCACTCGACCTTCCTTATCAGTAAAAGTGGTATCCCGAAACCTATACTTATTTGTATCTTTATACTCGGTGACACCGGAACTCATCCTTGAGGCAACAAGAGCATCATCAGCCATGGCTTTGTGGTTAGAGCTCTGGTCAAAGGCAAAGATACCAATACAATCAGGATGTAATTCATTAAAAAGAGGAATTACATCTTTTAATTGATTAGTTAAATCAATGTTCGTCCAATAACCATCACCGTTACTGTTACCAGGAAGAAAGATAACTCTTGAAGTTATTTCAATACCATTGACGGTACCTCTCATTGTTCCATGGCAAGGACACATAAACGAGCTAACCATAACAGATCTTCCTTGGCCCTTAGGAATGATCATGGATTCGTTCTTCTCACACCAACGAGTGACTTTACAATCATTTGAATAAAATATTGATTCGTCGTGAGTAACTAAAACCATCTTCTTTTCATTTTCCTTCAGGTTAGGTTGAACTGGTTCTGAATTCTCATCGTCGAGTGTATAGGTTTCCATACGTTTGTGCCATTCCATCATTTGTTGGGCCCACTTAATACGATAAGAAATGACGTCCGGCCGTTCATGTCCATCAAAGTAACATTGATCTTTTCCTATGCACATACCACAAAAAAACATTAAAGTTTAACCATTAGTAACTATTAATTAATTGCAACTTGTATTTACCTGTCTTGTATTCGAACCCCCATGACTTCAGGTAAGTTGACAAAGCATCATTTGACAGAGGATGTACTTCATCATTTACAATCACATCTGCATCAACCTGTACTTCCGTCGTCATGGCCAAGACCTCCGGTAAGACGTGCTGTCTTAAATAAAGTCGAAGAGCCGGGATACTTCTAAATGTGGCTTTCTGGCCACGAATCCACTCCACGCATTTCTCTTTCACAAAAGGATCACTCAGGATTGATCTCCTCTTCGCATGCTTTCCTTGTTGGTGGAGAGGGATACTTCCGGTCTCCAAGTAAAGCCCCAACCAAATACGGGCTACGCGAAAACGGTAAAATTTTGATGGATCGTGCCAGGAGTTGTTGACCGCACGATCTGCTGCATCAGAATACGCTTCACCCGCCAAAAGAAGCACCATCATTTCCTTCACAATCTTGTATTTCAGATACTGAGTGACACCTTCCATATGTTGTTCACCAGTAGATGCATTACAAAGAACCAATTTTGGATCAATGAGTGGCAACATTGTATGGATTTTTTCCAATGTTGCTTCATCAGGGAATCTGGACTTGTATGGCCCCTTTTTCTTCTTCATAATGGGTGCAAGTTTTTTGGTCAACTTGAAAAAATCGGTCAAGGAACGTGTGCCCACAGCGGCTTTCTTCCAAGCAGACTTCTTTCGACTGATAGTTTCGCGTGCGTATTCAATTTTACGCGTGTATCTCTGCGCACCAGTGGTCTCACTAGCGTTTTTCCACGAGATGGGCATAACTTCGACATCACCTTGAACATCTTCGGAATGGTGAATTTCAACATCGCTGAACTCTCTCACAGCAGCCTCAGCAGCCTCAGCAGCCTCAGCAGCAAGCATTGCAGCTTTCTCTAACGTTGCAGCTCTAACTTTTTTTCCTTGGTTCATTCTTTTTCTTGATTTAGCCATTGGATATGTTATTGTTTGTTTTGATAGATGATAAAAACTTTGCAAAACGTCAAAAATTAAACACTCAATCCCAAACCTTAAAAATTATATGATTCAAACTCCTATAGAGTTTCGTATGGAACTTTAATATAATATTACTAATCTTTCAGTCAATTTATCAATTGGCGCAGACTATTATAACATATTCATATATTTACAAATAAGCTCTTTTAATTAAAAGAGAATATACTTAATACAAAAATGATGGCAAGTACTTCAAAGATTTTCCCCATATAGCAGCTAAATCTTGCTGCGTTTAAAATATAAAAGATTTGGGGGGGACAGTTATTGACACTTAAAAGGGAGTTTGCACCTTGTTTGGATATTTCTTGCAATTGGCGTTAACTAATACAAATTTAAAACATATATTATAAGCTACATCTTCAATTAATAAGGATTCTACTTAGTATCAAAATGACGAGGAGCATTTTAAAAAAAAAATTATTTATATCAGCCATCGGATTGGAGCGGGCTGTGTTACAATTGGTCTTGAGCTATGGTAATTTGAAAGACATATTTCTCACCCTTTATGTACTTTTTTTTTGTTGGCGGTGACAAGAACAGATTAAAAGTATTATTTATAATATGTATATCAATTTTAAAAAGATTCTACTTAGTATCAAAATCACGGGGAACATTTCAATGTTTTTTTTATTTATATCAGCCATCGGATTGGAGTGGGCTGTGTTACAATTGGTCTTTTGAGTAATGGAAATTTTAAAGACATATTTCTCACCCTTTATGTACTTTTTTTTTGTTGGCGGTGACAAGAACAGATTAAAAGTATTATTTATAATGTATATATCAATTTTAAAAAGATTCTACTTAGTATCAAAATCACGGGGAACATTTCAATGTTTTTTTTTATTTATATCAGCCATCGGATTGGAGTGGGCTGTGTTACAATTGGTCTTTTGAGTAATGGAAATTTTAAAGACATATTTCTCACCCTTTATGTACTTTTTTTTGTTGGCGGTGACAAGAACAGATTAAAAGTATTATTTATAATATATATATCAATTTTAAAAAGATTCTACTTAGTATCAAAATCACGGGGAACATTTTGAAGAGTTTCTTCAGCATAAAAATTTAATCAGATTATGTAACGCTGTGATTCAATTGTTTTAGATTTGATGATCAGTGTCATAAATGTTTGCAAGAAAGGTCATTTGCCTTCTGTTTACTTTAGTATAACGCGCTTAATATTACAGCATAAAAACATAATAAGCAACGAGATTCTTAAATTTCAAAGAATTATAATCAGTACAGAAATGCTAGTGAACATTCTAAAGCCTTTGTCCGTCAATAAGAACATCCGATAAGAGCTCGCTGCGTTTAAACAATTTGTCCTTTCTTAAAAAACCTGAAATGAATAACGGCATTTTTTTATTAATTTTGGGCAAAGAGAATATTAATTACATGTCTAGATTTGTTTGTGAACTTTATCATCTAAGTACATGGCCAGCTTAAGTATGCCTGCTGGCGGTAATTAGATTTTTGGCGGCAGATGCTTTAGTTTAAATGTCAGAAACGGTGAATTAAATATCCGGAGCAATCCTATTGGCTAAAATAAAAAAAATTGTTCAAATTTTGGCTGTATGTGACAAGTTGAAGCCCCCCCACCTAAAATCACTTTGTAAAAATGGAGATTCGGCTTGCTTTTCTCACAAAAAAATTGTGTAGAACTGTTTTAACTATCATTTAAAACGTATAATAGTGAGCAAAAAAAAATTTAATAATGAAAAAAAAAGGTTGGATTGATTCGAAAGTACCTCCCTGCTTAAAAAAAAAATTTTACTATTGAACTCCGGATGCACTCTATCTTTAAACATTTCCAGATGGAAGGAGATAAGAACAATTCCTGTATATGTTTAATGTCGTAACGGAAGAAGAATTTCAATACTTTCTTTTGTCTTGCTATCAGGTAAAAAAAAACGAGAGGGGACAAAGAGAAAATGACTCACATCCAGTTTTAAATGGGGTGCTTTGAATATAGTGAAAAACGACCTACTCTGCGCTTCATTGGGTTTGACTACATTATTCTTGCACTAGATGGTTTGATAGTCTTTAGCGTCCTTGTGACTTGGGTCTCTTTGTTATTTCATTGAGGTCGACAACTACTGTACAATTAGCTACATCACTTTTGCACTGGATGATTTTGGTAGTCTTTAGCGTCTTTGTGACTTGGGTCTCTTTGTTATTTCATTGAGGTCGACAACTACTGTATTATCAGCTACATCACTTTTGCACTGGTTGATTTTGATAGTCTTTAGCGTCTTTGTGACTTGGGTCTCTTTGTTATTTCATTGAGGTCGATAACTACTGTTCTGTACCCTTTTTTAAGCAAAATAGGTGCTTGCGTCCTCGTAGCTTGGGTCCTTCTGTAGAGTCTTTGCTCTAATGAGGCCGATATTTACTCGACTATTGTGCTTGGTAGGTGTGGTCTACATAACTAAACTTCCCGTTTAACATTTTATCTTATTAAACCTCGCCAGATCATTTCGATAATTGTTGGACGAAGGAAAAGCATTGTGCTAGGAATATTAAAGAATTTCGAGACGTGCAGCGATATCCAATTATATGCAAAGAGTGATCATGGGAAGCTTTGGTGTCGCAGGAAATACACAACTAGAACTTAGACGGAGAGAAGAGTTACAAGCATTAACTAGGTTTAGAACTGGCTATTTCTGTTGTAATAAAATAATTACCGCATTATATAAGAATGGATAATCATATAAAATTGTCACGAATTGCGCATCATTCTACTATTTATTATCACAGCCGCTGATGGTTGTGCGTAAGATTCTTAACCTCATGTCTATGTCTAGTAAAATATTAAAAACTAGATAATGTTCGGTTCCTGAATAAAAATACACGCGCTAAAAAAAATTAGTCATATCGTGTGTTGAGTGTGGATTAAATTTCGTTTGCTTATTGGTGAAACATACGAAGGGTAGATGATTCAATGGTAATAGAATTAAAGAGATTGCCATAGAAGCTAGAATCCCAGTGCGAAGACCATGTAGCAAGAATGAAACAAGATAATGGAGGAGAGATGAAGAACTATTTGAAATGTGGTATTTGACAAAAATAATGCACTTGACAAATAATGAGATAAAAAGAACTCTGCTGCTATGAAATAATTGATCCTTTTTTTTATTGCACAACTCTCCTGGGTGTTAATGATGAGTCAACCTTTCTGGTTTTGGAATAGATCTATACTTTGTTTCCCGCCTTGGATTAAATGAATACTACTCGTTAGAAATGTTTTCAGTTAACGTTGTCCCATAGTTAGAATCAAAACTTTCAGTCGGTTCCCAGGTATCATGCCTCGAATCATAACCTTTCCAATTAACTTTGTATTAATAATTTCCGGCTTGACCTCTATGATTCGTAATCGCCTGTACCTCATAGTGTAACTCGGTTTTATTTTTCGGTTTTACGTTAGATGTAGATGCTAATTTTATATGTGACGTAGGTATACCTCTTGTCAACAGAGCCCCTGACTTGTCTACTAGAATGTAGCTGCCATTGGACGTGTAATTTGATACAGTGAAAGGTCCTTCATATCTGGGCTCAGTTTTGAAGTTACGTAGTACGTTTTTTATCATAACTTCACTGCCGATGGGGAATAGCGTATAGATTATTTTATTTCTTTTCATAAAATATTTATTATCGGCACCTTGCGTTTCTTTGATGCGTTTTTTCAAAGCTGGTATAATAAGGTTTGTAACTTGATCGAGTTTTTCTTTATTAGCTTTTGGATCAATCGTCTTATTAGTCACGTACCCTGTGTCTTTGGAGTAGTCAGCGTCAAAATCATTAGGTTATCTATTAAACATGACTCCACTTCATTTTCATAGCATAATAAGATAAAAGCTAAAAATAGAATTAAGCGGTTTGGCGACCTTGACAGATTGGCCAGAGTAATTTTAGGAAGCAATAGACCCTTTGAAGGGGAGCATACAGTAGTTCTAAAATTTCTGTTAGATGGGCCTCAAGTAGAATGTGGTAGGAGCTACCCCAGAAAGGATCGCCTCCACAAATAATTGAACCGCAGGAATGAGTAGCGGATTCCTCCATATTTCGAGGTTCCATGATCTAAAATTTCAGATAAATTAAGTTTGGAAATATTACAGTAATTAATATAGCTTGCTAGAACCTCTTTCCACAAACAATACAATACTTCAATTATCGAATGACTCTGCTCCCAGCATTTTCAAAAATATGATTGGTACAAGATGTTGAAATTTTGGAAGCTGACACCTAGTTTATCTTGCAAATCCTCCTTTTTAGAGGGGACAGTCTTTGGACTTTTTTTTATGTCCCGTCTGTTTGCAGTTTTTACACACTTCAGCTTTAAAGTTCGAGACAGTCTTTCTTCTTTTTATTCGTTTTTTTTTTGCAGTCTCAAGAGTTAGATTTTTTTTTTCATTCTATTAGCTATAAACATGTTAAGATACGGCACTAAAAACCATTAATGGCATCACAGAGTTATCATCATTTGCAGAATCTTTTTTATAAAGAAACACTTAAAACATGTCTTGTTCACATGTTCTTCCTTTATAGCAGTTTATACATGTATGTGAACAATAACAGTATTTACTTAGGAGTTACAATATTACTATATTTCGGTTAGGTAAAAGTAGCTTTTACTTTATTCAAACCGTGCTACTTATTCCCATCTTTATTTAGCTTAATAATATTTATATTCTTTTTGATAAGTAAGCTGATAAATTGACTACAGAAACATAAAATATTGAATAGTTTGTGCCTGGTCGTCGAAAGATACCAATACCAAAACCTCAGTAACATTTGATGCCATCATTCGTCCCTGTGTCTGTTATCATAAGATCCTCGGGCCTCGTCATAATTTAAAAAGCTATTTCTGTTTGTTCTTTTCGAGCCCTTGATAATATTCCTTTTGTATATATATACATAATTCTGGGAGTTTATTTGTGTAATGTTTGTAACCCACACAAAATTGCCAAAATTAAAAACTGGTTGTGTAGACCAATTTTTTTATCGTGACCGACAACATAGTTTTGGCTCCTGTATGAGGTCTACTGTAAAAAAAAATAACTGATTACAATAAAAAAGGATTGATCTTTTTCCAAATCCAAGAAGTGGTATAAGATGTTTATGTTTCCATGCAACGTGGAATATGTCTACTTTTGGTGTTGTTGCATGCAAAATAATAAGTCTTCAGAAAGTGCCAGCAACGATGTGGAGATACCTGTAGTAATGAAACCAAAAAATGATGCTGCCAAGACAGAATGCTTTTGTTGACTCGAGCCTTTTTATGGTGCATACCTCGCTGAGCTCATGTGTGACATAGATAGAGTTAGCAGAGTTTCAAGAAAGTAGTTGCCTGACATCGTTTTTGACCTGAATCCGGTCCAAAGTCTGCATAACTAACACGATTGTCGTCCGAAGTAGAATAAACAAATTCAAGCACAATGGTGTCAACTTCATTGATTAATAGATTAAACAAAATGCCGCTACCAGTCTTATGAGTTACGACGTTATTTGACTGGTAGTTGACATTTGATAATAAACAACAATTATCGAAGTCTTGGTTCTTTAGGGTTTTTAAAATGCATAATCACTTGAAATAGCTAAAAGCTTTACATTTGGTTGCATATCTCGTAAAAGAAGTTCTTTTTTAGCGTTTTGTTTCTGACGCATTTTGACAAGTTTTATAATGGATCTAACATTTGTGGGATTGAAATGATGCTGTACAAGTATGAAAGTCAGACAGTTACCTAATCAAAATTAGGTTGCACAAAATCACTGAACAGTACTTCAAGACACGTCAAAGTGATCTTTAGCTTTGGCGGTAACCGATAAAAAAAAAGAAAGGTTAAAAATGAAGGTGAAACAAAAAAGATGTGGATTCAAAGTATACGCATGCACCTTTTGAATAATTAATTAAACATACTTGGCGGTTTTTGGCATTTCCACGTATATTTGAATTCCGTAAAGATCGACACGAGGGAATGTTTCATTGGCTCAATGGATGAGAGGGTAGAAATTTAGGCTCAATATAAATTTAGAAAAATTTAGTTTCCCAGAGAATCTTTGTACTCTCTTTTATTTATAAGAATATAAACATGCCTGTCTCATCATTTGCCGATCGTCAACACCCTGACACCATTGTTCTTTTCGATGTTGATGGAACTTTAACTGTCGCTCGTAGTGTAATGTTAAGTCTTGTATAAACCATTCAGAGCTTTTATGATTAACGCGTCTTCTAGTTTGTTACCCAAGAAATGAAGGATACCTTAGCTGAACTTCGTAAGAAGGCTGTTATTGGTTTCGTTGGTGGTTCTGACCTTAGCAAGCAATATGAGCAACTTGGTGACGGCAGTAAGTTTTTTTTTTTTTTGTAAGTGGCTGTTAGGTTGGTTTTTTTAATACATGTGGGTTGTCTAGTTTTACAAGATTTCGATTATTGTTTTGCTGAGAACGGTCTCACAGCCTATCGTTTAGGAGAGAAGATGGCTTCTCAGGTACGTTATTAGCAGTGAAAAAGAAAGGGTAAGTTGATTGTAACAAAGGCAGCGCTTTACAGAGTTTCATTGAATGGATTGGAGATGCTGAATATAACAAGTTGGTCAACTATATTTTACGTTATATTGCTGATATGGATATTCCCAAGAAGCGGTAAGGAAAAGAAAAGACTTGCTATCTCATTAGGGAGAAATTAATTTTTTTTTTTCTCTTTTAGTGGTACATTTGTTGAGTTCCGTAACGGTATGATTAATGTGTCTCCTATTGGTCGTAACTGTAACAGAGAAGAGCGTAACGAATTCGAAAAGTACGATCTTGCTCGTGGACTCCGTAAGAAGTTTGTTGAAGACCTTCGTAAGGAGTTCTCTCATTTGGCTTTGACTTTCTCAATTGGTGGCCAAATCTCATTTGACGTTTTTCCCACCGGTTGGGATAAAACCTATTGTTTACGTCATATTGAGCATGAAGGTTTCAAGAAGATCCATTTCTTTGGTGACAAGACTTTCGAAGGTGGTAATGATTATGAAATCTACAATGATCCCAGAGTTACTGGACATTCTGTTACTTGCCCTGAAGATACCATTCGTATTCTCAAGGAACTCTTCCCATAAATTACCTTTTTTTTTTTTGCAATACCATACGCCTAGCGTTTAAATCATTAAAAGAGATCATGAGACAAACAAATTCGGAACACTCTACATCCGACGTGACCACTAAAATTACCATTTTTTTTTCTCCCCCACTTTTTGTTATTGTTATTGTCTTTCTCTTTTTCTTCTCCTTTTCTTATATTATTTTTGCAGATGACACGACAATACGCTTCATCAGTTTATAGTCAGAAAAGTACGACCAGCGCCAAAAGTGGCCGATCATTTCTTTCTTTAACAACTCCGATATGGCCGACAGCATCCGAGGCCACATTTACAGAAGCTACTAAGCAGCCACCCGGTGTTTGGCAAAGTCTAAAGAGCTGGACGACCTTGAAAAAGAAAAAGAATGATACGGATTCAATTATAACGACACGTTCATCCTCTTCATCACTTAGTAAATTAAAGTATTTGTTTGTTGCCAAAAAGAAGACCCCTCCTTTAGAAGATTCACCTCGACTTAGTTTCAATGCTACAGAAGATGAAGAGGAGGAAGATGTGGCTACTATAGTATCAAAAACAGCCGGACCCGTCGGTATTTTGAGTAATCGAGGTACAGATACAGCTGAAGCCATTCTGGAGCGTAAAAAGAGAAGGGCCGAAAGAAGAGAATATATTTTAAAATTACAGCGACATAATAAATCTTTACAGCAACATTATCATCATTTTTCTTCAAATAAAGAAGACGCCACGGCAGGTTTAGATCATGATCAGCCGATGACGGTGACAACAGCAGCAACAACAATTAGGGTGGGATTTGCGCAAGAAGAAGATAACGAGGAGGAGCAAAAGGATGATGAACACTGGAGTTATAATCCAAGGATTATGTTTATTGAACCTAGTCCAGTCCCGCGATTCCGGAACGTTGCACCTCCTCCGCCACCTTCACCGCCGTATTTGAATATTCTTATTCAGCATGAGCAAGACCATAACAACAAGCTGATTATTAAAAGTCCTACAACGGATGAAGATGAGCCCACCATTTTCGCATCCAGGGACTCGTTTATCCAATCTGATTTACCAATGATTGAACAGCCATTGTATAACGACGATGATGAAGAAGAAATGTTGTTTCTGATGAACCAACAACAAGCCGAGAAACCTCGACTGTATTTTAATTCGCCACTGTATCGTGGTCAAACATTAAAGTTCTCATTGCAGAATACGATACCTGATGATCACATTATTCTGTTTAAATTCATGACGAGTAATACACTGCAACAACAACCAGAAAGATATTTTGTGCAACCTAGTGCTGGTAAAATGGTGTCTTCATCCAATCAGTCTGATATCCTGTTAATATTGAATCAGGTGCCAACAGAATATATCAAAAAGGATAAAATCATGATTCGTTGGGCTGTGATTCAAAAGAATACCGAAATTGAGAGATGGGTGAACACTTTACAAGACTCCACAAGAAGAAAATGGATAGATATGCTGGATGAAGAATGGCCTAATCAAGTGACAATAAGATTGACTAGAATAAAAATTCGTTTTTTGTAAAGACTTTTTGATTTTATTATTATTATTATTAAGGTCTTGATGTTAAATAAAGTACTTCGTTCACTGGTATTTTTAAGTGACAACTGTTCATGCTAACACGTTCAATGGTGTATTTACCCCAGGAAGCTAGATGACTACCTTTGTTTAAACCAAGTGGCCAACCTGTTAATTTAATGCCTGATACGTAACCAATAGCATACTGAGGACCCATTGAAACAATCATGTTGGGTCTTGAAGGATGATAGGGAATTAAATTTTCGACATTTGTATTATTCTTGATGATGCGTGACATATTTCTGACAAAGTGAATGGCTTGCATATGTGCTGTGTAGAACATTTTGGGTTCATTGACAGAATTTACATCCCCTACTGCGAACACATTGGAAGTCACTCGTAATCCGGGATCTACTATAATTTGCTTCTTTTCATTCAGCCAATCCGCATGATTCGCTTGTAAAAATTCCGAATTGGGTGTAACGCCAATACAATTATAGACAAGATCCGCTTTTATTTCCGTATGCGATTTATCTGTTTCATAGATGTACGTGTTTCCTTCTTGGCCCTTCTGAGACGCGCTTTGTTCCATGATGCTTGTGATGGATTCCCGGGCGTTTAGGATGCGTTGTGCATTATTTCCTATACCATCAGGTGCATTAGCCAAGACGGTTTTATTCATATCCACCAGCGTGATTTTCTTTCCGGGTGCACGGTATGAAATCTCGGTAGCTACCTCCACACCTACAGGTCCACCCCCGATGCATAAAATACGTTGAGCCTGTTTATACTTGTCACGTTGTTCGTTCAAGAAATTAATTCTTCTATTGAGGTCGATACATTCTGTGCCGTTTTGAGTTTTCCATGGGTCCGCATAACTAGAGCCTGTACATATCACAAGATAGTCATACTCGATTCCTTCCTCCTGTTGGTGGATAAATACTGAAAGCGTGTAAATTTCATTTTATCTCGAATGATTAATATCTTTTTTTCTTTTCTTTTTTACCTTTATCGTCCTTGATTAGTTTTGCATTTCCCAGAATAAACTCGACATTGATTTCCCGTAAAAAGGGTTCGAGCTCGAATGATATTTCGCTAAAATGCTGATGAAATTTGGCATCTGTTTCTTCGTATAGTACAGAACAAAGTGCAGGTGTATATTCATAAAAAGTCTATTCTATGTTAGTTTGATTTCCGGACAAAAAAAATTCGTTCTTACTTTGCTATCGATTAGTGTCACGTCAATGTTTTGTGAAGCAAGTTTCATGGCAATCAGTACACCTGCTGCACCGCCGCCTAAAATTACAAGTTTGCTGTTCATGAAATAAGAAAATTTGATGATAAAAAAGAAGAAATAGAGAATAAAAAAAAAATGAAATGCTTTTTTAATAAATGTCTGATACTCCGCGTCATTATGATGTGATAGTGCATGAAATAATTTTTTTTTCTCGATGGATCAGTGGAGATCTGAGGATGTGCGATGAATGATGTCCTTTTCAACGGACTATTTTTTTAAGACTGCTATGATTGTTTCTGGCCTCAATATAACTAATATAATTATGATCATTTTTTTGCACTGCAATATCTGTTACGTGATCCAGCAATGTCTCCTTTTAATGCGCGATCAAAAAAAAATGTTTCTGATCTATGCTGAGTACTTTGAGAAAAATCAACTAACATTAGCTGGGACTAGTATATACTCACCATAAAACTTTAATTGAAAAGATACCAAAGAAACCATACGAAAATGACGTTTGATTGCCTAGGGGACATGGACTGTGCCAATCCAAGTTTTTTTTATATTTTCACAAGGAGATTTTTAATAAAATCTACATGAACCAATGAAAACAAAACAAAAGGGGGGAAAACAGAGAAGGAGGGGGGGAGGCCATAAAAAAAAATCCCATTGTAGAAGGAGGAGTGTGAGTGTGTTGTGTGAGTATTAAAAATTGAGTTCCGCCTAATTTAAATAAAAAGTTGGAAACACCAGGTTTATTTCTTCTTCTTTCTAGTTTTCTAATTGTAAAACGACCATGGCTACATCATCTAAAAAGTCTGTTTGGAAAGGCATTCAAATGAAGTCGAATGAAGGCTCTCATCGTCCTACCTCCATGACTTCCCAAGATTCAGGTCAAAAGGTAAAAAAAGACAAAAAAACAGAACAAAAAATCTGAAGTCCCGCTAAATAAAGAGCTAGAACCGTGTATCAAGATCATCTTCCATCAATAGTGATAATTTCCAGGACGCAGAGGATGAAGAGGACGAAGAAGACGAAGACGACGATTATTTTCAGGACGGTGATGCACAAGAGGAACTTGACAGAAAGCACGTATTAAAGTTGAAAGCATTAGCCATCGAACAAGACAAGAAGCGCAATAGTGAAAAACCTCAACAACAAGAAGAAAATGTGAAAGAGGATGAGGAACCCGTTGTAAAACCAAAGCCCACTCGAATGTCCTTTATTTTACCAGCTTTGCAAAACAATCGTTTTTCGGATGATGATAGTAGTGATAATGAATCCTTACATGATCCCAACGAAAAAAAAATTCAGGAACCTTCACCTCCTCCTCCTGCTGCTGCTGTCATGGATCTAGCCTCGGAAATTGAAGCTCTCGAAGTTGCTTCTGCTCCCGTTCCCACCCCAACTCCTGCACCAAAACTTGTTCCCGAACCTGCCACTGTTGTTGAAAAAACTACAAGCACTGAAAAACCTGCTACCTACGAACCGATTCCATTTGAAAGACCTTTCAAACCTACCCCTTCGCCCGTGATTGAAACTCCTACCATTGCTCAGGTCCAGCCCATTGTAGTTGAGGAAAAACAGGCTACGATGGAGGATATCCAGAAACAAGTGTTATTAACTGCTGCTGCTGTAGCTTCTGTGAATGCAGTTGAAATTCCCACGACGGATAAGGCTACACAAGATGAATTCAAAGCCATGGTGGATCAAGCAACGGATCTTAGTCCCAGTGAACCAGCACCAGCACCAGCAGTAGCAGCAGTGGTGGAAACAGCAGCAGAAAGACCACCATCACCACCATCCATGAATCATTTAGCCGCTATTTTACCTGCTGTTGAGGATGCTGTTAAAAATGTCACCAGCGAAAAGGAAATGTTACCTCAACCAAGCAAGGATCAATATATTTTACCAGAGGATCGTGAGCGGGAAAAGCATAGTCGAGAGTTTGAATATTCAATTGAGGATCCTATTGATCTGGATTTGTTTAGAGATAATGTGATTGCTATTCAAGCGGTTGATCCAAAGGATATTCCTGTAAATAATTTGAAGCCTCGGGAGCAGGAAGCTGCAGGTAAGATTCAATAGCTTTTACAAAAAAAGAAAATGAAGCTGTGTGTACTCAATCATATTATGTAAAAAAGATCAACCTGTGAGAGATGGTATGAAATATTTGTTTGATAACAAGTTTATGAAGGCAAAGGCTGTATTTCAAACAAAGGCTAGTCAGTAAGTTTATTTTCATATGGCATGCGTAGTATTTCTTTTCTTTTCTTTTCTTTTTCTCATGGTACGAATGTAGGGATCCTTTGTATGCTTTAGGTCTTGGAGCCATGGCATTTATTAAAGGTAAGAGAGAAAAAAAGAAGCTTTTTTGAATAAGAAGATGTATCACTAACTATAATTTTTTTTTTTTATCCAATGTAGCAATTATGGTAAGGAAAAATGGGAAGCGTACAAGTGGATGATATGTAGTACTAAACTCTTCTAATATAGACCTATCATGAATCAGATGTTGAGATTGCAATGAATGCACTTGCGACGGCTTATACAATTGCAAAAACACAAATTGATAATACATCTTTCAAAAAGCCATTCAAAGATACGGTTAGTACATATTTTACCACACTTTTATCCTCGAGCAACACAGGATTGCCTACGGATCCTCCTGCCATGGCTATGCCTCATAGTAGTGGAGGAGTGGCATCACCCAATGCTTTTATTCCCAATGGTGTATTGAGAGCTCATGTTGTGAAGGCTGAATGTTGTTTGCTGATGGGAATAATTCAAATGACACAAGAAAGTGTGGTGGGATATCTCAAGTGTGGATTGAATTTAAGGAGAGGTAAGCTCAAACAAAATGTTGTGTGTGTGTGTGTTGTACTGATATTCTCACATGATTAGCTTATAACAGTTACAGTATTGTATGGCAAGAGTACAAACGAATGGGACAAGAGTACAAAAAATACATGGATTGTGACACGGTGTCTGCCATCCAATTTGGTATTGGTGCTGTTCAACTGATTTTATCCTCGATGCCTCCCAAAATCTTGAAAATCTTTTCGGTTTTAGGTTGGAAAAGTGATAAACAATTAGGGTTTGCATTACTTAAATTGTGTCTCGAAGGACGAGGCATTCGTGCCCCATTAGCATCACTCACGTAAGTTTTTTTTTTTTTTCGATCCCGGGTTCTGTCTGTAGTAAGATACTAACAAACAAAAAAAATGTAAAATTAGATTATTGGCTTACTATTCCGTCTTGACATCATTTGCTCCCCAGCTCTATTCCAAAGATATGATGAGTCCGGCCATTGAATGTCTTTTGGATGCCCAAAGTAATCATCCCAACTCTTGCTTCTTTTTGTTCTTTGCGGCACGTATTGCGCGAGTAGCACGTAATTTACCCTTATCAACGCAGTCCATGACATTTGCAGCCGAATCCAGCCGAGGCGAATGGGCGGAAGTGGCTATGAAGCAAATGTCCGATTATGAAATCGGGTTTAACTTGGCGCTTCAGTTGGAATGGCAAGGTGCAGTGAATTACTTTGAACAATTGAGTCGCGAGAAATACTGGTCACCTGCCTTTACCAAATATTTTGTGGGTGCATGTTACGAGATGATGGGTCAGCGTACAGAAGCTATCTTGGCTTTCGCCGAGGTTCCGACATTAGCTAAAGAGGGAGAGCGTAAGACGTATATTGATAGTTATGTCATGAAAAAAGTCGAGTTCTTTCAAAAGAGTGGATACCAAGATATGGACTTTAGTTTACCTGCTCTGGAAATTATGTTGGTCTTGAATGCGTTTGAATATATGGAACATGAACAGCTTGAAAAATGTCTCGAGTTGGTTCAGCATACGCTGGAAATCATTTATGACAGAGAAAAGATTGAGTACAATATCAGATTAAGAGAGTTAGTGCCCGTGACCACTCCTCCGGATTACTATGATCAACGAGCCGTTTTATTGTTAACCAAGGCTTCCATCTTGAACTCACTTGGTCGCTTTGAAGAGACGATTGCTCATTTAAATTGGATTTTGGATCATAAGCACTGTATCAAGGAAGAATCTTGGGTGGTTCCTTTTACATATTGGGGTAAATAGTATATATATAAAAAAAAAAGATTTGATGGATGGATGGAAGATTGACTTTTGCATAATAGAATCCGGTGTTACGAGTTGGAGCCTTGGCAATTTCAAAAAGAGTCGAAAGCTGTGGCAAATGGCCATGGCTTGTACCAAATATGATTTCGAATATCGTATGGCTGTTCGATTGAGTTTAGCTTTAAGCAAGTGTGATGAAATTGGAATTCCTCATATTGACGATAAGGAAATCAAGGGCACTTCCACGCATGGTCGTAAAAGAATGCCGATATTGAATACATTTTAAATCAAATCATTGTAGAATTAACCCGCCTCTTCTTATCCGCTAATCTTTGTATTGTTGCACAAAACAAGATGTAAAATATATTATGATTAAATGATACTTTTTTGGAACAAAGTTTTCTTTTTTAAGCGCCTACATGTACAAAATGATATTCATTGTTTACCAAACAAATAATGATACTAATAAAAACAAAGATGCATGTCATAATTATGGCTTTTATTTTGCCACTTGGTTGGTCTATACACCTTGGGTTGAATTTTATATGAAACCTGTATAGAAGTGCATGCAGATAACTTGTCCAAAGTATAAATATCACTTTTGTCTGAACTCTAAAATGTAAATATATTCTGTGCAACTGTTTATCCCCTGCTACTAAATTTTCTCATAAATGTTGATCAAATGATCGGCAGGCTCATCAAAGTGTATACACATGTTGAACGGTGGAATGGTATATACAGCCTACGCTTCCATCTTATCATGTTATAATAATCATGTCAGTATAATCCGGGCAATAAAAAAGCTAAAATCTTATTGTGTCCCCCGCTTGGTCCGTGAAATAAAAATGGCCCTATGTTTCAGTAACTTCAGTAATATTAAATTTTAAATAACCGGGGAATCGGGCTATTTTGGTTTTGTTCCTTGAGTCTGGACTGTTAAATAGAAATTGAAATGACGTTGTCTTTTTTACTCTGATGTTCCGTATCCGATATGATGTTGTATCATGTTTTAAAGGGAATCATAGTAATACGGATAATTCTTTCTTTTTAGTAGGTAGTGCCATCCTGACCCTTTGAGCTAAAATAGGGAATAGTTGGCTTACCCTATCTATAAAGTATACATGCTGCCCTATTTTTTATATATATGTATACGTGTTTGTGAGAGGAGTATGTCCAAACAATAATTAAATATTTTTAATTTGCTGTTTTTCACATGACCAAAAAAGTTGGTTTATAGTTGTGTGTGTAGTGGCACATGTGCTACGTACACAAAGAGACAGTAAAACAGAGAACTCAATCGCGTGATTTAAATCACCGCCAATATTCATTTTAACTTGTTCTTTTTTAGTGGTGACAGGCACTGGGCTTGCCTTATGATGATGATAAATGATGCCTTGTAACTGTAGGGTGCAAAAAAAAAAAAAACCCTAAATTATTTTACAACTCAACACTTTTTTTTTTATCAGGTATCCGGAATGAACCCCATTATTTTTTTTTGTCTTACCAAAAACTTATTCTTGGATTATGACAATATAAAAAACAATATAAATAACTGGGCGGGTACTTCTAATCTTGCGCCAATTTGGTTTAAGAAAAATAAAAGAGAATTATAACAAACACCAGTGTAAATATATTTCAAACATCAAGGATAGAGATCACTCTAGTTTCGGTTTGTGGGACAATGAGGGTATCGTGCAACAATCAACTAAACTCTCGGATCGTCCTTCTTTCTTTTTAGAGCATTCATCCCTCCCCCTTTTTTTTTCACTAGCATTTCTTTATGTGCAAGCGGAGAAGCTAGTTGGAGAAACAAAAGGGTGCATTTCTTTTTTCAAGCTATAAAATGCCTGAGCTTTTTTTTTTTACACTAACTATAGAAAGAAAGCAAAAAAAAAAAAGGAACGAAAAATAGGTCTGACCGGGACAGGCACGCCTTTGTAATGACACTAAAAAGTGAAATTACTATGAGGACATATAGTAAAATGTGATACGGGAAAATGCCACTTTGTCGACATGACACGTTCTTTTCTTTTTGTAGCGGGTTCCAAGGCTATTTTTGACAAAATGTATAAACAACAATTATTAAAGATAAAATAGGCATAGCATAGAAAAAAAAAATGTGTACATCTGCAATTAGTTTTTCGGGATGAAAATCTTATTTCCATCAGCCTCTTTCTCTGATAGACATTTGGGTTATCAGGTGACGAATGGTACAGTTTTGTGAACGGAAAAAAAAATTCTAAAATAGTCGAATAAGTCTGTTTTCGAAAGTGTAGACTTTATAGATGTTTTTTTTTTTGTTATTTATTTTGTCATTGGATCAGCCAAATATCTGTTGTGTTTATTATGGGATTTAAATTTGGAAACACATGTCAAGGTGCCTTTCCTAAAATAAAAAGTGTGCAACGTATCGGCATCTTAAACCCATACAACATTCAAAAAAATAAATAAAAAACCAGAGTGAAATTGTTTAGCATTACTATTAATACTTCTTTTAACTAGTAAATTAAAAACCCTAGTTTCATTGAAAAAAAAGAAACAATGGAAGAATATAAAACGTGTCGCAACAATGACATTTTTTTTTTCTTATATAAATCTAGACCAAGTGACTTGTACACATTGTGAGCCTCACAAAGAGGCAGATCTTCTTGTTTGCCTCGATACACGAGATTCCATAAATGAACCAGTTCAACTCCTACTCAACATTTCACTTAATTAGATTTGTGTAGCCTTCAAATGGGGGATCCTTATAACTTGAAGGTTTTAAGCGCTCTTTTTTTTTTTTTGAGTTTTTTCTTCTTTTTTCTTGTTCGTCATATTTTTTATATATCCTCCACCCACACAACCTTCCTTTTTATAAAATACAAACTATGAAGCTTCTTGCCTGTATTTCCCTTTGTGCACTTGTCATTGCATCCCTTATCAACGTCGCCAAGGCCTTTGAAATTCAAGGTCGTGGTATGGCCACCCTCATGAACTTTGATAACTCCACCATCAGCGAAGATTCTTTAGAAAAGCGTAAACAACGTGGTACTTGGTAAATATATAACAAAACTCGTTATTTACACATATTAACATGGTTACTTTAGGTACTCCGGTAACGACTTGAAGAACGCTGCCTGTTACGATCGTAACGGTCTCCCTGCCTACTCTGCCTCTATCAACAGTATGATTGGTGCTATGGTAATACACAAATTAAAAAAAAAAAAAATTAGCAGTAATTTAACAATATGTAAAATGATAGGCCATGAAGAAGTTCGAAAACTGTTATAAATGCATGAAGATCACCAACAAAAAGAACAAGAAGACAGTTACTGTCAAGATTGTTGATAAGTGTGCTGGTTGTATCGTGAACAAGGCTATTGATTTAACTCCTGCTGCCTTCAAGAAGCTTGCTAACCTTAACGATGGTGTCATTGACATCACCTGGAAGGCTGTTACTTGTCCCAAGTCTCAAAAGCCCTCTTACGGTCCCAAGAAGAAGTAAATCATTCCCACCGCCTCCCTCTCCTTCTCACTCTTCCCTCTAAATACATTTTTTTTTTTTAATCTTTACTCACTTTGTATTAAAACAAGACACAAAAGAAAAACTCTCTCTCTCTCTCTCTCTTATCCTAATTGTACTTTTTAAATCATAGACGAAAAAAAAAACAAAAAGAATTCCCCTACCCTCGTCTATATTTTTTTTTTTTTACTTTTTTTCAATATACATACACTTTTTTTAAAAAAAATTAACGCAATACAAAAAATTAACTTCGTTACATGTATAAACAAAAGAGTGTTGACTCGGTATATGATTTGCGTCTCGAATTTAGTTGAGTTGGCTAAATTTTATTTTATAAAACAATGAGAGAAATCTACTTCTTTTCGTCAGCCTCGGCCTTGGCAAGGAATTCACGAATGAAAGCTTCCTCATCGGAAGAGCTGGCTTGAATAGGAGGGGTGGCAGCTTGAGGGGCCTTAGGCTTCATCATAGCAGCGGCACCAGCAACGGCATAAGCACCAATGAAGAACATGGCGATCTATTATAAAAAAAAAACATGGTGTTAATCTCTTTTTTTTTTGTCCCGTGTCGCATTTCTTCATGTTGCTTTTTTTTTGTGTGTCGTCTTTTTCTTTTTTACCTTGTGGTTAGGGATAGCTTTACCGGCAATAGTGTATGATCCAGCCATTTTGAATTATATTTTTATATGTTGTAAAAGAACAAAAAAAAAAAGGTTGCGGAAGCTTTATAAAAAAACAAATATTAAACACCAGGGGAAAGTTTTTTTTCTCAGCTTGTCCCAAAAAAAAACAATTAGCCCTTGCACGTCATCAAATAAACTCCTTACGATTGGCTGAATATCACCCTTCCCCGCCCCCATTTTCTGCTTTTTAGCTGTTTCTCTTTCTCAGACACTTCTCGGTACATGTCAAAATATCACGGAGAAGTACAACAGATGAAAAATAAACAGGCAACAAAAAGATTATCCCTGGGAAAGAATTCCATTTTTTTATCTCCTAAAAAAGACATATGATTATACGTAACATATTTGCCTTTATCAAGGTGCGATATCAACTAAGCAAAGTGATAACTAACAGTTACTTTGGAAGAAAAAAAAACTGAATCACTATGGTAAGTTACAGATATACATAACACCACAATTTGTTTTTCCCAAGCTGTTTTTCCTACCATTGGCATTAAAAGGAGCATATGCGTCATACTATCCATGCAATGCTAAGAACCCAGTTCAACGCGATACAGTGTTTAGCAGATCACTGACTGTTTAGTAAATGTGCAGCTTCCTAGTCCTTTACCATTGACGAGAGCTCTTTGTAGAGTCCGAATACTTTTAGGTAGAAATATTGATTCATGCATACAAGGACTTCTTGTTCGATTTCGCGAATACCTCGCTTGTCAATTAGCAACTGGCAAACATAGAAATCAAATCTGTATATAGTTCTTGAAGTTAATCATTCTGTTAAACTTGAGCATATTTATATTGTAGCCCTCCCTCCATGCAGTCAGACAAAGGCCAAAAAATCTCTCTTTGGGCCAATTGGGTTCAGCACCACAAAATATGTGTCTGTGCCACTACGTATTTGAAATATGTGAGATACCCCTTCTCATGCTATCGATGTTTTGATCACTTTCTCGTGCTGGGTTGAGAATAAGATGGAGGGAAATTATGATTATTCTCGGCATAAGTTCTGTATTGCCTTTAGTAAGTGTCTAAGTTTTTGTATTACGTTCAAAATAAGCTTTGGGTTGTACTGTCATCTCATCTAAATGAATCTCCATTTATGATGATGACAACATTTGGACTGGCCTAGGATTAGTCAACATCGCAACATGTTGACATCGTGGCAGCTTAATAAGCTTTTCTTTTTTTCTTGTTTTGTTGACAGGAAACAGATATCTAATAAAACATTGTGCTATCGCAACCTAATTCCTTTTTTTATTTTTGTATCACACACACAGCGAAACTATCATAACTAGGGATGACTCAATCGTTAAAGCGATAGAAAAATTGAAAGGACATCAAAAAGACCTTTTTTGTGTAAGCAACATTTATGGCGTACTGCATGATGTTTATTCCGAATCACAACAAAACTCTTATGAGTATAGTGCAAAGGACAAGATTTTTCTCCAAGAAGCGATTAAAATTGTGACAACGGGAAGTAGTGCATTGGGAAAAAGAGTCAAACGGTTCAAACATGGATTTGTATTATGCATTTACTCGATCTACACATTTCGATTCTAGACGTTATCAAATCAAAACCATGTACAGGCGGTACTATCTGAGCAATATTCGGCCGTAAACAAACTCTCTAAAGGCTGGGAAGTATCAATTAACAAAGAGGCCCAAAAAATGGCAAACCCAAAAATTGATTCATAGAATGTAAACGTAGCAACTCTAACTATTCTTCGGAAACATCAATGAAATGGCTGGGTGATGATGTTTGCTAAGAAAGAATCCATTTTTCTAAAGAATCCAATAATTTTTGGAGAACCACTTACACTCGCTTACATTTAGAATGTATTTAATTGATAACATAATTATTTTAATAGAGTCAACTTTTTCTTCGCGTTTTTATTAAGCAAACCTATTTACCCCAAAGAAAACACTAAATAGAAGAGTATTTATAAGAAAAATCCTATCATGTGTAGCATAATAAGTCATATTATTATTGGCTGCAACACTATGTATATGATGTATTTTGATGAACTCAAACGTTATATGCAAATGGACCATCCAATGTAACTTATAGAGAGTATCTTGACTCCATTAAGTATGTGCTTTACAATCTCACCACAGCGATAAAAGTCAATAGGAACAGGCTTTATTATTATTATTCTAAGAGTAAATAAAAAGACACCACCTTACGTGGATCTTCTGATGGTTTTTCGGAACCACTGGATACATCGATTAATCCAACTCAATTTAACATCTGAAAAGAAAATAATACTTAAATAAACAAGACCATCACTCTCTCTCTCTCTTTTTTTTTTTTGCATTTTAATACCTTGATTCGTTGTGATTTCGTCATTTGGTATGTCATAGCAAAATATTCTTTCAGTCCCATCTGTTTTAAAAAGAAACGGGTAAGATTTTATTGTTATGGGACATGGTGTGCAACGTACCTGGTAAAGTGAATGCGAGAAGGGTCTTTGTCTTTTTTGAGATACGCCTTGGTGCAGGTGTATAAATCATCCACAATAAATAAATGAGAATGGAAAGAAGACTTAGCGAGGGGTTGTTGTCCCATACATATATACCAAAATGGTGCTCATTGTTTAAAAGTATAAAACACACAAAAAAAAAAAAAAAAAAAAAAAGCAAAGTGTATTAAATACGGGCTTCAAGATATGGACGCAACAAAGAAAAGCGATCAGAAATAGACACGGTATGGTGTCTTTGTTCAGTGCAAAACAGAAAAAAAAATCTATTGTCAATCTGAATAAGGCAATGTTGTAGACATCAGAAGGGAATAAAATTTAAAGCGCAAACAGGAATACGCTGGATGTATACTGTACCAGAGTAGGCTCACTAGTGCATTTTGCTTGTGAGAAAGCAATATAAGCTAAAAAGAGATCGGAAAATTTATCAGGCTCCATCAAATGTATGTATTCAATCCTTTGACCTAACATCCTTGTATTTAGACTGTTAAAAAGATTCCCGGTGTTAATGTGCTTTACAATAGAGCGTCTGCATATTGTCAATGTAAATAGTTCATACAAAAAAAAAAAAAAATTGCCAATGTTGCTATATTTTAAGCTGGAAGGTTTTTTTTTATGACAAACTAAATTGAAGAGCGGCATGTTTAAAAATATCACCAAGGAATTCTATAGATGAATGTCTTTTTTTTTTTTTTGGCTGGCTATTCTTGCAGTGATTGTACCAAGCACGGTTAGAACTGATAACAATCAATGCGTGTAGATCAAAAATCAACAAAACTGTATCAATATTACGGGGAGCAGCAATTTCCACTGAGAACAAGAGGGGTGTGATGGTGCAATTATACCCAAAAAAAAAAAAAAAAAAAGTGAATGTGAGAGTATAGATTTATCACAGTGCTCATGATAAGAGACTATGGGATCCAAACTAAATCACAGTTACTGCAGCCAACTTTAAGTCATGTAGCTTGTCCTGTGATTTTTCTCTTTTTACAAACAATCGTTTTTTTTTTGGGGGGGGTCAGGCTGGATTCAAGTAGAGGCATGAAAATGTTTTTTTTTTTTTTTTTTGATATCAGGCACCATGGGACGATGAGGGATTTTGATTGTGGGGAGGGCAGCAGGAGCTGTACAGTCGCCCTGTAGTCCGGACCGTCGGACATCACGTTGATCTATTTTTTTTTGGCTGAAACAGCCCATTTCAGTAGGGGTGTGATTGGTTCCGACGGTGCGCGAGAGATTTTTAAGAATTTTTTTTTTTTGTTATTTGGGGGTGGAAAAAAGCACAATTTTTGTTATTGCTCTCTTTCCATAAATACTTTAACAATGTCCAGAGAAGAAAGAATTACACAGGTAAATCATGATTAGGTCGTTGTTATGTTGGGGATATAAAACGCGTGTATTTTGGTGCAGCATAGCAACAACAACAAAAAAAGGAGAAAAAAAAAATATTAACCACTCTAAAAAAAAAAAAAAAAAAAAAAAATAGGCACACGAAATTATTCAAACTATCACTCGAGGTCTCAGTGATCTTGCTGAGCTTTTAATCTTTGAGAAGAATACCGATGCTAATGCCCATGATAATAAGAAGAAGCGTAGAGATCCCAATGCTCCTAAACCTCCTACATCCAACTTTTTCCTCTTCACCAACTCTATCAGAGATGCTGTAGACAAAGAATTCCCTGACGCCACTTTTGCTGAAAAGTCAAAGATTTATGGTGCTAGATGGCAATTACTTTCTGAAGAGGAAAGAAAGGTAAAAAAGAACAAAAAAAAAAAAAAAAGCGGTTTGGAAAAGGATTCTCATCGTTTAAATATTAGCCTTTCACTGAAAAAGCAAATGAGGAGAGAGACAGATACAAGGAATTAATGGCTACTTATGAAGCTGAACGTGGAGAGAATCATGTTGAAAAGAAAGCTAAGAAGGAGACTCCTGTCAAGGCTTCTATCGCTGCACCTTCTACCAGCAAGACCGTTACAAAGGAAACCTCTTCCAAGACCAAGGAGGTCCCTACCAAGGCCAAGGAAGTCCCTACCAAAGCCAAGGAGGCTCCTGCCAAGGCCACCAAAGCCGCCAAAGCTGCACCTACAAAGACTACCAAAACTGTTACCGAAAAGGTCTCAAAATCTACAGAAAAGCCTGTTGAGACTGCCAAGTCGACCAAGGCTGCTACCAAGGCTGCTAAAGCTGCTGCTAAAGCAACTCCTGCCAAGCCAGTAACCCCCGCCAAAGCCGCACCAAAGGCCGCTCCCAAGCCTGTTGAATCTTCAAGCTCTGAATCCGATTCTGATGATAGCTCCAGCTCTTCTGATTCCGATAGCGATTAAACTTTCTGTCATACGAAGTTTCTGAAATTTATCTCAAGTGTTTTAAAGAAGAATATATATATATATATATATATATATATATATATAACAAAAAAAAAATATGTATAAAATAAACCGTATATCTTTATTTTTTCTCGCGGTCAAGATATGTATTTTTAAATTCTTGATTCTTTACTTAGGTGGGGGTATGTCTTGTGAACATTTAGTGTTGAAATTATACGGAATATGATATATCATAGTGTTTTTATGCAGTACATTGTTTGATCCGTTTTTCAATCCGTATTACCATTATTGTGGTGTGCTCATTGTTATGAGTTGGATTTATTGTTGTAGATCCTGTAAAAATCATCGAACCAATTACTTTCTTGCATAAAGATAGTGAGCCTGTATGATATCCGTTTATTAACTTTTTTTATATGTTTGTATATATCTACTCTTTCGGACTGTAATTTTAAAACGAAATGTTTATAAGACTTTCATTCTGATCTCCTTCCACAAGACTCTCCACTACATGACTAAGATAGAAGGAATGTGGTTGGGAAATGGTATGGATGAAGTCAATAATATACAACGTCTGGTCATGAGGATAGTAATGTGTCTCGGGTAGAGGCGAGAGGACGACTCTTTCGCTGCAGATTATTTTTCTTTGAGTTGGGAGAGAGCCTTTTAAAATTATCTGCAGTATCGACCGACTGTGGCATTAATTATAAAACAAACACAAAATCCTATTTAATTGTTGTTACCTCACAGCTATTTTAGTATTAGTGATATAAGCCCGGAAAAACGAGTTTAATGCGTGTTAAGCGATCCATGTTTTATGTATGAAATACAGGCACTAGATATTACGTCTATCGCATTAAATACTCTGATGATTAGAATCCATAAAAATGTCTTATCCCAGTGCATATACGATATTTTCAAGCATAGTAACAAAAAAAAAAAAAAAAAAAAAAAAAAGGGTGACGAATGCATGACAGTAGTAATTGAGCTCAAGTGTATATATGTGGGGGGGGGGGAGAACAGTAATAAAACGATCCCCTTGATCAGTGACACTTCTGTTCGGGAGGGAGGTTTTTTTTTTTTTATTGTTCACTAAGAAGAAGGTTTTGTTTCAACAATGGATTTCGAAACGGGTTCAGTCACTGTATTTCTTCTTTCACGTTTGATGGTATCCCAATCGACGCCAGATTTCACGCGTTCCTTTAACCGTAAACTATTGGAAGAAGCCATGGGTTTGACTGTCTTCTTTTTGGACAGTTCCTCCTGCTGAAGTCGTGCATGCTCTGCTCTTGCTCGCATGGCATTGTTAGGACGTGGTTGTTTAATGGTGACAGAAGCAGATCGTGTTGGTGTGGTCGTACCCGTACTATGACTCGGACTTTGTGTCATCCCATTTTTTTTCGCACTAGTCGCTGTCAACATGAATTTCGATGCCGTCGTAGGAGATTCACACACAGGAGCTGTTTTTTTTTTTAAAAAAAAAAAAAAAAAGTTAGTTCATCTCTTATATTGATATAGATATACACGTTACCAGAGAGACGGTTCATGGCTTTGGTGGCGGTGGCGTTGGATGGGTTACGCATAGTGGTTCGTGTGGGAGGAGAAACGGATGATTTTAAATTCATGGTGGAGTGACGTTTTAAGACGGGTGCCATGGGTGTATGAGCATGAGCAAGTCTGGCATTGTCCTCCTCGGGATAAGAACGAAGATCTGGTATAATTTGACTAGAAAATAATAAGAGATCCCTTCTTTTTATCTCATCTTGTATATGTGAGTTCTTTACCTTCTCGCTCTTTCTAAGCGATGATGATGGGTATTTGTATTGGTTGGTGTTTGATCCCCTAGATTAGATTAGAAAAAAAAAAAAAAGTAAGCTTATATAGCCCCTACATATATACACACATATATATATAAAAGAGACTTACAAGAGATCCATGATGAGCCATAGGCATCCGGTTTTTCTTCCTTGATGATTTTACTCTCTTCATGCAGCTTACTATGATTCTCTTCATGGGCGTTATGGTTAAAGATGGATTTATTCAAGGTTGCCTTTGGTTCATGATTTTCTTTTGGTACGATAGGATGATGATCGGATTCTTGATGACCCCACCATTCGGGCATGGTATTTGCCATTTTTGACTTGTCGGTCTGAATCAATTCGCCGGTACGTACGTTGTAGGTGGGTTTTGCTTCCTTCACCTGTTGTTGTTTCAGTTCCGGCTTAGGTTCTTCTTCCTTTATGGATGCCATCATGGGAGGTTCAGGAACCACGGCATCCTCGTCAAGCTAAATCGACTTTTTTTGTTTAGACTTACGTACCTTAACGGTTCATTTCTTTTCACACTTTACCTCTTTGTCGTGCCTTTTTTTTAACAATGCCGTCGTGGTGGCATTAATGCGATCACGATCCTCTGAATATAATACGGCAAAGCAGACCAGTTCTTTCAACAAGTTGAATACATCGGTCGGTGGGTGTCTGCCTAAAAACTCATGGACGTAAGGTGGTAAAGTACTTAGAAAGCCTTCCATTTATATATAAAAAAAAAAGTTGGGTGAGAAAAAATTAAAGAGAGAGAGAGAGAGAGGGAGAAAGGAAACAAGGGGGGGAAGACAAAAATTATTTTTGTCTCACCTTATTGACAACAATTTTGGGTGTGTGTCCACCCCCTCTTCCAGAAATAGCAGCGTGTACTCGTGTGGGCGTGTATCTGTTCGTCGGGTGACAAGAGAATTTCTACATGAATTATTTTCCTGCATTCTTTTTTTTTTTTTTGGGGGGTTCCATGCTTTATGGGTGTATTCTATTAAGTATTACTTTCAAGTGTTTTACGTCCCTTTTTTGTTTTGTAATAAAGAGAAAGGAAGAACATTGTTTAAAGATAGCGTGTTTCATTATATGTTGCTATGGATATTCGAACTCCATTCACGTTATCCTTTTAACAATTAATGCAGAAAATATAATAAGGCAGAACTATGAGGTGGGTTCCCGACTATTGCCGTACATGTCATTCCTTCTTTTGGAAAGAGTTTGTAGTTGGGATACAAGTTTTTATCCTCCGAGAATAACAAACACACTGAAAACGACAGCCGTTTTTGACATTTGGCTGTATCTCTAATTATACACTACACATACAAAGCGTGTAATTCGTAAAAGGGTGCGGGCCATACCATCGCCGTTCCGGGGGGAGGGGGAGGTGACATTCAGAATGAGGAGAATGTAATGAACAAAATGTAGACATGTCAGGATGAAGAGAATGTACAAAGGAAAGGATAAAGACAAGAGAAAGAGTGCTTTTTTAGATTGTTTTATTAAAAAAAAGTATGTAAAATCAATATAAATGAGTACAATAGCTATGAAAGCTCCCAAATGATCATCTGTAAAGACAACCTTGGTACACCGTCAGAGTATGATAGCGCTGAAGACTAAAGTAACATAAAATTTCGAAATAGACCAAAAGTCGAATGGACTTAGAAGAGACGATGAGGCTTACCCATGGTGGACTTCAAGAACAAAGACTTGACGTTTTGCCAGTTCTTCTTGAGGAGAGAGACGAGGAAGTTGACGGACAACATAATGTTGGCAATCAATTGATCCTCAGTCATACCGAGATGACCGACAGCGACACCGAGACAGAGAACCTTCTTCAATTGGAACTTGATGGTGGCACGGAGCTCGTTGGCCTTATCGACCAAAGAATCGTTGTGGGAAACGGGGGTAGGGAACTTACCAACCTTGTGGAGACCGGGACCCAAAAGACGAGGAATTTGCTTAATAAGAGCTTCGGAAGCAAGGAAAGCATCGTACTTCTTGGCGAGCTTCTTAATGAGCTTCTTGTTCTTGTTGAGCTTCTTCAAATCTTCAACAGATTGGAACTCCATAGCGGCACCCTTGGCTTGATCACAATGGAAAGCATCACCGAGGACACAAACAGTCATACGAGGACGAGCAACGTTGGGGAGACGGATGGTACCAGAGAAACGCTTATCACGTTGGGGATCGTAGTTCTTCAAACCAATTTGGAGTTCGAGAGTCTCAGTGAACTTACGTTGCTTTTCGAGGGATTGGGCCTGGATAACATTGACGATATCTCTGACGGCAGAAGCGCTAACTTTACTATAAACAGAAAGCTAAAGTGTCAGAATAAACATTTTTGGAAAGTGACACTAATTTGTGTTGCATCCCCATCATCACCATTTATATCATTTGACGCATCGCTAGTAATTATATGCATCTGTTTACATATGTATACTTGGGTATATACACACATACATACATATACATACTACACACATGGATGGATGGATGGATAGATGGATGGATGGATGGATGGATGGCAACGGATGGATGGATGGATCATTTTACCTCATTGTTGATTAATGAAAATGGAAGGAGGCACAAAAAGCACAGACCGGTGAGACGCTTAGTTATACTTTTCTGAGTTTGAATATATCATAAATTTTTTTTTTCTTTTTTATTGAGTTGTAAAAAAAAAAGTAAGACTCTCTTTTTTTATTTTTTAATATTGCCGTTGGCATCTTTGTGAGTAGCCACCCATTCAGCAGTTTCTTCCTTTAATGTCTCTGGGTCAACATAGGGATCTAAATCTGCCTTGACCTATTCATACATGTCTATTTGTTACACAAATGTGTGTGTGTGTGTCATTATCTTTTTTTGTGTTTACTTACGTCAGCTTCACTTTCGGTGGCTAAATCTTCGTTCCAACCCGGAGCATTTTTTAATAAAGAGTCGGCCTTATCAACTACAGAATAAAATAAATAAAAAAGTGTATAGAGGTTAGTTGAGTGATAAACACTGGTTTGAATGATAAATGCTAGTTTAAATGATCCACGTTTGTTAAATGCACAACGCTAGTCAATTAATCAACAGGAGGGGGATGAATACTAAAAGACATACTTTCTTCCTTGTTGAATGGCTTTCCTAAAGTGAAGGAGGTAGCGGTGAAGAATCGGGCGGGATTGGAAGCGTGACTGCGTGTTAAAGAAGGAGCTAAAGTCAATAATAATTTATTCATCAGTGCAAGTTTGAAAAAAAAAAGAAGTAATGGATTGTAAGAAGAAGTAGTAGTTGAAAAGAAGAAAGATATTTTATTGTTTATATATGTAATCTCCCATGCACTGCCTCAAATTCATAAATCAGCCACAAATTAAAAAAATACCCGGTTGTTTATTTTGAAACAACCATGATTGTTTTTGTTTTTTTAATCAATATTTTTTTTTTTTTTTTTTTTTTTTTGTTGGTAGTGAGGTATGAAAGAATATTAAAAAAAAGGTGATCGTAAAAAAAAAGAAAGAGGCTCACGGAGAGAGAGGAAAAAGAACATAAAAGTATACAGTTGTTTGAGATAGATAATGAAAAAAAAAAAAAATTTGACTTTTTTTTTTTTTTTTTTTTTTTTTTTTTTTTTGTTTTTACAAAAAGTAATCAGGAGTACGTCTGGTAACATGTGGTTCACCACGTCTAGGAGCAGGATCGAACTGGAGGCTATTATGAAAAAGTATATTAGAAGAGTTTTAAAGGAGAATGATGGGGGGGCACTTACAATGTGTATTTCATGTGCTCGTCAATCTCCATGATAGCAGCTTGGTTGCCACAACGATAGCAGTAATTAGGAGCACTAAAGATGGTAACTACGTTACGGTCATGACTCCAGTTATAACCTTCCATGACCAATTGATGGGCTCTTGCTACCAGTGTCAAGCCATTGTTATGGTTGAATGTCTCTGCGATATCTTGACCGAATGTATAACCTGCACCACGAGGAGAAATACCCCAACCACATCGATCATCAGGGTCAGACCATAAAAGATCACACATTGGACCCTCATGAGGTACTTCTTGCACACGGTCCAAGGATCTGACTTGATCCAATGTATCAATCGAGGGCGAGAGACCACCATGAAGACAAAAGATTTGATCTTCAATCAAAGCAGTCAAGGGTAAATAATCAAAAAGGTCCGTAAACATCTTCCAGACATTGGCATTCCCATACTTTCTTAAACACTCGTCGTAGAAACCATACACTTGGGTGATCTGACGAGATTCGTGATTACCACGAAGAATCGTGATACGGTCCTTGTATCGTACTTTAAGAGCAACCAAAAATGTGACAGTTTCAACAGAATAATATCCTCTATCAACATAATCACCCATAAACAAATAGTTGGTGTCGGGTGAGTTACCTCCAATACGGAACAACTCTTGCAAGTCATGGAACTGACCATGAATATCACCTAAATGTATATATATATATATATATGCCCTTTTTTAATAAATAAAAAACCATCAACCATCATATAAGACTACCACTTACCGCACACAGTTACAGGACATCGCACAGGTTGAACATTGGACTCTTCCATGAGGATTTCACGTGCCTTTAAAATGAACAGAGAGAAAAAAACAGCGTCAGATGAACACTCTAGTTACCTAGATGGACCTTTATTTTTTTACCTTTTCGCATAATTTTTTGATTTCTGACTCTGGTAATTGTTTACATTCAGAAAGTTGGGCAATCCAAGCATCAACATCTGCAACAGAACTAATGGCAGTCATTTTCTATGTATAAATAAGAGTGTTTTATTTATCTTCTTTAATCTTTTTTTTTTAAAGTACAGAAAAAAAAAAAGATGAACGAAATAAAAAGAAAGAGATGGAGAGGTCTTTTGTAGAAAAAAAAAAAAAAAGAGGATGTAAGAAAAATAAAAAAGAGGAAAGAGATTTCCCTTTTTATGTATAAATGTAATAAAAAGAAAGAAATAAAAAAAAAAAGGTGGGATTGTCGGAGTGTAAGGTAAGGCCCAAAAAAAAAAACAATCAACCAACACACACACACACACACACACACAACACACACAACACAACACTCTAAAAAAAACTATAGCCTTTGATTGGATCAAGTATAAAATGACGTAAGCATTTTTTCCTTTTAAACCACAAGACCAAAGAAAGCGGCTAATGAAACCTTTCTTCTTTTTTTTTTTTCATTTTACACCTGTCTAAAAGGGAAGCCAATGACCCATATCTAGCCTCATTCTTTTCTTGGGGCCGGGCACTGATATGGCATCATTGTTTTCCCAATAGGTACAGCTGTGGTGGGGGGGGGGTGTCTTTGTCCTCATTTTCAGTTGACAGGGCTTTTGTTTAAAATATTTCCCCTTTGTTCATAGCAGTGCCCGAAAAGGCATTGCGCTATGAAACAGTCTCAATCTATCGTGACATTCCAGCTACAACGCTGGGGATAGAATTAGAAATAGGGTACTATAATATACTCTTTCAAGTAAGAAGCGTCAGGGAAGATACTCTAATCCAAAGATGAGAGTATATACATATAAAAACAAACAAAGCCTCTAATAAGTATAACTAAAAGGTTTTTATTGTATAGGGGGAGTCAGCGCAATATCTACCAAAGAACGAATAATTCCTCCCCCATGTGCAAGTCTGATAATCTTGTTCTCCTACATTTCAATCCAGTTACTAGATATAAATCAAATTATTAGATGCCAGATAAATGATTTTCATAATAGACCTTACCTCTCATCACAAAAGCGACGAGAACCGACTTTACAGTACCCGCTTTATTTAAGGCCACCCACCAAACCATCTAAGATCGTTTCCGATTTAAGGACTCCCTCCATAGAGTGTTGCCAACAGTCGTAAATGAAGCGCACCTGCTCCAAGAACAGAGAAAGAGAGAGAGAGAGAGAGAGACAAAGCAACCCACACTTCCAATTCAAAGACACAAATGCCCTTTCTTATTAGACAAAGAAATGTAAAGAAAGAGAAAGAAAAGCTTATTTTTAAAAAAAAGAAAAGAAGGAGTGCCTTTGAAATTATGCAATTTCTTTATACTCGAAAATTGACGTGCCCTTCTCAGAATGCAACAGATCGTCCAACCAATGATGTTGTCTGTTTTCATAAATAAGCTCTCTCATAATAGGGTCTCATTGGAAGAGGGGGCAGGCACACTTCTTATCAATTACATTTGGCTTATCGTCTATAATATACAAAGCTCTTACAAATCAAAAGGAACGAAATTATTATAAAGATGACATAGAGTGAGTCTTTCATAGTGCGAGTATAAAAGTGATGCATAAGTAGTCTAGTAGTGTCACTAGAAGATAAAAAAAAAACGCGCTTTACGTGTCCCAAATCATGAGTTATCAATGGCTAATAATCCGGCGTTTGACAAACACTATGTTATATGCAAGTAGAGGATAGACTATAAAAGCATTATTGATAATCACAGATCGTAGTTAAACACCCATCCTGTCAGTGATAGGGTTCTTTCAGCAGACTTCAATTCCACCTCAAGATAGAATGTGTGTGGGTGTGTGGTGTGTCTAGTGTCGCAAGTTGAAAAGAAAATCGATGACGTGGTCACATTTTTCTGATTTTTTTTTTTTCACTCAGTGCCACTGAATGGAATTACATTTTGTTTTTTTTTGTTTTTTTTATCAGACATTGAAGACAGTCTTTTTTAGGAAACCCTTTTTTTTTTTTTTTTAAATATTTATTTTTCTTTGTCATTTAAAAAAAAAAAAAAAGACAGAGGTAAATTTTTTTTTTTTTCTCTTTTTACCTTTTCAATCGCGTCATCCATGTTAATAGTTTTATTATAAAAGAAATAATAATAAAGAAATGAACCCCTTAGCAAACCATCCACCGGGTGGTTTTAATAAGGAAAAGTTGCAAGGCCTTGTCCAGGTAAACGATCTACAGACACAACTTAAAAAAAAAAAATTTCCCTTCAACTCATCCTCTTCACAGCGCGTCCGATTCCTTCAATCCCAAGGAGCCAAAGAGGAGAATAATCCGGAATATGCTCAAATCATGCACTTCTTAAAGAATTTACAAAAACAACAACAAACGCGTCCTTCCATGCCCACGAACGAGCTCGTTCAACCATCTTTAACCATCCCTTCTCCCATCGCACCAGGTAATTGCCTATAACAAAACATATACATATATTCCCTTCTTACACATACTCTCTTCTTTTTTTCTTACTTGGTATCTAGCAGACATGCCATCCGCTTTTTCTCAATCGCAATTGGCAGCTTTAAAGTACCAGATATTAGCTTACAAGTTGATTTCTAAAAACCTAGTTTTACCTGCTAATCTTCAACAAGCTGTATTATCACCCAATTCGGCTCTTGATTCACCTCTTTCCTCCGCACCTTTACAACCCCTTTCTCAACAACAACCCTCACCAGCAGCAGCAGCAGTAGCAGTAGCATTACAGCAACAACAACAACAACAACCAGCAACAGCAACACATACAGCAGCAGCAACAGCAGCAGTACCCACCACTGTGGTGACACCCAACCTGTCCAACGTTGGAGCGGAAGAGACACAAGCACAAAAAGTGGATTACAATGCTTACACGTCACCTTACGATTTATTAAAGAAACCCATCAGTTCTGTATTCCATGCCTCTCGTCAACAACGCATGTTAATTCCCAGCATCACCCCACCGGGCACAGATCCTTATACGATCATTTCCGAGCGTGAACGACGTATTTTAGGACGGATTCAATACCGTATCAGTGAACTTGAAAAATTGCCGAGTCACCTGAATGACAGTAATGGACAGAAAGGAAAGGGACATGGCAGTTTAAAGATGAAGGCCATTGTTGAATTGAAGGCATTGCGATTGTTAGGTAAGCAAAAGCAATTAAGAGAGGAAATCATGTCGGGCATGATGAAATCCACCACGTTGGCCTCCTCAGCAGACCGTTTAGCGTACCGACGCATGAAGAAGCAGTCGCTGAGAGAAGCACGTATGACGGAAAAGATTGAACGTCAGCAACGCACGGATCGTGAACATCGTGAAAAGCAAAAGCACTTGGATTACTTACAGACCATCTGTGATCATGGTCGTGGGTTAAACAATACACAGGCTTTGCATCGACAAAAGCAAAACAAGTTGGGTCGTGCTGTCATTCAGTATCATCAACATATTGAGAAGGAGGAGCAAAAGAGAGCAGAACGTATCTCCAAGGAACGTATTCGTGCCTTGAAAAATGATGATGAAGAAGCCTACATGAAGTTAATTGACGAGGCTAAGGATACGCGTTTGACACAGCTGTTAAAACAAACGGGTTCTTTCTTGGATTCCTTAACAAAGGCTGTCTTTGAACAGCAAAATGATTCGATCTATAAACAAGATATGAACCCATTGGATGATGGTGATGAGGATGATATGGCTGCAGATGATCCAGATGCCAAGAATGATTACTTCCAAGTCACTCATCGTGTCAAGGAAGAAGTCTGTCAGCCCGATATGCTGATTGGTGGCAAATTAAAAGATTATCAAGTCAAGGGTTTGCAATGGATGGTTTCTCTCTATAACAATCACTTGAACGGTATTTTGGCTGATGAGATGGGTTTGGGTAAAACCATTCAAACCATTAGTTTAATTACCTATCTCATTGAACGAAAGAGACAAAACGGTCCTTTCCTTATCATTGTTCCCTTATCTACCCTGACCAATTGGACGTTGGAATTTGAAAAATGGGCTCCCTCTGTCAAGACCATCATCTATAAGGGACCACCCAATGCTCGTAAAGAACTGCAAAACGAGATTCGATACAATGATTTCCAGGTATTGTTGACGACCTTTGAATATATTATCAAGGATCGACCTATTCTTAGTAAAGTCAAATGGTTACACATGATTGTGGATGAGGGTCATCGTATGAAGAATACCAATTCCAAGTTGACGATTGTGCTTCGACAGTATTATCATACGCGTTACCGACTTATTCTTACAGGTACCCCACTGCAGGTAAATAAAATGCTTTCTTTTTTTTCTGTATGTATATATATATATAGACACATTAGACTGATACATAAAGTAGAATAACTTGCCTGAATTATGGGCCTTGCTGAATTTCATTTTGCCCAAGATTTTCAAGAGTGTCAAGAGTTTTGAAGAGTGGTTTAATACACCTTTTAATACACAAGGTGTGGCGGATAAGATTGGCCTGAACGAAGAAGAACAATTATTGATCATCAAGCGTCTTCACAAGGTTCTTCGACCCTTTTTATTGAGACGTTTGAAACGTGATGTAGAATCGGAATTACCGGACAAGGTAGAACGTGTGATCAAATGTAAACTCTCTTCTTTACAAACACACTTATATACACAAATGAAACGCAATGGTACCTTGTATACCTCTGAAGTGGTGAAAGGCAAATCAGGTGTCAAGGGCTTGAACAACACCATTATGCAATTAAGAAAGATTTGTAACCATCCGTTTGTATTTGAAGAAGTCGAATCGTTGGTGAATCCCAGTGGTATGTCCAATGATTTATTGTATCGTACATCGGGTAAATTTGAATTGCTGGATCGCATGTTACCCAAGTTACAACAAACGGGTCATCGTGTTCTGATTTTCTTCCAAATGACCCAAGTGATGAGTATCATGGAGGATTTCTTGAACTACAAGGGGTTTACGTACTTGCGTTTGGATGGTTCAACCAAGGCAGATGACCGTTCTGAATTATTACGTTTATTTAACGCACCTGATTCACCTTATTTTATCTTTTTGTTATCTACACGTGCGGGTGGTCTTGGTCTGAATTTACAAACAGCCGATACCGTCATTATCTTTGATTCGGATTGGAACCCTCATCAGGATTTGCAAGCGCAGGATCGTGCGCATCGTATTGGTCAAACAAAAGAAGTTCGTATCTTTCGACTCATTTCGACAGACTCTGTGGAAGAATCCATTCTGGCGCGAGCCAATTACAAGCTGGATATTGATGGTAAAGTCATTCAAGCTGGTAAATTCGATAATCGCAGTACAGAAGAAGATCGTGAAGCGTTTTTACGTTCGTTATTGGAAGATAAAGCGGATGAAGAGAATGATGTGGAGGATGAAGATATTGATGATGAAGAATTGAATGAAATCTTGCAACGTAGTGAAAGTGATATTCCTATTTTCCATCGTATTGATGATGAGCGTGAAGAACATGATAAACGTACCTGGCAATCGATGGGTCGTCGTGGTAAACCTGAAAGATTGATCACGGAGGCAGAATTACCTGTGATTTATTTAAATGATGATCCTATCCCTGAAGATGAGGATGATCCCTTGGCCTTTGGTCGTGGTCAGCGTACCACGGGTTCTGTGCGCTATGACGATGGCTTGACAGAAGAACAATGGCTGAACGCCCTGGAAGATGAAGATATCGATCTGGATGAATTGATTCAAAAGAAGGAAAGAAGAAAGCAACAACGTATGGCTAGAATCTTTGGTGAACCAGAACCTGAACAACAACAACAACAAGAAAGTAAACGTTTAGGTCGTCGACGACGTGAAGAAAGCGAGCCTGAAGATCCTAATAAAAGACGTGGTAGACCAAAGAAGGGAGAGCCTGAGGTGAGTTTTAATAGTGGATGATCATTTACTATAAGTAGACTAACTCTTTAATTTAGCCTAAACGTAAACGAGGAAAGGTCGAAACCGAAACTAATAAACCCGATACAGTTCCTCCTCAGGTCCGAGAGAACATGTTGAGAATCTTTCGTGAATGCTATAAAGCCGTGGAGGAGGCAGTGGAGGAAGATGAAGAGTAAGTGAGATTGGAAACTAAGAAACTGTGCCCCGTGATCTAACGTTAAAACCTTCCCTCCCCCCCCTTTCCGTAGATCTTACCGCAGTCGAAGTGAACTGTTTATGGACTTGGTGAGCAAACGTGATTATCCACTGTACTACACGATGATTAAAACACCGATATCGATGAATATGATTAAGAAACGAATGAATTCAACCTATTATAGAACCATTGCTCATTTCAGAGATGATTTCCACCTGATGTTTAATAACGCAAGGACGTTTAATGAAGAAGGCTCATTTGTATACGAAGATGCCAACGAGATGCAGGTAAAATAAAAGTTAAATGAAGCTAAAAAAGACAAGTTTTGATACTAAAATAATTTTCTTACAGAAAATATTTGATGCTAAATTGGAGGAGTTATGCCCTGGTGGAGTACTGACATTAAACCCATTATCATCATCATCATCGTCAGTACAAGCATCATCATCATCAAATCATCATACGGATCCAATGCGAGGATATCATGAAAACTAAGAAGTTTGACTGTAAATAACGGAATACTCTCTTTCTTTTACATATAATTCGTTTTGTATTTCTCTCAAGACTGTCAAATGGAGATTTATACGAATTGGATATTTTTTTATAATAATAATAATAAAAAAAAAAAAAAAAAAATTCAACTAGAATTCAACACCGGGTTGTGTCAGTAAACTGTGCTACAAAAAAAAAATTATTATTTTCACACACTGCGGATAAAATGGATTACCGAAAAAGTGAGAGATCGACGCCAACAAAGAAAAAAAAAAAAAAAAGATCGACATGCAGTGATTGGTTACGTTGCAAGCCCCCCACCCCTATAATATTGTTAAAAAAAAAAAAAAAAAGAGATTTTTTTTTCTTTTTCTTCTTTTTCTTCTCTCTCTCTCTCTCACTTTATTTATTAAAATATGGCATCTTTACCTTCACCACCACCTTCTCCACTTGATCGCAGGCGACATCGACGTAGTGATAGCTTTGCACTGTTACAGGCCGTGATTAAAGAAAGAGAGAAAGAAGAACATCAAGAAGAAGAATTGTTACTGAAATCAAGACTGATCCGATTTAGTTGCCCACCCGCCGTGAAAACAATAGAGAAGGAGGAGATCATTATACCGCATAAAAGTTTATCACATCATTCTGTGAGATTCACAACAGAACCACCCAAAGTCTATCATTACACTGTATAACCTTATAAAAAAAAAGATACCCACACACTATGAAGAAAGGGGTGAACACACACACACACACACACACACACACACATACATGTTATTATTATTATTATTATTATTATATTTTTTTTTTTACTGGAGTTGCTCAAGATAATCACGAAATAAATCCTCTCTTTTATCCTTGTCTTCAATAGCATGATAGGCATCATGATTCTCCAACAACTTCTTTGCATCTCTCCATCGAGTGTCCTTACGAATATCCGTGTTTCTCAAAAGTGCCTTGTATTCTTCCACTGGGTTCTTTTTCTTGTTCAGATTGTGTTTCACATGGGCCTTAAATAGCGCCTCTCTTTCTCTCGTCACAGGTAACGCCTTAAACCTGGCGTCGTCCTTGTATTTGCGTCGGAAATCATCCCAGTACATTTTCGTCGTCACCTTGGATTCGAGTAACTCTTTAAACTCATCCTCGGGTCGCTGTTTTTATTTTTTTTTTATTTAGTTTAGCTTAGTTTAATATTTCAAAATAAACTTTTTTTTTTTTCCTTTTTACCTTGGCTTCTTTGGCCTTTTCCTGTCGAATATGTTCACCTAGTGCATGACAGTACTTGTTGAAAAGCATCTTTTGCTTGTTAGAAGGAACCACTAAAAAAAAAAAAAAGAGTCAATCGGCTGCTTTTGCATCAAAAAAAAAAAACAAATAAATAATTAAAAGAAACTCACATGAAAAGCGTGGATCTGTCATGAGTTTAGGGTATTCCACTGTATACACTGCAAATGGCGAGATATGGCTTTCCTCTAACAATGTGTTGAATTGCTGGATACGTTCTTCTTCAGATAATTCTGGTTTAGTTTCATTCTTTTCTTTTTCCTCTACTACCGCCACCTCTTGTACATCTTCTTGTGGTGGTATGTCGCCTTCGGTGTCAGACTCTTGACCTTCCATCTGCTGTAACTGCCACATGATATCTTCCTCAGTCATCCTATGATTTTTTTTTTAATGATAAAATTAAGTACTTGCATTTTTTTTTTTTTTTTTTTTTTCCCGTGCATAATTTCATTTTACTCTGTTGCTTCTTCTTGCTCTTCCTGTAACAACTTTAATCTCTTGGCTTCCTGTGCAGCCACTTCTTCTTCTTCCAATGCTCTCTTTTTACTCTCCTCTTCTTCTTGCTGCTGCTGCTGTTGCTGCAACTTGCGTGCTTCCTTTTCTTCTGCTTCCAGCTTTTTTAACTCTTCCAAGGGTGCTTCTAATTCCTTTGGCATCTCCCATACTGACGTCTTTGTCTCTCGATCATAATAAAATTCGTATCCATCCGCTGTCAATACAAATAACCAATGCGTACCCGGAATCTTTTTCCTAACAATGTCCAATTCAGCTTATATGACTCTTTTTTTTTTTTTTTGTTAAAGCGTTGTTATATATTACTTGATTTGTTTCTTCTTTTTGGGTGCAACGGGAAACACCCAGGAGCTTTGATGCGTGGTTGTGTTGTACCAGTAAGGTTGTCCGGTAGGTGTGTAATGTTCTACCCATCCTGCGGGTAATGCAGGTGCAGGTGTCCCAAAGGGATGGTACACAATGGGTTGTCCTAATGCTGAATTCATGGTATGATTCTAAACCCGCGTTTTTTTTTTTAGATCTAGTTGGAAAATTTGTTTTTATCAAAAAAAAAAAAAAAAAAAAGGCTCCGCCTGAGACGATCCAATGAAAAACGGGCTGTGAAATCTTTACAGTGAGATATCTCTCTCTCTCTCACACAAAAACACCACATAGGAGTACTAGTATTTGTCATGGTGACGAGTCTGTGCGTAAGATGACAGAGCTTTATCTCTTAAAGTATGAGCAATCATTATAGTTTAAATTGTAGAGACATTTTTTAATTATAAAGAAGAATTTACTCTTCATCAGACTCTTTGGCGAGGGTCATGGCAACCTGCTGAAGACAGAGTTTCTTTCTAGTTGCCAGACTGTTCATAAGAGAACCATAACCTTCTATAAAATAAAGGAGCCGTTTGTAAGAAACATCAGCAATAAAAATTGAAATCCCATGCAACTTGATACTAAATTGTGCTTAATTCTGTTCCTAAGATCTTTGGTGTAGCATCCTTCTTTTCTCATACTGCTAAAATAGCCTATAAGAAATGAGAAAAGAGATAAACGCCCCAAAAAACTATTTGAATCTACACAGGATTACATCATAGGGGTCTAATTTGATCTTCCCGCCTAGTAGTAGTTAACACAGACCACAGTGAGTAGGCGATGTTAAGAATTGCGGTAGTAACTGAATTTTCAGTTAGCCGTCAGATATGTCACTCACATGTCAACTTCGACTTCCTTTTTAAAGTGAATAATCATGCTTTACCGTCCAAGCTATCCTTACGGGGGCCATGGATGTTTTTTTTTATGCGAATTTTAAATTAAGAAAATGATTGGCTCCTTTCAAGTAGAGTTAAAAAGGCACTTTTGTTTTTGGGTTTATGCTAGTGAGTGTGGGGATCATGCGATCACTCAAAACACGTTTTCTTTAAATATTTGTCACCTTCTCACGACTTCAATGTATTTGTCTTTTTCTGCGATCATTGTATAAATGATTTAAATTAAATCCGTTTCTGTCGCCTTCTTTCTCTCTCTCTCTCTCTCTCTCTCTGCTCTTCTTTATTAAACTAAACTAAAAAAAAAAAATGGCTTTGATTTGGAAAATTGCAATGCACTCTAATTGGCATGAATTGGATTCAGGCACGGCCAATGCGGTGAAAAAATACTGGGCCAATAGTAGTCAAGGCTGGTATGTATCTGACTCGTTCCAAAGACAGCCTGTCTATATTTGTTTCCCTGCCATGGAGATAGTGCATAATAACACGGTTTACACCATTGCTCAGTTTTATGTTGATGCTTGATCATCCTATTTACAGAATCTATGAAAAACTATCTCTTCTTTTTTTTTTTGGCTTATGAACAACAACTTACTAGGATTTAATTTTCTGCAGCAGAAAAATAACGTGTGTTACTTTACATGTTATATACGCTTATCCGGTCTTAACGGATAGAAAGAACGAAAAACATAAACTACTCATCAGTGAGTGCCACTTCCGATATGCCCAATTGAATCTCCTTATTTCTATACAATAATAATAATAAAAAAAAATTTTTTTTATCTATTTATCCCATCATGTGTAAATCGGGTTAACCGCAAGTAGGAAGGCATGAATGGTATTTTTTTCTTTTTAAAAAAAAACAAACATCCAAAGGGCTCTCTAAATTGTGAGTGCAAATACACACGGGCCACCCTACTTTTTTTAGTGACTGACGTTCAAAATAATGACGTTGATGTGATCATGAGAAAAATCCGGCAATCGTGGAAAAAAAGGGGGGAGGGGGGGGGGCTCATATGTCCCTGAAAACTTAATTTATGTTCTAGATCAGGGTCCCCCTTATATATACATATATAATAAACTCACTGTGTGAGATATTAAAAGTAAAATTGTAATTGGACGATTACTTTACTTTAAAATGTCATGCTTCCATGATTAAACAAGTTTCATGCGTGGGACAGGGCGCCTCAACAGTTGCTCATGAGGAACGAATGAAAAGCTCACTTTTGTCATGGTTGGAGATTTATATAAATGACTCTTATAAAAAAAAAATTTTTTTTGATTGTAAACACTCATTATTTATCGTATGACAATTTCGGTGTAGTATCAAAAGTTAATTACACGTGTGTCAACACAAGACTCACGCGAAAATAAGCTTATCGCTTATACCTTGGGAAATATATACACGCCTCCGGTTCTTAATACACATTAAATCATAAAGGCCGAGCACAGATATATATATATATATATATACAATAAAAACTGTAGTTGCCATCATTAATAACTACCAAGTAGTATTGTCGCGTTTGAACAGTTGCTATGCAAAAAGTGGTTTGAATCATGTTTTAAGAAAACAATGTAGTAGTAACACAGTAAAAGGGACGGAAAGGTCCGGGGGGACAAGCAGATATCAATGGTGTGGCAATATAGAAAGGTCTGTCATTGGTAATTGATAAGAGACATTGATCTTGAGAGATGGTGATCGAAACGTGACCTCTCACTGTGTATATTTATGCCAAACTTTACTGCGGCTAGAATTACCTTACTCAAAGACCCGCTGTGGCTTTCTCTCTAGAAGAGAGCACCACATGATGATCATGATAACTCATTGGTTTATTGAATTTATAAAAACAAAAACAAACACTCTCTCCTTTTTTTTTTTTTTTCTTTTTGGCAGTAAGTCATCACTCACAATACGCGTGTAAGTGTTGGTAAAGTAAATAAAAACGTCAAAAGATGATGCATTGATAAGCTAGGCTATAAAAAAAAAATATGTGTGTGTGAAAAGTTTTAAAAGGAAACGAGTAATCACATGCACAATGTCAAATATACCATATCCGGCACCGTTTTTTTCGGATACTTTAAAGGGTTCAAAAATTGAGTCAAGTACCCCCCAACCCCTTTACCTCCCGCCTCCACCCTTTAACGCGCCTCAACCCCCATTTACAATTGAGGCTGGTTTTTGTTTACCGGGTATGAGCGAAACCATTGCCACAAATGATGGCTCGGTTTTAATTACGTCAATGATAATTGACGCATATGAATCATACTCCACTTTTGTTACCACCAAATGCAGCATTTAATAAGAGAGGCCCTACCCCTATTTTGCATGTAGCCCCGATAAATTATATATATATAATTTTTTTGACTTTCTAGATCTGAATAGACCATCTTCATGCTTGTTATTCACTAACCTATGAAATCAAAGTATGAGTTGACATAAATGAAATGAAAAAGCATACATAAAGGCCAATGTTTTTTTTATTTATTTTAATACTTCTTTTTGTTATTTTGTATATACTACAACTGTTCGTGTATATCTTTCTTCTTCTTCTTTACTACAACAAAATATTATTGAATGATGGCTGACTTTAGATGGTATATCTCTCTTGGTTCACAATGGCTCCCGTTGGATGATGTATCAGCTGAATGCGTCGAGTACTATTGGCTAAAAAATGAATCACACCAGTACATCAATTGTGATACGTTTCCCGGTCCTGTCTATGTAGATTTCGAAAACATGGTCTTGACACATAATGGTAAGCATTACAATATCGCCAGAATCTTTAGGTAGGGTAAAAAAAAAAGGTGACTTCTTTTTATTCCTATGCCTCTATTCTTTACATTTTGGGGGATCCATTGATTTCTACGACTATATTATGCTTATTGTACCACCTATGACGCTTTGATGATGTTGAAGCAACAATCACAAATATAGAAATTAAATGACACTTTATGCTACTGACGCCATTCTTGCCCCCCGCTTAAAATTTTGTATATGTATTTTTTTTTTTCTTTTACTCACACTTCACTATATTATTATTACTTATTGACCGCACTAATATCCAAAAAAAAAAAAAAGACCTACCCCCCTTCTACCTCCCTCTAATCCACACAATAATTCTAAATTCTATCTATATACATATTTCTAATACATTGGTCTTTTTTTTTACGCATCATTGTTTGTTTGCATTTGTTGTGTTTGCTAAAAAGAGTAATATCTAAAAAAAGATTCTACTTCTTTTGGGAGAGCCCCTAATGCTTGCCTGCATTTATAATTTATTACCATAAAATGCTACAATGAACATAATAGGAAGGAAGATGGGGCTTTCTTTTTGATGTTGTAGTTTCTAAAGATAAAATTTATAAAGTTGAATTAGGATTACTCAACTCTTTGTAAAATACAAACTATTTTTACATTTAAGCCTGTACATCACATTGATCTTTTTTTTTTTTTTTTTTTTTTTTTTTTTTTTTTTTTACTGTAGCATCTAATTCAAAATAGATTTCAGAAAGCTGAGATGATGGCACAGGGAAGCACAAAAGGACGTTGAATGGCTCATGCTTATGTAAAATAAGTTCGGTCATTTAAAAATAAATTCTATTTTTAACCCTCCTTTTGACAGTCAGACTGCTTGATTGTCAATCTCACTCTATCTTGTGTGTGAGCACAGCCCATCCCCAAAAAAAAAAAAAATGCTAACTTCTTTATATTTTGGGCTCAGCCTGAAGATGTACTTTCAATGCGAATGATGCATATTCTCTCCTCTATGCAATATTTATTATGATGGATCGTTGTTGTAGTATAGAGAGAGAGAGAGAGAGAGAGAGAGAGAGAGGGAGGGAGGAAAAGTAAAATAATAAAAAAAAGAGAGATGCATGCCTTTGGCTTAGTTATTCGCGTTTTTCTTTCTTCTTTATTCTGCCTGCCTAGGAATGAACTTTAACAAAGATTTTTTTGTTTTATTAATAACCATTCATCGGTTCAAATATATCTCTATCTTTGTCGTGATTTAAAATCGAGAATTATAATGTGTGGTACCTGAATTAAGTCGATGAGGGGTACCAAAAGCTTTTTTTTTTTTCACGCGAATTCAGTCCTAGAAAAGACGTGTCATTTACAACAAAAATAACAGGCCAATTATAATTAAAAAAATTACGTGTACAGAATTTTTCAAACTGGATGGATGAGTGAAATTAATATTAAAATCGCAATGTCTAATTTTTTTTTTTCCCCTTCCGATTTCTGTGTGTGTGTGTGTGTGTGTAGAAGTTTTTTTTTGGAATACCGGATTATGTTGGACGCATTAGGCGATTTGTACTCCCACAAACAATTCTTTTAATATACAAAAAAGAGGCACCTTGTCTTGTTTTTAATATCTAACGATGAAGCCAGAAAACAAAAGAAAACCTAATACAAAGCCGGGTGGTATAAACAAGACATAGAAGATGATATATAAAGGACCAGTTTAGGCTGGATTCTCTCTCTTTTTTTTTTTTTTTTATTGGAATAACAACAATACAATAAAAAAATACATATTTATAAAAATGGCTGTACAATGGGTTTACGCTACTGGCTCTGCATGGGTCACTTTGGATAGAAATGCTCAGACACAAATCGAGACATTATGGAGTCGTGACGCATCTAGCTGGATTGATAGTAGTTCATTCCGTGGTCCTGTCTATGTTGATACGAGTGAAATGCTACTCATGTCTGCTGGACTGTCTTATGCTATTGCTCGTAGAAGGGATTGAAATCAAACTGACAGAACACTATGCCTTTCCCCCTCCCCCTTTCCCTGCCTCCCTATATGAAAATTTCTTTTTTTTTTTTTCCTGCACCTGCATCTCTTTTCCTTTTTTTATACATATGAACCCTTCCCACCACTTTCTACTATATGCCCTTCCCCCCCCCCTTATTTCTTATGTACCCTCTATTTTTAAAATAAATTGAAAATAGATACTGTATTTATTTTTAAAAATATATTATTTTTATTTTTTGCATGGTATTTACTTCAAGAATTAATCAGTGTTTGTATTAAAATTGGCTCTAATGTTTGTACGAGAAGCTTTTTTTTTGTTTACGGGGAAATATAGTGCACAAAAAAAAAGGGTATTTTTAAATCTATAGGTATATTTGTAATTATACCAAGCACGTCTCATCCAGAGAAGGTATGATTGTTACGCGGGTCATTTTTGCTAGATCATGTATTAGAAACCGTTGCTTAGCAACGATATCGGAATCTAGAGGGATATGAAAGACTTAGTAGGTCCGGTGTCGTTTTATGTGTTTACGTGTTTGGGTTAGTGCCACTTGGATACATTTTATACACAAGAAAAAAGAGACGCAGCAGCCAGTTTTTTTTTTTTTTTTTATTTTATCTCCAGTAATGAAAAACCGAGATGGCCTTGACCGAAAAGGAAATACATGAAAAAAACTGAGGGGGACTGAAAACAATAAACAAAAAAAAAAAATCCAATTTTGTAAAACCTGAATACTAAATAGGGTAGTCTGTGAAACAGATGGGGAAAAGACAGAGGGGGGAACATTAAATTGTGACGTATTGACGATCCTCATTTACTTGTTAAAGAAAGATTGCTTTATTTGTTGAGCTCAATTAGATAAGATGATGGACCCTATTCATTTAGACAAAAAGAAAGTCATGAAATTTTCTATTTCGACACGTATCTACAACAACGGATAAACAATAGTATGGAGGTAGGCTTCGGGTTCAAGCCGCGTGACTCAAATTTTTTTTTTGCTGCGTAAGATGGCAAAGTCATTCAAGCCGATTTATATATATATATAAATTACACCCTACATCATTTTTTTTTTCTCGATTGCGCAGCGCGCCCAAATTATATTGATACGGGGAATAGAAAAAAAGATTCTAGGCACTAAAATAAATTGCACCTGACTTGGTTTTAACACGTACAACAAATGAGAAACCCGTCATCATTTTTTTTATTTTTTTTAAGATTCTGTAATATTTAACAAAACGTTCATGCAAACAACAAATGTTTACAATCAAGCCCCATTCCCATTTGGAAAGAAGAGCCAATCAAATATGTATGCAATTGATAAAAAGGGTATATGGTCTGAAACAAGAAGTCAGGGACGAGAGAAGCATATTTTAATACAACACAAATATGGTGGCGTCTCTTTAAAGAGTCGAGGGTTGAGCCTTTAACTAATTGAGCTCCCAAATATAGAATGTGGCGCTTCACAAAACTACTAAATAGAGGTTTCGCTTTTTTTAGTGTGACCATTTCTGTTGCACATCAAGGTATAAGAATAGATTGGCATTAATATGTCAAAGTATATAAAAAGAGCTGCGTAGTTCGATTCAATTTTTTTTTTCCCTCACTTCATCTTATTATCTCTCTTACAGCTTCTTTACTTGCTGTATAACACACTTGAATTACATAACACTTTCAAACTCTTAATTGATTAAATCATAAATTATTCATCATGGCCGCTGTACAATGGGTTTATGCTAATGGATGTTCATGGGTTACTTTGGACGCTACCGCACAACAAGATATCGAAAGCCTATGGGAATTCAATGCTTCTAACTGGATTCAAAGCAGATCCTTCCGTAGCCCGGTCTACGTGGATATCTCACAGATGCTACTGATGTGTGACGGAATGTCCTATAGCATCGCGCGTCGTAGAAACTGAATTGGGTTTTCTACGTAGCAATATATTTACTTATTTATTTCTTTCACTTTTTTTTACATATTCACTACATATCACTTAGATTTTAATCTTGATACATAACTTTTAGACATTATTATACACACACACTTCTTCCCTCACCTTTTATGCCCTTTTTTCATTATGCCCTTTCCCCGTTTTACCCTCTTATGCTCAATTCCCAATTTTTTTTTTATATATATACATAATAAATATACCCACTTTTACCACCTTTATAAAATCTCGGATTAACAATAGAAAAAAAAAGAAGCTTTTATGACGTGGAACAAGTTACAATGACACAGACTTTGATTATCAGAAGTACACGACATCAGTATCTAAACATAGAACGATCAAAGATCTTATTTGGTAAAAAGTAACCCTTCTACAATTCAGCCTAATGTTTATAATTACGTACGCGCGCGAAAAAAAAAAAAAAAAAAAAAAAAAAAAAAAAAAAAAAAAAAAAAAAAAAACTTTGCAAACATTCACAACTTTACTGATCTATTGCTACTGCAGTTTGAGCTACCATACTTGTTTATAAATAAATGCATGTAGGTTACACATTAAATTTAGCGTGACCTCTTCATGCTTGCTAAACTTCGCCACCTCCAGTTGTCGTCATTCTATTATGCCCTACTGACTGCAGTATTATTTTTATCCCAAAGATCTTTTAGCCTTGTTTTTTTTTCATAAAATAGACATATACGTAAAAAAAAAAAATGGTCCGATTTTTTTTTTTTGCTTTTTGATGTAATGGCATATTTATTTATAACCTCTACAGTTTATAAAAACTTTAAAAAAATTAGGACCGAATTCACGGATTAACGAGAGAACTGAATATGTACATTGTCCATCTAAATTTCAATTGGGGGAGGTACACATATTATAATGCAAAGAGTTACATAAATCATGCGTCTATTTAAAGAACAATTGGAGTTTACTAAATATAACCAATTTCTTTACCCCCTTCAAAGTATCTCTTTAATGACAAGAGTGCAGAAGTGATGTAGTGTTCCAACACCTGGAGTACTAAAAGCCGAATTAATAAAAAATATATATTAAGTGACACAGGGCTTGGAACCGTCCTAGGTTGTACGGGAAAAAAAAGTGCCTGAAAGAGTCACAGGACCTGGTGGCGAAGTAGTGTTACAAATCATCTTTTTGTATAAAAAGAATACCATTTCTTTAGCTATTTTTTCCCCCTTCCTTTTTTTATCATTTTTTTTTTTTTTTAAAAAAAAAGGAGGGGAAGAAGATCTACAAAAAGCAGCTTAACCAAATGGCATGGCTTATTGCTACAGACGGTGCTTGGGTAAGACTGGATCAAGAATCTCAACTAGACATTGAAAATCTCTGGAATCGGAACAGATCTGCTTACATGAACTGCACCTATCTCTCGGGTACTGCCTACTTTGATATACTGACCATGTCTCTCATCACAAACGGAGCTTCTTACACAGTGGCTCGCGTTATTTAAATCAGGTCCCTTGTATCAACCTTATCTCTATTGCATCTCTCTTGTACTTTTATAAACATAATTTCATTCATCATTTCTCATCATTTAATTATTTCAAGAATTTATCTAAAATTAAAAATAACTTTTTTTTTTTTATTTTTAAAATAACCTTTAGAGTTTTGTGATGCATGATGGTGAACCCCACAAGGGCACAGTCGGGCTTGTCGAGTAAGGGCAGAAATTTCGGTTACCTAACCTTTTTTTTTCCATTATAGTAATTTCACTTTACATACAAACTTATAAAACTTTATCAAAAAAAAAAAAAAAAATGAAATACTTTTAGGGTAGCAATCAGATAATCTGACTTTTGTAATATAGATTTCAGACAAAAGTCATCTCATTAGGTTTTAAAATTTCAATACTCCGCCCAAAGAATTTTGGTTTTGTTAGCATTACCTGACTATTACATAATATACGTGTACATGTAACTTCCAAATATTACCTACAAAACCGGTGAATACACAAAGTATTAAATGACCGCAATTTTTATACAAAATTTAATTCTATTTTATTTTAACTGCATTAGGCCTAAATGTAAAATATAAAGTTGTCTGTACGGTGATTTGTCATGTTTTATAATCAATTAAAATGATTTATCTAATAGTAAGATAAAAAGTTAACAGATGTAAAACATCTCTTTCTTGTCAAAAAAGAAAAAATAAGACGACCTATCTAATTTATAAACAAGTCAAGTAATACAATGTATTACTTGACATATCATGTAACGGGTCGAGATTAAACACTTTGAACAACGATAATAACATGTACTACTATCACATTGTCCTGATACGTTCTTACTATATGGACCAGTCAAAAACGCTGCCTAACAGTATTTTTTTGGGGAAAAATTTAATTTTGACAACACAAGATTAAAACTTACAGAGATAGTGGAACCCGATGTATAGCAAAAACGAAAGGGTACTTAGCGTCTACAAATGGTAGAGTCTATACATCCGCCTGCAAATAAAGTTCGTTTACACACTTTTTTCGATTAAAATAAACAATTATATTGTCCTGGCATAAACCAGATCTTAGTTTATTAGTCTGTAAGTAAAATCGAATGTCACACATTTTCCTCAATTTCTATCTACCAAACTAAAAGATAAAACCATTCAGACATGAATCTACATACTTATTTTCTTTTCTTTTGTATCAGCGGATCTGTGATTCAAGAAGGGTCATTTAAGGTCATTAAGTCAACAACTTGAACGATTAATTTATATTTTTGTGATGGTAATATATAATTGTGTGATATGATAGTCGAGACTTTAACATAATGACTAGACAGGTATATGATGCAACATTTACATTTGTGCTTCAGTTATTTTTTAGGGTTCCATCAATGGAGAGCCTAAAATCTTTTAGTAGTGGATTTAATGTGATTTAAGAACATATTGTCCAGCTTTTCAAAAGCCCTTCTTTTTTTACAAAGCGAACCATCTTTTCAAAAGACTCGAATGTTAATTGTATAGTAAGAATAAGCAACCATAAAATTAGGATTATAGTAATTTAGCTACACAAATATTGGCTCGCAATGATTTATTATCAGGTATTTTAACAATTTAGTTGCCTTCCTAAAACACGCTCTTCGTTTTTACAGATTTTTTTTTGACTTTCAATCATACAGCAATTAAAAAAGTTATGCAAGAGGCTAGCCTCAGAATAGTGGCCACTCAAACAGATGAGATGTTCTGATAATGCTATTTTTACCCATTTTTCAAGCGGCAATTCACAGCCACAGAATAATGCTCCTAATTGTCTACAAAACTATTCAGCCCTTTTGTTGCCTCATCCCCATATTTTTTTTTGTTGCACTTCTTTAAACTTTTGAAGTACATACCGTTTAACAAAGGCTTTTTTCCGTATATCCTATTATCCTGATTTAGGCTGATCTTTAGTTTTTAAATGAACAAGATGGATAATAAATCAGGATAAAATTAGCTTTCTTGATAATGCGCAGTGATCTTTTTATATTTATATAAAAAAGCAACTGAACTTGCACTCCAAAGCTTGTATAAGAATCCTTTACGTCAGCGTTTAGATATATTTACATGTTATTTCTTTTTAATATGCCACTCGAAAAAAAGTAAATCTACTTTTTTTAATAGACAAGTGCTTGCCATAATTTATTGCAAAGGAATTAATTTTTTGCGCTGTCGTATTAATCATCTATGGGGTATTTTTAGCATATGCTTACTACTCATTAGTATCATCAATATTAGTCTTAGAAAGCATATAACGTTCTGATATGAATGTATGCATCAGGTGCCGGTTCCATTTCGTACTAAAATTAGGTGCATGGCTGCCCCAAGAAGACGGGGTTTTGATATCGGCTCAGAGCGACTTTCAAATGTTGACTTCTTCTTTATTTCATCAGTTATGGTAATTTAGTAGTCGATTTTTATTGTAAAGAGTGACGAATTAACTCCTTATCCCTATCCCCATAATACTTTATAGACATACTAATAATCTTAGTTTTATTTCGACTGATATTGTAACGCTAAACCATAACTTTTGTATGCAGTGGCGAAGCTTAAAAACTTCTGTACTTTTGTAATTGAAACAACGCCGCCGCCCATGAACAACGTAAAAAACTGCGGGGTGACAAGTTAAAATTACGACTGAAGAAGTGAGGCGTAATATACACATTCATAACATTTACTGCTTGCTACTCCATTCTTTTATTCAAATGAGAATTTTGAATATTAATAATTTTTTTTATATATCATTCATACTTATACAGCCCCAATGTTGTATTAATAATTGAAAACGAACACACTTCTAGCCCGTAACACACAAGTGACACCATTGTATTACGTAAAAAGCTGTAAGAATCCTGATCATTCATTTATTACCTTAACAGGTAGCATGGTAATTTATTTGTACATCATGCAAAAACACGCCATATTTGTTTCATAGTAATAAAGTGAAATAATTTCATCATTTACAGACTTGCTATGCTGAAGTCACTGTTAAATTTTATTATAATAATAATAATAATTATTGGTATAGTGAAACTTTGAAAAAGATGCGTTTGTATATAAAATAGCTAAAGCATCTAACGGTTTTTGAACAAAATAAGTGTTCACTTTTGGTTATAATAAAAACGTACCATGTTGCACGACACAATAGACAATGAACCACCGGTTGGGATTTAATATTCCGTCCCCTTATTTTTTAAACTAATTCAGTTGTACAACATTAGCCAATCGGTGGTTTTCAAAAGGCTCTGCGAGCAAAAAAAAAAGGGGGGGGGGGAGACGCGGGATATTGGTTTTGTTTTCCCGCCCAATTGTTACACCATGCATGTATCGTGGCTAGTAACTACTGCTGAGCATTTTAAACAATATGAAAACAATGGAACTATACATGGAATGCGATATGTTATTTCTCTCAAATCAGAATCTTAATAACAAGAATAAAGAATATATCGTTTTATCCATTGACCAGTAATGAGGTCATGCGTCCTAATAAAATAAAAGCAACTGACAAACAATCATGATTGTACTCCCCCGACCCCACAATTCTTTAATTGAAAAAATCAGGTTGATGTCATTAGTATATTAATTTTTTTAGCTTATCAAAAGATCATCATCTCTGTTTGCGAATTTAGAAATGAATATAAGATAATTAGTCTGTGCAATACACTATGTCATAGGAAAATTTCATATAAACTCAATGACATACTGATAAAGGTACAACATATACAGTTAGACTAATGAGGGAAAAATAACCCTTTTAATCACTTTCTTTTTAAAAAGTGCTTAAAACGTATTCTTTATAACAGCTTTGTATTCAGATCAAGATTGTGATCCTTACACACAACGATGACTCAACATTATTTTAATTTCAAATATTAACTATGGACATTTTAACCTCAAGAAGCACCTCCGCCCCCCGCTTGAAAGTCATTACCGTCTTTGTAACTCTATTTTTAACATACAATCAGATATCTTTTTCCGAAATAATGACGCATGATTATGACAAACTAAAAACATTGGTCTGTTGAATTAACATGGTTCAAACCACGATAAAGCTCCTTCACAAAAAAAAAAAAAAATCTTTGATGTGACACAATACCCATACTTTTTCGAGCACCACCCAAGCGAAAGATACGGAAAGAGAGAGAGAGAAAGAGACAACAACAATAATATGTGACGAGTTTTTCGATAATTAATAATATAAAAGAGGCACGACTACGGGGGTTCCCTTATCCGGTATTGTGGTAATTTTTTTTTTGAGATAGATCATGCAAATATACGCGCCACAAACTATGTATATTTGTTCTGTGACAAAAACAAGAGAGAATTTTTTTTTACTGATTACAGAACAATTCTTTTGGATTATTTCTTCTCTATTATTGATTTTGTTTGTCCCCATGATGTAAAAAAAAGAAGGTGGGAAGGCTATAGATGATGAAAAAGATTGCTTTATAGACTGATATCAGAACTCTTATTATGAAGGTCAAAGACGTAGAAAAATCTAGAAAGAGAGTGGACTAAAAGTAAATCATTCCACCAGTTGAGATCGATTATCCACGTTTAATCCGATTTATTTTTTCTGTTGTTTATAGCGTCGTACATATATCATCATAGCTCACCTGAGAAAGGGGAAAGCCGTTTACTATCAAAACATAAGTGCCACATGGAATAACATATCAACAGTGACACCAAATATCATACGCCTTTTCAGTTAAATACTGGGAAGATTGCGTAATACGCCTCATTCATCAGAATTATCGACTCATGTTTTTCAAAATAAGGGTATTCGTACCACAAACTATCTTTTCCGGTGCTTAATAATTCTGTGTAAGACTTTCCTTGCATCGCCACTCATGCTTTTTTTTTGTTTTTTTTTTTTTTTTTTTTTTTTTACTCGCCACCCTGTTAGGGAAATAAATTCCACGTACTACTACTTGATTACATTTTTTGCAGATCTTTTAAACAAATGGTAGTCCTAAACTACGTCTACTTCTCCATTTTAGTTTGAAATTTTTTAGATTTATTACAATTGTAATTATTTAAGTAGCCGTACAATACCAAAAGAATTTGATAGAAGAAAATTTATACGCCATTTTTTTTTCTTCTAGACGAATGTATCCATAGTTTAAGCAACGTGGCGGGAAAAGAATTTATCAGATTATTTTGAGGCGGAAATATGATTTTTGTACGACTATACTATTGTGGCTGTGTGTGTGTGTATGTTTCTTTTTCCCACTGTGTTGTGCAAAAAATAAGTGTGGTACATAATTAACTATTGTATTGTGCGATCGGATTTGAACCTGGTTTGTCGGGTCAGAAATGGTTGACTAAGAATCACCTACACAACGGGTGAAACAATCACCCAGTTCTTATGACTTTATTACAACTCGCTGATTAATTAGCCTGTCACGTACACGTTGTTGATATCTTACAAAAAATCTATCCATCATAACATTATACACACCCCCCATCTGAATTATTTTTAAATCTGTAATGGCTATTAATACATATAAGATTTTTTTTTATTTTTATATGTTGAGATACATGAATGTCCACGTTACACATCATTGCCCGAACAAAAAACGTAAAAAAAGTAGATGAATTAATAAATGATTTTATTTGAAGGAGGTGAAAGGCCTGTTTTTTAGTGTGACATCCACAATCATGACAAGGATCAAACTATCACCCTATGCTTGGGTTTGAGGCGCAAAAATGGGCGCATGTGATTTAAGGCGAGAATACATTGGGGGAGGAGAGGGGTTCAAGCGAGAGAGAGGCGAGTGAGTAGGTTATACGAAGGCATTGTTACAGATTCAAATGAATTTTTCTTTGTGTGATCAAATAAAGTCTGTGGCAAGGTTAACAATTACCTTAATCAGGAAGCACAATGCTTAATACAGGTAACAATGAATTTAGATTTTTATTTTTAAAAATAGATACTGTCAAGTATAAATAGGACGATCAAAATTGTCCATTCCCCAATTTTTTTTTTATTATTATTCATTCAAACAATTACAAGAGCTTTTCTATCTCTCATCTACTTTTTAATACATACATAAAATGACTACTGTTCAATGGGTTTACGCTAATGGCTCTGCTTGGGTCGCTCTCGACGCCGACGCTCAAAGACATATCGAAAGTTTATGGTCACACAACGCTTCTAGCTGGATCCAGTCTCAAATCTTCCATAGTCCTGTCTATGTAGACATTGACCAAATGTCTCTCATGTGTAATGGAATGTCCTATACTATTGCTCGCCGTAGAGCATAGGCAACCATTATCTCCTCTTACATCTTTTTTCTCTTCTTTTTTTTTCATACTTGATTGTACATTTTCTAATCCACACACACACACACACACACACACACACACACCACACAAATCCTTTTTATTCGTATATAACACACTTCTATTTTGACAATAGCTCCCTCTCTCCCTCCTTTCTTTAGCGTATAGATTATACTAAGGCCGTTTCCTATCAATAAATACATTTTTAATTATCTATAATCATGCATATTTTGGTCCATGTGTGTTCCCAGCCACTTGGATTTTCTATTTTTAACACGCCTCCTTCGTGTAACTCAATATCTAATCAGGAAAGTCTCACTTAAAACAAAAACTCGGGTTTCAGCATGCAGTGATAAACGTATTAAAAAAAAAAAGATACTTTTTTTATATAGAATGATTTAAAAAAAAAAATGGGATAAATGGGGGAAATGAAATTATAAAAAAATTTAAAAATATAAAAAAAAGATGGTAAATCACTTATTGTCTTCTCTTCTTGCCTGAAGATTTCTTAGAATCTTCATTTCTAACTTGTTTGTTGGCAATTTGTTCGAGTTGACGTTTACCATGGCAATTAGGGAAATTAGACAAGTCATAGTAACTAGGTGCGACCTCAAGTAACCATTCTGCTCTAACTTCAACACAGGTTCTGATATAATTACGAGTGGTCAACACAAATTCGTTGTAAAGAACCCATTCGGGTTTGTGATCCAAACATGAAGAAGGATGCAATTGTACAATTTGGTTATCCTTCACTGTCAAGTAATGTCCAGAACGTTCCAAATGAGCCACTTGCATGAAATAGCCGGCAACAATCGCTCTACGGATGTTGGTGTAGTAAGATCTGTGCTCGAAATCCGTAGAAACAAGATCTAAGTCGTGCTTTTCCATCGTTCTTCTTAATTGGTTTCTAACATTGTCAGCGGATTTTAATGAACGGTGGTTCATGAAATTATCGAAACACCAGTTTTGATCTTCGTTGTCTAAAAACAGAAAAAGGAGTATTAGTTCATCTGTCATATTACCATCTATGTAAGACTTACTAGTTTTATAGGCGTGATAGGCGTTCAAGAGAGTAAGATGATCACCATCGGCATGAGCAAATTGGGCCTTAGCTTCATCTGCAGCCTTACGGGCATTACTAGGACGAGTAAAGATTTGAGGTACAGAGAGCAAAGCAGCAATAGACAAAATTTCGTTGGAACAACCGTATTTGGGACTTTCGATCAACATCTTACTCAATTGAGGATCAAGAGGGAAAGCAGACATAAGTTCACCAGTAGGAGTTAATTCTCCGTCGTCATCTAAACCACCCAAATAATTCAAAAGTTCAAGCGCACGCATCAAAGTCTCAGGTGCAGGAGGGTCCATGAAATCGAAATGCACTAAATCATCAATACCGAGTTTCTTTAATTGAAGGACAACACTACCCAAGTTGGATCTCAAAATTTCTGGGTATGTAGCTTCAATCAATTCCTTGTTGAAGGCGTTCTCTGTATACAAACGGAAAGCCTTACCAGGTCGGGTACGACCAGCACGACCAGCACGTTGTTGAGCGGAAGCTTTGGAAATGGGAGAGACCAAGAGGGACTCAACACGAATACGGGGATTGTATACCTTTTGCTTAGCAAAACCAGGATCAATAACATAGACAATACCGTCAATGGTGAGAGAGGTTTCGGCAATGTTGGTGGAGACCACAATCTTACGACCGGGTGCGCCACCGGGTGTACGTGGTGGTGGTGCAGCTTCAAAAATCTGTTGTTGAGCACGGGGAGGTAAAGAAGAGTAAAGAGGAACAACCTTGAGAGGACCAGCTCCTTGGCTACGGATCAATTCATCGCCTTCAGCTCTAATCTTGCTACAGGCAGTTTCAATTTCTTCCTCACCAGTCAAGAACACCAAGATATCACCCTCAGGTTCACTGACATGGATTTGGAGAACAGTACGGATAGCAGCCTCAAGGTAATCACGCTCGGGCTCGGGAGTATAGAAAACTTCGACAGGGAAAGTTCTACCAGGAACAGACTACACAATGTCAAAGAAGATCTTAATATCTACCCGTATAATCATATTTACACACACACACACACTATTTACTTACCAATAAGGGAGCATCGTCGAAATACTTTTGAAACTTGCCAGCATCCAAAGTAGCAGACATGACAACCACTTGCAAATCCTTTCTCTTTCTACAAACCTCCTTCAAAAGACCCATCAAAATATCAGTATTCAAGGTACGTTCATGTGCCTCATCGAGAATGACAGCGGAGTATCTGGTCAATAAAGGATCTGACATGGCTTCACGCAAAAGCATACCATCAGTCATATACTTTAAGAAGGTACTGGGACTGGTGTTATCTTCAAAACGAATACTGTAACCGACTTCTTGGCCCAACTTGACATCCATTTCATCAGCAACACGTTGAGCGACAGACATAGCAGCCACACGACGAGGTTGAGTACATGCAATCATCTTTCCCTTTAAGTGAGGTAATTCATCATAAGCTAAAAATTGGGGAATTCTTTTTTTGTACAGGCTTGTTTAGTAACCATATTTCCCTTTCCCTTACTTTCTTATAGAACTTACTGTGTGGTTTTACCGGAACCAGTCTCACCCACAAGCACAACAAATTGGTTATTATGAACCAAATCTAAAAACTCTTGACGCTTGGAATGAACAGGAAGCTTTCTTCTACCTTCTAAAATCTTTTGATACTTTGCGCTGAAAGTCTTGCCAGTGAAAGGATTGACTTGAGCATTCTCGAGCTTTTCAGCTTGTTCAGCGGTTGTCTTTCTGGGAACGAGACCGTTGAACAACTCCTCGGTTTTACCACCGGTGTTTAAATGAGCAAGGTAAGGATTATCACTCATTATGAAATTAATCGATCAATGTTTAATAGAAAAAAAAAATGTGTATGTATCTCTTTTTATTACACCTTCAAAGAAAAAAAAAAAAAAAAAAAAAAAAAGACAGTCAGTCTGCGAGTCACGACTGCGGCGGCGGCTCAAAAGTTCAGGTCCTTTCATTTTTCACAGCACAGCATAGGAAACAAGCTATCAAACTAAAAGAAACATAATTTAGCCCTTCCTTCTTTTCTCTTTTTTTACGCATATATAATATATTTATTTTAAAAACTTTACCATCCAAACCAAAGAGAGTCCTTTTTATGAAGATTTGATTTCTCATCAATGATCTTTACAGTGTTTGGTAGAGGCTGAGATATTAAAGTTTCATCTGTTGAATTGCTATTGCGGTAGACATTATATAGGGGGTTGTCACCATGATAGGACCCTCGCGTTGGCATGGAAGATGTCAAATATTTTTTTGGTGCAGTCATTTTAGGTTCTTTGAATGATGCCATTTTTTATATGATAATGTACAGATATTTAAGAGGAAAAGAAAGAAGAAGTAAAAGAAAAGAAAGAAGAATTCTTCTTTTTTTATAAGGATTTACCATGGATTACCCAAAACTTTCTTTTTATAAAACAAATCATCATATTATTAGAACGCACACCCATTTTAAGTATCACTTCAGCCCCTTCTTTTTGTGACCAAGTTGTATCATCATAACATTGAACATTTATATATACACAATTTACTTTTCAACGATTCATCTTTCTGTAAGAACTAAAATCTTCCCAAATGTAGATCATTTAAATTAATATTCATATAAAAAAAGGAGGGGTTGGGGGCGGAAAAGAGAGATAGAGAGGATGATCAATGCATCTTGACTCTTACAATCTGGCTTTTAAAGGCTCAAGACGAAATTTGATTTCTTTTAGCCTTGAGCTGGTGGGATTCCAATCATCAAACAGGGTCTGAAGTGCTTTTAGTTCTCGACTGAGATCTGCATCATGATGTATCCTTGGATCATCCCATATGCCTCGCATAGCCCATGGTAAATGGAAAGGATTCAATCTCAGCTTGGCTTGGAACGGATCTAATCTCGCTTGTACTTTGTCCAATACACGTTGCTTCGCTTTGTCTTTGTCCTCTTGTTGAAATGTCATGATCTTGTGGTTACCAAACGGTAGAGTTTCAAACATGTATTGCAAAGCCAGTATAAACACTTGAGGTTCTTCATAGATTGTAGAATGTCCTCCCTCCCAAGCATAGATCTTACCCGCCAATACTTCACTGATATGAATCAAAAAACCGTGATCTGATAATCCCGCATTCAACAACTTCAATGCAAATGTGATCAATCGAATCAGAAAATCGTCTTTTGTATATACATGACCATCAATATAAATGGCTCGTAAAATATTAGGGTGGCTGATACCAGACATAATGGCAGAGTACAGTGGTACAACTTGATCTTGCATTGATCCTATCAACACTGTCTTGACACGATGTTGAAGTATAAAAGACATGGCGTCTCGATATTGCATTGATATTTCCGAATCAGAGTCCATGAACTCAAACAATTCTCTCGCTGCATCTGCCTCAAAATACTATTTTTTTTTTTATGATGAGTTATCATCTCTCACTTTTTAAATTATATGCCCATTTTACCTTGACTAATAAATTGCCCTTTAGTGTCGGAAATGGACCATGAGATATGCCTGCCATAGCTAACATACAAACAGGTTGTCTATCCACTTGGATGAGACCTTCCTCAATCAATTTTTTTAATAGGATAGCGGATACGGGAGTTCCTTGTGAATGCGTGACCCATAGTACAACATCGGCTGACTCAATTGTCTGTTTCCAATTGGATATCAAGTCCGTATACAATTTATCTACTCGCTCCAACACTTTACCTTCCCATTGTAAAGGAATACTGACAATAGCTTGATCGGGAATCTCTAAATCATGCCGTTGATGAAAATATCGTTTCACTGCCAGTGTCATTTGCTCACAAAATTTGTTTGATGTACCCGTAGGTTCGCCCAGCACACTACGAACAAGCTTTCCTTTTTTTCATGAATATGATGAAAGTCGACTTTTTAAAAAATGTAAATACGGGTTACCTTCATTGGAAACCAACCGTGAACACCGACAATCACAATCTTTTTACCGGCTACACTATCCCGATCGTTTTTCATCAGATCAATCATATTTAAGAGTTGTATATCTTGCCAATCGGAATCAATGGTTGTCGCTTTGGGTTGTTGTGTAAAAATCGAATGGATGGCATGCATGGCTTTCGTAAACAGCGAGTTTGTTTCTTGCTTGGGAGACTCTTCCACAACATGGTATTGCGATTCAAAGGTCGGTAAGACAACATTATGTGTGGGTTGATATACTCGTACCGTCTCTTGCGTTGGTTCTTCCTCGTTGGAGATGATAACGGAATCTTTGCTTTTGTCTTCCTCATGGGGATACCCCAGCCAGGACCAAATGCCTTGACTCGTGTCGTCTGTTTCTGTTAGATTCGTTAACTTGTGAATCCAGGAAGAATGGCTAATGTTTGAATCGGAACGCACCCGCTTTTCAGGACTCGTGCTTTCGTCAATAGTTGGTCTTTTTTTATCTGACATGTTGTATCAACAACTTTATTATGTAAAAAAAAAAAAGTGAAATGGGAGATAAAACCAATTTCATGTGATTTCATTTTTTGTTACAAATTCCAAAACTCACTAAAACAGACAAATAGGTCACACAGAGCCAAAAAAAAGTGTATGTTTTTCCAGTTAGTGTTTTCTAAAGATAGGGTTGCAAAATATACGGGCTACCTCTCTTTTACTTGTATATTTTGGGTACTTAAAATTTGGTATTAATTTAAAATTTTGGTAACTGGACTTTCCAAATCGACATCCGTGAAGAAGGAATGCATCAAAGGTAGGTATCCCTACGTTGTTATTTTATATCCTATGCCGCTATCGCCGATCGTTTAAATTAAGCTACAGTAAATTATCAGCTTTTTCTTAAAGAGATACTTTGCAACTTTTGCGATATTACGGCTACGGCTAGTCTTTGTTATAAGATGGTGGTCTCCTATATTGGGTTCTTGGGTTTTAAACACTCGGCTGATGGACAGACCGTAAATGGCAGGGGCTACACTGTAGAGGACCGTGATTATACTGGCCTGCTGGCCTTTGCCTAAATTGCTGTAAGTGATACAAAAAAATACGCTTGAAAAAAATACGGAAATCTAGACATTTCCGTCATTTTATTTCAAAAAAAAAAAAAAAAAAAGCAAGCGTACCAATTAAGACTAAAAACTTGTATTGCGCGCTTGCCGTTGCTTGACTAGCTATTTAACGTTTTTATTCCAGTTTAATAGTTACTGAATGACTACAATGTCTTCATTAAACAGCGCGTTCTTGAAAGAAAAAGAAGAAGTAAGGGTTGATTAATACACTACACTCCTGCTAACATTTAAGAAGTACATAAACGCTGCAATCCACATGTTAGGATCAACCGGGCTACCAGTCAACCTTAATAAAGCTTGCGACCAATTAGCTGATTGCATCATTGATTTCTATGACAACACCATATCACTGTTTGCCTACAGGACAGCTTGATGTCGTAAAATTGGATCAATCTCTAAGAACATCTCCTCCTGACTGGTCTTTTAATGGTAAGTAATTGCAATTGAAGAGGTTTAAGTATTCTAAGAGTGTTTAATTTTATAAAATGGCAATATATTTCGACGTTGGTGAAATTTTTAAGCACAAATAAACCTCACTTTTTAAGATAAAAGTGTGCCAATTTTCGTACAATGGTTGAATTAAATTCACTTAAGTTACACTGGTGCACCTTATCTACTTCATATGTCATTTTGGAGAAACACCCTTTTCTAAGGAAACGCATCATATGATTTCGCATAAAACAAAGACCAAGCACGCCGGAAATATTGGGACTCTTTTTTTTTACGGTCTTGGCTTCAATTCTTATTTCGGCAACTTGTTTATGTATTTTTCTTTCCCTTTTTTTTTCTTTTTTTATGAACCCACAATTAAGTAAGGCCTTGCTCTTCTCTTCTGTTTCATCTTTTTCTTTTTTTAATTCCAAGTCATGGACCAAATAGCTCAAAGAAACGAAACAGATTACCATCGTTCACAGGTAAAGTAAAAAAGAAGTATAAACTCTCGGTCATTTAAACTCATTGTTTTGAATCTAGTCAAATTTTGCTAATGGGTTTTCGCCTCCTAATCGCTCGCTAGCCAACGCAAATGGTGGGTATAGAGCCTCCATGTCGAATTTGACTACTTCAAGGCCAAGCGGGACAGAAGAATGGAAGAAATCGAGTTCTGATAGGATCACTGCCACTAAAATTGAAAGTTGGAAAATGTCTGGTAAACCACGTCATGCCCAACTTCAACATGTAGTGCAAGAGGAAGACCCAAGGAATAGAAGGCAGTCAGCTCCTTTATTTAATTCTCCTTATCAGCATCATCCTAAACCTTTACCGCAAGAACCATCACCTGTTGTTCAACATAATGTTTACCCTCCTCCCGTTATGGGTGAACCATTTACGCAAGCCCCTTTTCATTTAACCACTCCTATACAACAACATCATCGTCCGGTGTACGCGCATAATGAAATGTATCCACCCACAACACCGTATATGCCAGCAAATGAATTCGTACCACCTCCTTTAGTAGATTATCAGCATTACCACCACCACCAACCAGAATATATTCCTCCTCCTCCTCCTCAACAACAACCATTGTATAATGAATTTTCACCCCAAGATTACCCTCCACAACCTTATAATGAATATCCTATTGTAGATTATCCTCCACAACACCAACATCATCCCATAGCAGACTATTCTCCACAACAACAGCATCGTCCAATTGGAGAATATCCCCCGCAGCAGCCATATAAGGAAATTCCACTTCAGGATTATCCATCACAACAACCCATCGTGTCAGAACATGATGCACCTGTTGCTAAGCCAGAGTTAAAGCCTCAGAAGAAAAAAGATGCCAAGCCAGAGAGTAAGGAACTTACTCCCTCTTTTTTAAAAAAAAAATGTGTAACACAAGTTAATGCTTAATAATAGAAAAAGTGCGTCAGATTACAGTCCAGTCGATAAATATAGAACATCGAGTTTGGATTGATGTCTTGCCAGCGGAAACAGGCCTATCATTAGCTGAAAAGATCCATATTATCGCCACTTTTAGAACACGAAAAATTGTTTCTATCACTTCAGCATCGGGAAGAAAGGTACCATTGGACAACCGACCTGTGTTTGGAAGTTGGATGGATATGGAGAATTTTGTAGATGGTGAGCGTTGGACCGTAGAATGGAGAGAGAATGACAGAGGCGTGGTCGATAGATTTATGTCGAAAATCGTTCAAAGTAAACGAAGAGATTAAAAGAGCTTGTGTTTGTACTACTTTATGCAGTTAAATTTACGAACTAATAGCATGTCAACTTAATCTGATCATTTCAATTAAACTTTAAATAATTGTCCTTTTGAAACTTGACTAAAATAGAAATAACAAATTTATATCGAATTGAAGGACTAAATAAAATCGATTATGGTGTTTATAAACTTCTTTCTCGACAACTCATGTATCTCACTACTCACTATGCTAAACTCCCCACGGAATATCTACAATAGAAAAAAAATAAAAATAAAAAAACCACCGGTTTTAGATTAAACACTCCAGTTCGTCATTACGGCTTTATCCGATCAAACAATCAAATGCCTGATACACTATTTTTTTTATTACGGATAATACAACATATTTTTATAGTGAAATGTAGTAAGATTAATTTTCGAATTTTTATATTTGTTGGTATATATTAGATGAGTTTCAACAGTGACCCATATATATTGTTTCAAGCCATAAAACACACACACACACACATTGGACTTACCTAGGCTGATTTATATCAAAAGCTCCCGGTAAAGTTCCTGACTGAGGCTCGCAAGTCGTGTCTCTAATGCCGCCAGATCAGGGTCGTAAGTTGTGTGACTAATGCAGCCAGATTAGTAACATTAATTAAAAAATAATAATAATAATAATCATTGTATATAAGGTGGAAAATGTATACTTTAATTCATTGTCTCGCTCGTCTTCGTCTTCGTAAAGTAAGCTAGGTGAATGGTCGTCGCTATGAACTGATCGAGGTGGGCCAAGATCAAGACAGTTCTGAACCGACGGTGTATCACGAGGCGTGCTAGAAATTGATGTTGCTGATCGATGAAGACTGTATTCTGATGTACCGTGAACCGACATGCTATAAACAGAATTGTGTTCTTGCTGTTGTTGTTGTGGTGATGGAGGAGGGGGGATGGAAGGTAGACGTGTACTATGAATAGATGAACCCGAATAGCGAGAGGCTTGACTTGAGATGGACGGTTGTAGGGTAGCATGAAACAGAAGTTCGGCTTCTTCATCTCGTGCTCTTCGTAGAGTGGATATGGTTTGTGCGTCTAATACGATGGAATCGTCGTCTTCGTCTTTAAGCATATCATGAGTGGCTATACTCATAACATCGTCTTCCATGGTGTGTGGAGGTCGAGAGTAATTCGTATTTGAATAGTAACTGAGGCTGTCAACGTATTCATGACGTGCTCTTTTACGAAAACGTTGTACTTCGGGAACATTTTTCAGAGCAGTCTCACTTGGACTCAGTACTGGCAGTGCATCATATTTCTTTTGAAGGTCAGAATAACGGCTGTGGAAGGTTCCAGAGGGAAGACGAGCCTTTTTGATTATTTCTTGTCGACTGTTGTTGGCGAAGTTGATAGTAGTAGGTTCTGAACTGACTTTTTCTACTACTGGTTTAACTAGAACATACGGGGAAAAAGGTTAAAATATAAACGTATATATATGAAGCATGGTTTTCTTTATTACATTTTTTAATGTTTTGGTTCTCTCTCGCAGGTGACAACACGAGTTTTCTTTTCCTGATCTAGGTGAAAGGGAGGAGGGGAGGGAGGAGGTGTACCCCGTCTTCATTCATTTTGAAAAAAAAAAGGAAAGAAAGAAAGAAAGAAAGAAAGAAACAACAGGTGCTCAAAAAAAAAAAAAAAAAAAAAAAAAACAATTTATCAATTTTAGCACCGTGAGAACCAACTTTATGTAATTTGCGCAGCAAAAAGCACATATAAAAAAGCGACTGTTTTTTTTATTCTTCTTTCCAACAACTTAAAGAAGCTCTTGTCGCCAAGAAAAAAAGAACCTTCCGCTGCTTCAGAGTTTGTCAAAAACCTCAAAGCGCTTCACTTTAACGCAGAGCGTTACAACAGCAACAACAATTAGTGACTATGTAATAATCGTATACATTTTTGGTTAATCAATGATAACTTCAAGATAGCACTAGAGATATGAACACAGCAGACAGTCTTTTATATAAATACTCGTATATTTCATTTATTAATAAAGGACAATCTTATAAACAGTCTCAAACTACTTCTATAGTCTTTTTATAATTTAACCTTACCTTAAAACACAACATTTTTTAGTTTGAATTCTACTATGTCTGCTCAACAATCTCCTATCCAATCTCCTGCTGCTCATGAACAACAAAACGATGTTCATCGTGATAAAGTTCCTTCTGTTGCTCGTGACGAAGACACTGTGATGTCCGAAAATGATTCTGATCATTCCTCTTCTGCTCTCTCTGCTGCTGGTAGTTCTGATGGTCCCAGAATCAACATCAATACTGAGTACACTGCCGGTATGCTCCTCGAGTCTGCTCAAGAAGACTTTGAACGTAAGAAAAATAGTTATTATATCTGTCTTGGTAACTATTTGGCTCTGTCCAAGGTGGATGCTCGTTCGGATGTAAGCAAGAACGCATCAATTTTGTCTAAGGAGGCCCTAGCTCTTTACAAGGATGCTGAAGAAACCTTGAAGAACCTTCGTGAAGAAAACTCGCCTTCTGCCCCGGTACAAGATGAACGAAGCCGTTTCGTGCCCAACAACCTTCCTTTCCTGCAGCTGAAGTCAGACCTGTATTTGGAAAAGCCCTCTCGTGAACTCTTTGACTCGGTGTACGATTTTTGTCAGGAGTTCGTAACTGTTTTGGAAGCCCACGCGTTGGTTTTGGATGACTCTTGGGAACGTCTCCTTCCTTCGTGCCTAACCAAGGAAACAAGAGTATGGTTTGAAGACAATCTGAAGGGCAAGTCCATGAGTTGGAAATTGGCTGAAGGTCAACTCTTGGACTATTGTGACACTCCTTTTCGAAAGTTCGTTAACATGGGTCGTGTTTGGTCAATGAAGCAAGGACCAAAGGAGTCAGTTCGCGCGTTTGGAGCTAAATTTCAGAAATTTAGACGCCAAGCCTCTTTGGAAGATGGTATCCAATTGGTTCTCTGCTTTTGGTGGAATCTGCGTCCGGAAGTCTGACAAGCCTGTATGATCCCGCTCTCATCCAATTATGGAACCAAGATGCCATCGAAGGTCGAGGAAATCATTTCGTTGGTAAGTACCACGACTTTTGACACCTATTCTTTGTTGAAGAACGACGCTGAGACCAGTCCTGTTTCAGAGTGGAAATCTTTCGCCGAAAGAAATGGTGCTTCTTCTTCTTCTGGTGCTGGTAAGGGTAAGAAAAGATCTTCCTCTTCTGGTGATGCGGGTAAGAAATCCAAGAAGACTTGGAATTTCAAGGCTGCATTGAAAGATAACATTTGCTTTTCGTGTAAGTCTCCTTGGGAGAAAGGACACTCCTGTCCTGAAAGGGAACGATATCTTGAGACCAGGGTATCTCGAATGGCAACTCGTTCTAGTGGGTCACCAAGCTCTTCTTCTGGTTCTGTGGCTAGACCTTCTTCTTCTTCTCGCTCGTTGGAGGACAATACAAGTGCTTTGTCGATGATGGCTCTTGATTGTAAGTACAACTATAAAGACATGACTATTAAAAAAGATTTTAAGAACATGAGCACTAATATTACCTTTCCTATTCTTGTCAATAATTCTATTAGAACCATCTCGTTGTTGGACTGTGGTGCCACGTTTAGTTCTGTGGATGTGAATTTTTGTACGAAGAATAGTATACCTATTAGTTATGTAACACAAGTTAATAAAAAATTTGTAAACAAAGATAATGTGCATAAATATTTTATACGTTTAGCTGATAGTAACACTTACGTGAAAAGAATCGGTACTTGTGTAATGAATGTTTCTTGTAATAGTAAGACTATTCAACGTGAGTTCGAAGTAATGAACTTGACTAATAGTAACGAGTATGATTTCAGTATTGGTACTGATTATATGTTTTCTCTTGGAATTGGTATTTATGGTTTACCTTTAGTCTATGATGATAAAGATTCAACCGAAGAAAGACTTGAAGCTGATAGGCGCTTTAACAATAAGAGTGATCTTCTTCAATCCATTGAAAGAGAAAATGAGTTAAAGGAAAATAATCCCGCTGTTGGTCCCAAAGAGTTTGAGGAAGCTATGGATTTTATTCAAGGATATGTTAAGAACAATCAAGCTATCCCTAAAGGATCGTTTGTACCATACCTGAAAGTGTTGTTTGCTTGGATACTCCGGAAAATGCTACTGCCTTCAGAAGTCCTTATCATATTCCTATTTCAATGCAAGGTGTCGTTGATGAACAGGTGAAAGAATGGATCGAGAATGGAATCATTGAAAGAGCTCCTGCAAACACGGAATGGAATACACCTTTGACTGTAGTCAAGAAGACAAATGGTAAAGGTGAAGTGACTGGTTATCGTGTATGCCATGATCCCAGATTAGTGAATACTCTATTGAAGTCAATTGATCGTATGCCTCTGCCTCTTATTGGTGAACTGTTTGAAGATTTGAAAGGTGCTAATATCTATTCAACTCTTGACTCGAAGTCTGCATTCAACTCTTTGCGTTTGAACTCAACGGATGCACATAAGATCAGTTTCACATGGCGTGGTGTACAGTATAAGCCTATCGGAACAGTATTTGGTATCAAGCATGTTAGTTCAAAGTTTCAAACAACCATGAGTATAGCTTTGGAAGGTTTACCTTTTGTAAGATTTTTTGTGGATGACATTGTTTGTGCTAGTAAGACGTTTGAGGAACATAAAGAACACTTGAAGCAAGTTATTGAGAGATTAACAAGGGTCAATTAGAAATTAAATCCTAAGAAATGCCATTTCTTTCAAAAGGAGATTTATTTACGTTGGTTTTGAACACGCGTTAATTTCTCAGTATCACCCTAGAGCTAATGGTGCAAGTGAAAGAGCTGTACAGTCTGCAGTAAACACCATTAAGAAGCAAATAGTTGGTAATGTTGCTGACTGGGACTTAAAGGTGCCTTCTGCTCAATTGTTTTTGAATAGCAAGTATAACGCTAGAACTAAGAGTACTCCATTTTTGTTAAAGTTTGGTAGGAATCCAAATGATTTTGAAGACATTGTCAGTGAGAAGAGAAATTAACAAGCACGTTATTTACAAGGTTACTTTTAGAAATCCAGACAAAGAGAAACGCAATGAAGCCATAAAAAAAATTAATGAATGTAACGAATATACCCCAAGATGTAGGTGTGCCACATTAAAAAATGCATTGAAAGAAAAACACATCTCAAGAATGCCCTTGAGACAAATTATTATCTGATTGAGACCAGACATTAAATCATTAAAAGAAAGTTCCAAAGTTCCATATCACTTTTCATGTGTTCTATCATAACGACATCTTCACATTTGACGATAGAAGTAGAAATACTTTTGACTAACTACCTTCATCATCTCAAGCATGTACTTAGATAAAGGTCGGGAACGAGCATTATTATGGAAAAATATTTCGCTATACGTATGTAAGAAGTGCATGCACCCAAAACGAGAAATAGGTAGCTGCTGTGATAGGTTGTTAGCATGAAGCAGATGCATATATTTTAAGTAGGTGATTTTCTATCGTATAAATCTAAACCGCGACCAATTAAGTCTAACAAAACAGAAGCGATGGCAAGCAAAATATGGAGAGGCGCCAGTCATCTTTTAGACAACGATTATACTTTATGTTTATCAAAGTGGGCTTAAAAAGTATATAAATGCAAATGACGCCTGCTGTTTATGAGACTACATGCGATGATCCCGGCTTTTAAATTGCAGCTAAAGTACAAACTAGTTAGACCAAATATGACATTTGCACCTGCAGCTTTTAGAAAAAAGAACTTTTCCTTTGATGAGATCAGTGCAAACAGAAACACTTTTATACGTTATAATGTGTTAAGACACCTTAAATATAGCAAAAAAAAAATAGCACCCCTTAAAGAAATACAATATTTCCAAAGAGACGGTGAAGGACCAGTATCCACCCAAAAATGATATACATATATAGGAGATCATTTAGTGAATAATACGAGTACTATCTCTAGTAAATATGAGAAAATTATATTAATTTGCATTCATTGTTTGTTCGTGTAACAAAACTTGCTGATATAAATGCTTGGTATCAATATGGTTAAAGCATATTAACACTGTGATCCCTACATTACTTAAGAATTGAACTAACCATTCGATCGGTTTGCATGCATACGCATGGTGTAACTAGGTGATCCACAAAGACTTCTCCTTAAAAAAAGCGTATATAAATAAGCACAATGAATATAATTTATTTTCTAATACAAACACAAGAAAGAAAAAGATGATGTACAAAATTCTTCTGTCGTGCGCTTTATTGGTAGTATCAGCAACAACTGTCTTGGGTTGTGACAGAGCTTGTACTTTCTCAAGTCAAAATGGGGATCAATGCTTTTATACTTGCACCAATGCTTGTAACCAATCACCAGCACATCATAAAATGCAATTTTTAAATGCTTTGGCAAACAAAGGACATCAGTGTCACCCTAATGGTGCAGCCTCGTTAGCTTGCGAGAAAACTCCTTCTTTCGGTGTCTGCCCTTCTCATTCCTGGAGTTGTGGCCGTGGGTGTTAAAACTGAACAGTTCCGTTTGCGTCACAAATTTAAAACTAGACGTATCGTTTTTTTTTTGAAAGCCTCATTTAAATAAATATTTTCTTCGTACATAAGAATTGTATCTGAGTAATTTAACAGATCAGCACTTGAACTGATATGAGAGACAGAGAATAAGTCATTTATTTTTACCGTTGGATGAGGGAGCATCTTGTAATCCAGCACTTGGTCTTCTGAAGGGCTCAAAAGATGTGTTTGTGAAACAGGGCAAATCCCAAAATTTGATTGAATGATCATTACTGCCCGAGATCAAATAATTTCCAGACGTAGTCAAGGACAAGACAATGCCTTCATGGTCACATGAACTTTCTCTAAATAGAAATCCTTCACCCCAGATCTTGATGGATCCATCAGCCGAAGCACTCACACATCCAGGACCTTTGATAGATACGGCCAATACATCATCCGTATGAGCCATGACATATTGAATCATTTGATGCGTCTCTAAATCCCAAATTTGAACATCGCCACCTTAAACACCACAGAACAGATAACCATCCTCTGATAATGCTAGACATAACACTCCCTTGTCTGCGTTACCCTTTAATATGTGAATTAATTTGATGCCGTCGGGTTGGATAGCCCAAATCTTGACATCGCCATCACCGGAACCACTGCTAAGGACTTCACCTTCCATGTTGGGAATATCCTTTGCATGCAATAAACAATATAAATAACTGTCATGTGCATTACTGCATACGTTTTTTTTTCGCGGATAACACATTTAATCACATCTCTGTCTGATTCGGCTTGTAATCGATCCTCCTCGTCATGACCTTCCCTATCCTCGAAGAAATTGATGGTTCCAACTTTACGAGGTGAATTGGGAACGATTGAAATATCTGTATTGGAGCCGTGTGTTTGTGGATCGGCGAAATCGTACCATTGAATGCTGGTGTTTTGGCTACCGAAATAGATTTTTTTGGTGGTGTCAGAACAGACGACAGAAAAGATGTCACCGACGTCGTGACATGATTGGATTAGATAAGCGCATTTTAATGTTTCTGTGTTCCAAACTCTGACAGTACCATCACATATACCGTAATCTTTAACATATTTAATTTACAGGCTTTACACTATCCGAAGAGTGGCTTCATCCGTTAGTTTCCTGACGTATGTATAAATATTCATTGCTATAAAAAGCTGCGAGAAAAGCTTCGTCTGACGACACAGTTTCTCCCAAATGGACTTTGACCAAGTAACGCATTGTTGAAACAGGTCAATCGCAAAATGGATGCTATCGGGTAGCTGAGTGCAGATTCTCGTACAAGCAACGAAACATTATGGCTTGGATGAACAAAAAGAAATCAAAAGCAATTGTAAACTCGTAACAAGGAACAATGTTCTCCTCTATAGATTCACTTTCCATTGAGTTCTGCAAATGTTTTCTTCTTCATTTTAAAAATAAAAGCATTGAGTTTCAAAGTGAGAAAAGGTTCTTTTATTTTAAAAAAAAAAGAGGGGAATATCCAAGCGTGCATTATTAAAAAAAAAAAGTCGTTTTTTTTTTTTATTCTATCACTCCTATTCATTCCTAGGCCGTTGGGCCTTCCCTTGCCCATGCCCCTATGCGGCTATGAGCTCACTCAATCAGTTCCGCAGCTGGAAACGGAACTGACAAGCTTACTTTATCTAAATATTTTTTTTTCTTAATAGGACAGCAAAAATTATACAAAGCTCAACTTGTGGTTACAAAAATAAAAAATTTTTCTCCGCCTATTTTTTTTTTTTTTGCTCTTTTCTTATTAAAGTTTAAACAAAACATATAATAAAAAGATTATAATACTCAGAAAGATTGTTTACAGCTGCTTTTTGTATAAGATTTGTATCTTTTTTTGCTCAAGAAGCTACAATGTACAGTGCCTGAACAAAAAAAAAAGAGCATGAAAACGGACCTATAAAAGCGGGGATAGATTTTTTTTTTTTGAAAAGCAGCTCTTCTTTCGTGTGCTTTAAAATGCCATTCTTCATAAAAACAATAGCGCGTAAGGTCCAAGAAAGGTCAAGCAACACAGCCCTACACTTTATACAACACACAACTATAAACTATTTGTGTCCATTTTATGCAAACTATATTCAACTCAAGGAAAACCATCATAGCTTTTATTGACGCATTCTTTTAGCCCAAGACAGTGAGTGCTTTAGCCTACCTGCATGTAACATGGACTAAAGACAACCTGAAAAGTAAAGGTTAAAATTGTCTTTCTAACAAATCCTTTTTTCTTTAAAGAGCGATCCATCAAGTCAGAGCTTTTTCGTGATTACCGTAACAATTTTAAAGGCGAATGCTTCTTCCAAAGAACCACTGTACAAAAAAAAAAAAAAAAAAAAAAAAAAAAAAAGGATCTGCAGCAAGACAACCATTCCTTGTAACAGTAATGCCATCAGCACATAGGTTCAACAGCGTTTCTACTATACTGCATAAAGTGTGTACAGTAATGACCAAGGGGATACCCTTTAGAGATGATATCGCATTGGCCTTGTTGAGGGTATTATACCCAAGGAGTGTTTGAGAGAATTGCTGAAGACTCATCGACAAATTGAAGCTTGAGTACTTTTCGCATAAAAAAAAGTGAAGGTGAAGTTTCTCTTATAAAAAGTAGCGTGTGCGCTGAGGATATCATTATAAATTGATACCATCGTAAGCTTTGTGTATTCCATCGTATAAAGATATGCACTTTCTTAATGGTGTGCTTCTTTTGAATGTAAGGGATGAGGCTATCAAATTAAATGAATTGTAGGGTATACTATACTGTAAAAAAATGCACTGGACCTTTTTTTTTTTTTTTTTTTTTTTACGGGGAGGAATATCAGTAAAATATAAAAGAGTGCTGTTACTTAGATCGTATAAATATAATAATCTACGATATAGACCAGCGCACAATAAAGAGATGAATGAAACCCAAATATGTGCCTGATTAGAAATATAAGCACTTTTTAAAAATATACTTGAGAATCTTTTTGTAGTGATGGAGTTTACAGAAAAAAAAAATACAAATGATAAATGATCTTCCAACCCGAAGAAGCCTACTATTCAAATTACCCTACCAACCGCTGATAGATCCTACTATAAAACCCCAAATATGTGCCTGATTAGAAATATAAGCACTTTTTAAAAGTAGACTTGAGAATATTTATGTACCGCGACCATGCAGATAACCATTTCTAAAAACTTGAGCGGATGTATGATTTTTGCGTTAAGATTTTCAATTCTATAATGATTTGTAGGGTAGTTCTAGTTTATTATATATTATATACAAGGCTTTTTTTTCTTGGGGGGATATGAAATAAATTAGTTTAATCTCCAGTTCGCAATGGCATCATTTAATCCACTGTATTCCGGGCAAGTAATTTCATCTAAAAAAAGAAGTTGCCATTAGTAAAGATAATATATATTTATACATATAACACTATAACGTACCTGATGTATAAGCACGTCCAGCCAAACCATAAGTTTGGACGAGGTATTCCCATAAGAATGGGGTGACAATGGAGATACCACCAGTGAAATTACCGCGAGGTCTAGCACGATGATTCATTTTATCTGGGTTTTCGGGATCTTCTAAATCGTTATTGGCAATGGGTCCTTCACCAATTTTACCATCACATAGACGCAAGAACCAGGTCAATAACCATAATCTCTCGACAAAATAGTATTTGTCTTGAACTACCATTTTTCTATCTGCTTGTTCATGATAAAGCACACGCTCTCGAAGACATTGGTTTCTTCTTTCCATCGCTTCTCTACCTTTCTCACTATCATGTGTAAGGGTGTGTAATAAAGTATCAACATGGTGTGATTCACTAGCATCGCCTCTAAATTCACCACACTATTGTACCACTATTAGTAAGCCAACTCACAAAAAAAAAAAAAGCTTTTATGCCTCACTTACCAATCTTTTACAATCGAAACAAAACATTTGCAATACATTCATACGAATCAAAATACCATGTCCCTCAACCGATTTATGATAACTATAAGCACAATCCTTACAACCTACAAATAATTATAATAATAAAAAAAAAGGTAAGTCTTCATGTAAAGTCTTTGTCCTTTCCAATTCACACTTACGGTTTCTGACGTTTCCTTTCCATACATAAAGACATAAACCAGAGTCTTTGCAAGAAGCACCACAAGTGGTACAGTTCAAGTTCTTGGGCAACCAGTTCAAGACTTGTTGGTATTTCACTGCATAAGGTGCCAACACCTTTGGTGTGACATAGCCAATGTGGGGACACATCTTAGAATGAGTAGCATCGCCTGACTTACGAGCATACATTTCCTTCCAGGTTTCGTCAGGAAGTTTATATGTAATTCCAAAATTGTTGTAGAGTCTTTCCTTCCAAACAGCATCGCTATGGGCAATCAACATAAACTTGTGACAGACAAACGAAAAAGTCTTGAGATCTTCTTGAGGAAGATATCCGGCAATGTGAATTAATAATTCATTGTTAATCTTGTGGAAACGCATAGGGAGATAAGCTAGAGATAAAAGAAACACAAAAAAGAAAATCTCAAATTTTTCTGTGCCTTTATTCAGAACCCTCGAGTCTCTTATGATTGGTGGTGTGCTGAAGCGGAAAGGAAAAAAAAAAAAAAAAAAAAAAAAGAGGGCCTGCGGGGTTGGTTGCTTTTGCCTGTGCAAGCCACTCGAGAACCATTCAACACCATCATCAAAAGGCCAAGCCTAATTTTGTCACACAAAATATTATCGAAAGGGTCTGGTTTATTGTGTTTGTAATGTGTATAATAAATTTAATTCTTTTAATTGATAAGACTATGAAGGGTCATACGACATCAAGGCATTTATGCAAATTTCCAGGTACGAAGTGACTGTCTTTACTTTTAGTTAATTATGAGCCATTTTCCAGTCTGGCGACAAGCATCCCCCAAAGTTAAGCTACAATTCCACATTAACTGGCAGGCATTTAATGGGGATATTGAAATAGAGCTTATCAAGCACGGTACAAGATTATAAAACGATGGGACATTTTTGAGAATGATAAAGCGTGGTGCTATACTCTGATAGTTATACTCCAGAGGCGATATCTCCTTCGGCGCTAGTGTCTAATACTACTGCAAAGCCGTTCTAGATCCAGTGAATAAAAAAAAAAATTAGACACCCAAAGAGTCTTATTAAGAAGTATAGATCAATTTATCGATATACCAAAACCCAAACCAAAAAAAGAAACGACGTCTTTTTACGACTACATCAAAGGGTGTTTGTTTAAACCATGTGATAACCATAGTCAAACAATTCAATAGAATGTCAGAATGACGCATCCTAACTGCAATTTATTTATGGCAGTGAATTAGAAATGTCACTGAAATATGATGGCCACATAAAAAGTAAAGGTTCTGATTGATCATATAAGCTTGACCTCAAATTCAGTTCTGTTGGATGCAAAAACTTTATATAATTGAAACCCAGCTCGTTGTCTTTAGGTGAACGACTGAATTTATCCAGGTGAGAAAAAAAAACAGATTGCATCGAAAGATGTTTCGCGTTTCTTCCTTTATTCTGTTTTTCTTCCCATCCACTTTGCTCTACTTGTATCAAATGTGTGTTCCCTCTGCCACGATTGATTTAAGTTCCCAAGCGAACATTGACCAAGTCAAGACAACTCATCTTCACTTAAACTGGAATGTCGACTTCAAGTCTCAAATTCTTTACGGTAGTGTCGTATTGGATTTAGTTACCTCTGTGGAGAATGTCAATAAAGTGGTATTAGACACCAGTTATTTGGATATTCAGTCCGTTACTTTAGGTGAAAAGGAGAGTCTGAAGGTACATAAACATTTTGCTTATCAATCATGGCCTCTTTTATTAAAAAATAAGTTAATGTAGTACCAAGTGGCCGAGAGATATGCTGACTTGGGTTCTGCTTTAACCATCGATGTCCCCGTTATTGAAAAAACAGGTACACAGTTCCAATTGACAATTCAATACGCTACCACAGAAAAATGTACTGCCGTTCAATTCTTGACACCTGAGTAAGGTTTTCCCCCGAGAAAAAAGAAAGGGGCCCCGAAAGAAATTAATCCATTTATACTTTACCAATAGACAAACTCTTGGTGGAAAGCATCCCTACTTATTCTCTCAAAGTGAGCCTGTAAGTTATTTTTTTTTTCCTTCTTCTCAAAAATTCATGCTCATACTGCTTGATTTTTAGATCCACGGTCGTGCTATGATTCCTTGTCAAGATTCACCTAGTGTCAAAGTTACCTACTCTGCCTCAGTTAAATCTGATCTTCCTGTTGTCATGTCTGCCCTCCAAACAGGTATTGATGATGAGCATGATGGAACCAAAACCTATCATTTCCGTCAAAACACCACCATTCCCTCTTACTTGATTGCAATTGCAGTGGGTAATTTGGTAGGCCGTGAAATCGGTCCCCGTTCCAGTGTCTGGTGTGAACCTGAAATGATTGATGCTGCTGCGTGGGAATTCGCTGATACCGAATTGTTCGTTGCCACAGGCGAGGATCTTTTAACTCCTTATGAATGGGGTCGTTATGATCTATTGGTCCTCCCTCCTTCTTTCCCTTACGGTGGTATGGAGGTAAGCAATTATAAAAAAAAAGAAAAGAAAAGGAAGTGTGCTGATTTGAATGAAAAACTATAATAGAACCCTTGCCTCACATTTGTTACACCAACCTTGTTGGCCGGTGATAAGAGTGCTGTCAATGTAATTGCGCATGAAATCTCTCATAGTTGGATGGGCAATTTGGTTACCACTAATTCTTGGGTACAGAAAAAAAAAACTGTAATATATTGTAATGCTATAAAAATGGTTTCTAATAGAACTTTTATAGAAACATTATTGGTTGAATGAAGGTTGGACTGTATTTATTGAACGTAAAATTCTTGGTCGTCTTCACGGTGAAGCTACTCGACAATTCGAGGCTTTGAGTGGCCTCAAATCTTTGCAAGAAAGTGTTGATTTATTCGGTCCTGATTCATTAAAGACTGTATTAAACCCTGATCTTCGTGGCGGTGCTAATCCCGACGATTTTTTCTCCAAGGTCCCTTATGGTAAGAAGACAGGAAGGATAAGTATGCGTAATATATACTAAAAGCGTTATATTGCGAGTAGAAAAGGGTTTCAACTTCTTGTATCATATTGAAAAGGTGGTCGGCGGACCCTCTATTTTCGAGCCTTATATGAAGGCTTATGTAAAGCACTTTGCCTCTACTTCCATCTCTACCCAAGATTGGCAAGAGTTTTTATTCGCCTACATGGAAGAGACTCATGGTCCATCCATGGTCGAAAAATTAAATACAATTGATTTTGACGCCTGGATTAACAAGCCCGGTATGCCTCCTGTGGACCCCCAATTCGATACTTCACTTGCCGATGCCTGTTATGACCTTGCTAAGCGTTGGGACGAAGCACGCGATGCAGATCTGAGCCAATTCTCTCCCAAGGATATCGAGGACTTTTCTGCCAGCCAAAAGATCGTGTTCTTGGAACGTTTGACAGATGCCAAACCTTTGCCTCACGCTTTGATTATCAAGATGGATGAATTGTATAACTTGACAAGCAACCATAACGCGGATTTACGTCTTCGCTGGCAACAAATCTGTTTGATGTCCAGTTACGAACCCATCTATCCCGAGGTTGTCAAGTTTGTGACAGAACAAGGCCGTATGAAGTTTGTGCGTCCCTTGTATCGTCTTCTTCATGAAGCGGATAACGGAGCACAATTAGCTGTGGATACTTATTTAGCACACAAGTCCTTTTATCATCCTATTGCCGCACAATTGATCGAAAAAGACATCGGTCTCGTTAAATCTTTATAAATGACAATAAAAAAAATTTGTTTTAGAAGTATTAAGACGTAAAGTTTTATTTGGAAACAAATTTAGTGGTTTAATCGAAAAGACCGAAACCCATATCGTCATCAGACTCTTCCTTTTCTTCTTCCTTCTCCTCAGCAGCGGGAGCATCAGAGGTAGCGGCAGCGGCACCAGAGGCAGCAGCGGCACCACCAGTGGGGACGGAAGACATCTTCTCCAAACCTTCAGCGACGAGCTAGAAAAGAAGAAAGAAAGGGACTTAATAATGGTTGCCATGGTGACAATGTATTTTTTTTTTCATCTATAAATTACCTCGTCAACGTTCTTACCCTTAAGGGCAGAGATCAAAGAGGTTAAACGTTCCTCCTCGGCTTCAACACCAACAGAGGCCATGATGGCCTTGACGTCAGCGGCAGTGGGTTGGGTCTTACCACCGGAAACAAGAAGAAGGTAGGCTGCGAGATACTTCATATTATATAAATTACAATGAATGAAAGAGAAAGATTTTTAAACGAGAGGGGCCAGAGGCCCTACAAAAAAGTATTGGCAAAATTTTTTTCTTCCCCGTGACTCTTTTTCAATATTGATTTTTCTGTGGCGTTTAGGTAATTTAATTTTTTTTATTTTTTATTTTTCCAAAAAAAAAAAAGGTCCTAGTTGAATATCTCAGGTTCGTTGTTTTCTTCTTCGTGGTCTTTCCAGGCCAAACGCATACCACTATTAAAATAAAATAAAAATTCATGTTATTAAGAAGCATGCATTTTTTTTGTGTGTGTTTAATTACCCATCATTCCAATAGACGATATCACTCTGCCAGTTCTTTTGATCCAATTTAGCCACGAATTTAGGGAAATGTTCCTTTGTCCAGCCCAAACTATCTTCCAAAGTTTGAACATAACCTTCCCAGTCATTTTCTAGCGTAATTCCCGATTGCGAAAGACTATCATGGAATTTCAACGAGTGCAGAATAGACTTGATTACATCGTTGGATTCTGCATCCTGATGAAATAAGACATACATTGTATTTTTGCGATAATTCAACAGATAATTCTCATGGCGCATCACATTTACGTTGGCTTCTACTTCGCCCGTAGCACCAAATGCTTGTTCTGCACTGGGACCCAATTTGATTTTGACAGCAATTCCACCCTTCTTACCATAACTGGGTTTGATCCACTCACCAAACATGATCTCGCGATCCTTCAATTGATCATAATCCGATACACCATTGGTATCAATAAATTCTCGACTCAGTAATGTTAATTTGGCTTGGTTCAAAATCTCGAATTTAGCTGCGTGCAGCATTTTGGTGGTGGTCCACAGGTTGATGGGTGAAAGGACTGCAAATACGCAGAATAAAAAGGCAGGTGCATGAGAGACCGAGATGAATCCGACGCCTGTCAGCATGCCTAGTAAATGGGCAGTTGACATTTGGGCATCGTCCTTGGCCACAATATCACCAATATTACCGTTTGGCTGTTTATTGAAGAGTTAATAAATCACAGAATAATCATGTTGTGACACTTACAGAGAAATTCTTGGTAAAGATCATATGGCTTGCTACCCAGATACTTTCATGAATCAGTTCAAACATATTGCCTGTGGCGGCCAATGGTAAGAAAAGTTTTGGTGTAACAATAGATGTGCATAATTGAAGGAACGACCCAACGGAAGAAAAGATCTCGCACACCTTTATATGTAAATACATGTTAAAATCGCGCGATTTTCTTTCTTTTAGAGGTAGGGAATTACTTTACAAATTTCCAGGTTTTAGGATGTGAATCAAAAGAACTTGCATATCGTTTGATGAAGAATAGTTTACCGATTTCACCAATCCCATCCTTCAGCACCCTAATCATACATGATTGGTTAGGCATAATTCTTCATAATTTTCTCATTTTCGATAATTTACCATTGAATAGCAACAGCACCACCCACCGATTCTGCTACCCCTAGACCTAATGTAGCCAACATGGCTTGTGAACATAGTACACCGACCTAAACAACCTTCCAAATTAATCTCCTTAATAAATTTTGAGCCATCTCTGAAGAAAACTCACGGCTGATCCAACATAAGTTTCTAAAAAGAGCCATAAATGAAATTTGCGATAACAGTCATGCACTGTATCTGGGTATCTGCATTGTTGAGTTTTAGTATAATCCAAAATGTGTTAAACTGTCAAAAAAACATTATTATTTTTGGTTTACCCAACAGGTAGAAACATCTCTCTCATATTCTGTTTCGCAGAATTAACAAAACTTGCACCGCCTTTATTTCTTTTCAACTGATACCATTCTTTTTTGGGTCTATTACCATGGATATCTTCAGCAGGTTGATCCCATTCCCAAGAAAGCGGAGACGAAGTGACAGGTGAAGCGATACAACTCCGAGAAGCAGTAGAGGATTTGGATTTTCCAATACTTTGTAAGCTGGTATAAATTCGTTTGCGTCCATACACAAGTTCGGTTAAAATTGCACTGGTGGGTTCGGTGGAAGAGAAAAAGGGTGGAGTTTTATTATTTTGATGCACGCTGGTATGTTTGGGTCTCGTCAAAAGTCTGAATACAAATAATTTATTTCCAGCATGTCTTGGAAGTAAATTGACACATTTCAACATGGTATTCCGTAGTCGTTCTCTAAAGATAAGAACTAATATATTAAAAAAAAAAAAATTCAATTTCAATGGGGGGTACCCTTGTGACAAAACCGTCACGGATTTGGTCTTGTTTTTCAAAAAAAAAAAAGCGCTTGTTTTATTAAATTTTTAAAAATCCATGGACATGGCAGCTGCTCCACGCTTTTCCTTGATAGTTTCGTTCAACATGTTCTTTACGAATTTATCGAAATATTCAACGTAGGATTTAAGCGATGTCTTTTTATAGTCTGGTATGGTTTTATCTGCGCCTGGTAGTTTATCGTGTTCAATAATTTCTTGCCTTAATTTGGTCAAGGTAGGTACTGTCATTGGATTGAAAGATTCACACTCTTCTGGCTTAATGGGTACACACACCTTTACTATAAAATTGTCAATCATCCCATCTTATATTGCCCATATGAAAACTTACATGTCTTTGGATGCACACAGAATGGACTCTTCAGCAAATGGTTAATGTTGGTAGAAACCTTGACATCAAGGCGAGGATAACAGTATTGAAACATGATATCTCTCGAGGCACAAGTATCCTTACTTTTCTTTTTTTGCTCTTCCTTGATCAACATTTCCCATTTCTCGTGTGCTGTTTTTGTTGGGTCAGCCCACTTTTCCGCCAAAGCCTCCTTCACTTGATCGTCTGTCATCATTAACACTTTATGAGACTCCTTTGGTGTGTCCAAAATACCCATCGATTGCAACAAAAGTGGCTTGAAATACTCTTCGACAACGGTGAAGGAGCGTCTAAAGTCAACAATTGGTTTTAGTCTTTCTCTTTCTTTAAATTCATTCTTTCCCTTCTTACTCAAGCGATGGATGTAATAACACAGGTAATCTCACTTTACGTGCAACTTGACTACCTCCCTTAATGATACTCAAGAAACTAATGATGGCCTTTCGGTTCTCATTGTCCAATTTACGAGCTTTCTCATCACATACCCAACAATGCACACCACGACGACCTGAATAGACCCACATGATATGTTCGAATCCAAAGTCATCTCGAAGAGAAGCATCAATAATCTTGATGGCGATGGTCATGAACTCCCAGCAAAGCAAGCAAATATCTCCTCCTTGACAACAGGTACGTACATCATCATAATCCGTCATATCGATATCGAGTACAAATTCTTTTTCTAAAGGTTTAAAAGCTTTTTCGCTCACCGTCTTTTTATCTGCTGGCTGTTTTAAGTTGTATAAGTGAAAAGGTTAGAGGATAAAAAAGAAGGAGTATACTTACTTTGATACTATAGACAGCACCGATATCAATTTTGGCAGGCTGTAATCTTTCGATTTCTTTTTTTAATGCATCCCCGTTAGGAAAGGACTTGAAACGAAGGTAAATATCGTTGGCAAGTGTAAAACTGAATTCACGATGAGTAAAGCTTCGGGCGGGTGTAATGTCATAGTTGAGCCAGTGAAAATAGGTTTTGTAAGGAAAAAAGGAACGGTAAAACATTCTATATAAAAACACGGGATCGTCCATATTGTATCTACAGGTGGGTGTTAACAAGAATATGGTCGACGAAGGGTTTAAATACACGTACTCTGGTTCGCTGAAGCCATTATATATCTTGACGTTGGCAAACTTTTCCGTCATGGTTTGATCTTCTGCAGGAGGAGCTGGAGCTGGAGCAAATTCCTCTTCATCACTGAAGAAAGTGTCCATGTCAATATCCTCCAACAAGTCTTGGGCTACAATGTCATTTAGACCTATTTAGGTTTCAAACATAATCTTGGTGGTATATTCGGTTTACCTTTGTCGATAAAATCTGCCATTTTTTTATGTATAATGTAGGAGAAACAAAACAAAACAAAAAAAATATATGTGAAAAAAATTATTTTGTGGACGTGTTTTTTCATTGACGCGAAGCAGGTCGTGTAACTCGGTTTTTTTATTTTATTTGAAGCTTACAAAGTACTCTTTAACCAAATCAACATTGTTGGCAAATATACTCCTTGTAAAGCTGCTGTCATACCTTCCTGTAGTAATTTGTGTGTGTAAGTAGCGAATAAAAACAAGTAAGGTGTGCGTCATATCGAAAACTACAATAAAAGAATGAAGCAAGCCCGTCCAACAACGAAGGTTAAATATACATGGCACGGCTATTGCAGATAAAAAAAATACACATTACAATTTAAAACTGCTGAAAATATCATAGATTATGACAATAAAATAATTCTCACATCATATTAAGGATGGATAATCATGTAAATATTGGACTAATTGGAACTAAAAGCACTGTTCTACTAATGAAACTATCTTACATTTTAGAAGATTGTGTCAAGGAACCTAGGTAGAAAAGCTAAAAATTAGTATTTAACAATGCTATTAATAACAACTTGATCTTGACTGGATGTTTTTAGAGTCTCATTTTCGTTGTCAACATTCTTTTTTCCAGTAGCAACAGGATTGATCATTAACCCAACAAATCTTATCCAACACAGAACTAATACATTCAGATGCGTTTACCCTTGGCAACGTCCAACTGATATTATCTGTTTTAATATGCTTAACTTTAACCCCAGTGCACTGGTGGTGTGATACATATGGTGGATAGCAAATAGGTTTGCTCAGAACATGAATTTTTTTTAACAAAAGGAAGTATGTGATTATGTTGCAACTTTGTTAGTGCAATTGACTACAAATGTCCAAAGCAAAAAGAGCATAAACAAAGAATTGAAGGGCCGCCTTCGTCACGCAGGTGTGTATAAACTCTCAACTTTTTTTTTCTTCTCTTCTTTCTTGTTTGGTTACGTTTATGGCCTCTTCAGTATCACTACCATTAGTTGTCTGGCATAACTTTACGAATCCCAACACCACATGCATCACCTCTAGTTACCCCAATGTCTATGCTGGACAAAAGGATGGACATATTTGGGTCTATACAGTATCCGATCAGAATCCTTCCTTACTCCAGGTTTGAGCTTGTTTACAAACATCAAGTGCTTTTTTCATTAACATTTCCATGTAAAGCACAAGTTTCTTTTGGTGGGCCATAAAACTTCAGTGGTTGCGTTATGTGTGGTGAAGACGGAAACAGACGCCTTGTCAAAGTCAGAAGATGTTTTAATTAGTGCTTCAGAGGATGGGTAAAAGAATAAACATGAGAACAGCCAATGCAACTTTTATAAACATAAACACCAATAGTGAAATTATACGGTGGAATGCGTCCGATGGACGTTGTCAAGCTGTCAATCATACAGGGTTCTACGGCATTCCGCGTCTTTTAAAAGTATTTACTCAAGTAAGGAAAGAATAAAAAAATCATATAGAGGGACAAATCAATTAAAACTCTTCTCAATAGTTTTCGGATCGACATATTTTTTGTTGTGGCCAAGCAAATGAAATCACGATTCTCAATGCTACCACGTTAGAAGTAATTATTCTTACGTTCTTTTTTGTTGTTATTTTTAATTTTAAAAACGGATTGTGGTTATTAGGTGGTTCGGGTGTGGGGCGGTCATTCAAACTGGGTAACCTGCATGGATTTCTATGATTCAGGTAATTTTTTTAATATGGATTAATATTTGCAAAATATTTATACTTGTGCTATAGACACAAACCGTTCAAGGCTGCTCACGGTAACAATTGACGGGAGACTGGATATTTGGGATTTTGATGCCACCAAACATATCATTTACAAGGATCAGTCTGTTCCCAACAAACCGTTAATTTTAAATAACACAACTTCGTTTGATTCCGCATTTAACCTTGTAGGCAATCCTGCTCTGCCAGGTGTATGCATGACCCTAACAAGTAAAAATATCATGGTAAATAGAAAAATAATGAGCTGTTTTTTTATAATAGAAAACAAAAAAACCTTATATGTAAAAATAGATATTAGCGATGCAATGTACCGAGTTCGTTCCTCAATTTATGATTCCAGCAGAACCTAATACTAGCTGGGCAGGTGGTCAATTCTTTGGAAAGGACCGATTTATTATTTGGACACTGGTAAAATGAAATCAGATGCAAACGTATTCCTTATCTAATGTTTTTATATTACAGAATGGTGAGGTATTTGATTATATATTGCAGCCTCCCGAATCACATAAAACAGAAGCTGTTTCGGAAGATGATGGAAGTCTATATTACAGGTAAAAATTAAATCATGCACTTTTTTTTTTGTTTGTTTAAAAAATGTCACTTACGATTTGGGTAGTGCGACCTTGACAAAATGTTACAAATTCGATAATCATCGTAAGAACGAATGTATACATGCAATTTAAGTTTTTTTGTTTTTTGACAAAGTGTATATGTATAGGATCTATTCATTCAGGAACAGTGATTACGACTATTTTGTCGAAATTCGTTGAAGGCGACAGGGAAGAACTTTCGGCCGTAACCTTATGTAACCATCCAGAAGCGTCGGGATTTAGTATCATTCCTTTACCAGTTTCAGAACCTGTGGAAGAAGCAGTGACCTATTGTATCGAAACCACCTTTTCCGATGTTTGGCCCTTGATAGAAAAAAGCGATCCCAAATTTGGAAATATCACAATTACTGCTCCAGTAAACACAAATCATCTAGCCATTGGTTACGGTAAAAAGATAAAATCAATATACTTTTGTTATCATGCATACTAACAAACAAAAACAAAAACAAAAAACAGATTCGGGAACTATTTGTGTGGTGCCATTGTCTTTGGCATTATTACACTTGACAGAAATTTCCAACTTTATTGGGAAGAGAGATGACGTCCGATTATTTGAAAAGGCCCACCATAGCGCTATCACTTGCATGATTGTACCCGAGCACCATGTATCTGGCCAGCAATATCTTTTATCCGGTGGTCAAGATGGCGCTATTAAAATATGGAACCTTATGTAAGTCACCTTTATTTGTGTTGCATTTTTTATTTAGCTCATCATAAATACAGTGATGGTCGATACGTAGCGTCCTGTGCTGTTCATTCCATGCCTGTAGAAGCCTTCATCGAACCAGCAGAACAAAAAGACACTCGTGTCAGAGGATGTGTTGTTTCCATTGCCAAAGATAATTCAATTGCCCTGATATCCGTTGATTCTATGACGTGGTAAATCTACAGCTTTACTTTTTGCATATATTTTTGCTAACTTCTTTTTTTTTATGGTTACTAGTCTGTTTATATTTCCAGGTAATCCATACCCATTAACTACAATTCAATGGAGAACCACGGAAGACTATCTAGTGTTTGGTTATAGCGATGAAAGTGTTTATGTCTGGCAAATGCAAACCGCTCATCTTGACCGTGTTCTACATGGCAAAACAGCTCATGACGTACTTGAAGATGATCGATGGCCTATCAATCGTGTGTCTAGTACCACCATCCAGAAATCGGGTGGCAGTAGCTCTAAGCAGACCGTCTCTATACGATCCATCATGTCAAGTGATAATGGTAAGTCTTTTTTTCGCCTCTATTTTGTGTGCGTGTGTATATACTAATATATATATATATATATATGTAATTAAGCTCTCCATACATCAAAGAGCTTTGCACAAGTGTTTACATTTAATATTCGTCGGTTGGTGCATGATTTATATACGCGCGTATCTCAGCAAGACGGTGTACCAGTGATGAAACCTTCCATGTCTGCCTGTTCCTTTGATGCTGTTGTACCTGAGATTCTGACTTTCAGACCCGATAAAGACGATCCTCTAGATATCTCAAGCGACCACCAAGTTAGTTTGAGAGAAGAACACGATCATACCAAAGAAATCAAGGAGAAACGTATGGAATTAATTACGGCTGTGGTTTCAATTATTGCCTCATGGAATATTAGTGAAGCCTTTGAACAAGTTTGTTGTAAATCTTTAAGCTTGTCGAAAGAAATAAGCCAAAATATCAGTTTTGGATTAAAAGGGTAAAAAACCACCGAAACGCCGTAAAATATATAAACAAGAAATAATATTCAAATATATCATTATAGTGCAAATGGAAATCTATCTGTTCTTGCTCCGTTAAAGAATGAACGTGTGGCATGGACTATATCCCCTTCAATGACAGCAACACGATTATTGTCAATTGCTCTACTGGCAAAAGCTATTATTTTTATAGCGGGTCAAGAAAGCCGGAGCTCGGACTTGATCTCGGGATATGCCATGTCATTGCCATTGGTTATTGGCAAAAGCTATTGTTTCCCTTCATTGTCATTGCTGAGTAAATACTGGCAAGATCCATCAGGTAAAGCATATCATCCTTTTTCTGTTGTTTTAACTGGGTTGACTAATACTTTTAAAATAGCGAGATCGCTTTTTTCAAGTGCAGTGACAGGGCTATCCGAAGAGGATATTGTTTCCCTTGTAGATTACTGGGAGGCATTTTGTAAGTTGAGACAAGGAGGGAAACTCGAATATTAAACACTCAATCTATTTGTGTTACATATAGTACCTACCTCTAGCTCGCCCGAAAACAGTGGACCTCAAATGATGGCACGTGCATCGATTGTACTAGGCATTATGGGGTGTGATCAACCTCACACACTCAGTCCTCGTGTGCGTAAATCGACTGCGCTCAGCTTAACCATACTGTTATCAGATGCTGAGCTAGAAGAGACCAATCATGATGGAGTAACAGAACCTACGCTTTCGACAGGCTCGATGGCTCGTACATTATCCTCCATGGAATTATTAAGTCAAGGTTTTCAAACATGGGAGACATACATCAATGCAGCTGAAGTACTGCGGACATTGTTCGTGTATGCTACCGATCCACAACCTGTCATGGCTTTAATCAGTCGAGGTGCAAGAACGGCCATCTTCAAAATATCCGAAGCGAATATGCCCTTGGTGATTAGTACTCTCACGTTTGATACAATGAATGCAAAAGCCTTGGATGATCGATTGAGGTGTTTGAAGATTATCGGTACTTTTATTCGAAAGGTAGGTAGAAGAGAAGGATGAAGATTGTTAATTATACTCAACATAAAAAAAAATCACAGGAACCCATATTGTTAAATTCCAATGTGTATAGCGTGGTTGAAGCAGTTGTAAAGACACTGGATCCCAATGTGCCTCATATGAGAGAAGTCATGTTAAATTCGGCCACCTCGATTCTTCATGACCTTGTGAAAACGTATCCGTCAGTAGATTTTAGCACGAGTGCACAGAAATTGGCGGTGGGTACGTTGGAGGGAGCTTCTGTGATCTATGATGTACGTACCGCTACACGATCTGTAGTTTTGGAAGGTCATATTGGACCTGTGGCCTTACTTGCTTTCTCACCTGATGCAAAGTCAATTGCTACATGCTCGCTAGTGGATCAGAGTGTTCGTGTTTGGCATACCAACATCAGTTTATTTGGTATGCTCACCAGTAGTATCTCGCAAGGATTGACGCCGAATACACCTGGATCTACATCACACAACCCATCTGGGTCTCAAAAACCACACAAAGTATTCTCTTTTGCAATGCCTGATGGTAAGTTTATTTTTATTTAAAGTATTTCAAGTACATACTAATGTTCTTCTTTCTTGTGATATAGCTGATCCGTTGGATGCGACTGAAATCATAAAGAAGGTGAGGTTTGAATGGATGTCTTCTAAATGTGTCAAATTACATGTTCGAGATTTAGTGATGAGTTTCAATGTGTAATTTTCTGCTCCCTCCTCTTTATTCCCCTTCGTTCATTTTAAATGCTTGATTATTTTTTATAATAAATTGCCATCTATATCTTTTCTCGATTGACATGCTATCATTTTCAAACGATCAGCTTGTTCCTCTTTTCAGCCGATCTCTTCGTATTGTTCTGGTTATTTACAAGGAATCTGGTTCTTTTTTCATCGATAGGGAGTTTCAGTATACACATGTATCAAGAGCTCGTCAATAATTCATGTATGGCTTTTAGTAATGAAGAATTTAAACATCCCATAGCAATGCAAGCAACGGGCCGCTATAATTGGTTTATTTGATATACAGACTAAGTTAATTTCCTCTTTGAGCTTACTAAATGCCTTCCGGGATTTAAAACTTATCATGGCTCCGTTTGGAGTGCTTTAATCTGTTACTTTGCAGAGTGATGTTTGGGATAGCGGGAGTGAGCAGTACGGGTTTTTCATAAGCAATTTAAGAGGCAAGAATCGCCATAACTGATTTCGTCAAGTTGTCTAACATTGGATACTCAGTCACTAATATCTGGTCGAAGGGAATAGTTCCATAGGGCACTTGACATACTACCGATACCTGTTTTGTTACTAAATTACATTGATTTGGGATAGCTCTACAACTTTTGTCACCTGTATAAATAGCAATGATTCTTGCAAAAAAAAAAAAAAAAAAAAAAAAAAAAATAGAAAATAGGTAGGACAAGGGCAGTTGGATAGAGACAGCTTTCACGGTGTTTTCAACCAAAAACGTTTTATGTTGTGTAGATATTACATAATATCATGAAGACAATGGGGAAATAAACTTTTTTTGACTCAAACACGGCTTAAAATATGCAAGGAGTTGTCTCAAAGGCATTTAATGTTTACATGTCAATGAGAGACTTTGGGTTTCATGTTACCTCAAGCTGTGATTGGTGCATTTTCTCATCCAAGCAAAGAGTGAAGTCATGTTGGAAAATGATAGCTTTTTTTTTTTTTTTTAGCAGATGGGGGTGGAAAAAAATATAGTTTGAATTTTTTAAACACCCCCACCCCCCTTCCCATTAAAAAGTTTTTCTTTTCTCTTTTTCTTTTTGTTTTTGAAAAGAGGAATCTCGAACATGACAGGTAAATGATAAATACCAAAAAAAAAAAAATAAAAAAAAAAAAAAAATACTTTCAACTAAATATAAAAAAATTAGGACTTCATGAAAAAACGATTAGTGTAGTTGCAAAAGATGCAAAGAGTGGAAAGCAAATAAAGCTTGAATATATTAATAAGAAAATTACTGGTAATGGTTCTTTTGGAGTTGTGTATCAAACGCGACTTGTAGAAACCAAAGAGGATGCTGCCATCAAGAAGGTGTTGCAGGACAGACGATTCAAGGTAACATATGAGAGAGACAAACAGAAGGAAGCAAAAAAAAAAAAAACTGACATGAGAATAGAACCGTGAATTACAAATTATGCGTCTTGTTGATCATGTCAATGTATGTCAATTAAAGTCATACTTTTATAACCAAGTGGAAAACAAGGAAGACGAAGTTTATTTAAACTTAGTCATGGAATATGTACCCGACACTTTATATCGAGCCACCAAACACTACAGTAAAGCCAAACAACATATGCCCATGATTCTTGTCCAAGTTTACATGTACCAAGTGCTTCGATCTTTAGCCTATATCCACGCTCTGGGTATCTGTCATCGTGATATCAAACCACAAAATATATTACTCGACCCTGCCACAGGTGTATGTAAGATGTGTGATTTTGGAAGTGCAAAGATACTTGTACCTGGTGAACCTAACGTCTCGTACATTTGCTCTCGTTATTACCGTGCTCCCGAGTTGATTTTCGGTGCTACAAATTATACACTTTCTATTGATGTTTGGTCCACAGGCTGCGTCATGGCTGAACTGATCTTAAATGAACCTTTCTTTCCCGGTGATAGTGGTATTGATCAGCTAGTAGAGATCATCAAAATCTTGGGTACTCCTTCCAAGGCAGAAATTGCAGCTATGAACACGAGCTATGTCGAGCATAAATTCCCTCAAATCAAACCCCACCCACTTCCAACGGTAAGTCTCTATTGTCATCGTATTCATACAAGTATTAATCATCTTCGTAGATCTTCAAAAACGCCAGCCCAGAGGCAGTGGATTTATTATCTCGCATGCTGAAATACGATCCCAAGGAACGAATCACTGCCATCGAGGCATTAAGCCATCCCTTCTTCAATGACATGCGTGATCCAGACACAAGATTACCCAACGGACAACCTTTACCACCCGTCGTGAACTTTTCAAGACAAGAGTTGTCTATCCGACCTGATTTAATTAGACAGTTAGTGCCTCCACATTATGAGCAGGAACTTTTCTCTAGAGGTATCGATATCCATCACTTTGACCCTATTCCTCTCGATCAAATGAAGATTTCTCCCAACGCAATTTAAATTCCTAACAAACACAAAAAAAAAAATATGTATTAAACCCCTACACACCCCCTCACACACAATCTGCCACATGCACTTTTCTATTATTATTAAATCCACCTCGGTGTATACATACATCCAAATTGTAATGAAAGAAACACGTACACATCCCAAAAAAAAATGTCACACGATTTGTTTCTATTTCTGGGCGCACTAGTCTTTTCGGGATGTCACACTCATGTCATAGTTACAAAAGGTAAATCTGGGAGATCCAATTCCCACTGGGAAATAGTATATAAATGCCTGGACATTGTTTAAACCTCTGCGGTGCATCGAATAAGGATATATATATATGATCAACTACGTTTCCCAATGAGAAATGTCATGATTCACTGCTAGGGTCGAAATCGGAAAAGACTCTAATTTTAATTATTGTCTTGATTCCTATTGATGATATATTTAGCGTTTGATACTACACACTTCTTCTTAAAAGCTGACCCCAATTACTTGTCAAGTGAATTATTGCCTAACTATCATTTTGTCGCATACAACTTCTGGCGTTTTACTTGTCATCACATCCCATCTGATTCACTCAAAACATATGTTCTGAATGGTAGTTTATGCCGATCTTTTTTTAAACAATAAACAAACAGGCAAACTAAAATAGCGCCAAGTTAATTACAACGTAAACAAAGGGATTTCTATTCACAAGTAAAACAAGTCTGTCTCACAAGGAAAGTTTTACTGATGAAAGAGAGGGACATATATCTACATTGCAAGAGTAGAAGTGATATCGTTGAAAGCGTAAGAGTTCTATTACTAAAAGATTTTATTAAGCCTTTCAAGTATGAAGCGCTTACAGATTTTGTTTATCACCCTAAAATAAATCAGCGATCAAAAATTGAAAAATATCGCAAACAAATTAGAGCGGAAATAACGATCTTTTTTTTAAAAATATCGCGATTGGCGATATCGATAAATTTTTCCAAAATATCGCGATTGGCAATATCGATCAAATTTTCCAAAATATCGCGATTGGCGATATCGATCAAACTTTCTAAAATATCGTTATTGGCAATATCGATCAAACTTTCCAAAATATCGCGATTGACGATATCGATCCATAAATCAAAAAAACAAAAAAATATCGTTGGATGGGGTAAAAAAAATGGGGTAATCGATAATCGATATAATATTACTTTTACACCCCTGCTAAATCAGGATACAGGCTTAAAATTGATACGTTTGTATATATTGGAAAAAAAAAAATTTTATTTATAAAAAAAAACTAAATAACGTCGAATCTGATCATGATAGACCTCTTCAAATATAGAAAATGACCAGTAAAATATGACCAGAGACAGACATAATGAGAGGAACTACGATAATGACCATACGAAGACCTCGGAAGAGCAGCAGTATTCACTTACCTGCATAAAGATGGTTTACGTTAATAAGAGAATAAATTATCAAGTTTAGCAATGTGTACCTTTACAAAACCGTGGGATGTACGAGCCTCAAATAAACAGCGATAGTAGCTAGCTTTAGGAATTTGGGTTAACTAATAATGAACACATAAACCAAAGTCGAGATATTTACCTTTTCACAAGCGGTGAAAGTAGAGATGGCTTCAGCTATACAAATGTGTTAATACATATAAAAAGAGTAAGTAAATTTACTTTTAAAGCAAAGAGTCTTGGTTTAATCCGTTTGGAGAGTGTCAGCACGTTTAATGTTTAGTCACATAACTATATCTTCATTTGTAAACAAATGGTTATGATAAATCATATATTCACAAACTATACACATATACAAACCTTAAGTTTAGTTTTTATTTGAAAGAAATAGAAAGAAAAAGAAAAAAATAATAAAAAAATCAGAGTTTAAATAAGAAAAAAAAAAAATTCAGGCTCAATTCTATTTTTGGAAAGCCCTTGAGGGTCGACTATTGGTCCCAGATGCTATTTCATCAGCCTTTCTTTTACCTTTTGGACGGGTAGTACTTGGGGTGGAGAGGGCAGGTGCAGAGGTGGGAGGAGGAGAGTCAGAGGTGGGAGGAGGAGAGTCAGAGGTGGGAGGAGAGTCAGAGGTGGGAGGAGGCGAGTCAGAGAGAGGAGGCATCTCAGAGGGAGGAAGAGAGGTCAAAACAGGATTTTGTACCGAAGCGGAAGAAGACGATGGTACAAGAGGTCTGTTATCAGGGATCGAAAATAAATTTTCAAACAGGCCCATATCCAAGTCTTCGTACCTCTCTTCAGTACCCGAATTGACACCAAGGTTTTCCAGGCCAGTCAAAAATGAACCCGAGGTATCATGAGCAATGTCATCTGGCTAGAGTTGAGGTTTATGTTAATGTTAAAAATTCTTAATTTGATATCTAAACTTTACTTACTCTTGCTGAGTTCCTCAACATTATCTGGATCATATTTTTGGATATCCAGTTTTTATCTGCGAGGTGCATGGGTAGCATAGGATTCTCGGCGTCAATGACAGAGATAAGGTCTCCAGGATATGCCTCAACGGGTGTACCAACGTTCAAGCCAGAGCGCTTGTTCCAAAAGTATACAATTCTTTCGAACATATACAATACTTCATTCTGCTCGTTTGCAGGAATCCCCCTCCAAATGACACCATTCTTTCCAAATCGTTCTTGGTACAATGCTTTCAAGAAATGTTGGCAAATGGTGAAGACATTGTTGTAAGCTGCTGTCGCCCTTTCTTTAGCTTGATCCTCAGTATAGGTACCTACCAAAGATCTCCAGTACGCAGCAACCTTGTCTATAACGGTTTTCTTTGTATAAGTACATACGGTGATGGATCTTACACCGAGAGAATTGCAAGAGGTGTGAATACCATTGGGTATAACTTGCTCCTTGTAATAGGCGACAGCCTTGACCACGAATTCGTACATTTGTTGAGCAGCGGAATTTCTTGCTGAAAAGATAGGGCAATTATTAACTTAATTCGTCTTACAAAGTAAAATAAAATAAAAACGTACCAGTGATATATCCAGATCGAGAAGTAATTGCAGAAGTACCATTGGATTTGACCACTTTCTTAACCTTGCTGCAGCATTCACAGTGTTGACCAACTGGCAGGTAGATATATTCTTTCATTGTGGCAGGCATTGCATCAAGCTTTCTTTGCATATCGTAAATGACATTAACGAGTTTTTCAATGACTTCGTCTCGAGAATTTGAGTTTTGGGTACCGTTCATTGTGATAAATAGAGTGAAAAATCGATGTAAATGAGAAAATAGGTGTAAGTATTGGATCTTATATAGATGTTTTAAAGATACATTTTTTTTTCATTGTCATTTACCTTGATGTAAGTGGTTCAACTTATTTGCACCAATCACGGTACAGAATTAAAAAAAATTTCGCTTAATAACCTCGTTACACGAAAATCTAACAATAGATCAAGCTTGAAGTCCCAAACAACGATTTCTAGTGGTTTTGAAAGGTATCCATAGTCTACACAGAATTACCATATCCTCTCTATTAATAATTATAAGATAAATTCACGAGTAATTCCAATTGGTTCTAAGAACGGTCAGTGACTATTAATAAGCTGTAAATAAGATGTAGCAACATGTATAAAACTACGCGCAAAAATCGGTTCCCGACTTACCAAAAACAAAATTCTTAAAAACTTTTCAAAATGGTTTACCCCAAAATTCAAAAACCCAAGAACCTTAGAGCTTCTCGAAACGGCGCTAACCAACGTCTTTTAAGAGGCACATATGAACCCTTGGCCGTTACTGCTGCCTCCATTATACCTGGCCCAACTGACACTTCTGTTTTTGCTGTATCCTCTTCAGTATCTACTGGCTTCCCAACTGCTATAATAACCAACCGTACACCTTTTGACTATGACGAAGAAATGGATTTTTACGATGATGTTGATATGGCTGACCTCGATAACCAAATCGCTCTTCCCTTAATTGGACAAATGTCCATACAAGACGTAGATGCTGAAGATGAATCCTCTGATGATGGTTTTGTTGTAGACGGTGAAGTAGACGAGGATTTGTATGAATCCACGGACGAAGAGAACTTCGAAGGTAACTAAGGATGCTCGAGTTGTTGACATCATGACAACTTACCGGATGTATTATTTTCACTTTTAGAACCATTGTCACTTGATCATAATGTAACAATACAGGACAACATCAAGGATATCATTGTCCCCATTAACGTATTTAGCACCAGCGAGCTGAGTAGTATTATGTTCAACTATCTTACATTTAGTAGAAACATGACCATAGAAGCTGTGCGCGTTATGAAGAAATTTTTTGAGAACACTTTGAACCAAAACAACAGTATGTTAATGATTTGTATTTACAAAGTATCATTATTTACTAATTTAGTTTACCTTTTAGGCCTTGATAAAAAGAAAAAAGTACTCGCATTGAAGGAGTGTCGTTCGTTGATCAAGAAGAAACTTCCACTTTCTTTCAGTCAAAGCCATGAAATCTGTTCCCGAAAGGGGTGTTATCTCTTTGATCCTGTCGATGATGCCGATAAAACCGCTTGTCCTCACTGTAACGCTGTTAGACATAAAGAATCTGTGGTAAAAATGATTGATATTGGTGAACATTTAAGTCGTATGCTAGCTTGTGACGAGTTTCGTGATGAAGTCGAAAAATACCGAAACGTAATCGATTCCATGACAGACGATGATCCATATACCGATTTTTTTTCTGGAGCCGCGTATAAAGAAATGAAATCTAAAGGTCTCTTCACTGGTCAGCACGATTTAGCCATCGTTCTATGTGTTGATGGGTTCACTTCGAAGGTATCAAGAAAAAGTATGGTGATGGTACACGTTATAATTGCTAGCATTGATCCGTCTATCAGGTAAATTTTGGCTCTATATACAATACATCCAATCTTTTTACGTCGTAATAACACCATTTGCAGATACACCGATGAATATACTTTTCAAGTTGCAATTCTTTTTGGTGACACTAAGAAAGACTTTGACTCGTATCTGCGTCCAATTATTGAAAGCCTTGATCGTTTGAGTCGTGAACCTGTTGTTGTTCGCAAGAATGGTGTTCATGTCACGTCGGCTAGAATTTTCAATTTGGGTGTCATTGCAGATGGTATAGAGATCAACCAGCGGTTGTTGATGTTTAGTGGTCATACCAACTGGTGGGGATGTAGATTTTGTATTGGTAAGTCGTCAGTTACTAAGCTATGACCGTGGACACTAACAAAATGACCCTTCTAAATTTAGTTAAAGGCGGTCACCCAGTTGACGGAGGAAAAGGTGGTATGTACTTCTTTGGCAGAGACTCGGCTATCAGAACCAAAGCTTCTTTATTACTTGAGAAAGACGCAGTAAGTATTAACTTGTGTAGCCTTTTTTACATATTTTAATTGATTTACCTTTATTAGCCTTCTTGTCCCAACCACAACTATGGTATTAAAAGTGCT